GTCCCGTGACCAGCAACGGCCACCTCCTGGCAGAAGTAACCATGTCGACAATCCTCTTGATTCTCGGATCGTAGTCCTTGTACGTCTGTCGAAAGTCCTTCTCCATGTCGATGTCCTGGACATCGTCAACTAGATGATCCACGTGGTGACTCAGAACCATATTGAACTGTTTGCCATTGGAAATGGGATACGAAATGATGTACGACTTGTCGGCCATCCAGACTTCCATGGTGAGTTTCTCGATGAGTTCTTTGGCGACAGGGTCTCGTCGGATCTCATCATAGGGGACGATGGCTCGATATGCGCAGTTGCCCGTTGGAGGCGCGGGCTTGACGTGAGGCATGATGGCTTTGCGGACCGTGGAACGTACTCCATCTGCGCCAATGAGTAGGTCGAATGTCCATGATTGACCCTTAGCCGTGGTGACTGTGACTTTGTTGGACGGAGACGAGGTCCAGTCGATTTCCTCCACCCGAGCATCAATCACGAGGTTTGCACCCTCGCGACGTGCCACTTCTGCTAAACCGGCGTGGAGATGCATTCGATGAACTATCTCCGTGTCAGGCTGAACCACCAAGTTTCAGAAGGACGCTGCTCACCTAACCACCAGGGCACACCACCCAAATAGCTCAGAGACGTTAGTGTGTAACATGCTTGTGGTTCGGGTGAGATCGACAAGCATACTTGCGGACGTTAGGGATAGTTTTCGTGTACCCAATTAAGGTGCCATCTTTTCTTCTCATGTTCAGCTCCTCGAACTCGACGAGATCATCGCCAATCACTTTGTCCACGCCCCATTTCATGAGCAGTCGGGCCACATTGGGCGTCATTTGGATACCAGCACCAATCTCGCCGAGTTCAGGAGCAGCTTCCAGGACCGTCACCTTTGCACCAGCTTTACAGATGGCAATAGCCGCCGCCAGTCCACCGATGCCGGCGCCACAGATTCCAACATTCAACTCGGGCATATTTGGGATTTGTAGGGGATTTGTATTGTCTGTTGCTGTTCTTGTTGACAAACAAGCCAACAAACGGAGCGAAATGATATGTTGTAAATTGAGGTCAGGTTTGATAAAACAACTAAAAGACCAGGACCCTGGAATCTCTCTGATCCCAATTAATTTCTCGATTGACTCGACGCTGGCAAGCGCAGGAACCTTTGAGCGGCAGCCTGCGTATTATATGTGTGAACATCACAGGAGAAAGCCATGAGCATGTCTACATACGTCGATTGGCGTCGAGCACCAGCACGGGGATATGGGGCATTTCCTCACCTCCACGTAAGTCGGTCACGAAAGAACTCTCCGCATCAGCAGGAAATTTCTCGGGTTGAAGGACATGGGGAAGGGGTAAGGTGATCGCCCACTGCTATTGTGAGAAGACCAATAGCGGTGTCTCGATCTCCACCCTAAACGAGAAACCTCAAGGCTGGCACGGCAAAGCTCCGAATCCAGTACATGAATCCAGCCAGATGCACTTGACCATATATAACTCGGTATAGGTGAAACGAATTGCCGATAGCTGTCCCGAGTCACCGACGCTTGCTTGAAAGCGAAGTTTGGGATTGCGTTGAAAGGGGAATGGGGGCCACACTTGAAAGAGTACCGAGTATGATGCATGTCGAGAGGGACCAATCTCGAGAACCCCAATTTGGAGATCTCGAGGCTGCCTCCGCTTGTTCGACTGCCTTGGCAAATGCTTGCTTGCACTTCGAGCAATTTTGACGTCACCATTTTTTGATCTTCCACCACACTTCACGTTTCATACATGCAAGTTGCTTTGTCGCGCTGAGGGTCGGGTATTGTCACCTTGTCTAGCAATAGTGCAAGACGATTCGTCGAAAAGCGGTAAATGAATTGATGCGGTCGAACTATCCGACAACGCGCTTAGTCCGCAAATTCAGCCTCTGGCCCAGTCTAAGAGCGCGAGTTCTCCAAATTCCCCTGTTTGGAGCTTCAAGGCAGCCGCCGCCGCCGCCACCGCCACCACCCGCAGTCAGGGAGGAAAACATGACTTCTCACTTGAACGGTGAGTTTTGATACTGAATTGCTCCGTGCTCTTACTGTGTAATCTCGGCTCGCCGTACCCACATCAACCCTACTAATCCAGCGCAGTTTTCAGGCAACCCTTGGCCTTCTTCTCGAATCGTCCGGTCACTGGTTTCTATCGAGATGGATATTGTAGGACAGGAGCTGCGGACTTTGGTAACCACGCCGTGGCTGGTGTGGTGACGGAAGAGTTCCTGGACTTCAGTGCTTCGCAAGGGAATGATCTGCGGGTAGCAGGTCTGTCAGGAGGTTGCAAGTGGTGTCTCTGCACAGCGAGATGGCTAGAGGCGTTTCAAGCATACAGAGATGGGAGGATTAGTAGGAATGGCGTCCCGAAAGTGGTGTTGGAGGCAACTGAGGACAGTGCACTGAGACAGGTGGACTTGGATACGTTCAGGCAATTTTCGGCCGAACCGCAGACAAATGGTGTGAATGGCGTTAACGGTGTGAACGGTGTGAACGGGCACTGATCACCCCAAGCCTGCAGTTAGGTGATGGTGTGGAGTTTGTCCAAACGTCAGTAGTACCCTATATCTTCGAGAATCAGGAGTCAAAAACTTACATGAAAAGAAAAAGAGACGGCGCCGCTCCCCAGAGTAATCGGAATCGAATTGAAACCCTATCATTCCAAAGAAGAAATCGATAGGTTTCCGCTGCGATTGCACTCAAGTAAGGAAGGCCACATGCGTGACCATCAGACAATCTTCGCAACGGCTCTTCCAAAGGGAATCCCTCAAGACACAAACACCACGCGGATGCCGGCCTTGAGGCCCTGTACATTTCTGATGCCAATTGCGAGCACGGTAATAATCGTGCCGAGCCCTCGCGGGCAGTACCATGTGCCTCGAAACCACAGAGTGGTTCAAGGTCAGAGGTGTAAAGTCTGAAGATTACTCCGAATTTCTCATCTGCAAGGAATGAAACAACTGCTCGACTGTTGGGAAACAGGAGCAAGTGGTTGCGTGTAGCAGAGAACGCAGCGGATGGGGAGCGGCGCGTAGAAGAGGAAGAGGAAGAAACCAGCTGGTACTTTTTGTGTTGATGAAAACTAATCCAAGACTCACAATTATTCTGCCGCGTCTCACCGCCTTGAGCCGCGTTGACACGTGACTGCGGCAGCTCATGGTTGGACGTTTGGTTGTTTGCTATGCTGGATCATGCCAAAAGACGTATTATGTTCATATAATGAAATAGGCTGAGTTTGCCTACAAGCTATCTGGAATCCCTCAAGATCGATTTTTGCAAGCGCCTCCAATTGCAACCAACGTAAGCAGATGCATCCGGTTGTGTCAACTTGCACACTTGGTCCACCCCGATCCAATCAACGGGTCAGTGCGCAGAGCACGAGCAGATCCAGTGACGTGATCAGTCATTTTCAGCAAATTCCTATCATTTCCAACCAGACAACTCTCCGCCAATCCAGAAGTCATGTCGGGATTGTACTCGCGTGGATGATAAACAGGAGTGCTTGGGTGTTTGGACCGCGGGCTACTTCCAGTGCCGAGGATAGGCCGTAGGTAGCAATGCTGTAGATATGATCCATCCTCAAGATTCGCTTCGCAGTACCGAGAGGGATGCGAGCAGTAGACTACGATTCTGCCTGGGCCTGCAGTCCGCACCCTCAACACGACGCATGTCTTGTAGTTCGGAGGAGGGACCACTGGCAAAAAGCTGAAAACATATCGTACCAGGAACTTCCAAGGTGTGCATCCGACAAAGATAATGCGCAATGCCTCAGACTCGGTGTGACTCGATGGCCTCTGCCTCGTTTGTTGGCGCGCGACCGTCACGACGCCCTGGCTCTTCGATCCCAGCAACCCTAACTGCGCCGTAGGGAAGATGACGTTGCGAAAGGTTCAAGTAGTGATAAACGTAGGTGGTTTTCGGGTATCATGCGTATCGACTCCACAACTCAGCCTGTGTTTTTCTCTGCTTCGATGTACCATGTTGTCTCACTTATAATTCGATCCTTGTCCTGGCGGAGGGCCACCCCATCCCTGCGGAGGTCCCTGTGGAGGCGCTATAGGTCCCTGACCTTGCATCGAGCCAACGTCGGGTCGATTTCTGGATCGCAAGTTAGATTTCTGCGCTGGTTCGATATAGCATCTTCATTATGGTGATCGTACCTCATATCCTGTCGAAATCTGCAGATAGAGCAGGCTAACTAGAGGCACAGTTAGTAGGTGGTGCTGCAACAAGGTCGCATGAAGTCATTGAACGAACATCTTTATGCTTCCCGCCCAGTGGGATGATAGGAACAAAGCAAAAGGTGAACCAGTCCCACGATTGAATGGGGTGCGCAGACCAGTTCCCGCAATTGTGACACTGGGCAGTCACTCCTTCATAACCTTTCAAGGAGCTGGTGAAGTCTAGATTGGGCAAGACAGTTAGCAAGCGCAGTTCGCCAGCCAGGGTCAGGTCCGCAGCATAGAGCGAGCTCACCTTTGGTGCCAACGACGAAGAAAAATGCCATGATTGGTGATTGGTATTTGGAAAATCTGGGATGGAGTAATGTTCAGCGATAGATATACTTGTAGGGTAGGATGGAGAATAAAGCTTGTGGATGAGAGTAGAGGGAAAGGATGTTCTGATGCTCTGGTGATTGATGAGGCGATGCAGGGCGCATGACGAGAAGACGCGCAAGTCAACGGAGCTTTCGCGACTTGGCTTTTGCCTCGGCCAGGGCACTAGATGTCACGATCCTTTTTGTACAAGTATAATTTCTTGGAATCTGTGGAGCTGGTTAGGACAGCGAGCATAGGTCATTGGTATCCAAGTGTTGGATGTACGCAGTTTTCTGTGGCTGTAACCCCCACCTCTGTCGAGAGACGGTGAGATCAAATACCGTCAACGTACCCAACAACCACTCACTTCCACCGCCCTCGTCTCTTCTCTTCACTTCTTGCTTGATTTTGTCCACCACAGACTTGGGTCAAGTCCATTAGAGCCACAATGGGGTCAAGACCACAGCACTTCATGGAGCTCACCCAAAATCCTCATCACCGTACACTCGCTCACGAACTCTACCAACCAATGCCTAACCCTCACCTTTTACACGGCGAGGCTAAGAGCTCCGCGGCTTCCGCTACCGTAGAGAACAGCGAAGCTATGATCTCCCGCCATCGGACGGCCTCAACATTTGACACCGAGAGCCAATCTCCCACGCATGCCTCCGCATCCGATCCTCTAGACCTCGGTCGCCGTCTCAAATCCCGGTCGGAGCTCGACAGTATCACAGCCAACACTGCTCGAAAACGGAATGCCTGCAATCCACTGCATCTGGCGGGACATACCCAAGAGTCCAAGATCACAAACTTTTACGAGTCGCAGAATGAACAGATCGAGCGGCTACTGAAGCCAGTAGATGAGCATGTCAGGGAGGCAAGAGACACTCAAACGTCCAACCAGCTGCGGTACCAAATAGCGGTATATGGCTCGTTCGTGGCAAACATCATTCTTGCGGTGCTACAAGTCTATGGCGCTGTAGCCTCAGGGTCACTGTCGCTATTCACAACCATGGCGGATGCCATCTTCGACCCCTTGTCCAACATTACACTCATATTATCTAATAAAGCCGTCAACAAAGTCGATGCGCGCAAATTTCCCGCTGGCAGAGCACGGATAGAAACCGCTGGAAACATTGTGTTCTGTTTCCTCATGACAGCTGTCTCTTTCATCCTCATTGCCTTCTCTGTACGGGAACTGGTGGAAGGCTCAAGCGAAGATACCAAAAAGTTCCATCTCCCGTCAGTTGTGGCTGTGACCGTGGCATTTTGCACAAAGCTAGGGCTTTTTCTCTACTGCTGGGCACTCAGAAATCAATACTCCCAAGTCCGCATTCTCTGGGAAGATCACCGCAACGACTTGTTCATCAACGGCTTTGGTGTGTTGACCTCTGTGGGTGGTAGCAAGTTGCGTTGGTGGATCGATCCTGCTGGTGCCATTGTTCTCTCTGTCTTGATTTCCATCCTGTGGCTACATACTGCGTACTCCGAGTTCCAGCTCCTGATCGGTATTTCCGCCGACACGGAAACGCAGCAGCTCATTACGTATGTCTCTATGACACATTCCGACCACATCAAGCATATCGACACTGTCAGAGCGTGGCACAGCGGTCCGAGACTGGTCGTGGAGGTGGATGTTGTCATGGACCCTGACGAGTCCTTGAGAGTGAGCCACGACATCGCAGAGGATCTGCAGATGAAGCTGGAGAGTCTCCCCAACGTGGAGAGAGCCTATGTGCACGTTGACTACGAATTCGAGCATCGACCAGAGCATTTCTTGAAAAAAGAGCTGTAGATGGGCGAGAACCCCGGACCAGATGCGGGCCCCATTGTGCGTATGTGCTGCGCGCACTCTTTGGATACATTTTTCAGGTATAATTGGGACGGTTTCGACATGGATCGCGGGTTAGGAACCCAGGAAGGACTACAAGCGTAGACACGACTAAATGATATTGCTGCACCCGGATCATTCATTGACCGGGGCAAAGGTTTTCGAACCCATGATACCTGAAAGTGTGGTGGTTGACGAGTACCACCCACTGAATCCTCCCGTCTGTTCCATTCCCAGGCATCAGCTCTCCCTCGTCCGGACAGTATGCGCATGCTACCCGCCCGCCCATTCTTCCGAGCTCGGCGCTTCCATCCATCAATCTGAGGGGGTTTGGGGGTTGTTGCGGTCTGTACTTGTACTTCTCGTACTTGTCCTCGTCCGCGTCCTCGCAGAACCGCCTCGAGCCGTCATGATGCTGGTCACAGCCTCAGCCACAGCCACAAGCGGGGGAGTGGACTGGTTCTATTCTCTGGCATTCTCTGCAAAAGATATGGCGAGAGCGAGAGCGAGAGGAAAAGCGACTGAGTTGATGATGAGTTGAAATCCTTCATCCCTTCTCTCCGCATGGATGATCCACGGCTCTCTGCCCTTCTCCTTCTCTTCCCCTTCCTCTTCCTCTCTCTTCCTCTTTACCAGCCAGTTCAGGCTCTTTATCGATATATGTGACCTCGGATCAAAGACCAACACTCCGTCTCGCGTCCTTGTAAGTAATGCGATTGACGAGGGCGGTCATGGGATCTCGTGGAGCTCGCCGCAGCCGATGGTCTGCTGTCTGGCTACATGTCTGTGCCTCGTGTGCGGTTCTGGTACGTTTGATACGCGCGGAAAGAGACGAGGGAGAGAAATGCACCAGTAGACTGAAATAGATACATACCTCCACAGCGAAGTGTCGTTTGGTGGGTACCTCTTATATCTCTGTCGTGTATCACCCTGCAGCGAATCGCATTTGGTGTGATATGTCACTGATCGAGCTACCTGTGAGCAACGCCACAAGGTGCAGCGCGGGTGGTAGAGAGTATGCGTGATAGAGAAATATATTGAGAACGGCGCCACCTTCTCTGCCACAAACTGCAACCACAGAACTCAAGGCCTCGAGGATTCCATCTCTTCCCACAACTTAAGGCCGTCGCCGTCATTGGTGGCGGGTAGCCACAGGAACTCGAGCAAGACGACTTCCTTGAGGGCGGTCCAGGAATCGATCTTCAGCTTTCGCCGGTAGCGATCGATCATACCCACGAACCAGGCCCGGGTATCGCCGCCTGAGCCTGTGGCAGAGACGCCCGCGACAACCGTTATCCATAGCATGAGATGCGGGGCGTCGGACCATGCCCTCGCGGAGGTGCAGCGTGACAGGCACAGCCTGATGTGTCTGGCTAGAAGGTCAAACGGGGCCGCGGGGAGTGGGAAGACACAGAGCATGGCATAGGTGAGAGCGGCGAGGTGGCATGCTTGGAGCACCTCCGCACCGGTGGCGCAGGGTTCATCCAGGTCGGGTGTCAGAGACAGGATCCCGTGCATCACGAAACATCTCAGCTCTTCCAGCACGGCTAGACTCGGTGCCTCGGGCCGATCTTTGAGATAGTCGTCAACCGCGAGAGTGTACTGACTTAAACCCTGCAGAGCGACCTGGAGGTCCAACGACTTCAGGGAGGAATCGAAATGGTCCAGTGTTGAAAACCCTTTGCCTAGTCTGTGGAGCGGGTGGTTGGCTCTCCAGGCACGTCTCAAGGAGGCCTCAAAGTCCAGGCCGACACAGGGACTAAAAGGAAGTCGGGGTCTCTGGACCACGCGGCTGGCAAAGATGAGTTCTGCACTATAATTCAAACACGCGTCAAACTTCCCTTCGTGCAATGTTCAGGCAGACGTCTCTTACTAGCAAAGAAGTCCCCCAAGTCCAGGTAATGTAAACTTTTCAATCCCACCACGAAGTTCAATCATCTTCAAGAGCCCCTCGCGATGGATCGCGACGGCTCCGAGTGGTCCGCCGTATAGGTTGAGTAGGCGCAGGGAGTTGAGAGGGCCCTGAGCCGGACTCCGCGGCGGATCTTGCGGAGTCTGGGAGTCGAGCGTCATGGAATGGTAGGCGAGAGTGAAGACAGCGAGTAGGGTGCGATCATTGCAAGCCGTCCCGTGGTTAGACAGGGCCGTATTGACGTAGGTGACAGTCTCGGAATAGGCGTGCAGGAGCTGGTGTTCGGCGACCCGGTCTAAATGGTGCTTGTGTTTATTCCTCATGAGCTGCGAAAACATATACGCATATAGAATGCCTGCGTCGGACATGATGGTGCGCACCCATATTGCGGCAAGCTCATTCTGCCCTGAGCTGTTCGCTGGTAGTGCCTGACTGAGGGTCTCGTAGAGTTGTTTGAGGAGAAATCTGACCTCGTGATCTGTGAATAGAGCCAGCCGGGGAAACGATACAGGCAGAGGAAGGGTCAGTGTTCGCAAGAGTGCGAAAGAAGATAAGTCGAGGGGCGTTCGATGGTGTCTCTGCTCGTGCGGTTGCTGTTCCTGTTCGTTCCCCGAGAGCCATGGGCAGGCCGACATCAATGCCGCCTCCTGGTGAACCAGCCTAGACTGAGACCCGTAGTGTCCTTCCTGATGTGGAATAACATCGTGGCCTGTGGTTGGCAGACTGGTTCGTGGTGTAGGGTGACCATCGCTTCGCACAGGATGAGTAACGATTGGGATGGTGCCTTTTCGCCAACGCAGCCTGGATGCATTAGCCCTCACTGCGCTCCGAGACTGTGCCTTTTCGCTTTTTGTCTTGGGATATCCAGTGATGAACACGGGTGAAGGTCCAGGCGATGCCCTGTTATGGAGTCTGGGGTCAGCCACCGAGAAAGATAATGGGTGCAGGCCAGATGGGTCCAGCTGCCGTGTACTAGGCAACGTCGAGAGCGTTTTTTTTGTTTACTCTATTTGCCAGATCAACACTTACATGACTGTCAAGCGGCAGTTGAGACTGGTCCTGGCCTTGGGACTGATTGGTCGAGTCAACTCATCAATGCCGCTTTCGTTTCACTGCCACATCAGTGTCCATGCGCGCCTGTTATCGACCTGCCTATTCGAATGCTAAATATTGGGGCATGGACATGACTACTTTTGACCAGAGATGTAGAACTGCCTCTGCAAAGAACAATATTACTTCCGGATGACGGAGATAAGAAGCAAAAACTTGTGTCTGACGGTGATACTTGCTATGGCAAAATACACATGGCCTGACGAGTCCCCACAGACTCAAAACTCGGCCTAATATCCTGTACAGTTAGACCATCTTCCAATCTAGGAATAGTCGCAGCCACCAATAATAATATAACAACGCCCGTTGGGGAATGTACCGAGTACTAGGTAGTCAGATGAAGAGACAAGCTGAGGCGACAAGGAGAGAAACACTCATGTAATAATAATAATAATAGATCTGAATACTGGTGCCAGTATGTCAAAAGACTAATTTAGCAATATACACAACCAGGCAAATACCATTGACCTGGAAGACTATCTTGATATCAGCATCGCCCCTGCAACCCAGCCACATCACATCACATCGCATTATGGAACCAAGACTCATCCGTGCGTAAATCGACCCTTCGTTCCTCACGCCGCCAGCCAGAATTGCAGTCATTCTTTTCATGGACATCATAGATCAACTCAAAGCCCAACCGGGGCAAGCAGCAAACGAAGCACCGTGCATCAAACTCCAGTTTTCGGTGAGCAATGGACTGCGAAACCCGGTCTCCCTCAACCTTTGTCAAACCGAAGTCGCCACATGGGTTAAAGAAATCCAAGAAGCAAGGATCGCCTGCTATGGTCCAAGACGCCGCCAGCCAGGTCGGTATAGATGCAGAACGTCCACCCAGTCGTAAAAACCCTGAACTTAATGCCGGTGAGTAAAGCAGAGTCCAATATAAAGAACATCGGAAGGAATAAGCATCCCGGCCTGTTCCTTCCAGCCCTAACCTCGGCCAAGGTGAGGACTCAATCATCTTTGCTGGAACTGCATGTTTTGTTGTTGTTGCTGCTGCTGCTGTTGCTGTGCCGCCATAATCTGCTGCGCCTGTTGCATCTGCATCTGCTGCATGTGCTGAGCCTGTTGCTGTTGCAGCACCGCCGCCATGTTCGGATTGACTCCTCCTTGCATGTTCTGCATGTTCTGCATGTTCATCATTCCATTTTGCATGCCGCCACCCTGTTGCGCCATCTGCTGCCGCACCTGAGCTTGCTGCATCTGTGCCATTTGATTCATTGCTGCCTGGCGCTTCTGGATGGCTGCATGTGCAAATCTCTGAGCTTGCACTTGGACGTGTTGCATTTCTTGCGGTTGAAGCATTTGCACGTTTCCGCCATATTTCTGGGCTGCTTGTTGCGCGAAGCGTTGTGTATAGCTCTGCAGTGTTTGCTGGAACAGCTGCTTCAATTGAGGATCCACTTGGGGTCGTTGTTGGGGGTGGGGAACGCCTGTTCCCATCATCTGTCCCTGCGCTTGCGCTTGAGCTGCTTGCATCATTCGTTGCTGCTGTTGAGCATGGGCAAGTTGGGCTGCTTGCTGTTGAGGCGTCATATGATTTGGAGCTGGAGATCCGTGAGTTTGCGCTTGCTGTAGGCTCTGCATTTGAGCCTTGACATGCTCGGCGACGGATTGATTGTAGGCCTTCTGACTTTGAGCAGGGTTGGGGGACATGTGTGCGCTCTGGGGTGTCCCTTGCTGCTGCTGCTGCTGCATGGCTTGCTGCTGTTGTTGCTGCTGTTGAGCGGCTTGGCGAGCCAGTGCAGCTTGCCGATCTGCCTGCGCATGATGTTGTGCCTGCATGTGCGCCACCTGAGCAGGAGACATTTGCGGTGTTCCATTGACCATTTGCTGCATCGCTGCTTGCTGGGCTTGTGCCGCAGCCTGTTGCTGCATGTTATGTCGTCGTTGCATCTCGGCCAACTGTTGAGGATTCATTTGCCTGGGTACGCCATTTGGCATCTGCCCTTGCATTCCTGGCATCATTCCCGCAGCTACCATCTGTGGGGTAGCTCCGTGAGGGCTACCGTGGGGAACTGGCTGTGCTGGAGTATTCTGTCGCATTATTGGGGTAGCGTTCCTTTGCGCAGGGGTACCGTGAGGGATCTGTGGAGTGCCATTACGGCTTGGCCCTTGGGTACTGGGGGCCCGGGTCATAGGGGCGCTGGGGTGGCCATGCTGTACGGCGGAGCCGGGTCTTGGCGGAGATCCGTGCCCTTGTTGGGAACTAGATATCGCCATGGGTACGCCGCCTTGAGCAGCACTTGTGACAATTGGCGAGGAGGCTGCATGTGGCGTTCCCTGCCGAATGATGGGTGATCCCCGCTGCTGACCGCTCATCATTTGGTTCTGCATGTTCGGAGGTATGCCATTAACTTGTTGGGAGGAGGGTCTCTGGGCAACTTGAGGCTGCGATTGCTGTTGCTGGAGTTGCTGCTGAAGTTGTTGTTGCTGCTGCTGGGCCTGCTGTGCTGCCATTGCAGCCGCCATCTCTTGCTGACGAGCCCGCAGCATTCGGGCTTCCTGAGCACGTTGCATCATGATGCGCTTTTTCTCCTCTTCCTGCATCCGTTCTTGCTGGCCTCTTCGATTTTCATCTTCTTGTAGCTGTCGGTCTTTCTCGCGCTGCTTCCGCTCCGCGATTTCACGCTTAATACTATCGAGAGCATTGAACTTCTCGAAGCGAGGCTGGAAGAGAGCCGCTGCTGCTTGGCCATCCACGCCAGCTGCATTTGCAGCGCCGTTGGTGCCTGCAGTTCGCTCATCCATGATGAGCATGAACCGCTCTTGTTCCTTGGCATGCGCGTCATCTGCTGCAAGTTCAGCGACTGTCCGTTTCCGACTCTTTGGTGATGGCGGTCGTTGGTCATGAAGAGGATCCTTCAGCAGGGTCATCAGGCTTTCTGCTTCCTCCAGGCTCTCCACAGGTTCGAGATATAGAGGAGGGGCCGTCGCATTTACCACCCTGCCTTCGTATTCCAGCATATCCTTGGGATCAATCTTCAGCTTTATCTTCTTGAAGGGCGGCCCTTTTTCACTTGAAGGAGTCGGCGGAATGGCTGATATCGGGGTCTGTGGGACGCCACCACCGGGTGCTCGGCTATTCACGTTTGCTTGTGATTGTTTCCGATTCAGCGACTTTGGATCTGGCGTCATGGCATCAATCACGAGATCCATATGTCGCGACAGAATCGTGGGGCGCAGGGCAACGTGATAGACTCTCGGCTGCGGTTTTGATGATTTTGGTGCGACATCGATTGTATCGTCGGAGCCGGGATGTGCGCGACCATCGCTCGAGGCTTGTTCTTGTTTAAGGGAAGGGGACTTTGTAACCGATTGTTCCTTGGAAGGATATGGTGCGTAGGGTGAGGGTGTAATGTACTGATTATAGTTGTGGATGGAGAACGGCTTTTCGTCGTCTGCAGCGGCCCCGGAAGCCGCAGCGTCCTTTGCGGCTGACTTGTGGTCGACCACCCGGACAATGAGCCATCCGTCGTAGTATTTTACCTCGGACTTCCGAAACTCTTCTACCATGTCATGTGGGATCGTGCCTCTAGCCAAATGCTCAATGAAGACACGCATCTCGGAGTGGTAACTGAAACTACCATCCTGCTGGTCGAATCGGAAATGCGTAGGATGAAGGTGCACGATGAGGGAGGGCGCGCAACCTTTGAATTTGCGGAGAATATGGGATTCTTTGGGGACTGGAAGCGCAATTGTCAGTGTCGCCTGCTCGCTGGCCTAAAATGATAGGAGCATACCATAAGGCTCTGGATATTTCTTAGCAGCACGCTTGTCCTGAGATCCTCCATCAGCCGTGTTATTTCTCGTCGTTAGGCGCTGCACTCGTCGATTGGATCGGGGAGCGCCATTTGTAATTGTGCCGTTGCTGACAGCGGACGTTGGAGTCGTGCTCTGTCCAGGAAGCGTCTTTCGCGCACTGGAAGGCGAGGAAGACGGCGCTGTGGGCTTGACACCGTTCAAATTTGTTTGGACGATAGGCGCAGGAGGTTTTTTCATCTTAGTTGCCGTCCCCGCGGGCTTCGCCATGACCGCAGCCATGATGGCGCTCCACCGGACGCGATCAAGGTTTCACGGTCTCCCATACACTGAGATCGTTACTCCAAAGGAGTCGAAAGCTCATCAAAAGCTCCTCGGCCGTGATGCGACGCAGTTTGGCAAACGCGCATCATGAGGGGCAGAGGTCGGTCGGTGATTACTTCGGAGGGGTTCCGGAGGTATAGTGACTGGATCTCTGAGATTGGAGGGCTCGAGGGATCACAGAGGTCAAGGGAATAGAGTATAAAGGATCAAAATAGATGGAATCGTGGGCATGGGGGTTGTTGGTGATACCCGTTGCCATCATCGTCGAGGTCGCATTAAGGTCAGGACGCACTTCTCTTGGCGTTCACCTGCTCACGTGCCTCCCTCCCTTAATGATGCTGCTTTAGAGCCCTCTATCCCCTGGCCGAAGTCAACACCTTTCACGTTACTCGCTATTCTTTAGGATGGGCTGACTTCTACGACTTCGAAACTCGGGCACCTTTCTTGAATAGATGCTCTGGTTCTCTTCTACGTACACTCTTGTCTATGCTATGGAAACGCCAAATCTTGGTGTTTGATCATGCGGGCGTAGTGTGCCGCTCCTGGAAGACCAAAGTTTATGACCATTTCTCCTCTTCCCCCCCTCCAAGTCAGACTTTTTTTCCATATCAAAGATGCCTGGAAGATCGAGTTTACTGTGCAGGTGTACCCGCAGTTAACTTTGTTGTATTCGGGGACGAGGCAGCTAAATCTATCCAGTAAGCAACCCAAACAGCAGATCGCTCGAACATCCTCTCGCCTTCGGTCTTGACCACGGGACGCCGCAGAAGGTGTATTGATTCAGAAACAAGAAAGCATCTCAACCCTTGGACATGTTTGATCCCTTCACCTCATTGTTACTGATACACGGGTCAGCGAATGCTCGGAAGAAACTTCGTTCTCAAGTGTCCTCTTGAAGTCATCTGAATACCTAACCCACTAGAATGCTCTCCCCAGGTCCCAGGGCTATACCATCTCCCTCATGAGCGGGTTCATCTTAACAAAGGTGGAGATATCGACAGATAATGTGGTTGAGCAGGTGGCCATGTCTGGGAGACGGCTCCTTCTGCCACAACTATGCAAACCCTTTGGCGAAACAATAGCTTGAGACACTCTATATATACGTGATTCGAGTATTTTACTTGAAGATCACGCTGGTGACTGTGGTGTTATTGGTACCAGCCGCAAATCTTGCAGTCGGGATTTGATGCTGCTGAAACTTGCCCTGGACGATGCCTGAAAAATTGAAGGAGGCTACCTGCACATTTCTCGTTCTCCAATTGATCTTTGTCAATGTTGCCGCTTATAGTGGCCGTTGAGTCGTAGACTGAGCTGCAGCGAACGACATTGCGGCAGAACACTCGATCACGACCTGGTCGCTCTGAACGCTTCAGAAAGTTGCAAAATTTACGTGCCGAGCGCTATCAGCTGTGGTCTGACCAGTGTGAGGAACAAGTCTGTCGTTGTGCTTCTGCAGGGCTCGCGACAGAAACTCTACGCAGCTCCTGGCAGTAGGGAATGTATCGACCACAATCACAATCTCAAAAGATCCATCGATGAATACAACACCATGTGTTCTGCATTGTGCGACACCGGACCTCTCCACTTGCAACGCATCAATTTGACAGGCGAATTGGTATCTCAGGCAGCGCGAAGGGTCTGTCCAGGTGAAAAACACCCTCTTTGCCCTCTAGACGTAGCCCTCCACAGCCCCTGTAGTAGCGGATCGCAACGGAGGTAGGCTCACAAAGCACTTTAGGACATTGGAACTTCATCCACTTTGAAATGAGCCTCTCGAACATTCCCACCAAGACTGGGTTTCAGACAAAGTGGTAACGACTGTGCGCTAGTCTGCTTGATGTTTCGCTCTGGAGCCAAACTGTGCAACAATAACTGGAGTCTTTGGCTTGAGAGTATTTCCACTCATGATCCAATTGCAACTGGGGCTACATTACATTCGAGCGGTATGCACGCAGGTCAGGAGCAAATGCGCCGAGAAGACCTATAAACTCTGAAAGGAATTGAAAAGTCGCGGTTACCGAGTGACAGAACGAGTTAGGCACCCAAGAGATGGCCTAACGATCCCCCCCAGCACGACTGCGGGCTTCACCTCGGCCAGCCCAGGTTGATGTCGGCAGTTCAAAGCTGCCATCCAGAGCGGACTTCTCCCGCCTTGGGTTGAATGCGTCGAGGCTCTGGCTTTAAGAAGATTAGGGACAATCATTTCCCCGATTGCTGTCAATGTCAGTAATTTTGATGAGATACATGTATCCATACACCTCATTTATATGGTTGAACATTTTACATACTTCTTGGGCTTGTTACCGTTAATCTCCGAGAGTTGCGACGATGGATGACAGTCACCTGCCCAACATTCTCCTGCGGCAGGAAACAATCCTTCAGCATGACGAGCACGACAAAGTCCGTGTCCTTCGAGATACCGATCTCTTGATTCAAGGGGAGAAAATCGCCCAGATCGGTAGAGATTTGGTGGTTGGACCAGATACCAAAATCATAGATTGCAAAGGCAAGGTGGTCTCGCCTGGTTTTGTCGATACCCATCATCACGTCTGGCAGACCCAACTGAAAGGAAGGCACAGTGACGACAGTCTTCTCGACTATACTGCAAAAGGGAACTGGCAACCGTTCAATTATACTGCGTGCGACGTCTTTTGGGGTGAACTGGGCGGGTTAATGGAGGCCATTGACGGAGGTACGACATGTGTTGTCGACCATGCTCACATGGCGTACTCGCCGAGTCACGGCTTTGCTGCTCTTGCTGCCACTCTCAGTTCTCAGATAAGATCGGTTCTATGCCTCAGTGTGACGCCTCGGCTGAAAAGATGGGATACTGAAGTTGTTCCGGATAGTCAGATCCTACCTGATTGGTTTTTCCCTTTGCTGCGAGAGCTTCAGCAGAAAATTCAACGGCAAGATGGAAGAGTGGATATGGGATTGGGGTTTGACTCTTACAATCTGCCCCGCGAGGACGTGGTACGCATATTCGAAACCGCCCGGGATATTGGGGTCAAGGTCATCACCTCCCATTGGCGAAGAAATAATATTGCCGGTAGGCCCAGACGTTCCGACCGGCACACATCTTGTTCGATCTCATTGACTTCGGCACAGGCATGGGTCTCTCCGTGCCCAAAGCGTTAGAACAATGCGGACTTCTCAAATCCGACATTATATTGTCCCATGCCACGGGATCAACTGAGGAGGAGCTCGAAATTTTGAAACGTTCGGGAGCATTCATTTCCGCAACACCTGGGACAGAGTCCCAGATGGCTCATGGCGAGATAATCGGATTTAGGAATGATGTGCGAGGCTCTATAGGAGCCGACTGTGGGTTCAGAGACGGTTGTCTTGTCTTTGGCTTCGACACTAATGAGACTCGTGATAGGTCACTCGAACAATCCTTCATCCTTGCTCCATGCGATGCAGGTCGGTCTCGCTGTATCACGTTCCCATCGCAACTCTCGAATATTGGCGGATGGAAAATTCCCCCGAAAGATCGAGCCTACGACAGAACACGCCTTCAATCTGGCAACCATCCGGGGTGCCCGCGCCGCAGGTGTAGCAGATAAAGCCGGCAGCCTGAGAGAAGGTAAGGCAGCAGATATCATTGTGATCGACGGTAGCACGCCAGCCATGTGTTGTGCCTTTGAGCATGATCCATTAGTCGCGGTCGTCAGACACGCTGGGGTGCAAGAAATAGAAACTGTTATCGTGGGGGGAAAGATCCTCAAAGAACAAGGTCGACTGGTCAAGGTCCGCTTCAATGGGCCGGAGGTCTGGGATCGCAGCGACGAAGTCCTCTCGGTATTCGAACATGAAAGCATCCCTTGGTCCACGGTAGCAGAGCAGCTGCGGAGCACGAGACGCGATATTCAGAAGAGGATTGATTCTTGCGATATGGATGTTGCAAAGGGCGAGATTCTCAAGCTTTGGGGTTCAAAGACTGGCGAGGATATACTTGTGTAGGTCCAGAAGTCACTATACGACTTCTAGATATAGAATGTAAGCGGTGAAACTAGCATTCTGCAGTGGTAACTATCCTGCAGGCAATCATGGCATAATCACTGAGTTGTATTCCAGGATGGGAAGCTGAAGCCGAGACTCCGTTAAAGTTACGCTTATGCTGGTTAAGCATCGCCTCTAGGGCCATTAATTACTACAACTTTACTCCACAAATCGCCTGCCACCATAATTCCCGCACTATCGACTTGGTTTTCTCCGTCATGTATGGAGTACTCGCTGAGGAAGGGCATCACAGATCCTGTACCGAGTGGTCTACGTTGCTACTGTCCTCTTGTGCCCAATTACGTACTTATACTCAAGCTATCTACACAAAATACCCGCACACTTCCCCAGCGGAAAGCTAAGGCCTATCCTCGTGGGGTAGGATTTCGCCAGCATCTCGTGCTTACCCAGTCTAATCGAGCACGCCATCTAGCGGCGAAATTCTGTTGTCGCATTGCGATTTTTGCGACTTCAATCCTTTCATCCAGTTGATCATCTCATGCTCACTGTATCCCATTTCCAGGCGGTCTGCCAACTATCACATCCTCTTTACCAGATGACATGGCCGAAACAACACAGGATGTTGGCAAGCAGGTCGGGAGCAGTATAGAGCCAGCGGTTCGCTCTCCACCCTACATCACAGGAGGTCCTTCGTCCCTTGATGAGAGTGACTTTGTGACGGTCACAGAGGATCGCGAGCTCAGGCGAGGTCTTCATCAGCGCCATGTGTCTCTCATCGCCATCGCTGGAGCCATTGTAGGTTTCACCGCTTCTCTCGCCTCATTTTCCATCACAAACTGACCCTTGGGTAAAGGGCACAGGTCTCTTTCTGGGACTCGGAGGATCTATTCAGACCGCTGGGCCCCTTGGAGCACTGTTGGGCTACACTACTATCGGTGTGGTTGTGTGCGCGGTGCAGTTTGCGCTGGGGGAGGTGACGGCTCTGTTACCTGTTACTGGCTCCTTTGTCCGACATGCAGAACTCCTCGTCGATCCTGCGTTTGGCTTCGCAATAGGGTTTGTCCTTCCGACGTGCTGAGCAGCATGCCATTCTGATACGTGTTGAATAGATACAACCTGGTGTACGGCAATTGTCTCTCCATCCCGGCGGAAATCACCGCAATCTGCGTTCTCTTCCAGTACTGGACCGACATCAACCCTTCACTTTGGATAGTGATCTTCATCGCCCTGACCGTCATCGTCGGGCTTTCTTTCATCGGCATCTATGGCGAGGTCGAGTTCTGGTTCGCGCTCCTCAAGATCCTGTTCATCGTCTTCCTGATTGTGCTCGGATTGGTCATCGACCTCGGTGGAGTTCCAGGCACGCCTCGTACCGGCTTCCGATACTGGAAAAATCCAGGCCCGTTCGTCGAGTTCATCGCCGCTGGCTCGTGGGGCAAGTTTCTCGGTTACTGGGCCGTCATGAGCAACGCCGTCTTCAGCTTCGCGGGCACGGAAAGCATTGCCATGGCCGCGGCCGAGACACGAAACCCGCGCGTGGCGATTCCAAAGGCCTGCAAGCGGGTTTTCATCCGTGTTTCGACCTTTTACGTCCTGGCTGTGCTCATTGTAGGCATGCTTGTGCGAAGCGACGACCCCAGACTTGATGATGAGTCGGGCACTGCCGCGCAGAGCCCATTCGTCATCGCCGCCAGCGCGGCAGGCCTCAACGGCGTTCCATCACTGGTGAACGCCATTGTCATCACTTCTGCATGGTCCAGCTCGAACCAAGCGTTGCTTTCCGGCACCCGTGTCCTGTATGGCCTGGCGCTCAAGAACCAGGCCCCCAAAGTCTTCCTGCGGACCACACCGTGGGGTGTCCCCTACGTTTGCGTGCTTTTCTTCGCCGCCTTCATGTTTCTGGCATTCATGAGCTTATCTGATGGCGCCCTCACCGTTTTCTGGTGGCTTGTGGATTTGACGGCCTGTGGTGTGCTGATCTCGTGGATCTCGGTGCTGTTGAACCATTGGCGACTGCTGCAGGCCTTTGATGCACAGGGACTGGAATTGAAGATGCTTCCATGGCATTCGAGATGGACCGGTACGTGGGCCACCCTAGCTCCTGTTCGCTCGAGACTATATGCTGATCTCCTTCCTTTCGCACAGAATTCTCAACCCCAGCAGCACTCTTCTTGTGCGTGGTGATCCTCCTCACAGCCGGCTTCCCCGTCTTCACCAAGGGGAATTGGTCGACCAGCGGCTTCATCTCATCATACCTGTGAGTTCATTCTCTCCTCTAGAAGAAATATCTTGTGTCGATCTATCAACCCGCTGACGTTGCTCTCAAAGGGACATCCCTCTCGTCATCACGGCATATGTCGCTTGGAAGTTATACAAGCGGACCAAGATTGTGAAGCTCTCGGAGATTCCTCTCGCAGAGGCCCTCGCGCGCGCGGCTGAGGATGTGGAGCCAGAGCCGAATATGCCCAAGTGGCGGCAGGTGGTGGGGTTTCTTTGGGACTAGTTACGTAGACCGTTGCCGTGGAGAAGGATATCCTCAAGAAAGATCGTATCGTCCATATTAATTACACGATCTATCACACAAAAATGGGACACGCATGACGATAATTCCGCTAGCTGAGGATGTTGTGACCTCAGAAAGATCAAGGGTCTGAGACGCATCCATTTTGCAGCTCAAAGGACAAGCCACCCACCAACTTCTGCAGATTCAAGGACGTGGTTTCCTATCCTCCTCCCCAGCTGCGCGGTCTCGGACCGGAACCACCGTTGCTGCTTGGGATCGACTCGCTCGATGCTCGCGGCGAGGGTCAATTGCCACACTACCAGAGCCGCGAGAGAGGGCTTCATGTCCTTGTCAGACTTTGCCGTCGCCAGAGTCTCCGCGTCTGAGGTTTGCGACACCTCGAGTCTGCCCAGCGCAAATGGGATGGTAAAAGCCAAGCGGTCTGCCATGGAGTTGAGAAGGATCGACGATTCGAGCCATTCGCTCTGTCCGTATTGAGAGCCAAGATATGAAGGTCGGCGAGCTATGTCAAGTAATTTGAGGCGTGTGCTGTTGATCAGCATTCTCGCGGCAAAGTATTGGCTCCAGACGCTGGCTTGGCCTACTGTCTGGAAGTTATAGGCTGTTGGAGAGTAGAAGTGTCGCTTGGGCCATGGACCGGGGTCTGTGAGAGTGTGTCTCTGATAGGACCATGTCGGAGGTAATGACTTGGCCCAGTCGCGTAGTGATTCGTCATACCCTCGCGCCTGACCGAGAAGTGCTAACACCGCGGACGGTGATAGTCCATCGTTCCGCTGCAGAAGAAGCCCGGTGTCATGATGCAGATTGACAGCACCGACTAAAACACGGTCAAACACCATCTCACGGTCCTGCTCGCCGAAACGCTCGCCCTCGAGTATCCAATTCGGTAAAGGGATTTTTCGAAGCAGAGAAGATCTGATCAGCCCTCGCCGGCCGAGTTTGACGATGGGTGTTACTCGGGGTTGATTGGGGCGCTGTACCCAGGCCTTCAACACAGCGAGAGCCCCTTCATGGTGGAAGTATCTCTGTAGCGACTCAGACACAGTAGAACTAGTCGGCGGCATCGCGGCCTCGTACCGGCCCATGAGGAACATAGTCAGCAAGCAGGCGTCGATCTCATTGGAATTATCCCAAGACGCAAGCTCCATATCCGTGATGCGCTCTTTCAACAATTGCAGAAGGACGGAATATTTGGCTGCTGCTTCAGCCCCAGCTTGTGGATGCTGTTTGACCCGCGAAAAGACAGCGAGTGAGGCGGCCGATAGAGCCAGGTCAACCATCGTAGACTCGACCCCAGAGCCTTTCCATACGCCGACGTACGTACAAAGGCTTTGGACGACGTCTGGGACATCATCTGAAACAAATACATGGTCTTGGAGATAGTACGCGACGGCACGTGCTTCGAGGTCGAAACGTGGGCGGAGCGAGGTCAGGCACGATCGCGGGCCCCTCGGTCGTTTGACCTTGCCGCTCGCGTAGGCATTCTCGAGGTTGAACACAAAGCCGGGCTGCTCGACCACACTGGCGAAGAGGCAGATTTTCCCGGACCCTGAGCACCGCAGACATGTCGGCTTGGTTTCGTCACACTGAATCTGTGTCAGCGGGTGGGATCGGTCGCCGTCAAAGGGGTGATGGCCGACCTTGACCCTTCGAATCTTACAAGTTTGACACGCCCTGCTTGAGAATGGCATTGGACATGGATCGGTCTGAAGAGATGGAGAGAGTTCTAGACGTAATTGCTGGCTTTTGACAAGGAGGAGCGATTCAGATGGAGGCTTTTGCCGTGCTCGAAAAGTTTCTCCCGGTTGGGCTTAGCTCAGAGTCGAGGTCCGGGGCCCACATTAAGGTATTTCCCAATCGGGATTAGTTTTGCTTTCCGACTCCCCTTGGTACACCATGATTCTCAATAGCATTTTGACATAGAAAGCTTCTAGGAAGTGATTCCTCGAAAAAGGAGAATCTTTGCGCTGCCTGAATTTTGTATTTCTCAGCTCTTACAAATATATGGAGAAGTCTGAGCCGAGTGACGGCTGTTCGCAGAGATGTTTGTCAAAATCATCAGGATGTACGAGAGTCATGTTGTCTATATATGTGCCTTGCTCCCTCGGGAAGGCATCTTACACAGATGAAATCTTTCAGAGTCTCAGCGACTAACACTGTACCTTTCCTCCATCTTTTGACAAGGTTTCCAGGATGTCTTCTCCACTGAAACCCATAAAGCTCTGGGGCGAACCTGCGACTGCAAATCCGGCAAAAGTCGCCATCATTTTAGAGGAACTGCAGATCCCATACGAAGTCGTCCCGGTCCCTTTATCCGATGTCAAGAAACCCGAATACGTCGCTATCAACCCCAACGGGCGTCTACCGTCTATCCACGACCCTAACACCGGCATCACGCTATGGGAGTCTGGTGCCATTGTCGAGTATCTCATCGAAATATACGACAAGGAGCGCCGACTGAGCTTTACCTCCGGAACAACCGAGTTCTGGCTCGCTAGGCAGTGGCTCTACTTCCAGGTTTCCGGACAGGGCCCGTATTACGGCCAGGCGGGTTGGTTCAAACTGTTCCATCCGGAAAGGCTACCCAGTGCTCTTGATCGCTACTTGAAAGAGATTGAGAGGGTGGTAGGGGTGTTGGAAGGGCATTTGGCTCGACAGAAGCAGGAGAGCGCTGGTGGCGATGGGCCGTGGCTTGTTGGCAATAAATTGTCTTATGCTGACATTGCCTTTGCTCCCTGGCAATACACGGTCGGCAAGGCCTTTACCAAGGACGAGTTCGACCAGAGCAAGTATCCGCTGGTGGACGAGTGGTTTCACAAGATCGCAGCTCGAGCTGCCGCTAGGAAAGTGTGGGACAAAGCTGAGAGTGCTGACTGAGGAGTGTCGGCTCTTGAGGGAGGAGAGATTGGAGTCTTTGCAGATATACGAGAAGGATACCATACTACCACCTGCTGCACTCAAAGAAGCTGCAACTTGACCTCCAGTATATTGAATGGCATTCGATGAGTGCTGCACCTCTTACACTTTTTGATCAACGAGTAAGTACCTGAAAGCGCACCTAGTAAGCCGTCGGCCAACGGCCGCCGCCCTCCCGACGGCCGAATAGACGACGGTGATAAGCGACATCTATAGCGCGCGTGTACGACTGACGCTGGAGATGTCCGACGAAACAATAGAAAGATCGGGCTGTTGTTCGCAGTGTATAGGACGAATAGATCTTCTCCGTTGACGTCGTTTCTTGGAGCGATATATGTGCATGGCCGAAACGAGCCAGAGTAGTTGTTGTATAAATCTCCGCGTCTTCAAGGATGGCGGCGGCGGCGGCGGCTGCGGTCGAGATTCTCAAATTTCCCACATCGTCACCAGCGGACACGACGCCTCTGGAGAGACTGAAAGAGGCTGGCTGTGACGCATCCCAGATCTTAGCTGTGGTTGGCAAGACCGAAGGTATGTATTGGCCCCTTCCCCCGTCGTTTCGTCTAGCACTCTCCGTCCCTGTCTTGAAGAGCCAGCCCTCCAACACGAAAAGGGAGGGAACAAGGGGATACAAGTTATCAGACAGAAAACGCTGGATGCTGACTAGCATCACTACTTTCTCTAAGGAAACGGCTGCGTCAATGACTTTTCCCGCACGCTCGCGTCTACCGTATGGGAATCACTGATCCCTCATGACGCCGTGACCATCTTTTCCGGCGGGACCGAGGGCGTGCTCAGCCCGCACGTCACGTTCTTCGTGCGCGCCCGCGATGGCCAGCGCACGGGCCTCGTCGCCTCGATCGGGCGCACGCGGGTTCTGGAGCCTTACGAGGTCGGGACGCCAGAACATGCCGTGCAGGTCGCGCAGACGGTGCGCGGGATGATGCACGCCGCATCCCTCGCGGCGGGGGACGTCCATCTCGTCCTCGTCAAGTGTCCGTTGTTGACGTCGGCGAAGATCGAAGCCGCTCGCGCTCAGGCCCGCGTACCCGTCACGACAGACACGTACGAGTCCATGGCCAGGTCGCGGTACGCGAGTGCCGTGGGGATCGCGTCCGCGCTGGACGAGTTGCCGGACGGTAGCCAGCTCGAAGACGTCCTGGCGTCACAAAACACCTGGAGCGCGAAGGCGAGCTGCAGCAGCGGCGCAGAGCTGGAGGATTGCCACGTCCTCGTCCTGGCGACGGATCCGGCTGCGGTGGGAGGAGGGCCGACTTACAACCTGCACGCTCTGTCGCGGTATATGGCAGACGCGATCGACGCGGCCGCCATTCTTGCCCTTCTCGAGACGGTAAAGAGGCACAACGGCACCGTCGTCCAGGTCTTTGCAAAGGCCGAGGCCGATCCAAGCGGCCACGTCCGCACGTGGCGCCATACCATGAACACGGACAGCGACATCCACAGCACCCGCCACGCCAGGGCAGCGGTCGGGGGCTTGATCGCCGGGCTGGTCTCTGATTGTCAGATCTACGTCAGCGGAGGGGCGGAAGGGCAAGGGCCAGCAGGCGGCGGGAGTCTGTGTATCGTATATAGAACTGAATAGAACTACTTCTTGTATCTTGTCTTGGACTAGGACTCATTCCTGCGTGGTGAGAGGCTCTTGCCTGGGAGGCCGTCTGTCTTGCCTTGCTTTACCTTGTCTGTCCCACCATCCTCGCTCCCAATCTGTCTGATTGTCCATTTCAAGTCCGTTGTAATCTCGCTCATTTGGGTTGATAACCAACAAGGACGAATCTCCTCGTATGTCGGTTTTCCTTCCTCTTCGTTTTCGTCTTCGTCTTCATCTCCATCTTCATCTTCGTGCCGCATTCACGTTGACGTTGACGTTCATCGGCCGTGTCAATCCGGCACTCCCATACATCTCCAGCTCTACCGTGACCCCCTCTCGCGAATTCTGACCATCAACGGATCCCTGATCCTGGCAAAGAAGAAACTTCTCGACACAGGGATTTCGGGCAATTTCTTGGCGGTGTTGGTGTCGGAGGTGATAAGCTCGACGTCAAAGTACAGCAGGAGTGTGCCGACGAGTTTGACCAGCTACAGCCCCATGGAAGAGTTGTGCGTTAGTTTGGTAAGTGCTAGGCAAGGCTGCGGAGGCAGGTGGTCGAATCTGGAAAATGGGGAAGGGAGTGGGAGAACTCACCTCCATCATGGCGACGTTCTTGCCGATACACTGCCTCGACCCGTGGCCAAAGGGCATCCAGTACCGCTGCATCTCTTCGGGAGTGATCCCGCCAGACCCGTGAACCCAGCGGTCGGGGTTGAACATGGCAGCATCGGGACCGAACGTCTCCTGGTTCAGATGGACCGGCAGGGCGGACATTCCGACGATTGTCTAACAATTTCCCTGAGCGACCAGGATCGCAAATACCATTTCCGAATATAAAGGGCTGTAACATACCTTGGCAGGGAAATACGTCCCGGCAACGACACGCCCTCCCTCTGGCACGTACCGCGGGAGGTTGATCGTCGCCGGGGGAGTCAGTCGCAGACTCTCCTTGATCACGGCTTGCAGGTACGGCAATTTGCCAAAGTCGGCATATGTCGGGGGTGTCTCGTCGGTTTTGTAGTCGCGTTCGGGAAACGCGGTTCGCAGCTCCTTGGTCAGGGCTTCATAGACGGCGGGATGGCCGAGAATGTGATAGAAGGTATAGCTCAGGGCTGACGATGTGGAGTCACTCCCCGCGACGCTGCGTCGACTGGGTTAGTAGGAGGTCGGATAAAGATAAAAACAGAAACGTACATGCTGGAGAAAGCTTCGGTCCGCAAATCAATCGAGTCGAGCATTTGACCGGTCACCGGATCCTTGGCCTCGATGAGTCTGCCGAGAAGATCTTTCCGGTCGCTGACTTTCTCCTGTCTCCGTTCGACGCGAGACCTCGTGAGCTACAGGGGATAGTTAGCCAGTTGCACACACTGCGGGGTTCTTGTTTGGCTGTTTGACCTCCTTCAACCTCTCACGACCCGCTTGCAGACTCTGCAGCCACGGAATGGGCAGCCAGGTCCATTTGGTATATGGAATCAGGGACGGCATCATTCCAATCGTCGACCCAAACTCCATCTGGTTGTTGATGAGACGGATATGTTCGTCCTCGACTCCTGTTTCGAGCATGCCGAATCCCTCGCTAAACGCCTACAATCGCCCAACAATCAGTCACACGTCTCTGGGACAGGCACAACCGGACGTCTGAGACATACCAACTCTCCGATCACATCGAAGGCGAAGAAGTGGCACCATTTCCCCAGGTTGACCTCAGCTCCAGACTTTGCAAACGCCGACATCTTGCTCATAAAGATCTGGAGACGCTCCTGGACAAACTTCTCCATGGACTGGAGTGCATTCATGCTGTACCCGTGCGACACGATGCGTTTGCGCTGGGCATGCAGATACGGGTCTCTTTGACCAAAAATGGTCGGTCGGAAGGCGGTAAACGCACTTTTCCCAATCCTTTAGCGTTGATAATCTGCATTGAGCATCCATATACTTACTCGTAGTATGTTGTCTGTCACGGTCAGATACTCGACATCGTTTCGGGCCAGCTGCTCACATACCTTCAAAAAGTCTCTGCCTTGGACGGTGTTGTATATCTCGCGAATCGCCGACTTGTCAGATATAATCACCTCGTTCGGCGCGATGCGGACGATGGGTCCGTATTGTTCGTGCAGGGCCAGAATTGTCTCGTGGAAATTGCCGTTGTTGAATGCCAGTAACTTCCAAAGCGGGCTGAGTGACGCCCAGAACGGTCCGTTGACCTTGGCCAAAGGCGACAGCCATCGCTGGTAGACGATGAATGCAAAGGTGCATACGACTACACCTGCCACAGGAATCACCCAAGAGAGGTGACGGACGAAATCAACGACTTGGGAAGCCACAGAGGCCGCTTGTCCATGCATTCTGAGGGTCTTTGGGTCCCGTGTACACTTTGTTATCGCTTGTTTTAGTGGTCTCCGATGCTTTTTAATATGCCGAGACATGTTGCAATGGGGGTGTCCTTCTCCTCTTCCATGGTGTCGGTTCCCAGCCGCGGCTCCCACGGCTCCATTCCGATCGGATACTTGCAGGTCCATGCAGCCTTGAAGATCCCACGTTGAGTCGTCGCTTAGTCTCCAAAAAAGTGGCAACAAACTCCAAGAAAGTTGGAGACTCCGCATCAGCCGTTTTGTAATCTAGCATGAGGCAGGGCTCTTTGCTGCATGGTAGAAGCGGACTTTCTGGTCATAGGGGATCAAAGCCGGACCAATCAGCCGAAAGAAGATCCCTCGGAAGACCAGTTCCAAAAAGCAAGTCGTCAAAGTCGATAAGATCCGAGCTGAGCATCAATTGACCCTCGTCGTGTGGTCGCTGCAAGGGAGTCCTGTCTGCCGGCGGCAATGCCGGGTCCGAATTATCCGGATGGTGCTGTGTTAGATGGCCTTGACTGGAGGGCTGGCCGGGAAGGGGAGTCTCCCGACCACTCGCTTGAGTCTGGATGCGCTCGAGCAGGATCAGATACCTCGATGCCAGCGTGCTGGTACTGCTGGCTACCTTTAAAAATTCCATGCCCAGCTCCAGGGTTTCGTCCAGCCCGATCTGACCCAGCGCTTCTAGCTTCCATCTTTCCATCGTCTGTAATGTCAAGAGCACTCCGATAGCAGTAAATACGTCTGTAGATATTAGTCGGGAGTCAGGGTGCGTGGGTGGTGTCTTACAGTGGAGATTGTACCACAGAGAATTCAGCAGGCCCCGACGATACTGAGAGTAGATGACCCTGATGGTCTCGCGAGCAGCCAAGATGCAACGGTTGCACGAGGCAATGGCAACGTCTCTGTGGAAACTGTCTTCGATTTCTTGTCGACTGAATATCAGAAATGACTGGCGATGGAGCAATAGCCGGACATTCAGAAACCTGCACACTAGGTCAGTGACTCCTTCGATAGTCCTGTAGTGGCTGGCGTACCGAATGTACATGACATTACGCTGTCGCTGGAAATCAGGGCCATCCGGATAGTCAGGCTCCTCTTTCAGATGGGATGGGTTGCCATTCCACCAGGACAGTAGTTCCCCATCCAAGAGCACCGAGTGACCAAATATCTCGGTGAAATGATCCTGCTTGTTAGGAGACGGCACCGTCGAAGTCCACGGTTTTGTCGACGAAGAGTAGAGTTTGAGGAGGACGCTGTCGATGATATGTGCGAGTTTGATCGTCCGAATGAAGAAGGACGTCAATGACGGACGATTCGCAGGCTGTCGAGGTGTAATCGAGTCATTCATGATATATTGATCGTCGACCGGCAACGGAAGCTCGACATCTGACGCATTCCCCGTGGGAATGGAAGGCGGCCTGCCAAATTTCATGCTCAAAGTCCGGTCAATCACGAAGCAACCCCACCACACGCGTTTTCTGACTTCTCTTTCAACCGCCGACATGGCGGGGGAAGGGTTAAGATGGAGACCGATGCTGATGGAGGTTCTGATCATGAGTCCGCTCAGGCTCCAGCATTCAGTCAGCTCCAGAGTGCCTTGGAGGTAGTGGCACATCAAAAGTAGGGCCTGGACGAGCTCCAAATTGCCTTCCTTGAAGATATGCGCAAACACAATGTTTCGAGCCCGGACAAGAAATCGCGTGGCCGAATGTGAGGCGCTTCTCCCTTCGATGGGATCATGAAACTCGCATCCATGAACGAAAATGAGATTGAGAACCGCCAGCCAGGTGGCTTTCGTGTCAGAGTGATCCCCGTCGCTGGTCCACATTCGTTCGTATTGGGTTCTGAAGCTCGGCTCGTGAACAAAGGGGTAGAGACGATGCACATGGTTGAAGTACAAGTCCACAAGGCTGTCTGCAAGATCTTTCGAGGGAAGTTCGTACGTGTCCTCGCCGTCTCGGGGAGTCAGGCCGGGATCGAGGCTGTGAGTCTGAGAACTTCGCGAACTCGATAGGCGGCGGCGCTTATTCGCGGGCGTGAGGCCTTGTCGCGGTGCATTCGTCGTTTGAACCTTGGAGACGAAGGCGAAGGTCGACGACTCTCCGAAGAACGCCTCGGGTTCTTGAGGTTCTGACGGACTAGTGGAAAGGGGCGTCTGGACGCTTGTAACTTTGCGCTGGATTGTGACATCGGCGGCGGAAGCGGCGGCGGCATCATCATCGTCGTCGTCGTCAAAGTAGGGAGCTTGTTGAACCTGTTCCACACCTTCGCTGACAATTCCAACATTGCTTCGTGTCTTGAGGTCTACCAGCGATCTGAGCCTGAAAAGGAGTTAGACATGGGTTGAAATACAACAGGACATCCGGCTCTTTACTCGTCAATGCTGAGCTCGTCCACCAAAGAGGGATAAATACAGCGAACCCCTCGACTCTGGCAGGACGAACAGTCTGGGCGACCTCCATCACACCGATTTTTCCTCCTTCGGCAGCTCGTGCATGCTTTCCCAGAGGCCAGTCTCTTCTTCAGTGGTGGATCCGTCATATTAAAGGGAATAGAATGGCTCTGATACCGTGTTTGAAAAAGCACCGTGCTTGGGCCGGGATGGTCTCTGTGCTGCTATAGATATCCATTCACCCGGTGTTTCGCCTGTGGTTAATGTGGTGGAAGAGGATGTGATGGTAACAAAAGCAAATGCAAAACCCCGCCAGAATTCAAGGATTGAGAATCCGGGGAAAATGCGGCACTTTGGGGGCTGCACGTGACGGGATCAATGCATGGGGCCGAGATGAAAGACCAGGTTCAGGAGGGTTTCTTGTCAGATTGTCAGAGAAGATGATGTGTTTCTACGTTTCTCTTAATGTGCTGTCTATTCATATTTCATGGACTACATAGGGCGAGTACACCTTGATCAACCAGAAGAGTCCTAAGAGGAGACACGTGGAGGTACCCCCTTGTTCAGAATATCCATCGTTCTACTCACTGATATTCCCTGGCATTCGTAAGTAGCCGGTCATTGAACCCGGTCAACCACGGTATGTAGATCTCTGATGCCGTATCAAGCCCTAAATGTGCTTCCAGCATGCCCAAATACTCGCACAAGGTTAGATATCCTTGTGGAACTGTGGCTGACCGATGCGCTTCCTCCACTCTTCACCCTTGAATATCAGAACAACAATCCCCATGGATGTCACCGCCGTTAGTAGAGCAAGGGTAATCCAAGCCCACTGGATGGTGATCTCGTTGGCGAACGGGAGACTGTAGATAGTCAGCCTGAATCTCTGCAACTCTAGAATCAAGAAAGGAACTCACGCGTAAAAGCCGAGAGGAAACGCAAATGTCTGCCGCCAAAAGTTGTACAGGCTGCTGATCTCTCCCGACTGCGGCTTGTAGCAGTCGCTGCAGTAGGCATAGCTGACCGTGGTCACCAGCTGCAGGCCGAAGCTGGCGATCGCCATTCCCATCACAGGGCCCATCCAGTGGGTCTTGTGGTACAGGCAGACGCCGTAGATGATGATTCCTGTGGGGCAGAGCAGGAGGCTTCCAAGAGACGCGGGCAGTCGGGCTTCAGGCTTTCTCTCTCCTCCGTGTTTCTTCGCATATCGGTACATGAACCAGTCCGAAAAGGGTCCGGAGAGAAACTCCCCAAGAGCCGAGCCGATCAGCAGGGGGAGGCCGAGCATGAGTCCAATAGCGCCGGTCTTAAAATGGTAGATCTTGGTGAACAGAATGGCGACTGTCACTGCTGGTAGGATGGAGGAGAAGGCGAACGAGACAATGTAGTAGAGACACGTCAGGAACACTGAGGGATAGTACATCATCTCAAAGGGTCGCACGAAATCTCGCAGGTGGACTCGTCGGTCTCGGAGCGCGTTTCTGCGGAAGCTGAAGAGCATCTGCATGTAGGTCCTCTCTTCGTGCTGTGCGAGCACCTTCTCGGAGCGAGAGAACAGCGTCTCAGGCATGGCGAAGACCATAACCACAAAGGTCACAGAGTTGACGATGGCCGGGAAGTAGTATGCCCATCGAACCCCGGCTGTCTGTACCAGGTAGCCCCCGATGACTGGTGCAACATGGGCCCCGTTGGTCAAGAAGACAGTAAAGATGCCCATCTTCAAGCCTCTCTAAATCTTGTGTTAGTATGTGTTCGAACCGGGGGATTTCCAGTGATTGTGCTACGGTACCTCATGCAGAAAGAACAAGTCGTTGACGGTAGCAGCACCCAGAGCCATCGCTGCCCCGACGCCAACGCCACTAAAAACCCGAGCAATGATCAAAGTATGCCATGTTTTCGCGACGCCGCTACCGACCGTGGCAACGATTCCGATGAGGGTTGAGATTAGATACACCGGTCGTCTCCCATAGACATTGGCCAGCGGTGTCCAGAACAATGGCGAAATGCCCACAGAGATGATGACCGAGGTCGTCTGGTACGACGCCTGGCCGACAGGGATGTGGAACAGCTTTGCGAGCGGCACCAATCCAGGGTTGACGACCGCCGAATTGAACGGCCCCAGCATGGCGAGGAATGAAACCTGGAGGAGCACGAGCCATTTCAGCCATGAGGGCCAGTTCTGCCGAGATCGTGTCAGTGAGCTGAATACCTCAGATAATCGAACTTTTTGCCTCTTACCAGGGGGTCGTCGCGAAACCGAGTCGGCTGGGGGAGAAGAGGAAATCCATGACGATCGCGTCGAACATCATCCGGCTTCTCTGAGACGGCGTTTTCAATCGCCTGTTCAGAACCGTCTTTGGAGACCACAACGTGGACTTTGTCGTCCGAATCCATGGTGAGAAGCAGATGTGAGGGCTTGCTGTGAACGTGTGAGCCTGGGGTAGGGATGCAGCATTTCAAACACATGCCATTCTGTGGGGTATTATACCTCGTGGACTCCCCTGCCCCAGAGTCTCACCCCGATATTGACAGGATGAGTTTTGTCGGAATGAGCCGCGGATCTTAAAAAGTGGCGCCCAACAAACTGGGGGGCCGGATCGAGACATTTCCCTGTTCAGTGTGGCCCAGACCCTGTGTCTCATGGCGCCTCGCGCCGGAAACTGCCCGAAGACCATTGGAGACCCCGGGATTGGAAGCAGGCTGAAGCACGTACCATGTACAAAAAGAGGAAGTGAGCAAACAACAGGGGAGAATACCCTCCATTACTCGGTGAAAGGCTCGACACGGCCAATATTGAAAGATTCCTTGCCCCAAGATGGTGCTCAAACTGTCATTTGCATGCTGGGACTACGACCGGATGAAAGCCATAGAAGATGGCAGAGTGCGAGCAGAAGGAATCGAGCTCACATTTCTCAATTATCGGGTCGAGGAGACGTATGCATGATCCTGCCGTATATCCTCAGCAGTCAAAGCGGTTGTGACGACGAGTATGGAGTGACTGATATGGATGGACCAGGACAGCTTCTTCCGCCAACTTCGATTCAAGGAATTCGATCTGTCTGAACTCTCCTTGTCCTCGTACGTCCTGACGCTGAACCAAGACAACCCACCGTTCATCGCTCTGCCAGTCTTCCCCAGTCGCTTCTTCCGCCACCAGTCGATGTATATCAACTCCAAAGCCGGCATTAAGAGACCGGAGGATCTGCATGGGAAACGCATTGGAACTCCAGAGTATCAAAGTCAGTATCTCCAGATCGCGACTCCTCCCACCCATCTAAGAGAGATGTCCCCTTCCTAATGATTTCTGCAAACCACAGTGACAGCAGCAGTCTGGCAACGAGGGATCCTGGCAGAAGACTTTGGGGTGCCTCTGTCCAGCGTGCACTTCTACACGGGCGCCATTGAGCCGTCGGACAAGCCCCGACATTCCAAGGTCTCACACACTTACCCGGCCGACATCCAAGTAACCGCGATCCAACCCGGACAGAATCTATCTCAAATGCTCGCCGACGGGGAGATCGACGCCATTTTCAGCGCCACCAAGCCCTCGTCGTTCGACACGTCGCCAGAAACCGTCACCAGGCTGTTCGACGACTTCAAAGCCGTCGAAGCCGAGTACTATGCCCGCACCAAGATCTTTCCCATCATGCACGTCGTGGCTCTGAAGCGCAGCGTCTATGACGCCAACCCGTGGATCGCGAAGAGCCTGACCAAGGCCTTCGCCCGAAGTCTGGAGATGGCATACGAGCCGTTGAAGGAGCGGGCGGCGCTACGGTACATTCTGCCGTGGCTCGAGGACCATGTGGAGGAGACGAAGAGGCTGATGGGCGGAGACGAGCGCTGGTGGAAAGATGGCTTCGAGGCAAACAGGCATGTGCTGGACAAGTTCTTGCAGTATTCCTTTGATCAGGGGTTGGCGCAGAGGAGATTCCAACCCGAAGAGCTGTTTGCCCCCAGCACGCTCGAGGACTATGTACTGTGACATGTCGTCCAATGCGGAAGTGGTTCTTCGAAGCTGGGCTGGCTGTCTTTCCTCTGGTTTATTACTGTAGAGAAAATATCCTACTGACCGATACAACCAAGGTCCCCTTCTCACCGACTGCTCTGGAGGATCGAGAGTTGCCTCAGGGTCTCGAACTTGACCCCGTACTCGTACAACGGCTTTTTGAACCCCAAACAGCCCCAATAACTCAAGCCTTTGAACGTCTTGTGCAGTACAAGAGCGGGATAGTTGATTGGTTCCACATCGTATCCGAGGTCAAGAAGCAGGCTCGGCGAAGTCATCCCCACGGACAAGTATCTCCGGCATGAGCCATCCTGGATTTGTTCACAGTCACGGGTCGCTGCGTGGCTGCTAAACCCCATACCAAAGCTGCGTCAGAGAAGATTGAAGACCTACACTCGTGGCTACTCCCCCCAAGCATCGGATGGGAGCCAGACGCACCTGTTAGTCCTTTGTAGATGATGGTGGATGCAAATGTCTGCTGCCCTGGCGTGCCTGGTAAAGCTGGTGGCGCCCAATCTCAAGTAGTGCAACCCTAAGGCCACCAGCACAAAAAGGCTGCCTTAGCCAATGTGCCGCCCTCGGAGCGCCTATGGCTGACCCAGTCCGCTCCTTGTAGTTGCCAAGTAAGACTTAAAACTCTGTACGAGGTACTCCGTACTCTTAGCACCGTCTTTCTGGGGGCTTCGCTTGAACTTTGGAGTCTGGGGAACTTGGGTCAACAGACCACATGAACCACCCCGCAAAATCCACCTGATGGCAACATCCTGCCAGCCTGCTTCTCACGAGACCCTCTTACCATCCTTCCACGCAGCGGTGAATTGTTCAACTGACAATCAAATTACTTTCCACAACCAATCGACGTCACCTCTGGAGTCTGGAGCTTCTCATCAATTGCGCGAGGCTGGCTCTCTGATATGCAAAAAGATGGATAATGGAGCCCAGGGTTCCCAAAAACGACATGCTCGTCTAGCCTGTTTGCAGTGCCGCAAGAAGAAGATAAGGGTGAGTGAGGCCTCTCGGGACTCCCGACTGTGATCCTGGAATCCAATGGCCCAAGAAGCTAAGGGGGTGCTCAAGTGCGATAACGGGCATCCCAAATGCATAAATTGCCAACTGTATAACACGGACTGTGTTCTTGGAGACGACAAACGAAGGTCGGTTCCAAATGCCAAGGGGGAACAAAAATACAAAACTTATGATGTTGCTTCACAGAGCCCAATCAACGAAAAAGACCATCAATGAGCTCACCGACCGTCTGGCCGAAGTTGAGGCACGCTTGGCTCAGGCTTCAAAGGACGAGAGCGTTTCTGAAAAGGCTGCTGTGATAGACAGACGCACGCCCCCAGAGGCGCTGATTGACCCTTTTCTGACAGCAGGACAAGAACTGAACCCTCCGGCAACTGCACATGGCCCTTATAGCACGTCAATTCCTGACTGTTCTGCCTCGACACCGATCGTTTTCCGAGACATGGATCTGGACTTCTGGGAGCAGGTGGATGAAGAGCTGACTGGATTTCCCGACCTGGAGCAATCGTCAAATATGGGCGCGGCATACGGAGCCGGAGTCGAATCTATATCACCGTTGTTGGATAACGTGGGACATGAACAACTTCTTTCACGGATCTCGTCCGTCACATCGGAAGCAAGCCGGAAAACAAAGTCCAGATCGCCTAGTCAAAGCCCCGGAGGCGGTCCTAACCTGAATGCAAACAGTCTCGACCAGAGATCGCAGACCTCGGAGGACGACATCACCCAGCAGATATCGAAACGGCTGGGTCGTATGTGTCTGGCGGAAGATGGACACATGCGGTACTTTGGGGCCACAAGCCATTTGTCGATGCTTCCCAACGACCTCAGAACCATTTACCGACCAGATATGCACAGTTTCCGGGAGGAAAGCGAGATCGTGGTCAAACGGGCGCATTTAGGCTGGACTCCAGACCCCGAATACGAGCTCCATCTGACACGTCTCTATTTTGCGTGGCACAACACTTTCGTCCGCGAAGCGAACAAGGAGACGTATTTTGAGCAGAAAGAGCTGTACTACCGGGGCTTTGAAACCGCGTTATTCTCGCCCGCACTCGAGAATGCAGTGTAAGTCAGGACAGCACCTTACAGAGTCGGACACTTATACAAGTTCTCCCCTAGTCTCGCCGTCGGCGCATTGTATTCGACAAGACGGCATGCTGCCATCCAGGACAGCGCCTCCGACTTTTTCGGCGCAAGGACCCGGTTATACCTAGAGACGGAAATGGACCGTCCGACGATAGCCACAACACAAGCAGCAGTGATTTTGTCGGCTTTTGAGTCGGCCAACGGCCGTGACTCTCGAGGTTAGTCCCCTTGTAACGCAGTCAAGGCTAGACATTGGGACTGATGATGTCTAGGTTGGATTTACTCAGGTTCGATGACGAAAATCTATACCATGCTCCAGGATTGACTGGGCCACAGGTGTCGCCGTCCAGATGACCACGGATCTCGGGCTGCATCTCCGTCTCGGCGCCAACGACGACTATCTTGGAAACGAGGAGAACACTCCAGCTCTTGAAGACGTGCGTAGAAGTCTCTTTTGGACTGTGTACTCTGCCGATATGTGAGTTCCGCCTCTCCCCACCTTTGTGACCTTTTGAAGCAGGAAAGGAGGACGGCTTCCCCCTGCGTGAGATGAGAGGATAGCTGACTGTCTTTGCGGGATACTAGGTACCACAGTACGTATAGCGGGCGACCTTACTTGATGAGCAGGATGCGATACGATGCCCCTCGTCTGGATGCGTTGAACGAGAGCGATTGGCAGCCGTTTGATGCAGACGGCACACCGATGAAGCTACCACCTGCTTTCGATGCTTCTGGTATTGGTTCCGTTACCGCATGTGTTGTGCAGCTGGCGATCAAGCTGCGAAAGATCTATGAAACACTGTAAGCCACTAAAGGAAAACATCTGCCTTTGCATACGCCATTTTTTGCTAAAGATTTTTCCCCCAGATACGGCGGCAGCGCTTCTGTCTCGGAAGATGCTAAGCTCTTCGTTCCGGCCATGGCGAAACAACTCCAGCAGTGGCTGGCGGCGTTGCCTCCAGCGCTTCACGTCGACTACGGAGAAGAACAGCCTTCTCCGGTCCCAGCACCGATCGTGCTCCAGCTTCAGTGAGACGATATCCACCTACCTGTGTGCAAACGGATCTTGGACAGAGGCTAATCTTTGTGTCCCCAAAGCATATTATACCATCAGATCCTGATCATCCTCAATCGACCGTTCGTCGTGCACGAATCAGACTCGGAAATCCTTGCCGGAGAGATGTGCACCAAGTCCGCGGGCATAATATGTAAACTGCTGCAGGTGTTCAAAGCCAATTACGGACTCCGATATATCAACGTCCAGGCGGTCGCGTCGACCGTCACGGCCGGGGTCGTGCACGCTTACGACAGCTGCATTTACTCGGGAGCGAAGGGCAAGGCGGCGCAGCATAACTTTGTCGTCTGCATTCAGGCACTGGCCGAGATTGGCCAGTCCTTCCGAAGCAGCATACACGGACTGGAAGTCATCACCTCGCTGAGACGGGCCTGGCAGCACCAGATGTTCAAGGAAACAAGAGCGAAACGCCGCTGGAGAGGGTCGTCGGAAATGGGAGGAGACCATCTGCATCGGACTCCAAGCTAAACTCGGTCGACACCCATGGTCAACTCTCCAAAGGGCATGAAACAGTGGGTGATGTGTCAAAACAATAAAGACCGAGAAATGTGCAATGTTCATACGAGCACTTGATTTCCAATATCCCAACCAGCGTCCAATCCTTTCTTCCTCTGGGACTTGCTATTTCCCCTTAGCGATTAGGTATATATAGGGCACTTGCTATTACCATGTTTTGAGTCTTGGGAACAGAGGGGGGATCGACATGTTTGACATTCTTTCTAGGCGAGGAAAGTGCGCGCTCAAGGCTTCAGCGACAATTCCTTGTATCGTTCTCTAGCCACCTCGTCACACCGAGCTCGGTAATCCACCGCACTGCCGTTGTAGATGACCAAGGTCCGCGTCTTCTTGCCGTCAACGTTGCTGTTGACCCCCGTGATCCAGGAATCGACATCGTTGACCAACAGCCCGTCGCTGCAGGTTCTGACATGCTCCGTCCATGCCTTCTGGCCTTGCTCCGTTGCCTCGATCACCGAGACGCCATGGTCGCGCGCATATCCCAGGAGATCCGCGATCCATTCGACGCTGTATTCGATGCTGCGTGGGAAATTCCCAAGAGCCGAGTGCGGACCCATGGCCATGAGCATATTTGGGAACCCTGAGACCAAGAACCCCAGTTGCGTCTTTGGTCCCGGAGCCCATAGTTCCTTCAGCCGTTGCCCGTCAACGCCGACAATATCAATGGCATTAAAGCTTCCGGTCACAGGGTCGAATCCAGTAGCTATATTCAAGAAACACACGATCAGCAAGAGCCCGCCAAATTCGGAAAATGCAATCCAATGCCTTGCAATGGCCTTACCGTAGATGATGACGTCGAACTCTCGCTCTTGTTTCGACGTTTGGATTCCCTTCTCCGTGATCTGCTCGATGGGCTCCTCATTCAGATCCACCAACTCGACGTTCTCCTGATTGTATACTTCGAGGTATCGCGTTTCGAGCGGGACCCTGCGCGTGCCGAACCCGTGGTCCTTGGGAATAAGTTTGTCGGCCACTTTGGGGTCTTTGACACGCTGCCTGATCTTCTTTGCGACAAATTCGCTCAGGAGAGCATTGGCCTTTTTGTCCGTGTAGACGTCGCGGAAGTTGCCCATCCACAGGCCAAAGCCAGGTTCATGGTAGTTCTTCTCCCAGAACGCCTCCCGCTCCTCCGGTGAGACGTCAAAAACACTTCGGGAATCGAATTGGTGGATGAAGCATCCCGGCGTCGTCTTGCAGATGGAGAATATCTCGTCGTAACGCGCTCGAATGCTCTCCATTTCTTCGGCGTCGATCTTTCGGTTGCCCAGCGGCGAGCACCAATTCGGTCGGCGCTGAAAGACGGTCAAACTGCCCGCTGACTTGGCTACCTCTTGGATGGTCTGGATGCCGGTGGCACCTGTTCCTATCACCGCAACCCGTTTTCCAGCATAGTCGATCCCTTCCTTGGGCCAGAGACCGGTATGGCTCCAAGCGCCCTTGAAGTTGGGAATGCCCGGGATCCGTGGCAGGACCGGGTTTGTCAGGGCGCCAATGGCCGTGACGAGAAAGTGCGCGTTGAATACCTCACCTGAATCGGTCGTCACTTTCCATTGGTTACGCGCCTGGTCGTAGTGTGCCGAGCGAACGCGGCTCTGGAACTGAATGCCGTCGCGGAGCTTGAATTTGTCGACCACGAAATTGAGATAGCTTTCCGTCTCGGCCTGAGGAGCGAAATGCTCCTTCCAGTCCCACTCCTTCAAGACGTCTTTGGAAAACGAATAGCCATAGGTCCAGCTCTCAGAGTCAAACCGTGCTCCGGGGTATCGATTCCAATACCTGTTCATGAAAGGGTTAGGACAAATCCAGGCCCTCCTCCTAAAAGGAAAGACTCTTCTCTCTTACCATGTGCCGCCGACGCCACCGCCAGCTTCGAGGACTCGGGCAGAGATGTTGAGCTCGCGTAGTTTGTATAGCATGTAGATCCCTGAGATCCCTGCTCCGATCACGAGGACCTCAAAATCATGTTCGGGCGAAATAGAACCCATCTTTCTTGTCCTTTTTTTTTCACCTCTGAGCGACGAAAGTACTCCACGACCGCGGTTCGACGTCTGCCCAAGAGGTACAAGACGTTCGTGCCCTTATGTGTCAATGGTTTTCGGGAATGGAGGACAGACAATCTGGCGCCAAGTAGCTCTTATAAAAACGGCACGGTGCAAGTCAGACTTGTGAAAGACTCAAGCACCAAGAAAACCCTTCTTGACCAAAGACCCGATATACTATCGCTGAGATGTTTGCTTTTTGGATTCAGCGATCCGTGGGTCATATGGCGGCGGTCCTCCCTTCTGCTCCTCCGGCTTCACTTTCCCGAATCACCCTGGGGAAGCACCTCCACGGACAGTGTACAGAGTCTTTCTCCGAGAACAATGAGTCTTGTGGAAAACACACCTCGGTTCATAATGGGGCGGGAAATGACCGTTGTGAAGATAAGACTGATCAGTTAGGTTGTGCAGCTCAAGGCTCTCCGTTCAATCCTTGGTAGGTCTATTCAGAGAATGCTGTGCGAGAAGGCGACGGCTTGAATGGAGCAACGTGTAACGTGAGGTCCAAAGAGATAGAAATCTCATTTTAGTGAAGCTCGTGACGTGCTTGTTATGTGGGAGGCAAATATTGAGCAGTAACTATCAATTGTAAATTTCCATTGCAGCCTCGCCCACACGTCCTCGACTCCAGGTTTTGCCTCTCCAATCCCATTGCGACCACTACCTCCCTCAATCAATCGCAGAGTCCGCGTCCTCTACCTCCCGCTTTGTCTACACAGAGACCTTCTCAGAGTGCACTGCTGGCCCATCGCCGCTGCCCTTGGTCTCCTGCACTGAAATAGACGTTGTGTGCGGATCATCCGTTCCATTGCCCAGCATTTCCAAGAACCTCGCCTCCACCAGTTCGCTCGTGATGGCATTTTGATGCACGACAACCAAGTCCGGGTCGCCAAACATGTCTGCGATTTCCTCCATGGGCTTGTGCAGCGTGTCGGGGAAGAAAACAAAGACGGTGATGGAGCCGAGGGCCGCGAAGATGATAAAGACGAGGAAGAATTTCCAGCCGATGCTCTCGAATGCCGTGGGCGCGGCCTGCAGCCAGCAGATGTTGATGGCGTTGTAGACCATGAAGGCGATGGCGCCGCCCTGTGCGCGGAGGTGGCTCGGCCAGATTTCCTGGATGTAGAAAAACTCGGGCCCGTCGAGGCACAGCTCGAAGCTGCATCCGAACAGGTAGATGAACGCCACGGCGGCCGCCTGGGCCGACTTGTTGGACCCGGTCAGGAAGTTGGCGACGAGGGCAGTGTAGATGATGAGGCAGATACACTGGAGTGCGAAGCCTGTCCCCATCAAGTTACGGCGCGAGACCTTGTCGACGAAAGACATGGCGATCATGCTGGCAACGCACAACGTCAGGGTATAGCCTGATTGAAGTAACAAAGTATCCACTCCCGTGTAGCCCAGTTCGGAATACAGGGTGACACCGTAGTCTGATAAAAAGAGCCAATCGTCAGTTACAATCCACCAGGTCTGGACAGAATGAGGGATGGATACACCTACTCTGAATCACGATGAGGCCCGCGCTCATGATGGAAAAACTGAGCATTGCAGAGATCAAAGCCCGTTTTCGATACGACGGCCGGGTCAATATCAATTTCCAGCTGGTATCTTGACTTCGATCAAACTGTATCTGCTCGTGAATCTGGTAGAATTCGCGTTTGGCAAATTCATCGGTCGGGTCGTTTGGGTCCGCATGAAGGGCACGCAGGATCTTCCACGCCTTCGCAGACTGGTTTCGGGCAATGAGATATCGGGGGCTCTCTGGGAGCCACCAGCACCCAGCTAGGAAGATGATCTCAGGGATAATGGCGACCCCGAGCGGCGCACGCCAGGCGTTAGGTGAGTCGTAGTAGTAAAAGCCAACGCCGACAAACCCGATGATCGAATAGCCAACATTGATCATGACGGCGTGAATATCCGAGAGTTTGCCACGATGCCGCGGTGGGACAATTTCGCTGATCCAGAGAGGGACGCCGCATATCGCTTGAAAGCCACTGATCTCAAGAGCGTCAGTCTTTCTGTAGGTAGCAACGCGAGAAAGAGCAGGAGGACATACCCCCAGCCCAAAAAGAAACGAAATACAATGAACATTGCCACATTCGCAGCCCCAGTGAGCAGTGCCTGCGAAACAAGAGTCACGCAGATGGCGAATATGATAGATGGCTTGCGCCCATATCGATTTGCAAACCAGCCGTGCACGAAAGCGCCCCAGGTCGCACCGACATAGTACAAGCTGGTGACGGCACCGGTCAAAGAGGCGCCGTTTGGACCGTCCAGGCCCATCTTGACAATGAATGATGGTTGTCCCAACGTCGTGCTGATCACTGAGGCCGTCATGCCCATGGACGCCGAAGCCATGGACATGGTCAAAACCATCAAGACGGTCTTGACCCTAACATGGCCCTTTTCGTTGATTTCGTGCATTATGGCGGATGTGCGAGAGCCTTTTCCTGTCCTTCAAAGAAGCTGTTTTTTTTTTCTGGTATCAGTGTGATAGAAAGTACAGGGCACGAATTTGCCTGCTTCCCAGAAGCCCTGTCCCAGAGGTGGGCCATTTATTCTTATGTGACGCTGATGCTAACGTCGGCCAGTACGGGGTACTAGGAAACCCCAGAGTCACTGTGGGTACTTTTGATGCGGAGCAATAGATGTGGCGGTGGCCGGAGAAGTGAAATCCGGGGAATCCTTCAAAAAGGAGAAGCCGGCCGGTGGTCTCGACTCCAAAGGAAAAGGGGACGCGAGCCATAGTAGTAGACTAGCAGCATTTAGCATGTGTACGTTACAGACATGTGGTTGGACGTGTGGAAAGTATCTCCACATATCTCGATGAGACTTTATTGGTTAGATTTGCTGCTTAGCTACTATGGTGTATGCTCTGTCTGATACATTTGCGAGGCTTGAATGCCCTCCCGCGTCCATTTGCTCTCCATGTCGAGAACACTGCCCTCGTTCGACATTTAACAGCCTTTTTCAATCGCCGCGTCAACATTAATGACCTGTCCGCACCTAGTTAGAGTGGAATGTCGAGCACGGTGAGGCCGCAGCGAGGGAGATAACGAAAAGGACTTACGCTTCCAGAGATATATGCTGATTGATCACTGAACAAGAACAAAATCACCCTCGACACCTCTTCAGGTTCACCTATACGTTTGAGAGCCGTCTTTTTCACCAAGACCTCATTCACTTGGTCGGGATTTCCCAGCTGATCTGCAAGAGCTGTGCGAATAATACCTCTGATATTATGTTAGCCCGTATGTATCAACACTACCACGAAGGCAGAGTCATGGAAATACTCACGGGGCAAGTGCATTTGCTCGAATGCCTCTTGTACCGACTTCGCGTGCGAGACACTTGGTAAGACCAATGACCCCCCACTTGGCCACAGAGTATGGCGCATTGAACTCGGGACCATATTGGCCTGCAATGCTGGCCGCGTTCACAATGGACCCATGGCCCTTCATGTTATTTAGCTCTGCTCGCACGCAGTTCTTGACGCCGTTCAAGTTAGTCGCCAGCATATCGTCCCAGTCATTGTCTTTCAGCACGTCGAGAGCGTATCCCTTTCCAAAGAAGCCCTGGTGACCGACGTAGCCCGCCATGTTTGCGGCGCCGTCCAGTCTGCCGAAACGCTCCGCTACCTCCTTGACCGCGGCGTCGACAATGTCGGCCTTTTGAACGTTGCATTCAATCGAAATGCCCTTTCCGCCCAGCTTTTCGACCTCGGCGAGGACGGCGTCGGGCTTCCGCAGGTCCAGAAGACCAACATGGGCGCCTTGTTGAGCAAGCATCAGAGCCGTTGTCCGGCCCATGCCCGAGGCTGCACCTGTAATAACGAAAACCTTGCCCTTCAGGTCACTGTATACGGCCGTGCCGTTGACTTCTTGAAATGTCGTCATTTCTAAGATATCGTTGGGACTGCTGGTCTCGCAAAGTAGACAGGAGTGAGAAAAGAACTGACAACGAAGCTATAGCTTTGCGCTCTTCGTGTGACTTGCGAATGTTTAGGCCAGTTTAATGCTTCAAGCTTAAGCAAAGGTGTCTCATATGAAGTTATCTCGTCCCAAAAAAATAGCCCCGAAAGGGAGGGGGCATAGTCTTCGCCATCTGTCGGATTACTGTCAAGCATACTAGTCTTTTGCAAAATCCACGGAGATCGTAATGTGGATAACAATATTTCTATTAGGAAGACCGAGTGGAGGAATCTGACATGGATGCGCAGACATTGTGAGAGTCAGAGCAACACGTAAAGAGTATCATGAAACCTGCTGAACGAATCAAAGTCAACAAATGTTCATCAAGACTTGCCGGCAGTGGAAATGCTATGCTGTGCTATGCTTAAAATCAGATTTTTAGACAAGTCTTGGACTTTCCATCCGGACAAAGGTACCCGGTACCAGTCAGCTGGCATTTCGGTGTAATTAACGAGGGGCATTGTATCTCCGCCGTGTACGGAGATCTGATCCTACACAGAGTCTAGGGCATGTTAAGAACAGAAATTGTTGGACTTCTCATGAGCTTCGACGGCTCTGTGATGCATCAACGCTGCGGTGCTGACATACTACAACAATGGGATTGGCACTCGTCCTCACACAAACACTCCAGCACTGGTGGTGGGCCATCTTGTGTCTCCTATGCATTGCAAGACTGGTCCACAACTACTCGAAGCTGTCATTTGTGCCCGGCCCAGCGTTGGCCGGCGTGACCGACCTGTGGAGATATTTCCACGGCAAGGCTGGCAAATGCGTCGACGACTACCAACTGCACAGAAAGTACAACTCGAAGCTGCTGCGCGTCGGGCCGAACCAGATCTCCGTCTCGGATGCCACCGAAGTGACCAAGATCTATGGGTTGAACCCGATCTTCAACAAGGTGGGCCGTCTCCCATTGTATTAGTTACGACTGACGGAAGCTCGAATACGCTGAACAATGTACAGGGGGAGGCGTATGTGACGCATAGCTTCACGAGCATTTGGGGGGAAGTGATGCCTAACCTCTCTTCGACGCGAGACGAGAAACTCCACGCGCGTTTGAGGAGACCGGTAAACAATGCCTATTCCATGAGCACGGTCATCGACTATGAATATCTGATGGACTCTACCACCAATGTCTTCTTTGACGAGTTGACGGAACGTTTCGCGCGGACTGGCACAGTGTGCGACTTCGCAACCTGGCTCCAGATGTACGCCTTTGACGTTCTGGGTGAAATCACATTCAGCAAGCGCTTTGGCTTCCTGGAAGCCGGGCACGATTTGGAAAACATGCTCTATCACACTGCTCAGCATATGGAATACCTCGGCACAATGGGACAGTTACCATCGCTCGATAGATGGTTCCGACTCAACAACCCCTTTGCGCGACTGTTGGTCAAGCCCAATGCTATCGTCAGTTTTACCACCAAGCACATTCATGAGCACAAAAGCCGGTCGGAGGAACACAGTAAACCGGACTTTGTGACACGCTTTCGGATGGCTCAGGAGAAATATCCCGACGTCATGACCGACTCCCAACTGATCGACTTTGCCGTCACGAATGTCAGTGCTGGCTCTGATACAACGGCGATCATCCTCCGCGCCGTCTTCTTCTACCTCTTGACAGATCAACCCAGACTCGAGAGGGTCATGGGCGAAATCAGGCAGATACTGGCAAAGCGACCAAGGGACCGCAGCTTTGGAGACCACTTCTCATGGTCCGAGGCGCGGCAGATGCCGTTCCTCCAAGCCTGCATCAAGGAATCCTTGCGGATGCACCCGGCACTGGGGATGGTCTTGCCTCGCGTGGTACCCGTTCAAGGCGCCACTATCTGCGGTGTCTTCATTCCCGGCGGCACCGAAGTGGGATGTAACGCGTGGACGGTCCACCGGGACAAGGACGTATATGGCGAGGACGCCGACCTGTGGATACCGGAGAGATGGTTGGACGATGACGAGGAAAAGGTGAAGATGATGGAGAGATACAACTTCGCCTTTGGCGCAGGCTCTCGGACTTGTAAGTGGACGACCTTTCGGTTTTTTTTTTTTGACTCGAGGATTTTCTAATCCCAAAGCAGGTATTGGACGTCACGTTGCCATGCTCGAGATATCAAAGCTGGTGCCAGAGGTGTTTCGACATTTTGAGGTGGAATTGGTAGACCGCCATCGTTACAAAGCAAAGCCAGGATGGCTAGTGGTCCAGTCAGGACTGGATGTTGTCCTCAAAGTGAGGGACCCGAAAACACTAGAAATTCCTCAGCAGACGGTCGAGTCATAGTCTGCTTTGACGTCTTTTATGGATCGATTGGCCTGTGCATCATGCAAGAATTCGTCATTAATGGAAGCTATTGTCAAACAAGACTGGCGGTATTGTCAGCAGAAGCGCTGATCTACGTGGGTTAAAATGTAACAACCATCCTTTTCAATATAGGTGCGCGACAAGTAGAGAGTAGCTGGATTTTTGGATATGAAATACACTGAAGTACAATCTCATGCCGTTATCAGAACTGGAACCGAAGAAGGTGCAGATTTTTAAGCTAAAGGAATGACTGCATAAAACAGTGATACCAGCAATCCCAACAAGGAAATCCTTCACAAGATAAGCAAAAAGAAGTAGAGTTATGACAATCTCTTCCAGAGAAAGAAAGGGATGGAAAGGAAATGAAAGACCCCATGCGTCACTCCCAGCCTCAACTCGACGAAATCGTTGTTAGTTCCAAGTAGGCATCTGTAATCCGGTCTGGCCACTTACCAGAGCATTGAAATCTTTTTCATCAGTAGACCAAGGCCGGTAAAGCTTCGCGCCCGTAGTAGTCGGTCTCGGCCTGAGGGCGATAGGACCTCCACTGGTGTAATGCTATCAGATCGGTCAACGCCTCCTCTTTTGTGAGGACCTGGTCATGGCTGAGGTCACTGTGTGTTTCTTGGTCGGTGGATGGAGCCTTCGCTAGGCTTTTTGCTAGGCTTTTCTCTTTTGCCTCCCCATTCAGCTGAATGCCCTGCGACCACTGGAAAAAGTTATCAGGGTCCCATCGTTGCTTGACAGACCGCAGTTTCTGGCGATTTCTCCCGTAGTATGCCTGTTCATGGACCTCTGGCTTCAGGGTATCGTCAGGGAAGTTGATGAAGGTGGCCCATTTGACCATGCCAAAATCACTCAGTTTTGGCTTCATTTCGCCCAGAAAACGCCTCATGGGCTCCTCCAGCCATTTCTCATCCCACTGGAGCATTATGTAGGTGTGATAAACGGACCCACGCCAGCGGTAAGCCGTATCCTCACGTTTCTTTGAGTTTGCCTCTCCGCCGGAATGAATGAAGGTGACTTGCATCAAGCCCGTTTCATTTGCGAATTGCTTTCTGAAGCTTGCCATCTCCCCTCTAATAACGCGAGTGATCTCTCTGATCTTCTTGTTATGGTTCTGAAATACGAACGAAGTATAAATCTGATATACCCTGGTAGTGGGCAGGGCCTTTTTGGTCTCCTCGACCCACTGTGCCGCGAGAGTCTCGTGAAGAAAACGTGAAGATGGCTCCTGCAACGATCGCGTTTTGAGTTGCGCCTTTAGCTTTCCATGTTCGCTTGGAGCGTCCGATAGAGTCCAGTCATCGATTGCTTGATTAAAGGCTGCCCGGCCGCCGTTGTAATAGACCAGGAACCGAACTCCAAGTTCTCTCTTAGTCTCCTTGAGATCACATAGCCAGGAGCTGTCAATGGTCATTTCGTTCGGCCAGTTCCTGGTATAGAAGCTGTTCATTGTGGTCATGAATCCGGCCATAGTCACGTCATCAGTCTCCGGATACCAGGTGTATCGCCCCGCAACGACAAGCTCACTCTTCAGCCGTTTCATAGCCAACTTCATCTCCACAACCACGCCAAAGTTCCCCCCGCCAGCGCCGCGAAGGGCCCAGAAGAGGTTATCCTTATCTTTGTTTCCGGTGTGCTCCGAAACAGTCACCTCATCTCCCGTCGCTGTAACGATGGTAAACTCTTTCACGGTGTCGCAGCCCATCCCGAAACTTCTGGTGAATGGAGAGAGGCCGCCTCCCAACATGAAGCCACTCACACCTACCGTAGGACAGCGTCCACCGTTGACGACCCAGCCATCAAGGTGCTTTCCATCAACACGCTTGCTAGTCAATTTTTTGTACACATTGAACCACAATGCACCGCCTTTCACAGTCGCAGTTTCCGCCCCGGGCGTCATGTCGAGGATCACGTCGTTCATCAGCCCAAGTTCCATTAAGATCCCGATGTTGGTAGTGGAACCTCCTGCATAAGAGTGGCCACCATTCTTGATGGTGACGGGGATCTTCCTTGGTTTTGCGATCCTAATGACATCCCGAACATCACAAGCACACTTGGGTTGAACAACGCAAGGAGGGGTTGAGAAGCGATAAATGAGATTGGACGTCGCAATATAACGTTCGTAGTCTTCTTCCCCGGGTTCGTACACGGGAATTTTCTTCGCTTTGAAAATTTTGATGGCAGCCTCTATATCCTTGTCGGAATATGTGACTGTTGGGAGAATGTTGGGGTTAGTGCTCGACATTGTTGATTTCAAGTGAACAGACTTGACCAAGTGATTTTTTAGGCAGGGAATAGAGATAAAATCCAAGCTGTAGTGAGGTCTGTCAAGGTCGTTCAAATTGGATGAAACAGAGCATGAGCTCGCATTCTCCGGCTTTCAGGGTTAGATTATGCTGTAATAGGGGTTTGTAATTGCAGACTGTTCGAATTCATTATGCCGGGGAGGGGGGGCTGCTCGCGAAGGCTTTACCTGAGCGGGATGAGGCTCGCTCGAAGGATTTGCCTTGCAGAGCCCACGACGTGGTGTGTGATGAGAGGGTAGAATGAACATAAACGAATGCTCTTCGTATTGCACATGCAGCGCTAAGCATGCATCTCAGCAGAGTGAATCTCATGGTTTGTCCGCCTCACTCTGTGCGTCGCGGAGAACAAAGTCTGAGCGAGCACAGGTATTTAGCGAGAGATTGCTGGTCGTCAGCCATGCAACTGGACCGTTATGTCTCCCAACAGAGGTGGGCGGCTCTTGAGTCGGGCGCAAGCAAACCTCGGGCGTCCTATTTGGCATTTATATTGGCTAGTTGCTCGCATCGTATAAATTTGGCTAGCATGGGGGGCCGCTGCGGGAGCTTGCGCGGGACGAGCCCTGAAACAACTATTGGTTTTCTTTTCTTTTGTCGACAAGCCTACATATCTGAGCTGGGAGGGATGAGAAGCAAAGCAGGGGATCTGTCTCATCGACAGGGGTCTTTCGAATAGGCTTTGTAATACCGGTTTCGTGAAGGCAACGAATCGCACGTGAAACAGCTCCCCAGCTGACGTAGTGTCAACACATTTTCAGCGACGTGCGCTACGCTGCCTGCACCTACAGGGCTGTCTGATGCCGACTCTGTTTCCTCTCGTTACCTAAGTACGAGTGGATGATTGATAATCGTATACGACGTGTAGATAGCCCGAGAGTTGCGGCGTGCTGAAAAACGGGTTCGTGGCCACCCGTAAAGAATTCCTACCGACCAGGAAGGAGCTCATTATCCCTGACTCTCTCTTGCTTTTCAGAGTCCATCTACCCAGCGCCCTTACTCCCCATAGTCTCAGACGCAGTCATCGACATCCTCTCACAAGCAGGCCCAGCCATGGCTTCTCTCAAGCTGCTTCCAGACTCCGGCATCACTTCCATGGTGATGGGGAATGATATCTTTGCATTTGCACAAACCTATGAGGGCGACATTTACCAGTTCGTGGGCAACGTCGAAAAATCGTCAGAGTTTTGTGGCTTAAGGAAGAAGTCAAACGTCATCATAGAGCGTCTGAAAGGCAAGAATCCTAAACCTGATGCTCCCAAGCTATTCACTCCCATTGCTGCTGTATCTTTCACCGACCGTCTCAACAAGCCTATGAGTGAACGGGTAGGCAACTTTGCACCATTTTCCGCCGTCAGGGAAGCTGACGGGAAACTAGTACGTCTTTTATCTGGACGACAAGAACATTCTCCATGACCAATACGACCTTGGGAATGGCGACTACCAGCATGGAAAGCTGGCTGAGTTGAAGATCGAATGTGCTCACTACTCAAGCTTAGCAGCCGTCACTATCAGAGGTGACGTTGTGAACCACATGTGTGTATTCTACCAAGCCCTCACCCGGGACGGAGCTGTAAAGATGGTCAGCTTTGCCGGCCTCCATAGGACCTGGCAGCATGGCGGCGCCAACCTCAGAGACCCGCCACTCTACGGCACCTCCCTCAGTGCAGTGCCTCCTCGCGCAGGCATCCTAGGCCGTAGTAGTTCAGATAAGTCGAACCAAGGACAGCCAATATACTATCTCCAACTAGACAACCACGCCTTGGGCAGTGGACAGGGCACAGCAGGTATGAATGTCATGCCACGTAGTTCTTCTTTGATTCTGACGTTCAATACCACAGAACCTCTCCCACTGGCAGGCTATGATTGCGACGGAAAGCCGGTAGCATTCTCACCGCACACAAGCCTCACTGCCGTTGACAATGGAATTCACCTGCATCTTATCTACAAGTCCCACTCTGGCAAAGTGAAGGCAGTTCGCATCGACCCGAAGGAAGGCCTCCTGCTGCCTGAACTCTTCTTCCACGACGTCGACGTTGCACCTCGGAGTGCGATCGCAGCGTGTATTGCACCCAACACGGGCACTACCACCAGCATCGTGCTGTTCTACCAAGCGCTCGACCCGGACTCACGGAAAGTCCAAATGGCAGCGAGAGTGGTATACAAGCCCGCCACCGCTGCCACTGACACCAAGTGGAACGTGTCTGAGAAGGAGGTTCTTGGGGAATGATCATGGAGGACGTACACCGTTCTTGTCTGTTGGCTGCTTGAATATCTGACCACCAGGCCTGTCCTTGTCCAGGTAGTGAGTACCTGTCAAGCTTCATCACGTCACTCAACAGCCCGCATCCCTTAGGTCTTGGAGACTTTGTAAACAATTCGTCATGCATGCTTTCTAAAATATATATAATAATGTGCAGCCCGATGCCATGAAATGCCCTGGGTGCGGATCCACTTTTACTTTGCACACATCTCTTGCCAACACAAATGCGAATATCGCTCATTAGAGGAAAGGAACTGGCCGGATGGATGTCGAATTACCCCATATATCTGCATTATGTGTAATGGTGAGTTGTTTCATGTAGTGCAGAGGGTGGTCTTCCGCGGTGAGGTGGTTCCGTGGCTCGCCCATATGTTGGGGATAGCCCCGATAGTCGATACATCTAGCTACTTCCAACATACCTTTACACGTTCTTTCACATAAGACCAATCCCGCGAATCCGCTGTTGTACGAGGTCCAGATTGTACGAAAGTCGTCGAGTGGTGTTGTAACTGCGGGGATCGGACCTTTTTCGACCGAACGAAACGTCTGGGGCCCATTGGTTCTACGAGGTACTATTCGACTATGCGACATCGTCCGTGTCTGGTCCACTCGTTTGATTTGTCGAGACGGAACCACTTGTTAATTACAAAGCTCCAAGACTTGAGGGCACCAAGGGGAATGCGGCTGCTGAGTGACGTGATGAAGCTTGACAGGTACTCACTACCTGAATGAGGGACAGGGTCGCAGCTCAGTTTATTAGTTGAACTGGGTCTTTCTTCTTCCAACCTCTTCGTCGCTGACAAATGAAACGGGGGGAGTGGGTAGGTGGAGGACTTGCAGCATTGAAGAGTATATAAAGAAGAATGGCCGACAGGCACACAGGCTTAAGAGAAAACTGTGTAGAATAATCCCTTCTGAATATCTACTCGGTACAGAGCAGGAAAGCAAAAATGACTTCAAAACAAAATCCCGACAGGGCGAGAATCCAGAAATGGCTCGAAGATGTACGTGGTCACTCATTCATTCGTTGCATTCCCCCTTCTTCAGCACTCGTCACCTCCCCTTCCTCCCACTATGTATATCCTCACGCCTCACCTCAGCACGCCTCACCGCTAAAGGAACAGATGCTCAATTGACGTCCCACACAGAACCACGCCGCCTCCGCGACCCTCTCGGCCTCGCACTGGTGCAACAACTTCTTCTCGTCGGACATCGTCCTGCAATTCGGCAACCACCCGCCCGTCCAAGGCCTGGAAACCGTGCGTGACCAGTTCTTCCCACCACAGCTCGCCCGCCTGGACTTGATGGAACACTACATCGAGTACTTCGACTATGTGGCCCCGCGGATCTACCAGGCCGCGCGGATCAGGTACCGCGTCAAAGGCGACGATCCGAGCGGGAAGGACGACGTGGAAATCCCAGGCTTCGCGACGTTCTACGTCAGGGAGAAGGGAGATGGAGACGGAGGACTGATCTGCTACCGTATGGAAGTATTCATCGACTCGAGGCCGCTGGAGAAGAGGTTGCAGGAAGTCTTCAAAGGTGAATAAGGCACGCTATGATTGAGGAAGACGTATATAGCACCCCAATACCCCCAGTATGCGCTACCATGATCAGTCAGGTATGAGGTACACGATCGCATATCCACCAAAAGGAAAATGGGCATCATCACAACATTACCGCTGCCGTCAATCATCATTCTTCTCTGCACGACCTGCTTCAATCTTTCTCATTGATCCGTCTGTCCCAATCCTCCCCAATTTTCAGACTCTCCACCACAGCGACCCTCTTTCCGAGCCCCGTCCGCTCTTCTTTCTGCCACCATTTTTCTGTTGCCTTGTTCGTTACAGATTCGTCATCCGTATCGATCAATCCACCATGGCCACCTTCGTCACCAATCACAATGACAGTCTGCTTTACCCAGCCAGATAGATCTGAGACAATTTCGCCATCACGACCGCAGAGAGACTCTTGGATATACACAACCTCCGGTGAGAGGCTGCGGAGGATATGTTTGTGGCCGTTATGCGAGGTGTAAGGCAACACCATAGTGTCTCTGTCAACAATGCCTACAGCCTGATTATAGAGGGTCTTGAAGAGAGAGGTTGCTTCGTCCATCGGGTTTGGATCAACTTGGGTCAGTATGCCATCACTCGGAAATTCCCCTGGTGTTTGTGCGGGAGTTTGTGCATCTGCGTGGCTAATGTTCGAGAATGAAGATGTCATAGACTGCGAGGGCCTTGTTGCGGCGTGGCTGAGTGGGTGTGCCTTTAGCTCTGGTGCGTAGATCAAGACGAAAATCCTCGTTGTATCGGGATCGATGTATTCCGGGAGATGTGAAAGGATTGACTACAGGCCTCGTTAGCATCCTCATATCGCAGACCCGGAAACAAAAACTTACTGCGTGCTGTTCAACATCGGCCTCGGTACCCGTTTCCAATGCAACGGCTGATACTACTACAGCCACTGTCTTCCTTTTCCGGTTGGCAATAGATACTGACTTGGGAAGCTCAATACTTCCGGAAAAGAACTCGTCGGCTGTTCCGCGCCTTTGGATGCCTTGTTTGATCTGCCGGTCATTGTCTCGCTGTTCGGCCTCCTCGCTCCATCGTTCGTGATCCTCGTAGCCTTCGCCACCTCCACCGCTGAGTGTGCTTATAGCAGCACCAACCATCGCGCCCGCTGCGGCTGTCGCGGAAGCGAATGGCTTGTTGGCCCAGTCATATGATTGAGGTTGACCCTGGCTTCGCGTTCGATCGCCTAAGGGCGTAGTTGATCGACCGAAGCCGAGCGCACTGGACATGCGGGCGACGAGACCGGTCTCTTGCTGGTCGTCCACCGCAGTTGAGAGATTGCGGTATCCTTCTTCCGTCCCACGCCATCCTGGAGGCGGTGGGCCGCCTTGAAAGCCTCCTGGTGGAGGAGGTCCTTGAAACCCGCCTGGTGGCGGGGGCCCTTGGAAACCACCAGGAGGGGGCCCGAACCCTCCAGGCTGTTGTGGACCGGGTGTCATTGGCATGGGAGCGCCACCTGGAGGAGGAGGTCCTCCTTGAAAACCAGCCGCCATCGGTGGTCCGGTTGGTAGAGCGCCGCTCATCGACGCATAGCCAGGAGGAGGCGGCCCTCCCTGATATTGTTCATCTTCGCTCGATTCCTCATCATCTTTTCTCTCACCCCAGACCCAGGCAGCAACGCCAATAGTTGCTGCTGTCACAGTGAGGACAAGAGGGACCCAATACCCAAATGTCGAGCGGCTGCCCGAGTATCCGTACCCTCCAGAGGTGGTCGTCTTTCGTTTGCGCTCCGTTACCGTGTACGAGTAGGACATGGCTGCTTGGGGACGTCGCTTGGGGCAAAGAGATCGAGTGCGCCTGCAGAAGGGACAGCGTTGGAAGCGACCGAGAATTGCGACAACGTCAAGTTCTGAAAGGCCGGGTGGTTGGGTGGAATGATAGAATCTGGCTTTTGTTTACTTCTCTTCAGCCGAGGCTCGCCCGTATGTTGATGCGGCGACTCAGGGGAAATTTCAAGAGAGTGTAAGATCTGGCATCACAAGATGCTGTATTCGTGATTCTCGCACAGGTAAACTGGAAAAAGTTGACATGGAGGAGGAAGAAGAGAAAAGTACGAGGTAGGCAGGGTGCTTTGGTGAGCTGAGCGCCTTGATTCAATGAATCCGCGTGGCTGGAAGCGGTATCTTGTCCCCAGCCCACTGTTTCCCCACACGGGCTCACTTACTGCAGTAGGGCGATCTGGTGTTCCGATCGCACTGTTCGACTCAATAATGGAGGAATTCTTGAGACGATGAGACTTCTATCACAGGCATTATTGCTAGGAGCCCTCCTGTGATACTGTATAATGGTTGATACCTCGGCGACCCGGCGGCGGCCACCTCGAGCCCAGCCTACAGCAACAAAGTCCGCAGCCGCCTCGACAACAACACCAGATGAGCCGGAAGACACGACCTCTCGAGTCATCTCCCCCCTCGATATTTTGCGAGTCATTCTCACCTTGGTCTTTGCCTCCTGTCTGCTCTCATACTACCTCACTTCTGGAACCTCCCTGCTCTACAAATACGAACCGTGGTTCTTGAACCCGTCCAAGTTGTCTCAATGGTGGACAGGTCCGATTGTTCTCACACCGGATCAGTTGGCAGTCTATGATGGCAGTGACCCTGCGAAGCCTATTTATCTGGCCATAAATGGGACTATCTTTGATGTTACTGCGGGCAAGCACACGTACGGACCAGGAGGGAGTTATGAAGTGTTTGCTGGGAGGGACGCTACACGGGCCTTTGTGACTGGATGTTTTCTTGAAGATCGAACCGGGGACTTGAGGGGTGCAGAATTGATCTACATTCCCATCGAAGATGATCCAGACGAGGAAATATCGAGTGCTGCAAGGAAAATGCGCGCAGAGAAAGAACGACGAGAAGCCAGAAAGAAAGTTCTGGACGAAGTCAGAAGATGGGAGGGGTTTTACAGGAATCACAAGAAATACTTTGAAGTTGGAAAGTTGGTCGGCGTCCCCGAGTATACAGGCGAACCACCGAAGCTGTGCGAGCCAGCAGACAAGGGCAGGCCCAAGAGGAAGAACATGAACTCGAGAAGGGAAAAGAAAAAGGACGCACCAGGAAAACCTGTACAATAGACCGACTCTACGGACACGAAAGACACGGCAAGGATAGATCATGTGGAGGGCATAAGCGGAATTTTGGTCACTTTGGGAGTCGTGGATTTGTTTGCGTTCGTCTGCTGTTTGCCAGGATTGTAGCTGCAAGCGATCCAGTTCACCACATACGCCTAGGAGATCACTTTGAAGACACAATTGTGCAAGCGCCAGTGATTGATGGTGACAATGGTATTCGTTCTCATCCAGCTTTTGGTGGACATGTGCGATTTCCTTTTTGCAATGTGATTCCTCTGCCCGGTCTATTGACCTGGCATTTCCGGTCCCTGGTCCATGCAATATCATCAACATCATTTCACGGCGGACAGCGTCCCATCGACCAAGTCTGCGGTGTAGCTCTCGTCTTCATTTTTCGGGTCCATCTACACTCCTCTCACTGTCCCTCGCGTCTAATCGCCACCGGCAGCCGCTCTCGTGTAGATGCTGCCTGTGCTGTGTGCGACAACTTTCCTGATCACGCCCCTCTCCTCGAGATCTGCAAGCGCCTTTCTTGCGAGCGAGCCATTGATCTTCAATCGATCGACCAGCACGGCGACGGTGATGAGGCGGTACGATTGGACGTCCTTGTTGAGCTTGTCGGAGGTGGCTTTGTCGAGGACGACTGCGTGGTTGGCCTTATCCTTGACTATACACGGAAAATAGAAGAGTCAACGTTAGCAAGCTGATTAGAAAGAGGAGCCTCTATGGGATGTAATGATGCCGATGGCGAGAGATTCAGAGAATATGGGTGAAAATGTTGGTGGAAAACGTACCCTTTCCCTTGGACCACTTCTTCTTCTGCTTCTTGCCGCCGGAGGATGCTGCGGGCGCCTGATCAGGTCAGTAATGCATTTCGAATTGATCAGTCGCGAGTTTGGGAGGATGCGCATACCATTTTTGCGGTATTTGATGGTTTGTTGGACGAAGTGGTTGAGGAGTGCAAGTTCTGGTCTTTGAGTGATGGAGAGACTTATTGCGCCCCGCAGGCTCCCGATGTGGCATCTAGGGCAAAGGTCTTGGCACTGCTGGAGGTCCAAAAATCCTTCATTAGGAGAGCACCAATTTTACGTCGACAACTCTTTGGGATTACAGATTCATGGTTTGAAACGATTTTAGTTCATTCAGGAGGATAATCCCCTAGATCTAGCTGCAAATAATCTGACTTTTCCGCGAAACCAGGATCTGAAGCTGAACAAGGCTTTTCTGGGTATCTCAATTCCCTCGCTAGTGCGTGCCACATGCAGAAACGTTTCAATCCATAGCCATCTAGTAGAAGAAGCCGATGATCTTTCCAGAAACATGCTTCCGTCGGGCCTCTTCATGGTCCATGATACCCGCGCTGGTAGTGAGGACAATGTAGCCGAACTGACGGGATGGCAGCAGCTTCACGACCCACTTCTCGAGGTCACGGAGTTGGACGTTGTATCGAGGGGAGATGACTCCAGTCTTGTTGAGACGGCCATTGAGTTGGATAACAACTTTGCCGCTGCGGTGGTCGTCGACCTCTTCGAATTCGCCGATGTACCCTGTCAAGAACATCAAGTCGTTAGTCGACGCTTGAGACGGGGTTTGTGATGTTGCGACCGAATAAACATTAAACAAACATGGATAAAACGAGCAAGCAAATGTGTAAGACTCAGTCGCAGGAGAAGAGTCAATCTTTCGGGCACTTAAAGGGCAAAGGTCGTGGGGTGCAATAATTTGAAACCGCCGCCTAGTTATCAACCCGACAAAATTTTCAGGAATGTGTGGTATGCCAGAATCCTCCTCTTTTCAACGAAATGGGAAGCGTAGGACTAAGACGTACCGTGCTTCTGCATGACAGACAGGAACTTGATGATGACCTTGGAGCTGGGTCGGATCATGACCTGGCGCTTGCCGGCCTTCTCGGCATTGTTGATGCTCTTAAGAGCGTCGTTGAGGACGGATGTCTTGACCATTTTGGCGGTGGTTTGGGACGAGTGAGATTCTCAAGTTCGTTTGGAGTGCGAGGAACTTGAGGTATCTGCAAGTGAGGAAATATGTTAGTCTTCAGAAGCCTTCGAGCCAGAAGAGTGCCCAGTCAAGGGTTCTTCAGCTCGTGTCGCGAAGGATGGAGCGTGTCCAGAACTGCGGTGACTTTGGAAATGCTACAATCCAGGACCTGCAGTCGGATTGCTCATCCTAGGCTAGCTGAAGTAGGGCCGCGGCGTTCACATACCTCGTTGTAGATAAAGATGTCGACAATGTGAGGTTTGTCTTTTGTTGGATGTGCAGACAAATTCTGGCTGCGATGCGGGTGCAGGTTGATTGAATTTCGGTTGTGCACCGTGCCAAGAGTTCCAATGCGCTAATCCCAAAATGGGGAGTTTGTTCGGACAAGGCTCCATCATAGCCTTGCCGCATCAAAGCCTTTCCATTTCTCAGAAAAGGGAGCCAACATTTTGTAACCTGCTCTAACAGAACCAGAGATCAGGCCAGTGGATTGTCGATTGACATATACGTTCTAGCAATGCCTTCCTCAGTTGTCGAAAAGGATCTCGGCAAATGGTGGCATGAGCCTAGATGTACTCGTGCTGCCACTTCTGGAAGTGTCTCCTAAGCATGACAGTCTCCGTGTTACCACACTGGGAGGTATTTCCGCAATTGTTTTCACATGTTGGGGTTGACAATGATGGTCAGGATCAGCAGGCTAAGGAGCAACTGCCGGACGCGTTCAGAGACATGGCCCAAACTCCCTTGAAACAGACGATGGTGAACTTACTAGAGCCACGACCGGGATGAATACGAGCACCACCAATCCACTCGTGACGATCTGTTTTTTCTGCGCCATGGCACGTTGGCAGGCAAAAAACCTCCATGCCCCTGCCAGGGTTATGGCGAGTCCGATGACTAGCGTCACCACCGCGAGCGGGATGCCCAGATCGTAGTCGCTCAGCTTGCCTGCGGGGACTGGATCGTGCTTTAACCGGTAGAGCTGGAGAATTGTGATAGCGAAGTTGGCGAGTGCTGAAGACGTTCGGATATATCCAAGGAAGACCCGTTCGTTGGCAAGGTGGTCCCTGGCGGCGCGGAGGGGTACATGATGAAAGATTCCTGGGAACAGATGCCGCCAAGTTCGTCGTTGAGGTTCGTGGGTTTCTGTTGATGTGGGACTGGCATTGGCCAATGTATCAGCCCGAGTTGTTTCCCTCTGCAACGTATTCAATTCGTGTTCCTCATATTGCGCACCGCGCCGCCTCGTCGGGCCAGTCTGATTGTTTCTATCATCAGCCATGGCTTGGACGTGGGTTGGATGAAGTCCATATCGTGATCGACGATTGAGCCATCACAGAGGATATATATTCAGCCATCCAGGCTAAAACTATATCAGAGCAGGGAGGATTCTGTGGTGCCGCTTGCTATGGCCCATGCTTCTCCGTAGACAGAATAGGAAGGAAAATTGCTACGTTGAAGCATTCAATCACTGCGGTAAATCCTCATATATTGCTGAGTACCTACGACTATACTGGTTCTAGTTATGTTTGTGCTGGCGCTTTGAGAAGAGTTAGTCCACAGAGGACTGGCGTACGAATGAGATAGATCGGCTGGGGCAAGGCTGTGAAAGTTGGGCACGGCTCTAGGCAGTATGCTACTTTGATCCTGGTGCTGATGTTGACGGAAACCAATATGGTGGATAAGCATACTTTCTGGGAGTTACAAGGTGTGTGCGTCAGTAGGTGCTCCTATGTATAAGAACAGCATCTGCCCAGGGATGTACTCCAAGATTCGAGTTGTCCTTGTGAATTGATATCTTCTGCAACAGACACGATGCGCCGCCAAAGACGGTAGGCCCAATTCCGCTCGACTGATGGCCGTATGGCCGACTGCGTACATCTTTGTCGACTTATTGCTTATCGATGCAGCATCAAATGTGCTCACGCGTAGATGTAGTCTCCAAGCAATGAAGGTTGAGCTGGGACATGTCAGGCAAGTTGTCAATTTCAACGGTCGAGAATCTATCCCATCCAAAGCACGAGATACCAGATTGCGCACCTGGATAGAAGTCAATTCCATAGATGAAGTGTAAAACCCCAAGATGGACTCGAACAAGGGTCTCTCAACAGAGACAACGAGTGAAGTGACTTGAACACACCACACCCTGCCGCACCTGGTAGTGAATAAAGAGGACAAACCTGTTCTCACTGCGCAAATATTCACCCAAACAATCATCTCTCCCTCAAAGCACCATTACTTGTCGGGTTACTACTTCGTCGGGACAATCACCGCGCTTGTCTGAGTTCGGGCAGGTAATCAGTCGCCATGTCCGCGCCTCGCCCGACGTCTGTCCGCATGAGAGAAAAGGATGCTCATTCCGTGTACTTTTGCGAGAATTCGTGCCGCACGAGTTACTCCGGGTGTCTCGATGAGGACTCGTCCATGACCGAGCAGGAAATCGCTGAATTCATCCGATATTCGAACCCAAGCCTGTACGAGAGGTTGAACGGCGTACGGATCCCGAGCTCGTATGTCGCGCCAGATGACACACCTGCCCACGGGCATTGCTTGATTCCAGAAGCGATTGTCGAGAACGGACCAGCGTCTCTGTTCAGTGAGACAGAAACCAATCTTGAACCCGCGACTGGTTCAGTCGATGCCAATTGTCCATCAGAGCTCGACCATGAGTGCACTTCCAAGCCAGAGTCGCGCCCCGCAGCAGAGCCTATCGTTCTCGGTACGCAAGTCCTCCCTCGGTGGCGTCGGTAAGACTAACATGTCAGCAGCAGATAGATATCACTTTACCTTCTATCAGCACAGTGAGCCTGGGATCGTGTACTGCTGCTCTTCACCGACCTGTCCGAACCCTCGCAACGTGATCCCACTCGGTAACTACTTCGGCATCATACGCGACGAAGCTTCGACTGAAGGAGACGATCAACCCAAGGGATACAACCGTATCGCATATTATTGTCTCGACTGCCTCGACCAAGTCGTGGACCGCGAAGAGCAATTGGAACAGGAGCAGAAGACAGGTGTGCGGCCTGTGGACGGCGCTCAACCTGATAAGAATGTGATTCTCCACAAAGCCCTAGGCATTTATCCGGAGCTGGACCAGAAGGACTTCTTTTTCGTGCGCATCCCCTCTGAAGAAGCATCGGAAGTTAAACCAGGCGACGCCTCGAATTCGAAGAAGGTGATCCGTCTGCGTCGGCAGAAGCAACTTGAAATACACCGCATTGCGCAAGGCTTGCGACAGCAGCAACTCACAACGAAGTATCGAATGTACGACAGAAAGAACATGCCCGATCCGTCAGGTCTCAGGATTCTAGGCCCTTTGGAATCGCAGCCATATAGGGATCGATACAGGAAACAGGGACTCGAGTGGCTTAACCGACTTGAAGGTTCTGAAGTCAGAAGAGCCTGGAATGGTGAAGACAGAACAACAACCACTGACGCATCCGCTCCGCATCTTGAGATGGGGGATACGCCTGTCTGTTACTGCAGAGAGCCAGCTGATGAAGGTCCTATGCTGCGTTGTGGGTCTGCATCATGCATGCTTGGGCCGATTCATTTTCGTTGTTCAGGCCTCTCTCAGTTGCCTCTGGAGACAGAGGATTATCGGTGCAGGTATTGCATGAGTGCTACCACAAGAGACAAAGAACAAGATTGCGAAGGCGTGCAGGTGGGGAATTGTACTCACCAGACCGAGAATGAGTATGATACATCAGGTACGGAGTCTGATAATGAAGGTTCTGGCGGCACAATCCGCGGAGAGGAAGAGTCGGACAACGAAGATGAGGATGGCATTGTTCCATCTGCACAAGGGTTTATCGCAGTGAATCATATTTCGTCCCGAGGCAAACTGTTTTGATCAGCACTGTCGAGGACTCCGTTCGAACCAGGGTGGCTTCTAATGTTGGTGAGGAAGATGTGCATTGTTGGATAATGGTGCTGCGACGGTTGACCAAGTTGGACTATGGTGATGGAGGAACGACGACATGAAATTCAGACAACTGGTCTGCAGATGTACGCCCGGACACAGAGGCCGAGAGAATGATTGCTTGTCTGACTCACAAGAAGATGAGAGGTCGCCTATGATACTACGGGTTTGCAGTCGCGGGTGCGGTTCCGGGTCTCACTATGTGCAAAATCAGGAAGAGAACGTGAGAGAGACAGATGAAGAGAGATACGGCCAGGCCAGGAGTCCTCCAACGGTGGCCGAATAGCTGCAAGCTGTTCCTGAAAGTTGACATGTGCTCCTTGTAGTAGATAGTCATCGAAAGGCATCATCGACGAGCCTCTGCTGGAAAATGCTAGCGAGCTGCCCAAGACATAAATTTGTTCCGCAGTGACCAAGTTTCTCTGGATTTCTTTGTGCATGTTATGGTATCGCAGTCACTCACTCGATCTGTTTGTTTCAAGTCCATGCCACAATTGATGGCGGTGACAAGGATATTGTTGACATCACTGGAAATCCGATCTCGGTAGCAAGGGAAGTTCTGCTGCTCAATAAGAGGCTGGAACAAGGCTATTCATTCATCCTGGGCTAAGCTGGGAACTCTCGTCATACATCGAAATAAACCCTCAGAGGGGAACTAAATCCATTCGAAAAGAAAAAAAATCGCTGCTGTAGTCTGGTGTCGATCTTTCTTGACCTCGCGGTCTCGTCCTATGGTCTTTTGAGATTGCATCAAGTCGCGAATCAATCACAAGGCCGACCTACCGAGCAATACTGCAAGCCTTTCCACTCAACTCGAGCTAAGTCCACCGGATTCCCTGCCTTTGAGCCTGGATGCCAGCAATGCAATGCCCAGATGTTGTAACTAACGAGAAAGTCAATAGAGTTTCTGTCCCGACTGCAGGCAGGATTCCGACGCAGTCAAACCTTCCACAGTCCCCAGGAACAATTAGGTCAAGCACATTAAACCGAGACTCCTGGAACAGCCATCGACAATAGGTAGACTGTAGACCCAAACGCGTCGTCTTCAGCGTCCTCCACAAAAGTCAATGTCTATGGTTAGAGGCTTTGAGGAAAACCTTCGGTCAGCTGAAGTGTGGCTATATCCATTGCGTGTCTTTGAAGACGTTGTTGCGCTATGCCAGGAGAGGCTTTAGGCTTCTCATGGCCGTGTAGAGCGGGAATCAGGATGATGTCGTCGGCTGAAGGCTCTGCCGTCGAGGAGATCACAGCGCTTTCGTCCTAGAGAATAAACTGCTGTACACAGCGTCAACGACGGGCTGTGCGCTGATCTGCCTACCGCCAAAATAACGTCCGTTAAGGCCTTTGATGGCGTTTTCTCCGCCTGAAACGCGCTCGAACTTTAGGTAGATGTCACCTTGGGTGTTGGGGTCAAGGGCGATGTGCACGACGTGGCCGTACTTCTCCTCGCATTCTGCGCGAACGTCATCTTCGAGTTCTTTGATCCAGGAATCACCTTCTTCCCTGTTTGCATCATGTTAGTATCGAAGTATGTGGGCGGGGCCGTCATAAGGGGATCAACTTACTCGGCAGGATCAAACATATTGCGAAGTAGTACACATCTGCTTGCCTGGCTGACGTTGACGGGAAGCGGCTTGCTTTCCTTTTTAGCAGGCACGGTAACGCGCTTCGTATCGGTCTCTGCAGATGTGTCATCTGTCCTAGCCAGTTTCCGCATCAATGCATCTCGGCTATAGTTGTTGAAATTCACACCAGCGACGTCTGTATCATCCAAAGCACTTGCTCCGCTCGTGCCCTTTTCATTGTCGCGGCCACCTGCACGGTCAAACGCGCCTCCTGAGCCTCCGGCGTGAGAACCACGGCCACCGGAGCCTGAAAATGCCGAGCCTTGATAGCCAGGCGGATTTTGGCCTTGAAAGCGTTGGAGGAGGTTGGCAGTCGACTCGGGTGTAAATTTGTCGTTTCCGAGTCCAACTCGGATTGGCCGGCCTGCAAGGTCAAAACCATTCATCTTTTCGAGGGCCTCACGAGCTTGATTTGGATCACGGAACCTAGACAACATTAGCATATACCCGTGCGAGCCCTGGGACGAGACTCACTGTACAAAACCATAGCCACGGCTTCGCCCACCCTCATCTTTCTGTAGCTGTACAAACTCAAGCTCACCAAATGGCTCAAATACGTTCTGTAGATCTTGTTCAGTAATACTGAAGTGGATGTTTCCCACGTAGAGACGATGGAAGGGGATGGTGTTGTGATTGCTCGTTGTAGCCTCTGGATTGCGGGCCTGGCGATTCTTTTCTGCTTCAGTGAGTTGTGCAATTATGGGAATGCCGAGGAGTTTCTGTCCGGTCATTTGGATGGCTAGAGGGACGGACTCTTCGTTCTTGAACTCGACGTAACCGACACTTTATACGAGTTAGCAGGAGACTGCGCCAGGTAAAGGAGTGTTCGCTTACCCTTTAGAACGACCACTGACTCGATCCTTGACAATCTGAGCTTCTGTAACAGGGCCGACTTTCTCAAAGAACTGGATCAGCTCCTTGGTGCGTAGGCGGGCGGCAAGCTGCTGAACAAATACGGTTCTCCTGTCACGCTCATCCTCAGTAAGTTGTGGCTCAGGAGTCTTGCTCTTGACACGCTTTCTGGGACTTCCCGAGCGACGTCGGTCTCGGTCCCGATCGCGTCGGTAGTCATCATCTTCACGCCTAGATCGTCCACCCGGTCGGTAATAGCGATCGTACTCTGGAGATCGAGAGCGTCTACGATGATGGTCATCGTCACGTTTGGAGCGTCTTCTATCATCATCCCGGTCACGGCTGCGGCTTCTCCTCCTGCTGCTTCTGTGACTGCCGTTAGCACTGCCATGCTCGCTCCTAGGACTCTTCATCTCATCGTCACGATCTCGACGGTGGTCTCGGTCTCGGCTTCGATCTCGTCTCTTGCGGTCCTTGTCGCGATCACGGGAGCCATCACGGTGCTTGTCTCTGTCACGGCGATCGGAGCGGTCGCTACGATGACGGTCATCACTATCGCGGGGAGAGTCTTTGCTCTTGACATCGTTGGTGGCGGTCGAATCGAGCAACGCCTCGACATCAAGCCCTGACATATTGAGGAGTAGTTGGTGGGATGCTTGACGAACAGATTTGATTGATGCGGAATGGAGTAGTTCACTTGGATGTGGTCAGAGCCGGAATCGGAACCAGGGCGTGCGCAGGCAAACCCTTGCAATGAGCAGTGTCCTGAAGCGCTCTACTGGGTCGGCGAGACTTCAGGAACAGTCTATTTTGTACGCGAGGAGTGAGTGTCACAGTCCTCGCAAGCGAAAAATTAGAGTGAACGAGAAAAGCGGCGGGAAATGTGTTTTGCTTGACGCTGCGTAAAATGCAAGGCAAAGGCAGGAAGTTTCTCAAGTTCGCAAAAACCACAGGGCAGCTTGGCGAACAATGGACAATGGCCACGTGCGAGGCACTGGCGGACGGTCACGTGTAGCACCTTCTCCGACGACTGGTCACGTGGGAGTCTGATAAGGTCGTCGTCGCTAGACCTGCCCAGATAGCACAGCCCCCGCTTTACCACGGAATTGACGACAGCCTCACAGTCGGCGCTTGTTTATCCTGCAAGACATTTCCATGGTCTCGGAGATTGTTACCATGGGGTCTGGGTGGGCTCTACCTGCATAACATACACGTCTGACACCTCTATTGGGTAACATACCTTGTAGAATGCTGACAGATCGAGTAAGAACTTATTTACTCGGCACACTTCCTGTTTCTGAGGTTCCTCCTATATAACGGCGACTTCGTTCTGGATAAGTCCACGATGACTCCCGGCATCAACAGTCATCAACAAGAATGCCCGTTTCCATGAAGTTCTGCGCTTCTGGACGAATGGAACAGGCGACTTAGTTCTTCGCGGACTTGCATTCGGAAAAGACGGGGTTCCTGGTGAACCTCGGGAAAACAGTTTCCATCTCCACCTTTCCAAGTCCTTGGCCTTTGTCTTCCCCCAGGATATAAATGGCGGCCACAAGTTGTGTATAAAAGGTCGGAAAACTAGATTTGACGTGATTAAATCCTCTAGACTCACTAGACACAAGCCCTCTTGGTCCTTAAAAAACAACAAGATCTGATAGATCCAGCCCAGTTCATGCACCATGGCTCGATCCCAGGCCCATGCTGAGCGTAACGATGTCATCCGTGCTGGGATGACTTCTCTGGAAACTGCCCTGAGCGCGACAGTGCCTACCAAAGACACCGTTGCGTCCGAAACTACGCGGCTAGGTTCGCCAGTCAAAACTGAAGAGATCCCAGACAGTGAGGGAGCAAAGATCCACTGGATAGGCGACAGTTCCGCTCCGAGTGTGATTCTATATTTTCACGGTACATGAAAATCCCCAGCTCGGATGGTGGCCTGTCTCCTCTCTCTGTCTATTTTATTACCTCGCCGAGCGTAGCTGACGGTTGAATTCGTCATCAGGCGGAGGTCTCGGCATTCCAGCGATGCCAGGGCATGTTTCTTTCCTCGTGGATACACAGCAACGACTAGCGAAGGAGGGCAAGAAGCTATCCATTGCTTTCGTCGAGTACGGTGAGACTGAGACTATCGATGCTGTAAGGAAATCGAAGTGACAACTAAACTTCTGCCCCGTAGGTCTGTCGCCCCAACATCGGTTTCCGACGCAGTATCGCCAGGCTGTCCTTGCTCTTAAAACCGTTCTTCAATCCGGTCGAAAGCCATCAGATGTGAGCGACATATTGTCCCACTTTTCAGGAGAGTCGAGAACGGACGTACTAACAAGTTCGACAGGTCATTGTCGGTGGTGACTCTGCCGGTGGTAACTTGGCCGTTGCCATCCTTTCCGCGACAGCGCACTCTCATCCCGGAATCCCATCACTAAAACTCGACGCTCCCCTTAAAGGGGCCCTCCTAGTCTCGCCTTGGATCGACCTCTCCGTCGGTACCAGCAAATCCTGGGTCGAGAACAAGGACAAGGACATCGTCTCGGCGAACATTGTCGATCCTCTAGTCAATAATCTTGTTTCCAAGGACGAACGTAACGAGTTCACGGATCCTGCCCGTGCCGACTCCAAGTGGTGGTCGGGAGTGCAGGTCAGCTCTATCCTCACATTGGCCGGGACGCACGAGCTGTTTTTCGACGACATTGTGAAATTCAGCCAGAAGCTGAAGGAGGCTGGGCTGAATGAGCAGTTGGTTGAGTGTCCACAGCAGGTGCATATTGATTGTTTCCTCGATGCCCAATCAGGGCTGGAGCATGGAACCATGTCTCACGCAATCTGGGACTGGCTGAAGAAGTTGCTGTGAAGTAATTTGCCCAAGACTCGGACAATTCTCAGGTCGAAGATGCTCCCGTATAGTGACTGAGGCCAGCTTCCGTTTTAGGTAGTTACCACATCAAGAACCGCAACTGTGGAGCATCATCATTTCAACCATTATTCCAAGACAGAATTGAATTCCACATACGACTCTCTAGAAAACAATTGAATTCACTACACATGACTTTCTGTTCATCCATTCAAGAATCTAACTACAGCAGCAAAAACTCCCAACACGCACTCATTAGTTACATCACAACGCGCCCCCCAGAGAACCGACCGTCAACATGGCCAGCATGGACGCCGTCTTCGCGGCATACAAGAAGCGACAAGCCGTCCTCGAGAAAAGCGACAGTCCCTTCGCCAAAGGAATCGCTTGGGTCGAGGGAGAGCTTGTCCCGCTCAGCGAAGCTCGCATTCCCCTGCTAGACCAAGGATTCATGCACAGCGACCTCACCTACGACGTCCCGTCCGTGTGGGACGGGCGGTTCTTCCGGCTCGACGACCATATATCCCGGTTAGAAGCGAGCTGTGAGAAGATGCGACTGAGACTCCCTCTACCCCGGGACCGAGTGAAAGAAATCCTGGTGGACATGGTGGCGAAATCCGGAATCAGGGATGCCTTCGTCGAACTCATCGTCACGCGCGGCCTCAAGGGCGTCCGCGGCCACACTCCAGGCGAAACCTTCAAGAATCACCTGTACATGTTTGTACAGCCTTACGTCTGGGTCATGGATCCCGAGGTGCAGCGCACCGGGGGCCGCGCTATCATTGCGCGAACTGTGCGGCGGATCCCACCGGGGGCGATCGATCCCACTGTCAAAAACCTACAATGGGGAGATCTCACTAGAGGTCTATTTGAGGCGGCCGATCGAGGTGCTACCTATCCGTTCCTTACGGATGGAGATGCCAATCTGACCGAGGGCTCCGGGTTCAATGTTCTCCTAGTGAAGGACGGCGTGATCTATACACCAGACCGAGGCGTCCTCCACGGCGTGACGCGGAGGAGTGTGGTTGACGTGGCAAGAAGTCTCGGGATCGAAGTTCGCGTCGAGTCGGTGCCTGTGGAGATGGCGTACCACTGTGACGAGATCTTTATGGCAACAACGGCGGGAGGAATCATGCCCATCACAATGCTCGACGGACAGCCGGTGCAACAAGGCGACGTTGGACCCGTCACCAAGAAGATCTGGGATGGATATTGGGCGTTGCATTACGATTCGGCATACAGCTTTGAGATTTACTATGGTTCATCGAGTGGAAACCCTCTCGAGGAAGCCAATCATGGGCAGGTGAACGGTTTGAACGGGCTTCATTGATACGGACCTGGCCAAATCACACCAGCTTTGGAAGTGAGCAAAATGACGGTACGAGAGTCTGGTTACATAGCGATTCGGAGCAACATCTAAAAAAGAGATTATATTCATCACAGGCCAGAATTTGAGAATGGTGCATCTAGACAGGTCAGGGCCGGTGACAGGCATTCCGGGTAGCCTTAGAGACAGCCCATGTCAAGCTGACTGGTGTGAAGGTACCTCACATCAACCAAAGAGGTATTGCATCGATCCGTCCCTACCAGAGTGAGACTTCATATCAAGAAACGATCCCCACCAGAGCGGACTCGCATACTCAGACGGGTTTTGTTCCCAGTACTCCTCCAGCACGCTGGACACGCTGCAAAACATGCCATAGCGGCTCCTGGCCGCCCACCAGAGGCAATAAGAGCGGACAGTATCCCGCATCGCCTCATTGCGAGCTTCTGCACCAGCAAGGAACATGGGGATGAGGAGCTGCTTTTGCGCCTGGGATGTCTCGTGGCAGCTCCGCGAATGCTCAAGGACCTTCCAGGTGAGTGGGAGAATCGCTGCTGGTCGACGATGTGATTGACGATCCCACTTGAAGACCCGCTGGACGTAGAGAAGTAGTGCATACCTCCAGGCTTCCATGCAATGGTAGTTATTCCTCTGGCCGAAGTATGCTTGGTCATCCTCACTCTCAGAATCGCATGGGCTTTCCCCGTTTGCATCCTCATCCTCATCCTCCAGATTAGGAAGACTGCCATGATAATGTCTAGGGTCAGTCTCTACTTCAAGATCGTTCTTCCATTCTAGTAGTTGCCGTTCAATATTCAGGACTGCAGCCATATCAAAGTTCAAAAACTCCATAGAAGCTGCAATTTCTTTTTCTCGAGCCATTTTTGTCAGCTGGACGAGGAGCTTCATGAGCTCCGTAGGACAGCCGGTCAATTCGTAGAATGACCAGCCATCATGGCCTTCGTTTTCGTAGAGATGCTCAAGATAGGAGGAGTTGAATCTTGTGCCTTGTCGGGATATCATGGCCAGGGTTGCATCCCACCTAATTGATCAACGTCGGGTAAAGAGAGAATTCGATCGAGAAAACTTACCAGACGAGCATGCTGGCTTGCGCGCGAAGGCGAGGAGTGTTCAGTGCAGATGCTCCGCCCCAAGCCTCGAATACTGTTTCTGCTTTGCGAATATGCTCTGACCAGTTGCCCAGCGCCGATATCGCACACTACCAGAATCTATGTTAGGGTAGATACATTTGAGAAGAATTCCAGACTTACATCCAGAGTGATCAGGATCAGTATGGCCTCTAGTAAGCAGCTGCTTTTATTGCTCGACTCGCCATTCTGTAGTGCCAGACTGAGCATATCGGATACTCGCGAGCGCTTTTCTAGTGCTTCTGCTGGCACAGAAGTGCCAGTGTTGACCTGATGTTGAGTGTAGAGTGCCAGCACGGACTGGAGCAGGAGCTGGGAGCCTTCAGGTGCAAAGCCTTTGATCCGAAACGGGTTTACAGCCATATCTGAAGTCAAAGGAAGAATGCATAGGTCTGTGTCATCTATAGTCATATCTCAGTCACTGTGGCGATTAAACTACCGCGCGATCATTACAGAGGAACAGTGACTTACAGTATTTTAAGGCCATCTCGTGCTGATGGCTCCAGCCAAGGGAGATGCCAAAAGGGGATATACAGAACACATTGTCCAGTATCGAGTGAGTATCTTCCAATTGCGCGTCTGACCACTCGAAGGAGAGAGGGATGTCTGCGTCCATTATAGAGTTGCTAGGGTCCAACGGGGATTTGGGATCAGTTGCCGCCGTTGTTTCGGAACTTATTACAGTGGGAAGAGGTCCCTCACGACCGTTCGCTCCATTGTGCTCGGCTTCAGGACCTGGCAACGGTGCTGGGGGATTGCCACTGGGGACTGTTATCACGGGGCTTGATGCTGAATCTTGACCTAGGTCGGTTGCACCAGACCCCTCAGATGTCGAGATATCTGATAAAGCATAGATATTCGTGGTGTCTATCAACTTGGGTTCGCTTTCGGAGATAGCTTTTGTCACTTCTGGAGACATCGGGTACTCTCTCTGGGGCCAGACAAACAGAGACGAGCTGTGAGGTCTTCGAAAGTCCGGTTCGATCAGAGCCAAAGGCACGGCAGTTCTGGTGATCAAGTCGGGCAAATCCACACCGTCGCCATATTGTTGACTATGCAAAGTTGACCTGCGGTTATGTCTTTGCTGTTGGCGCCTCGATGATGCTTTGCCCGAATATGATCTGCTCTCGTGCCATGAAAGAGGTGTGGCGTAACCACCACATTTCAACCCTTTTTCCAAACATGTTGAGCAGTACGGTCTCTGTCGCTGGCACTTACGGTTCCAGGATAGGCAGGTATGACAATCTGTAGCAGCTGATGCGGTGAAACGCGGTCGTGTTGTGCCTGCATTTTTCATCGTGAAAGCCGTCGAGACAGACACACAAATGTAGTAACAAACTGATCTGTTCTAATTACATGAGAAGCCGTAAAGGCATCTCCAAGGCTTATCCACATTGTTTATTGGCCAAGAAAATTCTCTGCGGAGTCACAACAGGATATACCCGACGAGTAAATCTCAAACACTCCGGCGAAGACCGCCTCGGAGGCCCATCAGGAGCCATACGAGATCAATGGCAAACTCTGCTCCTCAGTGATATCGATCACTCGCCTACGGTAACAGCTCTGTCCACGGGGTATCCTGGGCATCTATACTATCTGTGGATCCCACCCCACCCCCCCTCCCCCCTTTCCACTATTGGTAGTTACCTATTCTGGCAAGGGTCGGCATTGGTTATCTGTTGTTGCTTCCTAGGACTTCAAGTCTGATAACAAACGATCAATCGAGTGGAGGTATCGCCGCGTATATATGTGGTGCCTAGATGGAGCAGAGAATGGCTCTTTCTCCACAAGGCATCTGAAATCTCAACCACCATGGGCAACGAGAACACGAGAACATCGCTCGAGGCAGTGGCGCCAGGGGTGTCACCGATGGCAAAAGCTGACCATGCAGCTGAGAAGCTGAACATGGAGGAAGCTGAGGTCAGTCAATATGTTGTTGGAACCGTCGAGGTAAGTGGTCATCTTCAGGTCTCCGAAAGACATTTGGATGTCTAATTCAGCGCTCCAGACCCCGCCGCGATTTAAAGTCCTCGGTCTCAGTCTCTTCCCCTATAGTCATCCCAGAGTCCAAGCATGCCTTCTGGGTCTTGTACTCTTCATGACTGTGGGAATGTACAATGTCTTGACATTTCTGGGCGGCGCAGGACAGCAGACAGCCTACCTGTCCGACATCTCAAACATCGCCCTGTACACAGTGTTCAGTGTTCTTTGCCTGATCGCACCAGCCTGTCTCAATTACTTCGGATTACGTCCAACCCTTTGCTTCGGCGGCCTTGGCTATGCTGCTTATGCCGCCAGTCTGTGGTGCTACAACTACACAGGAAATGTGCCCTTCGTTGTCTTTGGTGGTTGCTGGTGTGGGCTCTCTGCAGCTTTCCTCTGGACTGCCGAAGGTGCGGCTCTCACCTCGTTTGCCTCGGAAGATAAGAAGGGATTATACGTTTCGATCGTCTGGTCAATTTATCAATTCGGTCTCGTCATAGGTGCCGCTATACCTGTTGCCCAGAACTGGGACGCGGGAGACGGTAATGGTAGCCGAGTCAATAACGGCACTTATATTGGTCTCATGATTCTGATGCTTGCTGGTGCATGCCTCGGGGCAGCGTTATATCCCTGGCACAAGATCATCCGCGAGGACGGGACCCGAGTCACCCTGGAGCGCCAGAAAACATTTATGGAAGAGGTGCATGCTTCTGCCCAGGTTATATCACGAAACCGGTGGATCGTCTTCTTCTTTCCAATGTGCTGGGCCGTCAATTTCTTCGGCGTCTATCAAAACAACGACTTTAACGGAGTGGTTTTCACTGTCCGCGGCCGCGCTCTCAACACTTTCTTGTCTGGCGTTGCTCAGGTCTTCGCACCCTGGATCACCTACCTGTTTACAGACAGGTTACCCATGGCCCGGCGCAAGCGAGCTTTTTGGTCTCTTGTCTATGTTTTTATAATCATCAATGCTATCTGGATTGGTGGTTACTTTGGTATGAAGGAGACAAGACTAGGCCTTGACGAGGCGCAACGACTGGATGTCTTTGACCACAATTACGGATGGTGGTGCCTTTTGTTCGTCATGTATGGGTTTACTGACGCGACCTACAACTGTTACGCTTACTGGTTTATCGGAGCACTCAGCAACGATCCTGCTGAGGTGAGTAACGAGTATCAGTGTGTGTGGAAGCGAGCTGACGTTGTGACAAAGCTTTCCGTGTATGCTGCGCTGTACCGCCTCCTTAATGCACTTTGCATGGTTGTCGGGTACTCTCTGGACTACACTGGATATTCCAAAGAGTTCATGTTTGGCTGCTCATGGGCGGTAAGTTCCGATTCAATATTCCACAGCCTCATTCAGGAGCTCAGACTGGCCATACGCTCAGCGAAAAGTTGCTAATGCAATTCAGTTCCTTGCTTTTGGCATGCTGAGTGTCCTTCCAATCATCAGGTACTGGTTGAAGGACACAAATATGATCGAGATTCCGACCGATAGCTCCGCCACCGAGGTGTACAGTGATGTTAAGGTCTAGACTGCAGAGCAACTCTGTAGGGCTACGTGCTCAGCTCCGAAGGGTTGGAAGTGCACCGCGCACAGTGCGAGGAGCAGATGGGAGTACAATGGCAGTTTTACCTCCATATCAGCCCAGGAAGAGATTATCTGAACGTTGGAAGCGGAAGACCCTGGGATATAGCCAATATATCATTGTAAATACATGTTTTCGAGGGTCTCCGGTCCCTCGCTCCAGTCCATGATAATCCACAGCTTGATGAGTCTATTCTGCCGCTATGTCTACTATGACGGCTTCTTTCTTCCAGATTTTGAGGTGTGCGAGCCTGTTAGTCAAAATAGGAGCCTCGTATTGTAAGCCGCTTGAGAGGGTCATGGTAAATATACAGCAATGGAACCAACAATCTAGACCTTAGAAACCAGAATAGTGACTTTGCCCAACATCCATACCAATCTCTACACTCTTCATGCATCGCAGAGACATTTCCCAAGAGTGTCTCTCCACAAAGTACCTTGTCCGTCTCCGAGATGTTGGAGACTCGGCCTTCCCCACCAGACCAAGCCAACTAACTCCAAAATAGGCAACTGCTTATCGTGGTTTAGTGCGAAGTCTAGCCCAATTAGGAGTTCCCAGGTCATACAGTTCTTCGCTCGTTTGGACTACATTACTACCTCCATACTGTCAAGTGTCGAGGTAGTGAGCCCTGAATGTACTGTGAGCAACCCCCCTCTGAAACGCCAATGTGCAGATGCCGGTCCCGGCTGTTGGAAAGGAAGGCTACCCGCCTGAGGTTATCGGCTATGCGGAGCCGTGGATAGTATCTCCAGGCGAGTCGGTCGCGATCAAGGTATGCATGCAATCGTGGCAATCAACGTCCTTGTGTCCTCGCGACAAGAAGGATGAGTCGTCAACAGAATCCCAACTGCGCTGTCGATAATTCATCATAACTGCGTTTCCAGCAATTTCGATGTCTTCCATGAGGATGGAACAACCCAGCTGACGCAGACATACTAACGCTTGTATCCCTAGGTGTCTTGTACGGAACCAGAATATGCGTATAGGGTAGTCCGGTTGATCCAGGGTATCGACATTGAGCATGCGCCGGAAAGGCGCGAGGAAGACGTGTCGCAGATCCCCCGAGGTCGACGGAATGGACGGATCCAGATCGCTCACCCAGGCTCGTACGGATATGTCAATAACTGGAACACCCCTTCCCCAGCAGATGGGCTAGATGTCTCGCTCTACATGCAGCCGTGGCTGGTGGATTGCTCCCATCCCCAGACACTGGTCTCTTCTCTGGACTTGGTGGGGAAGACTGGATTCTCCATCGTGCTGAACCGCCAAGGTTCAATCGAAGTGCGGATAGCAATGGATAACAAGGTCGAAGCTATCAATACTGAACTCAGACCGCGACAGAGAAACTGGACGAAATTGGAGGTTCAAGTTCACGGTCGATTACTCCGGGCGTCCTTGACTCCCAAGTCATTCAGAGTGGAACCAGTGCCTGTCGCTGCGACGTATGAGACACAATTGCCGTGTGAACCACGGACTTCTGGCTCTGGTCCGCTTTTCATCGCGGCGAGCCCAAGTAACGAGGATATCAATCCTCAGAGTGGTCCCAAGCGGCATGTGATTGACTTTTTCAACGGCCGTATCGCTGACCTGACGCTGAAAACAGGCAGCGCCAATCCCTCCGTTCTCGCCAGGTATGACTTCGCACTTCAAACACCAAGCGACATTATTGTCGACGCCTCGGGCCACGGTCTTGGTGGAGTTCTAATCAACGCGCCTACACGCGCTGTTCGGAGTCACGACTGGGACGGATCAGAGTGTGACTGGACCAAAGCGAAACGTGGCTACGGCGCCATCCATTTCCATGATGACGATCTTGATGATGCAGGATGGGACACGGATTTCAGTATCACAATCCCATCTGACGCCCGATCTGGCGCTTATGCAGTCGAGGTGGAAACCGCCAATGGCCGAGATAAAGACTCGATCGTCTTCTTCGTGCGGCCGACCTCGTGGGCCTCGGACGTGTCGAGGAAAGTCTGCCTCGTCTTCTCTACATTCACATATCTAGCCTACGCCAACGAACGCATGTACGACACTTCGCGCCAAAACACGGCCGACCTCGGACCAGGCTTCGACATTGACGAGACTCGGAAAAGCGGTGAGTTCTACAAGATGCAACGCCGTTCGGACCTGGGTCTATCCACCTATGACCGCCACAGCGACGGCTCCGGGGTCGTTTTCTCGTCGTCAAAAAGGCCGATCCTCAACGTCCGCCCGGGCTATATCATGTGGGCGTTTTCTCGCCCGCGCGAATTCTCCGCTGACCTCATGATGGTCGGGTATCTGGAGCGCGAAGGGATCCCCTACGAGGTCCTGACCGACCATGACCTGCACGTACGAGGTGGTAGCGCCATCCGGGGGTTTAATACTGTCATTACAGGCTCTCATCCCGAATACCCTAGTCCACATTCATTTGCCGCATATGCTAGCTTTGCCAAAGAAGGTGGCAACCTCATGTATCTCGGCGGTAATGGCTTCTACTGGGTCACTGCACTCGACCCTGATCGTCCCCACCGTTTGGAGATCCGCCGAGGAGACGTGGGGGTGCGGCCCTACACGCTTCCAGGCGGCGAGCACGTCAACAGTCTTGACGGACAACAGAGCGGTCTCTGGCGCTCCCGGGGCATGAGCTGTAATACCCTATTTGGCGTGGGATTCTGCGCACAGGGTACTGGGCCGGGCGTTCCGTACAAACGGACCGAGGCGTCTCGGAGCACGCAGCTATCCTGGATGTTTGCAGGTATCGGCGCTGACATTATCGGAGAACACGGCTTCGGCGGCGGCGCCTCGGGCGACGAGATCGATCGCTACGACGTGGAGAACGGCAGTCCCGAGGACGCCATAGTCCTGGCCACGAGCAGCGGCCACAGTGACGACTTTGGCATTGCCACCGAAGACCTGAATTATCCCGCACTGAATACCCTCGGGACGCAGACGAGCTTGATTCGAAGCGACATCGTTTACTATGTCGGCGCAGAAGGTGGCGGCGTGTTCAGCGTCGGAAGTATCAATTGGTACTGCTCGCTGGGGTGGGATGGCTACGACAACAACGTCGCCAAACTGACGGGCAATGTCATCAGAGGGTTTCTGGCTGGAAAACGCTGATGTGGCTTCGAGGTAGACTTGTAGAGACATTCATGTTATTGAATGATCCGTCAGACACCAGCTATGGACGGAATAGCCTTTTCCGTGCTGTGACCTGTTCGAAGCAAGTATTCCTGCCGCATTCGTGCAAGTGATTGACAATGTTCGGGTGACCAACACTCCTGTGAGCGTGCACAGACCGTAGCAAAGCTGGTCGACGAGGTCCTGGACAAAACCTCTGGCGTTCAGACTTGTAAACGCACACGGGAGGCACTTTGCAGGAGCTTGTTGAGAATCGGGGACTCGAACTGATTGCCTGACGAGCGATATTCATGTCTTCTTTGTAGAATGGCCGGCTTCGACTTGCTGTGTGTATATTGTACAGTCCAGCCTGTCCTCTCTTTCGAGGATTTCTCCTGACTCCTTTCTCATGCAAGTTATGAGCCCATGCCTCCCAACAATGTTCGACCGTAGTCTTGCGCTCCAGCACGATCGTGGAGGCTATGTGCTCGAAGGAGGCTATGCTGAATAGAAACCGACGTCTTGTTGCATTGGATACCCCTGAATCCATTGTTCCCGTAGATATTGGCCTTCACTACTCAAAAAACTTGCTGCCGTTCAGGTCTGTGTTCTGGAGGGTCAGCCAAGTCCTGTGTCCTTTCAAGCATTGTTCTCTTCATCCGTCTTGCGTTCGTACAGGGTTGTAGCTAGATGTTCAGCTCCCGATCTGCCTTGGGCCTGAGGTGGTATTTTTGAAGGGGTTCTTTGTCGAAAAGCTCTTTCTTTGCTCCTCGTTCAGCACAGCGTGATTGTCTCTGGCGTGGAAACACAATGGTCAGGCGGTTAGCCGTCATTTCAGGAAGGAAGTCTTCGATCTTGAGAAAAGGAAGTCTCGTCTGCTCGCAGGTCAGAAATCCTGTGTTGTTGGCAGCATCGGAAGGAGTCCAAGAAGATCAGGAGGAACGTACAGAGTATTGGTGCAATCGTGGCATTGAGCCGCGAGTACGACATCATGAACAGATGCCTTTTGAGATCATGATGGCGATGGTTGTGAAGGGAGAACAATGGTAGGAGTGCGGCTAGAGGATCTTTAGAATAACAGTAAGTGCAAGGACACAACTGCGTATCTGGTAGGAGAGAATTCGTCCTTGCAGCTTCATGCTGTGGCTCGAAAACAGGGGATCAAAGCAGAGGTCGACCTTGCTTGTTGGCACGTTCACAGGTTGTCTTGCTTCAAGCTTCTGACAATCAAAGACACCCAAAGGACAGCAGCGAGCAACAGAGAGACACAAACTGGCCGTAATCATGACTTCTGGTCACGTAGAGCCACAGGATAAACCGACACCAGCCGCGTGCGGCTTGTTCAATCTTCATCTTGTCGTTCCTGCGCACCACCCCGGGGTCTCAGCCGCATCTTTCAGCCGCGTTCTGTCCCTCCAAGCATCCATCTATTGTGTTGATAGTGTGGTCGGCGGCTGATGACGCCCAGAATCGGTATAGCCAACGAAAACCAGACACGTTATGACACAAAACTCAAATTGTTGCATCATCTTCTTCTTTCCTCGTCTCAACAACCATCTCTTTCATCAACCAACTTCATCTTCGTGAACGTCAACACCTTCATATTCTTGAGTTTCCTTCTTCCTGCCTTCCTCCGAGGGCTGGCAGGCACACAACGTTAAGGCAAAGACGCAGGATGGACTGCAAGACTGGTACAGTCTCTCTGCCGCAGCGTAGTGTGTTTGTCAGCCCCTCGACCTGATCAAGCATCGACAGAGCAATCTTTGCTCAATAACAAAATGTATTGTGGGCAGACTTACCCCTGGGTCTCCAGGCTTTGACTGATCTTGCACAGATATATAAACAAATGGGACGCTGGTTCCGGTGAGTCTTTGTGCCGTCTCATATGTTACCTCCTTTGTCCACCTTGCCTTTCATTGTACATTATCTGGACGACGTGGAAAGAGGAGGACACACCACATCAAGCGTTCCGCAATTCATAAACTGGAAGCTGGTTGAGAGCTGTTTCACTTTCTCAGCAAGTCACAAACCGTGCCTGGATCCTGGAACTCCCGTGACAGAGTCACTTCACTTGACATATTGGACCACAGTCCAAGCAAACTGAAACGCCCTGGATGGTACCTTACCATACCAAAAGTAACTGGGATCAACAACACTTCAAGACCTCTCAGAGCGACTTCACCGAAGGCTCTCACCACTGGTGTCAGGTCTTCTAGAATATTTGTCCATGTCCCTGTCACCGGCTCTGAATCACCCGTTGTGGATCCAGCATTCACCTCAAAGTGTAATCAGGCCTTGGTCACCTTTGCTGGCAGAAGAGAGTGACTGTGCTCGGCCTGCGGTGAAGTGACAGGTCGTTGTCACGGATACCTTGCTGCCTGAGCATGTGCAAGTCTTCTCAAGGGGTCTGGGGTATTTAAATCCCTCTTTGCACCTCTGGATTGTTCTCTCTTCTCATCCTCTCAGCATCTGGTTGTTGTTCTTTCTTTGACTTGGTTCATCCGCCTTCTGAGACTCTTGTCCGACATAAACGACGCAATCAGGAATCAGTTCAACAAAAGCAGTTCTTCTCCTCAGCAAAAGTCATCATTTGTGCGGCAGTTTGGCGATTTGGGAGCTTTGCACGTCGTCCAGCTGGTCTTGGCATCACCATTATAAAAAGCGGCCACTGATTCTTTTTTTCACCTTAAGCCTCTGTTCTTCCTCTTGACAAAGGTCGCTCTTCTGATTCATCAGGTTAGGCTCTCTCTTCCTCTTCGTTGCTGTTGGCTTGAATCTCTGGTCATCACCTTGAACCTCTCATCACCATCATTTCACCATCGTCATCGACAACACTCCTGGGACAGTCTTGTTCTGAGCCAGCAACAGACGACGTGGAATCATCCTCGGTGCACAGACATCAGAGACTTCAGAGACTTCATTGCACATTGTTGCAACCTCTGTTTCTCCAGTCATCAGCTCATCCTGCCTCTCGATCTGTTCACTTTCGATCTGACCACTTTTCACTTTCACTTTTCCACTTGACACCTCACCAATCCACCTCACCATCTTTCACCCGACCCTTACTCACTCCTTCATCCTTTACAGATCGAGATGGCCTCTTACTTTGGCCGTGACACGCCGCTTGCGGCCTCTGTCACCTCTCCCATCATCGAACAGGCGCAGACCAGACTGAACCAGTCTGAGCGCAACTACTCCCGAACCCAGCAAGATCTCCAGAATGCCATGCGCATTCGAGCAACAACACCAATGTCGGCGGTCGAGACAAATGCCAAAGACCAGGAGATCGCGTCCTTGAGACGCAAACTAAGTGACCAGGAGGCAGAGATGAAGGGTCTGAAAGACACCATTGAGAAACAACGGATGACCATCAAGACCCAGAGCGAGGCCATCGCCAACCCGAAGCAGCACTATGCCACGCCAACACCGAATCGGTTCGGAGGCAACCCACCGTATGGCCCAAACCCAAACATTCAGCCACCTCCCCCTCCTCCTCCACCGATCTTCGCCACGGGAAATGCCATGACATACACACAGCCTCGTCCGACCTTGTCGGCGCCTCCCCACCAGCAACCTGGGAGCACTCCCTCTCCGTTTGATGACACCATGAACCAGCACTTCTCGGCTCTCTCAATCAACCCAGCTCAAGGGTCACAGATGCAGCAGCCACAACCGACGCCATTCCGGCAGTCAGGTCACGTCAATGAGTTCGGGTCTCCTGAGCCCGCAAGACCATACAATACCAATCTGGCCATCAAGTCCACCCCTACGGGGCCGAGAAAAGGCAACAGTGGAACACCAGCCTTGGGTTCAGCAGCCAGGATACACACTCGAGGGATGCCCAGCACCGGCCCACAGCAGCCACAGATGCCAGCGTTCCCGAACCCTATCCAGATGGTCATAGGACCACATCTCATCGTCCCAGAGGCAGTGGTGCGCCAGTTTGCCCACGTGCTGCATATGGCAGAGACATATGCATATTCTCATGTCAACACGCCCAGCACGCAGAAGGACAACGCCATGCCACAAGAGGTCAAGGATCGACTGATTAGAGCGGCATCCACAACATCGGCGTTTCAGTTCATGCAGACACCATTCACCCGCTACCTGCTGGTGTACAAGCTCATTGTCCAGTTCATGATCAAGACCATCCTCAAGCATGACTGCTTCACCGGGTTCAACCCAGAGGCTGACCGGATCATCGAGACCTGCAAGAATCAGATGTATCAGAGTGAGTCCTTGATGCCCTTTTTACCTAGCACCCAAACCCGTACTGACATGAGCCTTTAGCCACCCCGGCCCAGGTCAAGTACCAGCTGCTCACCACCATGGCGGATCAGGTTCAGAAGCTCAAGACCAATCCCAACTTCCACAATTTCGTCAACAACATTGCGCGTGTTCGTGGCAACGAAATCTGGAAGGTCCTCAAGCCAATGATGCACTCAAAGACATCGCGGGACTGGGATGACTTGTACGAACTGATGATCAACGCCCACCAGCTCGCCCAGACGATGTTCTCTGGCTCTGAAGAGTACAAGTTTGACTTTCCAGTCATGGGCCAAGCATTCCAGAAGGAGTGGATGGAGCCAAGGGATCCATTCAAGAATGTGCACACACCGGAGCAGTTGGAGGCAATGGGGGCGACAGTCAGGCTTGGAATTACGCCACTCATCAGTGTGCGGACCAGCACTCAAGGAGGACTAGTGAGGTCGTGCACCATTCTGAAGTCATTCATTTTGCTCAAAGCAGACAAGGGAAACTGAGGCATGGGAGAGAGGGGTGAAAAGTGTGCTGGAGGTGGGAGTCCATAGGGTCGATTTTACAAAGGGGGGAAACAAACATGCCAAGAACACGTCAATTGTATGGAGCTGCCATAGAAATGAGATGGCACAGAGATGCACTTTTCCCACACACAAAAAACTTCTGTATCTATGGTTCTTTGTTCTTTTTTTAACCAAGTCCCACCATGTTGCCTCCATTGTGATCACCTTCCCCAACCTGCATGTCCACATTATCTGTCCAGGATACCCTCTCCCTTCGCATCTACCCAGCCTCTATGGTGATGTGGCATGACGCCCTTTTGCCGTGCACGTCACCCCCACATATGCGGTTAGACAGTCAGCTCCCGTCAGCCACAAGTCGTCATGCGATGACCGGATTCTGCCCTGGGGGTATGGCGGCGAGAACGCCAAGTATTCTGAGAAAGAGATGCAAGCAGTCGCCCGCTCCAATATGATCAGGAGGAGGTTATATATCACGACGTCCTCCATGTCTCCGTCCCCGATTAACATCAACCATTCACTCCTCGTCAGACACCATGCGCAGCTACACTCTCCTCTCCCTTGGTGCTCTGGCATCCGCCGCAACCATTGACGTCAATGTCGGTCAAAGTGGCCTTACCTATTCTCCCGATACAGTCCAGGCGGCCGTTGGCGACATCGTCAACTTCCACTTCTACCCCGGCGAGCACGCCGTCACCCAATCCACCTTTGACAGCCCATGCCAACCGGTATCGGGGAATGCTATCAACTCGGGTGTCATCAACTCGAACTCTGGGCAGGCGAGTACCATGTTCTCCATGACGGTGAACTCGACCGACCCGATCTGGCTCTACTGCGGTCAAGTTGGGCATTGCGCTGCAGGAATGGCCATGGTCATCAACGCACCGTAAGAAAATCCTCTGGATTTGTGCCTTCGTTACTAACTGCCGAGCAGATCGAACGGCAACACTCTTGACGCCTACAAGCAAGCGGCCACCAGCCAATCGGGCACCATTCCATCTGATGTGTTTGGAGGTGTCATCGTTGCCAACGTGGACAACGCGGGCTCCAGCAGCAGTTCCCCCGCTGGATCCTCGTCTGCTACTACGTCTGCTGCCAGCACGACTGCTGCGACCTCGAGCAGCACTGCCTCGGCGTCCGCATCACCGACCAGCAATGCCGCATCGTCCGGCTTTGGGGTCATGGGTTTGGAGTGGTCGCTCGTGGGCACCTTGGTGGCTCCTGCCATGGCGTACCTATTCTCATGAACCGCGCAGCAGGAGTGGAGATAGAGGGCGTGACATCTGAACCTTGCAGTTTGCAATGATGGGTAAGGGTACAAGGCTCGCAACACACAAGGGGGAGCTTGCTAGGGCTGCACGAACAGGGGAATGGTTTGAGCCAATGAACCATGGCCGCAAACCAGCTTGTTTAATTTAGTACGGAGTACCATGCGACAATTTTAACCTTTTGAACGAACCACCTTCCACTTCCCCCCTTTCTTCGGTCATCCTTCCCGCTCGTCCCAGAACAGAGAATGAATGGGCTGGTTTGGAGACGAGATGCGTAACTGAGTGAGTGAGCGAGTAACTGAGTAACCGAGTAAGTGAATGGCTTAGTAAGTACTCAACCGAACGATTGAGGAAGGAAGCAATACTCGTTAGTTGATCGCAGTCCCAAGAGGAAAATGAAGGAAATGACTGCGCCATCCTGCACGCGCGTTCCCCTTCCTCTTTCCATTGCCCTTTCTGCCCCTGCTCTGACTGACTACTAGGCGGTATGCTCGTATTATCCCCCGTCCTTCTCGTATTTCTCTGCCCAAGCTAGCACACCCAGCACTACCATATCACCTATCGCACACTGTACCTACGAGAAGGATTGTGAGTGTGAATACGAGTGCCGTGTGCGGTATGTCGAATTCTGCGATAGTTCAGTGGTACTTGTGACAGGTACGACCCACTCGTCCACCACTGCGGCGTGTGCCCGATCGCCACAGATCCGGAGAGTTGAGTGGTGAATAAGGCTGAAAGCGGCCGCGCCACCGATGAGACGACCACGGCCACGGTCACGACCAATACGGTTTCTCGGGCATATATGAAAACCCGGAGTCAGAGGAGGGAGTAGATATAACTATAAATATATTTGGTACCACAGTGACTACCTAGGTAAGTAGTAAGCGAGCAAGCGAGTTGGTAGTAAGCGACTTTGTGACTACGAGTATGTGACTAATCGAGTGAGTGAGTGCGCAGGCGAGTGAGTACCTCGTAGGCGAAAAGTGATCGCCTATGCGTGCATGCGTGCAGTGCGGTGCAGCGTACGTACTGCAGTGTAGATTAGATCGCTGGGAAAGGCGGCGCTCCGGCAAAACAATTTTATTGCGCATGCAGGACCGGGAATGGCTCAGCCGCAGCTGCCTTTTTCCTCCGGGGTTTTCATATTTCCAAACTAGTGGTTATTTCACCTTGAGCCTCTCTCATTGGCCCTCATAAACAGACGCAGACTGCCGGATGAGGCACTGTCTTCTCTTCTCGTTGTCTGACGACACTCCTTCAAACCAACAAGACCCCTTCCTACTGCTCCTCCTCCTCTCTCGCTTTGAGCAGAGCTCACAGGGTATACCGATAAAAGGGACTCTTGTCGCCCAAATCCAACAACTCCTGCTCGGTGTACTTCGCCTTAATGGCCGCTTCACCCTCGCGCGCCAACAGCTCGTCCCTCCGCGCGTTCTCACGCCGGTACGCCACGCGGAGCACAAACGCGGCGATGATGCCCATGGCGCACATCGCCAGGCTCACACCAAAGCCCGTCGGGTACTTGGGCGCCTGGGCCGCGAAGTAGATGTTGCTGCCGCAGATGCCGCCCATGTTGCCGACGCTGATGAGTAGGGCCATTCCTGGAGAGTGTCAAGGTCAGTGTGTTGGCTTGTTTCGATATATTGTGCACCTGGGAGGTAAGAGGGAAGTGATTGTGTTGGAGTAAGATAAAAGGTTGGGGATGAGAGAGAACAAACTCACCGACTGCGCGCTTCGAGGATGGCGCGAGATTGTTCGCCGTCAAGGTCACAACACACGTGAACGGGCAGTAGAGACCCGTAGCCACGAAGAAGAGGAAGAAGTATGACACGCCCGAATACTTGGGGTGTGGGATGGCCAGCTGGGCGATGAAGCCAATGACTCCAATCGCCAAACCGCCCATAATGAACGGAGTCCGCTGATGGACATGGTCGGCCCAGAACGCCACAATCACGGTCGCGATCATCCCGACCACGTAAATCGGGATAGTCATAAGTTGGGCATTCGCGGAACTATAGCCCATTTCCTTGATGACCGACGGCACCGTCGCCGTGAAGCCGTAGGTGCCGATGCTGCAGGCCCAGAAGGGGATGACAGCACACCAAACCCTCCAGTCCGCAAAGCCGGCCTTGATATACGCCCAGCTCATCTTGTCGACGTTGGTTACCCGACCTTGGCCCGATCCGGTATGCAGGGCGATGCGATTGACGACGAACTCGCGCTCTTCTTTGGTGAGGAAACGGGCAGTCTCGGGCTTGTCGGGCAGCAGGAAGTACAAGGTAAAGGACACAGCGACAGGCGCCAGTCCCTCGAGGATGAAGATCCACTTCCACCCCGCGAGGCCGGCGATGCCATCCATCTTCTCAATCGCAAAGGCCAGCAGCCCTGAGAATGCGCCGGAGAGAGAGGCAGCGGCGTAGAAGACAGCCATGCGGCGTTGCACCTCGTAGCGGTGGTACCAGATGGTGAGCACTGGCAGAGTATACAGGTTAGCATTGTCCATGCAGTTAACCCATTGGCTACCAGTGTGCTTTGTCTCGAATCCCCTCTGTCTGGACTTTATTGTAGGCGTGCAGAGGCAAAGGCAAACTCACAGTACGTCGCGGCAGGAAAGAACCCAGCTTCCGTCAGCCCCAGGAAGAATCGAGCAGTTACAAGGCCCTCGTAGGTGGTAACGACCCCCATCAAGGTCATGACAAGACCCCAGAGGAAGCAGAGGATGGAGATCCAGATGGACGGACGAAGCATTTTGAGGACGATGTTGGAAGGGACCTATCATGCTCTTAGCATTATATTGTACACCATTGATCACTCAGGTCCATACTTCAAACAGTGCATATGGCACGAAGAAGACCGTCAACGCCGTATTGTAGCGCATCCCGTAGAGCTCGAGGTCTTCGTACATGCCTGCGATCTTGGCATTGCCGATGTTGCTTCGGTCGATGTATGCCAGACTGTACTCGGTCAGCATTCAGCAACCCGGCATTCAGAGCGATATTGAACTCACAGGTACAAGACACCGAGCAGTGGAATGAGGCGGTAGTCGATTTTCCTCAAAATCCTCTGGACTTCCTTCTGGTCGTAGTGAGGCTCGAGCTGCTCGGCATCGTAGCCGGCGTCCACGGTACGGAGGGCGTCTGTTCCATTGGCATCGTCGGGAGTATGTATTCCAATCTCCTTCTCGTCGGCGCCGTATTCGATCCTCTGAGTTTGCTGTTTTTCAGTCATTTCTGCATCAAGTATAGCCCGCTTGGTAACAGAGATAAATCAAAAAAGCACACAAAGGGAGGAGGGGAAAAAAATTCACGAAGAAGACATGATTCCAATCGCCCTCAAGACGCCCCTGGTTTATGAGACTGACGTGCGACGAGGATCTTGCCATGCACCTGGAGCTTCAGGTGTGATGTCCACCGGAGACCAGCTCGACGACTTGGTGCCCAGCTCGGTAGCAGGGGGGGACCTACAACCACCGGACTTGGGACCTTGGAAGGTTTTCTAGAACCAACCCATTTTGTCACGTCAAGACCAATGACCCTGTTCTTGGGACTGACACACTCCAACTGCCGATCTGCTCTTGACGTTGGAAACGGTCCCTTGGCAAATGCAACGTGGGGATTCCACGTTTGGGAATATGCCCAGCAGTCGTTTTCTTCCACCGGGGCAGGCACTTGGCGGGCGATCATTCCACCAAAGTGAGTGTTGGAGTCACGTAGGTCGAGGTTGGGAGGGGACCTTGCCCTTGTGAAGCGAGAAGACACTAGGCACTCACGGCGCATCGGATGATTTTCATAGAGCGTAGTAGTGTGACTTATTGACCTCTTCCAGGCTTGGCCCCTATTCAAGGTCAGCCTGGTGGGGCCGACGCTTGTAGAATAGATGTGGGGTATCGATATTGCGGAGACAGAACCCGGATCGATGCTTCATTCGGAGGACTACCACTATTAGAAGGAGCAGTCTTGGAACTCCGTGGTGGCTTTTGGAGAAAGTCAACGTCAGACTGGGTATGGAATCTTGTGGGCGACAGTTGCCCATTCCTTGGCCCTGCTGTACATCAATCTCTTGTATGAAATTTGAATAGCATGGGGTTAGTAAAGACTGGCGGAATCCCCAAGAGGCTGGCTGGTGGACGACACTTTATACGCTAGGTATGGTTGAATGGACTGGTCGATCAAGAATTCCATAACGTGTAGAGAAAGTCAAGCGCACCAGCTGTAAAATGTGAATGCAGGTCTCAGACACCTTCATTTATCCAAGCCTCGCGTACGAACCGAAGCGTGGAAACCGCAAACACATGATCCGGGACGAGCAGAGACAGGAAGATTGTTGGGGAAAACGTCAATCGATTTCACGTGCTGAGCCACTGTTCGGCATCCAGATTTTGTCTGAGAAGGGAAAAACGAAAATCTAAGAGGTGTCGCCGCCATCCAAGGCCACGCTCGTCGGAGCATTATAACATGGTCGACTCCAAAAGAAGACCCGAAGAAGAGTAGACAGCGTTGGTAACACGGAGACCACATCGCGAGGGACAATTTGGAGCACGAAACTGGTGATCAAATTGAAACAGTATGGAATGAACCACGAATAGCCGCATTGTGATCAATATTTTGTATTGTCGAAAGCACCGGCCACGGCTTTGCACAAGTACTTTTCTCATTCAGTCGCTTAGAGCAAAGCCTTCCGGCAAATCGAGACGACGAACGAGCGCATCTAGGGTCATTCCGAGCCGACCTATCGCTTCTTTTCCATGGACTCCCCAATGCACGAAGAAAGCCCCCTTCGTATCTGCTCACCGTCCCCGATCAATCAACATTCGGAAGAGGAAAGAACACACTGAGCATTTTCATCAACCCCCTCATGCCGCCGTGATGGCCTTCTGTCTCCGAGCAGCTCGCTGTCTGGTGGACAATCTTGTTCCCTTGGCAACACCCAACTCCTCGGCCTTGGACACGGCCTCCTCAGCTTCCGTCAAGATCAACTCGATGTGGCATGGGTTGGACATGTACGGGTTGATACGGCCGTGGGCACGGTACGTGCGACGTCGCTGCTTCGGTGCTTGGTTGACTTGGATGTGTTTGACGATGAGTTTTGAGGTGTCCAGACCCTTGGTGTCGGCATTGGCCTCGGCGTTCTTGAGCAGACCCAACAGGAACTCGGCCGACTTGACAGGCCAGCGCGCTTTTGAGACACCGAATTGTTTGCCTGCGGAGGACAAAATGTTAGCAAACTGCATTTAGGATTCGCGCCAGATCGCATAGCAGAAAATCGGCCCTTCATCTAAAGTCGTCCCCATCATATTGTGAAAATTGCGCCTCAAGGCTCTCGACAGAGTGCGCTTGTAGGAATATTCTCCCAAGAGATGATCCACCATTGTCTTGCTCTCAGGGGTTGGCGTACCTTGTGCAGTCCGTCCAGTGCTACCGGCATATCTTCTCATTGGCACAGCCTCCTTGAGTTGTTTGACATTTTCGAGGTATTGGAGGGCGCGATCGAGTTTCCATCCGTTGATGGCTTGAGCAGTCTCACGGGTGTTTTTGAAACTGACTCGCAGGTAACTGCCACGGCTTCGAGCCGAGCGGGCACTGGGAATTCGTTCGGCAGGGGCGTAGCGGACCTAGGTGGCAGAAGTCAGTCATCCGCATAGACTCATTTAATGGATTCAATCCAAGGCAAAGTAAACATACCATCTTGACGGGTGTGGGAGTGAATGAGATGGTCCTAGTTGTTGTTGTCGATTCTACCTCGAAAATGAAGGCCGCACACTACGCGGGAAATTTTGGTTGTGGGAAATGCCAAGACTGCGATTCTGCGCACATTGAGAGGGATGTGCGAGGCAACTATTCCGAGTCTTCCTGTGTGGTTCGCCTTGGCATGAAATGACGCTAAGCCGTTTTCAGCCTCCAATCCTTCACCTTTTGACCTTTTGATATACTCTGGTCCTTGTTCGCACTCTGGTCTCTCGGTTCTGATTCTTGATTGAAGCTCAACTTGTTCGTACGGATTCTTGACTGTCCCTTTTTTCGCTTGGCAGACAGCTCTGTTCATACGAAACTGAAGACTCTCTCTCGAAAGACACATATGAGTTAGCCCACAAACATGTTCTGTCTTGCTCAGTTTCCCTCCTTTGTCTTTCCCACTGCTAACCCACTTCGGCTCGGGGATCGTAATCACCACCTTCTGTCTCTTCAGTTCCGCCTCGAGCCAGCGGAATATGTCTGTACCAATCTTCATCATCTGAGATCTCCTCGTCCTCAACGGCACTGGCCATGATCTCTCTCTTTGTCTTCAGCTTCTTTTGCTTCAGCACAGGGCGTTCGACTTCTTCGATCGTCTGGACCACTGCCGGGACGTCTGCTGCATCGTACCAATATTCCGCTTCAGCCCCAGAGGTCTCTCCCTCTTCGTCTTCCTCGTCTGTGGACACAAGGGCTGCCCCTGCCAATTGGCTACCTTTACGCTTACTCGGCGTTGTCTGCGGCTCTAGAATCGCTCCGGCAATAGCATCCTCATATCCAGGATCGCCAGGCCTATACAATTTGCCGTTGATGACCTTTGAACCTGTCGGCCTTCCCCGCTTGGACTCGTTTGTTTCGAGATCGGGGAAGTTGGAGGTGTATCTGGAGGCAATTGGGTCAAGCGAGAGTTGTTGGCCGTTAAGAATTTTCAGATGCGTCCTCCAAAGTTCCAGTGTATCCTTGTCCCGTGTTGTGTCGTATCTGCCGACCTCAAGTCCATTTATCGTTTGTAGATCCAATGCTTCAGCGCGAGTGTCCGCCCAGTACCAGAGCACAGAGCCAGTGTCGGCCTCTCCCAATCTTTCATCTGCCTGCGTGGCGTAGACGCGACCATCTTCAATCCCTTTCAAGTCGTAATCCAGGGATGGTTTGATGCCACGTATCTTACTCTTGGCAGATCTGCGTTGCAACAGCCCCGTCCAGAGCTGCACAGCTGCACCTTCGCATAGTCTTCCAAGAATTTGGTCGTGCGAAATCTCGTATCGCTGATGAGCTTCGTGCAAGCAGTACCATGGACCGTAGAGCGCTGAACCTACTGGGCGGAAGACTGTCTTAACCTCGTCTTGAGACACCGCTTCAGCACCACCGAGTTGAGAGTTGGCATCGTCGGCTTTGTGCTGTTGACGACGGCTTTGGTCAATGGTGTACCCTCTGCCGACTAGGGTTATGTAGGACCTCGTCGATAGCAACGGTGAATCTGGGGTGACGTGCTCCGGCTTGATGTCGTCAAGATGAAGTCTGATTGATTCCACAACCAGCACATCAGTGCATCTTTTCCCATTCTCACGTGGGGCGATTCTGACGGCATCTCCAACCGTGATCAGCTCAGGCCCTATGTAAATACCCTTGCAGCGAATGGTAGCGTAAGGCCAATCTCCCTTAAAGTACCATTTCTCCAGAAGTGAGATACTGGTCATACAGGTCAGAGCATGTTCAATTGATGGGTGCCATTGCCTCCTCGGAGTTCCTCGAAGCAACATCTGCCAGTGACTCAAGGGTCGGATATTCCGTAAGGGGAGATAGCGGTATTGTTTGGACATTGTTTTATCCTCCTCATCATTAGGATCTGGAAATGTTTCCACTCGGAAGCCTCCGGTGTTAAGATTGTTCTGCTTAGAGGGAAGATCTTGGATATCCGGGAAATCGACAGGTCCATCAGTTGCGACAGCAGACGGCACAGCTGTGATAACTCCACCTCTCCAGGTAGGTAACCCGTGAAAACATTTCTGGGTAAAGGAATAGAACTTGTACTCCTGAGTCTTTTCGTCGAGCATGAGGTAGTGCTCATGAAGAAAGATTGGGCAGAATAACACAAGTTCTCCGACTCGGGGCACAAAGGCGTGTTGATGCTCGATCAAAGTCAAACTCCGCTGAACATGATCTATCCCGGCCCAGTCTTGAACATTTTGAGTCGTCCAGGAGTGCTCAGCTCTCCAGTCGATAGAGTTAGGTTCTCTAACGTCGTCCTCGATTCCGGTTGTGCCACCTTTGCTGGCCTCTAGTCTCCTCAACTGGTCTTTAAACACGTCTTCCGTCCCTTCTGCGTCCCGAGCGTAGGGAGCTCCGGCGGCTTTGATATGGCGCTGTGGACGATTTGAAAAAGACCCGGTCGCACGACCAGCAATGGAAGCTGACCTTGACGAGGATTCGCTTTCAAGCCGCTTTTCCCTTGGGATGGGGAGCTGGTTTTCTGAGTTAAGGCGAGTTCGACGTTTAATCGGTTCCGCTTTGTAAGAGCCACAGAGTATGCATTCACAAATACCCTGCATTCCCGACATCAACCAAAGGAAATGTGGTTGAAACCGAAGAATGGAATCGTAGTACTTGCCAGAGCGATGGCCAAAGAGTCGCTTATAGGTCACGCCTGTCTTTCCATGCTGATCTATTTCGAACACGGCATAGCCACGGGGGAGGTGGTCGAGATAGTAGTTCAGACCTGTGTTCAGGATCAGAAGGGTTCAACATCTATTTCATTGGTGGTCATGGAGCAAGCACAACTCAGCCATCTGACCCAATGACATTGTGAGGTTGAGAAGCAGACGCGACAGCATTGCTTACCCGCTCGCTGGATGCCCATCTTCTCTGACCATGCTTTTGCCAGAGTGATCAAGTGCCGTTCTTCTGAACTAGGCCTGTAGGGTTTGGGAGGCCAGGTCCGTTGGTCCGCATCACTGTAGGGCTGGATAGGAAGAACCTGCCACTGACCCTTTCTACCGATTATCTCCCAAGAGGGGTCAGGGCGGGAGGTGTGTTTTCCTGACATCTTAGTAATGAATGAGAGAGATAGGAAATAAAGTGCGAACAGAGAACCATGACGGATGAGAACGAGCGGTGATAAGGATGAAGAGTTGTTGGGGGGGGGGGATGCCGTTTGAAGTGAAATGAATAAATGAACCGTGAACAGTGACTTTTAATGTTTGTTTGCGCGTGTCAGAAGTGCCTCACCCGCATCTATAAACATCTCTTCTTTGAGGAGAGAGACATTCTCAAAACTGTCTAGAGCAACTTGAAAATAAGAGTCGAATTGACATGATTCACGATACACGAAACATAGGGAAATTCACCTAGTTTGATTTACAAGCGATAAAACTTTACATGTACATATACAGCATAACGTCGTTATTTCCCTCCCTCTGCTCCTGGTATCAAAGTCCGCTCCAGCTTGATCTGAAACCTCCGCCTACCCTTCGGAAGAAAACCATCGAGTCCGTCATTTTCCATGTCATAATATAGCTGCCATTGTCGCGTGGAGGTGTCTTCGACAGCCAAAAAGGCCTCGCTTTCATCAAAAGTTATACGTTGTTCGTCTTCTGTCCAATCCCACGGTCCGACGTGGTGCTCAATACTGGCTGATTTATTGCCATATCTCAGCTCCATCGTGTCTTTGTCCACGTATATCCAGTTCAACAGCGGAGGGTCGTCTCGAACTTGGCTAACAAGGCCCATGGGAACGGGAACTCTCTAGAACAAAGCCATCAGTCTGGAAATTCACATAGCACGACTTGGGATTGATCTGGGGTCACTTACCTCGTTGTCTGGATACTCGATGTAGAACGCTTCGGCGACATATCCTTCTTTGCACGGATTCAAAGCTTCATGCGGCCCTATCCACACACGGTCATCTCTCAGAACGAGTCTCTTCTCGTGAATTTCACGTATCCGAGAGTTCTGGGCTTCACAGCTGACATCGATGTAGAATTTTTGCATGCGCCTTGCATCCTTCTCGCGCTCCTTGTGCTTCTTCTGCCCATGAATAGCTTGAGCGACACCTGTGACGGTGGGAATCGAGGTGAGGATGAGAAGTCCGATGACCATGTTTGGGCAAAGGGCGCGGCTTCAAATGGGCAACGAGAGGCTTCTGAGAGTCTCTAAGTCATCTGTTAGACGTTCTTCGAGCATTTCGACCTTCGCGTCTCAAGTCTTGTTGTTATGAAATATCAAGGTGCACGCATTCGCCACAATGTTAATATGGAGGGGCGTCCGCAGGTGCGTCAATCATTGCCGCGTCACTTTCCTTCTGTCTCATTCGGCCCCAATTTCCCGCCACTGACCTGGCATCGCCCACTTTGCTCTGCAACTATGGTCGCAGTTCTCGCCCATGGTCATGGTGCCTTTGTCCCCAGTACATCCTTCCCTAGCCGAATTCGACACGCGCAGTGTCGCTTACTGATCTAGAACTTGGGCCGCCCGAGATGGCTGATCAAACCGCAGGAGTCGTCTCGGGACAACCTTCTCTACGTCGCAGAGAAGAAGAACCTTTGGCACCTACAGTATCTGAGTACCTGGGTGCAGGATGACTGGTCTACCTCACCTAGCAAAAGAACTCCCCATTCCCTCGGTCAAAGTTACGGCCCCTACTTTTGAGCAACATCATTCTGGTTTTGGTGTCCAATTTTGCAGACCTAGAATCTCCTGGCGGTTTTGTACCACAAACGACCATGTCTATGGTTGGGTTCAGACAGCCTATCAGCTTGAAATCCGTCCTGTGAGTGGCGGTGAGACTGAGTTATACCATGTCGATAGTTCGGAATCAGTATTCGTACCATGGCCTCCCCTATGCAGCGCTTTGAAATCCAGGGAGCAACGGAAGGTTCGTGTCCGGTGCTATGGCATGTATAGTCAAGATGAAGGGAATACCTCGCGAGTGGTAATAGAACCCTCAAATTGGTCAGACTGGAGCATGGTCGAGGCCGCTCTGCTTGACAGCCATGACTGGGCCGCCAGCATGATCACAATCAAGGATTCTGTCCCCCTGAACGATGATGGATCTGCCCGTCCATTGATTTTTCGAAAACGGTTCTTCTTACCCTCTAACAGGACAATCAAAATGGCCCGACTATATGCCACCAGCCATGGAGTCTACTTTGCACGTCTCAATAACAAGTCAGTCGGGGACGAGTGTATGGCACCAGGTTGGCAGAGTTATAACAAGCGTCTCCACTATCAAGTTCATGATGTTGGGGGCCTCCTTCTGCCTGGTGTTGAAAACGTCCTTCTGCTTGATGTGGGACCTGGCTGGTTCGCATCAGCCTTGTCCTGGGTCTGTCGAAGGTTTGTTTACGGCACCGAGCTTGGTATCCTGGCGCAACTAGAAGTGCAATTCGACGGAACTGATGAGCCGTTTATTGTCTGTACAGACTCTTCCTGGACGGCCACCACTTCAGCTATTCTGAGTAGCGAGATCTACAATGGAGAAGTCTATGACCAGCAGCGAGCCATGGAGATAGGTCGGGCACATGATGAGCTGTCCCAGGTCACATGGAGTGAAACTAGAGTCTCAAACATCGCTGTTGCACCTCTGACCTCGCCCAACGGGCCACCAGTACGAGTAACGGAACGCCTTCGACCGAAGTCGTTTTTGAAATCTGCATCTGGCAAAATCATCATTGATTTCGGACAAAATATCGCCGGTCGACTGTGCATCAGGCGTCTCCTCAAGCCTGCGGGACACAAAGTCACATTCCGCCACGCAGAAGTAGTTGAAAACGACGAGCTGGGCACAGGTCCGTTGCGCACAGCGGAAGCGAAAGACACAGTGATATGTGCAGGAACAGTCTTGACAGACTGGCACCCCAACTTTACGTTTCATGGGTTTCGATTCGTCGAAGTGTCGGGTTGGTCTGAACAGGACGCTGAGACGCCCTTGACGAAGGACAGTGTCGTTGCGGAAGTGATGCATTCTGACATGCGAAGAACGGGTTGGTTTTCCTGCTCCAATGATGAGGTTAACCAACTACACAAAAACACGGTGTGGAGTATGAGGGGGAACTTCCTCAGCGTACCGACTGAATGTCCTTCTAGAGATGAGAGACTGGGATGGACAGGTGATTTGAATCTCTTTGCACCAACTGCCACCTTTCTCTATGATACTGGCGGGATTCTGGGAGATTGGCTGCAGGATCTGTATGCCGATCAAATGGACAATCACAAGAACTGGAAGCAAGGAATGGTACCGCTCTATGTACCAAATTGTCTGACAGGACTTGGCCCTGAAGATGAGGGCTGGCATCACATGCAGAATGGAGTTTGGGGGGACGCCGCAGTCATGGTACCATTCCAGCTCTACATGATGACAAACGATATCAATATTCTGTCGCGCCAATATGACAGCATGAAGCAGTACCTTGAAAAGGTTGTCCGGCGCGGTGAAGATGGTCTTTGGGATCCCTATCAATGGCAGTTTGGCGACTGGTTGGACCCCTCTGCGCCGCCCAATAACTCGGGAAGAGGTCGGACAGATGGTACCTTTGTCGCAGACTGTTTCCTGATCGAGTCGACGGAGAGAATGGCCTTCATCTCCGAAGAGCTCCAGAAATCGGACGATTTTTCTGACTTTGGTGCTGCTCACTCCCAGCTATTGATGGCTTTTCAAGCGAAATATGTGACACCTGCAGGGCTTCTGGCCCCTGACACGCCCACAGCACATGCGCTCGCCATCGCCTTTGACCTCCTGCCTTCCGACGAGAGATCTCATTTCGTGGCAAGTGAACAAGCAACAGCCGCGCGCCTCTCCCGTGCCCTTCGTTTTGACGACTTCTGCATCTCAACCGGCTTTGTCGGCACCGCCTTTCTGCTCCCCAGCCTCACGAAGTCCTACCAGGACGCGCTAGCGTACCAAATGCTTCTGTCACGATCCACTCCCTCACTGCTCTATCCAGTCCGCATGGGCGCAACGACGACATGGGAGCGTTGGGATAGTCTTAAGCCTGATGGCCGTATCAACGAAGCCAGCATGACAAGTTTTAATCATCACGCGCTGGGTTCTGTCACAAGTTGGTTGCACGAGAGCGTTGGTGGGATCAAGCCCGACAGGCCTGGTTGGAGAAACGTCCTGATTGAGCCGTGCGTTAACCGAATGCTCTCGTATGCTGAAATCATCTACGAGTCTGTCTATGGACGTATAGAATGTCGCTGGAAGCTGGATGGCAACACATTCAGCATGGACGTTACGGTGCCCCCAAACGCTCGCGCCTGCATTGTCTTGCCTGAAGTGCGTGATAAACAGGCTCAAGGTCTGGAAGTTGATGGTTGCTGGGTGGGTTCCGGACGATACCATTTCAAAAGCGAGTATACACGAGCTGATCATCCTGTCGAAGCCATCCTTCCGCCCTGGGGAAGGTCGAGTTTCTGAAACCGACAGCTTGATTGTTTAGTCTGGGTTTCGCAAGCTTCTGTGGCTGAACCTTTGTCAATGATACCACGCCGCCAAATTTAACGAGAACACTCAGACTGAGCACACCGTCAATGCCTAGAGCTACTAGTTTATCCCTGCACCTGGCTTGTGACCTAATAGTACGGTCAGGGATTCGCCGCAAGCCTCGCTAGACATCCAATTTATAGATGAAGCATATCTACCGAACACTTCGGGGCGTGAATCAAGCATCGTGACATTTGAGGAGAGCGCTCTCGTATTTGGAGGAATGCTGAAAAGTGGTAGGGGGACGAGGGCTGGTCGCTACCGGAAAATATATACTCCGCGTTCTTGGCATAAAACCCAAAATCTCGCCGTCCTCGAAGCTTTTGATGCTTTGATCAGTGCAAGCAAGTTTCCGAACCCACCACAAGAGGCGTCAGGCGGTCTCACCGGTGAATCGCGACACCTCCTGTCTGTACTACATAGGACTTAGTGGTTCCCAATCGTTCGGACAAGCCATGGATGCTCTCAAACTGCTATCCCGCTCTACGGGCCTGAAGTCAAAAATTTCGAGACCGTCGCCACAAAATATCCCTTCTGCATCAGGACAAGCACCTATTCAGGATGCAACAGAGTCTGTCGCTGGTCGAAAACGGAAGAGGGAGCCGGGTCAAGCAGATCGTGATGGTACCCATGCGACAACGTCTACACAGCTGCCCGAACAGGAAATCCGCCAACTCCACAAGAAACACAAAATCAAGATCGTGGATTTGAACCGGTTCCGCTCCTTGGGCAGGTCGTCGGAATCAAGAAAGGCGCAAAAAGAACAGTCGCGCCTCTTTCCTCAGCCGCTTACGTCTTTTGACCAACTGCGTGCGACTTACGAAATCAACGCGACTCTGGCACGAAACATATCAGACCAGGCATATTTTGAGCCGACCGAGGTTCAAATCGCAACCCTGCCACTGCTATTAAAGCGCTTGGATGAACAACGAAATGCCGAGCCTGATCTCTTGACCATCGCGCCAACAGGAAGCGGCAAAACGCTTGCTTTCCTCATTCCATTGATCGAGAAGATTTCGAGGGCTCATCGACACTCGGGGCCCACTGTTGACAGACATATTCGTGCCATCATTCTGGCTCCTACAAAGGAATTGGTCTTCCAGATAGTCAATGAGGGGAGGAAACTGACAACCAAGACGGGTGTGACTATTACAGCAGCAAAGAAAGGAATGAGACTATTCGAAGGAGCAGCACCTTTACATGCGGAGGACTCTGAAGAAGAGGCAGAGGCGGATCAAAGTGAGGATGAAAGCGGACCTGTCATGCGCTCGGCTCTCGTCAAGACCGACATTCTTGTCTCGACACCACTCAGCCTCGTACATCTTCTTTGTCCATCTTGGGAAGAAGACGGAGACTCATCTCCGCAATCTTTACCCGAAGTTGAAACCCTGATATTTGACGAGGCGGATGTTCTTCTTGATCCCCTCTTCCGATCTCAAACGCTTGCTGTTTGGTCTGCATGCGTTTCACCCAACTTGAGGGTGAGCATGTGGTCGGCAACCATTGGAGCTAGTATCGAGGAGCTCGCAGTACAGACCATTTCGGACCGCCAAAGAATACTCGAACTGTCTGGGAGTCAATGTCCATTACTGATCCGGACCATTATCGGCTTGAAAGATACAAGCTTGCCAACGATTTCACATCGACTAGTATACACCGCAACAGAATCCGGAAAGCTTCTCGGCATGCGTCAACTACTTCATCCAGCACGGCCGATATCAACTTCGAAACGCCAAGGTACCGACATTGCGCCTCCCCGCCCACCATTTCTGGTCTTCACACAGACGGTCGACCGCGCGCAAGCATTGTACAACGAGCTTCAATATGACATTCCAGCCCAGGCGGGCGGTTCATCCCGAGTGGCAGTACTCCATGCTGCTCTGTCTCAACGCGCCCGATCGACTGTTATGGAGGGGTTTCGACAAGGGAAAATATGGGTCTTGGTCACTACGGACCTTCTGTCGCGTGGTGTGGATTTTCGAGGAGTCAACGTGGTTGTAAACTACGATATCCCGACCACTGTTGCCGGGTATGTTCATCGCGCAGGGAGGACCGGGAGAGGTGGTAGAGAAGGAGGTGTCTGTGTCAGCTTCTACACTAAAGAGGATATTCAATACGTGAAAGGCATAGCGAACGTGATTGCTGCCAGTCAGAAGACCAACGAGGACTCGCACGACGCCGAAAGTAAGGATCTGGCTTCATCCACGACGTCGGGGATCCAGCCTTGGTTACTTCACGCTCTACCTAACGTCTCTAAATCAGCAAGGAAAGACCTCAGATTGCACGGTGTCAAGGCCCGTCGCGCTATTCATGCCGATGATGACGAGAAAACCAAACGGATGAAGCGGAAGGCCAGGATTGGGACACAGAGCGGTTACGAGAGAAGGGAAACGAACCGTAAGCGGGACGCTGTGAAAGAGAGTATACGAGCAAAGAGGCAGGTGCACAGTCCGCAGGAGAAGGGAGAATGGGAAGGCTTTGAGTAAGATTGCCATTAGGGGAATGTGCTGGGAAGAATTGGCAATTGGCACGTTCCGTTGTCTCGGGCCCTAGACACGGACTTGTTTTGCGCACCACATTGTATCGAATGGACTTCTTCTCGGTTGCCTAAATTCGCCCGATGTTCGGTCGATACTACTTGAGCCAGCTCTGCAAACGAGCGCAGACAGCAGGTGTCGATCATCAAGTCGGATACGGCACAAATGCGAGACATCAGTGGCATGTCAATATCAAGCCTCGCAACACGGAATCACAACGCACGACTATCACAGTGTTTTCGCTGCAGAGAAAAGATGATGTTCGAGGGTCTAGAACGCTCTAGCTTTGGTCGAGACGACGGCCCTGCAGCACTGCTGTGTTAGGGGTGGCTTCGCCTGTGGCGCTGGTGGGACAGGCCCGATTAAGCACCTATGGCACCCATATGGCTACTCGTCGAGTCATTGCAAGCCGAGATCAAAAGCCGACCTCGCTCTTGTACGCGTATGTGGCGGCATCGGAAACGATAACAAACGCCAAATCGTTCTGCCACACGGCATCGAAGATCCGAGCCGCAAGAGAAGAAGCCTCCCACTTCAACGTCGAAATTTTCTTGTCCCACATGCGACTCACCTCACACGTGCTTCCGGCCGGAAGAGCCCATGGCACCCTGACCAGACAACACCACTACGTGTATTCGAGTCATTTGCCGAGTTTCCTTGCCTGAGTAGCCGTGTCGGAGCGAGTGCAATACTCCGAGCGGGTGGTTCCGTGGTCCCGTTGATTAGTGTTCCCGACAGATCTCTCGTGGTGTCGGTGGATCAGGTGGTATGCATGAGCTTCACCTCAGCAAAAATGGCGTGGACAGCGCCGCCAAATCTCGCATCGGAGAAACGTTCGCCATGAGTTCAATTCCAGGACAGAGGTCACCAAGGTCAGAGCTGGCCTGGAAGTCGGAATGCACTCCGCGAGAAACACGGAACCAGGAGCGATCACGCTCATTTGACGTTGAGCCTTGAATGCTATACTGGGCTTGCGGTACCGATCACCCCCGACAAAGCATGACATTGAGATGGCCGGGCCACCTACTCAGCATCTGACTCTCCTCGAGTCAACCATCAGTGTCTCATACTTGTTCTTCCGCGCCAACTCCGACAAGATGTCGCAGTGACCTGACCTGACGCCTCCTTTTCCGGGACCATTGTGCAATGTGATGTGATCGGTACCGCTTCGCGATCTTCTATACAGTTTAATCATCTTGCGGAGGCAGGGAACTCGCGGCTCCGCGCAGCAATACTTGCCCTCGTCTTTGTCCTGGTTCTTGTCCGAGAAGTTTGGGCTTTTCCCCGTCACTACCGAGCACAAGTCAAGATACTCCGCGATATGTGCGGACTACCTACTGTTCTGTAGACAACTGCGCGCAAGAGCCTGTAGCATATTGGTACACCGGGTTCAAGTCCGTAAGACCTCCGCAATGCCAGTCTTGCTCTGAATTTTGATCTTATTCTTGTTCTCATTGTCCCTCGGGCCTTTTCCGCTTGTGCTTGTACTTGTACTTGTACTCGTAGTTATTATGGACTATGATAGATCCCTATTCCTCCATTGTAATTGTTTCCCATATTGAACCTGAACATGAATCTAGAACTCCCTTGAAATGGACCTCCCCAGGGAACATACAAGTACATACAAGAAGTCTCTCGTGTTCAAGGATTATATCGTCCGCGCGACTGACTACCAAGTTCCTCCGTCCGCTGATGCTCAGGGGATTGTATTCCCTACCGCGCTATACTATACTATTCTAGGCACTACTTTTTACCTACATGTACAAGTACTTGCTTGTACTTACCTGCACGCATTTGCACTCGGACTCGGACTCGGAGGACTCTTTCATGTCCGCTGTCATACCTCATGAGTGAATGAGCTAGTGACAGCTCCGAAATAACGGAGCGACGCAGTAAATTCGGAATGTCTACTCTCATCTGGCCTGCAAGTATAGGAGTATACAAGTCCTTGCAAAAGCCAACGGCGTGAGAGAGCCTCGCACGGCCACGGGGTACGGATGTAGGATAATTCTCGGAGACATGTACTCGAGTTCAAGTTCAAGGACAGGTCCAAGTACCAAGTACCAAGTACAACTAACTACTGGCACAAGTACCTAGCCAGCCAGCTAGCATATGTCTGGGCAAACTGCAAACTGCAAACAGGTGACATTTGATGAGGTCCAAGGAATCGACCACGGCCACATGCCGGGTCTAGGCCCGAGTCCATTCTGCTTATTCACTCGCGACGAACACGAGTACTTGCAGGCATAGAGAGACCTTGTATTCTGTCTGTCCTTGGTGGACAGCCGGAAAGAGATTCCCGTGGCTATCGTCCCCCCGTATTATCTATTTGTTGCTACTGATTAGGCGGATCTTGATTCGATTCGGATCTGACCACGTTTGTCAGGCCTCAATCATCAGACATCGACATCAGCACCAACAATCAAATTCCGCTTCCGCTTCTACTTCAGCTTACACACGCGGTCTTTTTTCGCTCACAACATCTCCGAAATACCCTACTCAGAGGATTGATCGAGCTTCGAGCTAAGGACGGAGTACGGAGAACGGAGTGAGGAGATGGAAGAGACGGAATATTTTCCAGTATTCCATGGATCATCTGTCTGAGACTTGCTCGTCGAGTCGAGCAATGGTATGATAAAGGGCACCACGGTTCCGCATACTTGTCCTTCGATACGACCGCTACCACTACCCCTTCCGCTATCGCTGCTCGCACGGAGTGGAGGGTGTGTTCCGCTGTCCATGATCACCCTTGTGGACGGGGCATACTCGGTGTCGTCCTGACGGTCTAATATCGGATTGTTATAGCCCACCACTCGAGCCCGAAGTCACACCACACCTAGCAGGACGGGCATCTTACGGACAAAGTGAATAATGTCGCGTCCTGCGAAGTTCGTCCGGATACTTGTCCATATCCTTGTACAGTAGGTCAGGTTGAACATTGCGTCGGACCTCTCCGATGCATGGTCCGTTCAGTATCTCCCTGGCACGGAGGATTCTTCATCGCAGTCCTTGCGGAGAAGATACGGAGCATCGTGCCGCGAGGGGGTTCGGAGCTGCTGGTAGGTGTTGCGAGACCTGTATTGAGATATTATTACCCCGTCCGCTCGTCAGTCACGCTTTGAACCCATGTGCATCCCATTTGCCGTGACGGCACTCTTTGGTGTCTTGAGCATTGAAACTGCGGCACATACAGAAATGCCGGAATGGAGTTACGGGAGATCGACCTCGACAAACACAAGAGCACGGCAATGGGTCAGTTTATGACCTGCAGCTGATGTGCTCAATGTCTTGCATGACGATCTCGCGTCGGCACGATGGCGAAGATGCAACAATGGTAATTAGCTCGCTGGTAGGTATCGAGGCAGCTTGGAGTCTTCGGAAACAACCCTGCCTTGGCGAGTGATCCCTATTCAGCCTTGGGACGTTGTGCATTGATATTCACTTGTCGACGACACACTGAGGACACACCTTCATCCAGGTGTAATTGAGACTGTCGACTGCCAGATTGTTATGGGTGTGGATGTGGAGGTGTGAGTTTGCTCCGCAAGAACAATATTGACGGTTCTGTTTGAGCCGTATCATTCCAAAGCACAAGAGTTGAGAAAGGCGAAAGACAGTACTGGTCACCATCAGAAGAGGCTTAGGGGGATCGGACTATGCCTAAAATAACTCTTCGGATCTCATTGGGCACCTGCTTGGACATTTTGACCGAGCCTCAAGATGGGCCCTTCGGGCCAACTTCTCTAGATACCGACCGTCGTTGGAGGTTGCAAGAGATTTTGCATTCGATAGAGACGCAGAACAGAAGCACCCAAGAGATCAGTCCCTTCCATCCACGATTTGGTCTTCCTTTTCTTTTTCTTTTCGCAGTTCTCTTTTCTAGTGTCGAGTGACTATCGACCTACAGCCTATGTACCAAACCCCACACTCCTCCTCCACGCAGCCTGCGTCTTTGTACTCGTATGGGGCACCTTCGTTAACCGAGTTCTTGGATGTAACTAGATACTCGTAGACACTCGTATCTGGCTGGCGAGTTCTAGGTAGGTTAGGGCAGGTTTATTAGGTAGGTAGCTGGGCTCATTTCTTGGTGGATCGCAGCCTAGAAAAGGAAGTCACTGGGCGGGACGACACTTGGGAATAGCAAACGGAGCCGGAATTCAGACTCCGTCTCTTCTCCCCTCTCCAGAATTTTCTGCATGCTCAGTGACCCACTGGTGGAAAAGGGCCATTCTAGCGCTGGCGATAGTGGTGTGTGCGGGAGAAGAAAAGATGAAGGGAAAAAAAAAAGAAAAAAAGAAAATCCAAGATGAAGAAAAATTCGTTGTAGGCATGGCAAAAGAAGAAAATTTGGTCGCTTGTAGGTAGACTGCAGAGGGGTTGGCCCTACCCTGGCGTGTCTGGACAACAGCTAAACTAATCTCATCTGCATCCCCGTTTGGGGGACTGTGAGCCCCTATAGGCGACTGACCCAAGCACTGACTGTAGCACCGCAGCAAACCAACAGCTCACTAAGCAACCGCCCCTCTAGCGGAACCTACAGTACCTCCGTAGGGGCCTACCCACTCTACCTTGGCTAAAAACTCCGTGTCGGCGTACCGCAGGTTAGGTACGCTTAGGGTCCTCAGAGACACGGCTGGTGGCGGTGATGCCGCTTGCTGCGGGGCATGTAGGTCATCGTCGGCTACTTCTTAGGTACATATGCAGGCTCACTAGGCCTCCCAAGCAGCGCTTGAATCTGGTACAGAGTACTCGGTACCGAGTAGGTACATACGAATACGAAAAAGCAACTTCTCAACAATAGCGGGATCTGGTGGTGGTGCTGCGCGCGCAACTCTATGAGTACATGTTCCCTGCTCGAAATGCACTTTTTCTTTTGGGTCATGTGGAATCCACAGTCACGATGCTAGCTGGTCTTACTGTCTTCTTTGCTGCCCAGACTCGTGCTACCATCTGTGCCGAACACACTGCGAGGGGCGCATGCACACGAATGGTTTTAACCCTCAATTGACGCCTGTTGATCCATACCTGCCTCAAGTGTCCCTGTCCTGGTCCTTGTCCTACCTACCTACATGTGAAAAGTGATACGAGGGGTCCAACCCCGGATACCACCGCCGCGGGCCTCTACCGAGTTTTTCGATCTCTCTCCCGAGATAGCCCCCCCAACCCTGCCCAATGTAGCGCCTGTCACACCACGACCGGAACAGTTTTTCTCCAATTCTTTTTCGCGCGCGGAGAGGATTTGCTTGCACATGACATGCACGGACAAACATACAAGTACCTGGTATACTTGTATAAAGAAGAGAGAGGACGGAATTAAAGTCGTCATATCGTGTCGTGTCACACTACGAGTAATGAGCATGAGCACGATACAAGAACAAGGACAAGAAAGGACACACTTGTAGTTCAGATCATCGCTAGAAGTACCCGGTAATGTGACCCGGGTATTCTCGATACTTGCTGCCTTTCTGCCCATAACCAGCTGGACGTCTTCTTGTAGCATGCCATGCCATGTGACTGCCGCTGAGAGGCATCGTCGTCCTCGTCCTCGTCCTCGTAGCATCTGACTACCTGTACCTGTACTCGGTACTTGTTCTGCCGAGAGGAATCTCCCAAGGATATACCAAGTCCTTGTACGGTAGTTCGTTTATTCTCGTCGTCATGGGCTTCTTCGTCTTCTTCGGGTGGAGGGATCCTCATTAAACTGCGCACGCGCATACCATGGGCAAGTGCCGCTGACCTGTACCTGTCCCTGTACTCACCCTACCATATCCACTCCGAGGACCCTGACCTCTCGTGCCCTGTCCTGAACATGTCTACAAGTCCTTGTACCTGAGCCTCAACACGGAAAGGACGAAGCTTATCCCTCTCCTTCTCCTTCGGGTCGCTATCAGTCCCTTGCATCCTCGCCTTCATCGGTCCAGACCCCATTCCATCCTGTGATCAATGCTCGCTTGCGTACCGCAGGGTCGTTCTTCTCCGGCTGGCTTTCGTTAGAGGTCTACCTCGTACATGTACTCGGTACTTGTATTCGTCTCGGTCAAGTGGTAAGTGTGCGAGACAACGTGATGATAAACAGCCAAAAACCGTGGGAGGAATGGTAGGAGAACAGCGGAGAACAACCAGCATGTGCTTGAATCGTATGCTTCATCATATATCTGTATCTCATTAAGCCCTGTTCAGCTCTGATATCGTATCACGCCATCTCGTCGTCGGCCGGCCTCGAAGCTTCTTCGCATCCCTCGCCTCGCCTCGCCAACCTCAGCTGGTCCTTTTCCTCATCCTCGGTGACTTCCTCACCGCAGCCACAGAGCCACTCCTTTCCTTCTCTATCCGTCCCGAGCTCGTTCCCGTTCCGCACAACCCCAGCCCAGAAACGCCGCATAACGAATCACTCCGTCCTTTCGAGGAACTGTACGCCTTGAGGACCGCCGTCTCCAGCGGCAACGAAGACGGGTGGCATTCTTCGATAAGCATGGCCAGGTCCGGTGCCCGGGTCGCCAGGCATTGTAGTCGCACCAGTGCCTGCCGCTGCCGTCGACGCATCGTATATGATGATAATGCCTGTGCTTCGAGAGACAACGAGGGCCGAGGTGAGGATGTAGCTACCATCGTGTCTGACATTGAAAGATCCCACAGTGTCGGGTCGACTTCAGTAGATTCGTACGACAATTCCGACACCGTCGTAGCGGGTGTATCTGGCCCTTCACAGTATCCTTCATCATCCAGCGTCGTAAAGTCCGAGGGCGAAGCGATATCACTGGGGGGTGGTGAGGGAGAATGCATCTCGGTATCGGTCAGCGCGTGGGACTGCAGCTGGGCTGTTAACGAGGTGATAGAGGGATGGCGAGGCGCTGATCTATAGGCGTCAAAGCGAGAGTCTCGGCGAGGGGCAGGCCCTTGTGAGGAATGCGGTGATGAACATCGCGAGGTAAAAGGTGAGATCTCTGCCGATGTACACTCTTCAATGTTGAAGGCGAGCGAGCCTGGGTGCGGGGACGATCCGAAGGAAAAGTTCTCGTTAAACATGTTGGACTGATATTGAGGATATAGACGGCGCAGGTACGATATCGATCACCGCAACGGCAACGGATTTGTGAGCAACAAGAGAATGGAATTGCTCTCCCAAGATCGCAGAGAGCAGTGACGGCGGCCGGGCGAAGGTGGTCAATGTACTTGTATGATAGTGTCTGGTGTGACTGAGGTGGATTTCGCCGCTCGGCGGGCTTTAGGCTTCAGGTCCCTCGTCTCTCGTCCCAATAAACTCTGTCCAGAAGAAGCCGCAACGGAATCAAGTGAACCGTGGGGTAAGTCTTAAATGTCGAGCATGAGGACTCCAAAACTTTGCCTTTTCCATCCGAGGCTTTTAAGGTAGTGGCACTGCGTGAGACTGAGGTATTGCCCTCCGCCGCGATGCCGGACTGAGGGGAGATGTTGGTCGCAAATCGGATATGCGCTCTGGACTGGGGTAACCACAGGGTGGATCGAGGTGGTGAAAATCCAAGGGTCCCCCTTGAGAGCCACCTTGGAGTGGATTTGTTCGCTAAAACTCGTGGGTGCCATCGTGCCTTGAGCGAAAAAAGGACCGAAGCTTCAATCGACCCAACGTTGCGTGCCTCTTTGGTGGCCTCTTTGGTGCCCCTCCGCCTAATACGCCTAATCGAAGGGGCGATCGGATGGCACGTTTCCGTGTGCGGCAAGTCTTAGACCTGGTGTGGTCTGAATGCATCAATGGGGGCCCACCAACCCGCTTCATGACAGGAAGAGGCGTGCCTTGTCACCTCGTCTGCGACTCCAAATACGAGTTTGTCCGCTCGGCCCTGGCCCCTGGTCCATTTTGCCATTCTGTGATTTTGCTTTGCCGAGTGCCCGCTAGAAACGCCCAGACGGGCCAAAAAGCCCCAACTAGGCGTCGGCATGCCACAAGGGGGAGTGTTGCCCAAGACTCCGCCTAAGCAGATCCTTCACCTTGCCTGGAGGTGCCTTGTGGTGCCTGTGGTGCCTGTGGTCCGGGTTGCGACGTTGTGCCGTCATCGTTCATTCTCGACCCTTGTAAGGTGATCAGCTGAAAATCATTTCCCTGCTGTCGCTATCTTTTGCTCTCGGTTGTCGATAACGGTTCCGTCTAACTGGTCCCTGCAGGATATTCCTTGCTGCGGCAAAGTCATCGGTGGCAACAAAAGGCGCTGGAGCCGTGTTTGTTTTATCGTCAAATTGCCACCTCGTTGTAACTGTGTCTGTGGTGCCATCGCCGTAGGGCAAGCCAAGGTCTACACGCAATCTCGGCGCGCTCTCGGCTCGAGAACAGATAGATGCTGCCGTCACCATATCATTGGCAACTGGTAATTCACCAGGAAGCAAATCCACGTGATGGAATTTGCCGTGTACATTGGACTACAATACATCCGTTTGTCCAGTCCCTGTGGGCCCCATTTTACGTGTATGCTGAATGGCGTCTCCCGGCCCAGAGATGCGCTCAATTCAGCCATTTGATGTGCGTTGGTCTGAGAAAGGTGTCCGTTGATGTATTCTTTGGAGGAATAGAGCAGAGGTGAAACGTTGCAGATCTCAAAACAGGTGTCATCAAGCGGAGATTTGCCTAAAAGGAAGAAGTCCGAATAGAGCTCCTGCAAGTCGCTCATAAACTCGCCCAACACGTCGTCCACGGTGCTGCTGGTCGTCGAAGTGTGAGATGCATTCGACCTTGCAACCGGGCTCATCTTCGGCTTCGAGCTGGATGTGTTTCTGGGCGACGATCTTCTGCTCCTTTCCTCATTCGCTAAATTCAGCCAAATATCCTCCGACATCTCGTCGTGCTTGGGTGGTCTGGCCGCCGTATCCCGGTCGCTGGCTAACATGCAACCACCAAGGAGATCTTCGGCAGAGAGTTTGTAGCTGCGCCCGATCCAACCCAGGTCTCTCCGATCTTGTAATGGTGTCTGCACTCCACTGTCTATTGTGGACGTTTCGAGCTCATGGTCGAGTTCGGGAAGTGACGCCGTGTCATTAATGAATTGCGTGACATCAATCAGGCAAGCTAGCATGAAACGGCTGCGGCCACTGCTGGGAATGATTAGAGGTGTGAACAATACAAGATGAGTGACTGGGTCCCCTGCTGCATCTTGACCGGTTACGATGTCCATTGAAGCACCTTCGCATTCACAATTGTTCAGGAAGAAGTGTTCGCCCACGTCGAAGATGTAGCGAAGTTCTTTGGATGTGGCGACAACGGGAAGTCCAGTCACCGCGGTGTCGAGGATGCAAAATGATTTGAAGTGCTCTACCAATCTGAGGCCGGTTGGGTCGTCGGTGTGGTTTCCCGAGTCCGCCACGGAGACAGAACTTGTAGTAGGTGAGTGCAGCCATGAGACATGCTTGGTTCGAGCTCTGGCTGCCGGTGCTGGAGGGTTCCTATGTGAAGCCGCACCCGCTTGTGACGGGGCAATCGACTCACGCGACTCCTGGATTCTCAAAGTGGAGGCGCTGGAAACAGTTGACAGGGTAGAGAAACTGGCCAGACTCGCCTGCCGACTCGTGACCGATAGCAACGAGGGCGACATGGCCTCGTGGACAGTTCGTTGGGGTCCCGTGAGTGGCTGGAGGTAAGATTTATGGAGGTTGAACTGGCTGAGGCTCGTGGCTGGAAGTAGTGACTGTCGTCCATGCCGTCTGCGAGGCGACACATGGATGGTGGAGTCAAATCGATTTGGAATGGTGTGCGAAACGGTGAATTCTTCCAGGCTAGGTCGACTCCCGGGAGGTTCGAGTGAGGAGAATGTGGTCGTCGACGGGAAAAAGGACGCCGATGACTCTGCCCGACGCAATATACCAGAACCGAGAGTGGGTGTACCAGCTGGTGGTTCGGGTGATTTCCGTAGAGTTCGGAGAAAGACGTCTTTGAGACCCTGCTTCAGCGATCGCCGTGGAAGATTCGGTGGAGGAGGTGCAGGAGGTTGAGGCGGTTGAGACGAGGCTTGCCGATGTTTACCCACCATGATGTGAGCTCGTCGTCGCCTTTGATGTTGTCGTTGGCCTGTTCAGGTTGGCAGGTTGAGCGACCGGCGTTCGGATTTTCTATTTTTGCGGACAGCAGCGACTGCGTTGACTGAGATCCAACCAAGTAAGACTTGAGGTGAATGCGAGAAGAGTCTGATGGCAACTCAATGGAAGAGGATCAACAGTGATGACCTAGCACACACGGCGACAAGCAGTTACCCGTGTTCAATCCTACGCCATCTCACAAGCTGAGAAGCGCCCGACAGAAAAAGGACAAAGAAGCCACCACACAGGCATGAATACCAGAACGCCAACCAACAAACCTCTCAGATCCTATTGCAAAATGGAGAATGTCTTCTGTGACGGCCGTTGTCTACATGATGAGCATGGTTTGAAGAGGTGTTCTGCAAGAAGAAAGAATTGTCACATTACAAGTTCATGATGGACGAACTTTTGCGATCTGCTGCAGGGGCTCGGGGCTCAAGGCACATTGGTTCCCGGGGAACTCGGCTGGGTGGACTTGGGGCCCAAGCAGCCTGTTTCAGGTTTAGCAGGAGATCCAAAATGTCGGGAATTGTTTGCTAAGGGGGGCGGGACTGTGAGGGTATGACGAGAGGGCATGCATCAAAAATGAGGCTGGGTAGTCAATATGGAGAATTGGGCAGGACTCTTGTGCTAGATCTGGGTTCAAATCTGGAGGCATAAAGTGAGGCTTGTGGGGAATGGGAGGTAAGGATTGTGAGTGACAAGGTCCATGTCTCAGGCAGAGCCTTTATGATCATTTCGACCAGATGGATGATAACAGTACACAGCTATTGGTTAGACTGTGATATACTGGATGTTCACAACTTGAATCTAACCCGGTCGACAATGGCCTTTTCACATTACTCCCATGGTAAAATGTATATACGATTCAGTTGATAGAGGAGAGTTTTTCCGGCCAGGTACCAGGCGGCCCGTCGGACCAATCACCAGCTCGCATTGTCCGAAATTTTCCGGTCCATTGAATTGGGATTTTGGCCTCCGAACAGCTCTGGCTCTTTTTTCACTCTCAGTTCCGTTTGACCACCACAACTCAACACAATCACCACTGCTTGAGAGGGTGCGCCGCCGTTCTCACCCAAACCCTTCTCTTCACTCTTGAAGCTCCATCAGGAGCTCTAGTAGCCATGTCGGCCGTTCCCACCTCTCGCGCCCTTCTCCGGCAGTCCAGATCCCTCCTGCGACGAAACAATTTCAGACAAGCTTCCACCACCTCAGAAGCCGCCGCGAAGGCGCAAGAAAGCTCAAAGCAGGCTGTGTCAAAGGCTTCAGAAGGCTTGAGCCGTGTTTCGAGCTCCGCTGGCTCTGCAATTTCCAAAGTCGGTTCCTCTGCGTACAGCGCTCTCAGCAGAGTTGGTGGGAGAACAGGAAGAGTTATTGCCTTTGTCGAATGTATGCCACAAAATCCTCTCTAGGAAATATCGGGGCACCCGTTAACTTGGTTGCAGCGTTAATACCACCCACGATCTACTACTCTCGTGTCGGATGGGAGGTCGCACGGATCGTCTTCAAGAATCAACAGATGGCTCCTCCGTAAGTCTGATTGGGAATCGATATCATCTACAGCTTCTGACCCGTTGTTTTCAGCTCTGTGGCTCAATTTCAATCCTATTTCCAACCTCTGATTAATGTCTTCCGGAACCCTACGTCCATCACGTCAAGCGCGAGCTCTGTTTTCAAAACCCTCAATCCGGACGCTGCCCTGAACACCATTCGCACTGCAAACCGCAGCCAACTGACCGCCGGTGGAATTGTCTTGGCTCAGGTGTTGGGTTTCTTTACCGTTGGTGAAATGATTGGAAGATGGAAGCTGGTCGGATACCACGGCGAGCCACATCACGAACATTAAGAGAAAGTTCCCAAAAGGACCGACTGCCAAACACTTGTTTGATGGCTGTGCATTGTAATCTTAGGAGTTTGTCACACGAAAAGACAGGTCAATACATACTTTTAGGTCAATACTCTGCTTGAGCTTGTTTTGGTATCTCTGTTGTGGTTGAATGACTAGTGATTGGCAAAAGGCTGTATATCCCTTCAGCGTCAATCTGTCTGGCAGTCTCGGTCTGCAGAACATGTTTGGCAGATTCTACTACCACACAGCAACAATGGATCGGATGTTCACCAAATGTCATTGTGAATCGCGAGATACTGGCCTACGAAGCAAGCTAGAGTCATCACCTGCACTACAACCTGTTCTCAATCCAAGTCTTGCGTTCTATCTCGCTCGTCAATTCCACTCATATTCTTCAGGCGGTCTCTGATTGGGCAAATGCTTGGTAAAGCGTGCCTTAGATCTATCATCATCGCAACATATCGCAACCCTTGTGCCGGACGGGACTATCCACGGAAGCAAGAGAAGGGCCAGCACCGATTTCATTTCCTTCTCACGCTTGATCAAGGTTGATCTGCTTTGCCGCCAGAATTTGTGGAAGACAGATGGTACTTTTTTCGCCCGATTCATTCCTCCAAACATATAAACCTGGCGTCTCTGACGAGAAGTCCTGGAGAAGAAGAGGGCTATTCGGAATCGAACTCGATTGCCCGCACCGTACCTGCCCTCTTGATATCTTGTTGTAACTCGCAAGACGGCTCGGGGTTGTGTTGAAGGCGGGATATGGCACGACATTTACATCCCACACGAGGCACCTCGCTTCGTTCCCGAGCGCAGTCAGCCCGCACCCTCGCAATGCGAACTCTTTCGTCGCTTCGTTCACGCCTGCAGCCCTTGCGCTCCCCGAAGTCGGTCAAGAAACGTGTGGCAGAGGAAGGGGTGCATGCCGTCGTGGCAACATTTTCGCCTGCGCTGGAGGGAATGAGTTGGAGAGACGCATCATCCGCAGTCCGCGAGGGTCAAACAATCAGAAATAGGTCCTGAGAGAGCATTGACTTCACTAGATCTAGACCCCGACGACGAAGCAACGAATGGCTCCTATCTCTACTATCCTGCAGCAGACTCTAGCGCAGGTGACCAGTTTTCGCTTGTTCAGCGTGCTTACTCGGAAAGATCCCATGCACCTTTCGTTACTACTCACCGAGGCCTGCTCTTTTGTTGCACCCAAGTACACCCCACCCCATCCAGCCCATGGGCAGCGAGCCTCTAGAGCACCGAAGCACATCCAGCATAAACTTACCTGCTGCACCTGACCTTTGTTCTCAATATTCGGCTGGTCTAAGTAGACCCTGGTTCAAATAAATCTCATCTACTGGCCATACACCCGTGATTGTGCATAGCCTGGAAGATTGGTGCAGGGATCTTATCAAGAGGAAGCGAGCGAGACTCGCTAGGACACGTATCGTTCTAGAACATATTGCGGGCAGCTTGCCTCGAAGGAGTTCTAGAGGGAAGAAAGTATGTGTCTCTATATTCGTTCTTATCATTTCAGCCTCGGGGTCAAGAACGAGCCTTTGTCTGTAACACGCTACTGCGACCAGGAGGCACCTTGCACTCGTACAAGCTAATATGTAACATGAAGATTCGCCAATCGCATAACGCCTGATATCGCCCTGCAACGGGAAAAGTGTGACCAATCGCAAAAGGTACGAGTAGGTCAGCTGGCCCCAGAGAGAGCCTGGGGAGAAGCACTTCTCTGTGGCTTGAGGCTAGAGATCCGCACGGCATCATTGATCCGACCGACACAAGGATCTCTACGGGAGACACAGCAGTGTTTGATAGTGTCGAAAAGGACTTCAAGACGCGATCGACCAACATAGTATGGACTGTAAATCTTCTCCCTGGACCACCAATCATTTCCAATCATGTCAGGCGCAGGTCTTGGGGATTCAATCTTTCTATGCGACCTCTGACAATGGCTAATGCTAATGGAAGGCTGTAAGTAATCTGTACCGCATTCCATTGAGCCCTCAAGGTATGTGAAATCTGTTCACAGCTCACTCTGGATTCACCTCAGCGCAGGGTGATGATGCTGGCCTGTGCTCATCGCCGCCATTCCATGACTCGCCGAGTAACAAAGCAAGATGGAAACTTCTTTCACTTCATCCTACATTCTCACTGATTCTCACAATCCGACCTTCCCACGTTGCCTTACCATCATGCACGACAGAAAATGGCACCCGCTCCTCGTCTTCGAGTTCCGCGCCTGCAGCCAGCAGAGGCGCCAAAAAAGACGAGGATGACATCCGTCAGCAAAGTCACATCCACGGCGGGTAAGGCAGGACGTCCAATTCTTCTCTCGTTCGAAGAAATGCCGGAATGGTACAGACGTGAATCTAACCCGTGGATTCTCCATGGCTATCGGCCTATTTCAGGCTCGGTTCACGCATCGTTCTGCAGCTGGTCGTACATCCACAATGAGTCGGTCAACATCTATTCCCACCTCATCCCGGCCGTGTCCTTCCTGCTCGGCGAGTGGTATATTCAGCAGTACCTTGGCAGCAGATACTCCGGGGTCACTGGCGTCGACTTGGTCGCTTTCTCCATCTTCATGTTGGCAGGCGTCACGTGCCTATCGTTGTCGGCGACGTACCACACCTTGATGAACCACTCCCAACACATGGAACATCTCTGCCTGCGACTGGACATGCTAGGTGTAGCAATATTCATACTGGGAGACCTTGTCTTGGGAATATACATGGTCTTCTGGTGTGAAGCTTGGCCACGCAATATCTACTGGGCCATGGTTAGTTCAATTCCATTTGCACACGTTTTGTTTTTCCTCGTCTTCAACCTGATACTTGAGTCTAATACTCATTTTTTCTGGTTCGATAGATTGGATTTTTCGGGACATTGACCATCTTCATGACAATGCATCCCAAGTACCAGGGCTCGAAATATCGCCTCTTCCGAGCGTTGATGTTTGTGGCGACTGGCTTGTGCGGTATTGCGCCCTTGGTCCATGGACTCAGTGTATTCGGCATGTCGCAGATGATGAGAAAAGCTTTCCCTTACACTTTAGCAAAAGCAGGCTGCCTCCTATCAGGGACTTTATTTTACGCAGTAAGTCTCCCATTTTCGCACACAAGAGAGAAGAAATGAAGCTGACACATATGGTTTTCTAAGACCAGGTTTCCCGAAAGCCGATATCCTGGTAATTTCGACCTATGGGGCTCCCACTCGATCTTCCACGTCCTGGTGGTATGCGCCGCTGTGGTCCAGTTGGTGGGTTATCTGGATGCCTTGGACTATGCTCACGCCAATCTCACTTGCTCATCTCATTGAATCATGTGTACATGCCGAGGATGGACATAGTGGCCACTAAGACGAGCTTTCAACCGCGGACCGTATGATAGAGAAGAGAAGCAGAGGCTGATAGAGTATGATGAATTACCAATTGAGGGCGCTTAGCGGCATCGATAGCATGAACGGGCGGCCTCGCTTTAACTTAGTCCCTCTTGAGCCTGCGTCTTTGTCTCGAAGAGGGAGGCCTTTCCGCCCATTATCGTTGTCCTCTACTTAAGATGCTAGCTAGGCTCACACTGTTAGGGGTCAACTCGTCTCTTCAAACCTGCCAACCTGATTTGAGTCGCCAAGGAAGGAAGATCTAGGAGGCGATATCCGATTGTGGACGAGCTTAGCCAATCACCAAGGCTGCGTGGCTGGTTGGCTTGATAAGATGGACTTTCTATTTTTCAATCGGCCTTGTCAACTTCTCCCAACAAGCCTTACCTTCTCACGGACCACGGATGATCTACTCTCCACTCCATTGCATGTCTCCATTCCATCCCATGTCGTGCTTATCAGTGTTTCCAGTGAGCCAACAGGGATTGGCAATTACGGCCCGCCCTTGGCGTCGATATGCAGGCCAACTCTACCACCACTCCACGAACACTCCACGCCAAACCAAATTCCCCAGCTTCTTGTTTGGTCGCACAGATGATCACAGATACCATGTCATGTCGCTCGCGTCCCCTCGTGCCGTTATCGGGCCAGCGAAGAGCAGGGAAAATTTTTCAGCGCCAGCCATCGCGTGCTCACGAGCCATGCGCAAGATGGAGTTCTCTCCCACGAGCCCAGACTTTCTTTTGCTGCGCGCCGGCTTCGTCTTGACGTTTGCCAGACGGTGAACCTAGAAATACATAAAGTGAGGAAAGCCCACTCATGGGCTACCAACCATAGCCAGCCTCCCTTCCGTCTGCGTCCCTCGGACTTCTTTGAGGAAATTGCGGCAACTAGTGTCACAAGGGCCAAGGCAGGCATCTGAGACTCAAGATGTCAGATACCGCAGGAGCAGCTGTTGTTCCTCTCTCAAAAGGATTTGGATATGGCATCATCCTAGGTCTCGGGTTTGCCTTTGCGCTGGGCATGATTGGCACGACATGGGCATTGAAAAGGTATCACGGAGAAGTCAGTACCGCCCGGTCCCCAACCAATACAATACATAGCTAACACCCTTCAGGTACAAACCTCTGAAGAGTTCTCAACCGCGGGGAGAACTGTCAAGTCTGGTCTCGTAGCCGCAGCCGTCGTGTCCAGCTGGACTTGGGCGGCGACCTTGCTTCAGTCTTCGGGTGTGGCTTATTCGTACGGTGTCTCCGGCCCATTCTGGTACGCGTCCGGAGCCACTGTCCAGATCTTGCTGTTTGCGACCTTGGCCATTGAGTAAGTGCTGCTCATGACTAAACCACAACTTCTTACTAACTGTCCATACAAGATTGAAGAGACGTGCACCCAATGCCCACACATTTCTCGAAGTGATCAAAGCCCGCTATGGCGTTGTGACACACGTTGTCTTCCTGATCTTCGGCCTCATGACAAACATCCTTGTTACCGCGATGCTCTTGACTGGTGGCAGTGCTGTGGCCAGCTCTCTTTGTGGAGTACCCACGGCCGCAGCCTGTTTCCTCCTCCCAATTGGTGTCGTTCTATATACCATGTTTGGCGGGATCAAAGCGACCTTCTTGACGGATTACGTGCACACGATTATCATTCTTGTCATTATATTTGTCTTTGCATTCAGCGCCTATGCCACCAATGAGGTGGCAGGCTCACCGGGCAAGGTCTGGGAACTCCTTGTGGACGCGGCGAAACGACATCCCGTGGATGGAAATAAAGATGGCAGCTATCTGACGATGCGAAGTCAAGAAGGCGCTATCTTTTTTGTCATCAACATTGTCGGCAACTTTGGTACGCCTAACATAGTGTCCCGCCTGGTCAAGTCCTTCTGCTAACTCCCTCCAGGGACTGTGTTCTTGGACAACGGCTATTACAACAAAGCCATTGCCGCTTCGCCTGTCGACGCATTGCCCGGATATGTCATGGGTGGCTTGTCGTGGTTTGCCATCCCCTGGCTTTGTGCCACGACCATGGGTCTTGCTGCTCTCGCCCTCGAGAACAACCCCGTCTTCCCAACCTACCCGAACCGCATGTCCCACGCCGATGTCAGTGCAGGGCTGGTCCTCCCCTATGCTGCCGTTGCCCTCCTCGGAAAAGGTGGGGCAGCCGCTACTCTTCTCCTAGTTTTCATGGCCGTCACCTCAGCCTCGTCTGCCGAGCTGATTGCCGTCTCGTCGATCTGGACCTACGACATCTACCAGACATACATCAACCCCAAGGCCTCGGGCAAGTTCTTGATCCGAATGTCTCACGCTGCCTGTGTCGTTTACGCCATTTGTCTGGCATCGTTTTCGACCGGACTGTTCTATGCCGGCGTCAGCATGGGGTACCTCTATCTGCTCATGGTAAGTCTTCCTATGGGCCAGCACGAGTGATATGTTGCTAACTACATCTGCTTTGTGAAGGGCTGTATCATTAGCAGTGCAGTCATTCCCGCCACGCTGGCACTGATGTGGAAGGACCAAAACTGGCAAGCCGCCGCGGGCGCCCCCGTGCTAGGCTTCGCGTGCGCCTTGATCGCCTGGCTGGTCACGGCCAAGAGGGAGTGCGGTGTGCTCAACGTCGACTGCACGGGCTCCAACAACCCCATGTTGGCGGGCAACGTCACGGCGTTGCTCAGCCCGCTCGTCTTTGTCCCCATCCTCACTTTCGTCTTTGGCCGACAGAACTACAACTGGGAGTCGATGAAGGCGATCCGCAAGGGCGACGACTCGGACATCCTCCGCCGCGCCAGCGTCGACGCCGAGATGCAACGCGAGATTGCCGCGCGAACAGCCGAGCACGAAGCCGCCGAGCAGACCAAGCTGAACAAAGCGGCCATCATCTCAAGGAGTTTGACCGGGTTCATGACCATTGCCCTATTGGTGCTGTGGCCCATGCCCATGTACGGGACGGGATATATCTTTTCCAAGAAATTCTTTACCGGTGAGTTTCCTGTCGCTGCACCTTGTTTCACAGTTTGGCTCTCCGCAAAGAAACCTCCATCTCTTGAACCCTTCCTCGCCTCTTCCCTTTCTTCCTTCCTGTCATTTTTTCTCTTCTGTCCCTATTTCACCCCACTAACACCCTCTTTTCCATTACGATAGGCTGGGTCGTCGTCGGCATCCTCTGGCTCTTCTGCTCCAGCTTCTGCGTCGGCCTTTTCCCGCTCTGGCAAGGCCGCAAAACCATGGCCCATACTGTCAAATCCATCTTCCTCGACGTCGCGGGCAAGAGGGGATCTGCTCTCCACGGCCGCCCCGCCGAGGTTGTCGAAGGCGAGGACGAGGAGACCAGCGGACAACAGACCCCCCACGATGGCGCGGAGAAGGTCGTGGTTAAGACCGATTGAGCGGTTTCTGCGTCAATGCCATCAATGCACAGGTCACAGGTTTCGTGCAGTGTGTGGTGGCTCTGAGCACTGGGGGCAGGAATGCAAGATACAAGATACAAGAATGGTCTTGAGGAAGTGTCAAGACTAGGATCTAGGGTTTAGCGAAGGGGAGGGATGGAGGCAGCGAGAGTTCCCCAGAAACTCGGTTTATTCTTGTGCTGCGTAGATAGATACCCCAGACAGGTAGAGCGAGGAAATTGGTTCTCAGAAAAATGTTTTTGCTCTTTATCTTCTGCTTCTACCGCTGCTACTGCTACTGCTACTGCTACTGCTTGGATAGATATCTAGGATACCCAGATACCAGGTACCTAGCACCACCTAAGAAGACAAGGTCTTCCTAGGTCCTACGTTCTACGTCCTAGGTAAACTGGTAGACTGGTAGACTGGTAGAGGGAGAGCCTCGTCGAGGAAGGTGTCGGAGGGGCCAAGGAGAAATAGAACCAACAGAACAGAGACCTCTAGAAGGGACGAAACTCGAGATACCTAAGTACATGCACACATACCTACATACATGGCCTCTTCTCATATATCTCATAGTTATATCATATCATAATGATGAAGCCCTGGTCAAAGTGGTATTGACTCGTCAACTTGTTAACTTTGACGATATGCGTTGCATGCGTTGTATGCGTTGCTCATTGTCATTTTCAAAGTCAAAGCCATAGTCAATAGTAATACAACTCAACTCTTTTTGTGTCTGTTTGCGTGTCGTCGGTGAATCAATCCTGGCCATTTTCCATGCTGGTACGGATAGAGCGTGCTACATATGCACGCGTTACATTTCCTGGTAGACATCACTCGTAGGCTCTGACAACATCCAAACTGTGCCTGGGTATCCCCTCCTACCCACCTTGAGCTATCCTTGCGAGACCATCGTTGTCGTGTTCAAATTGCATTGCCATCACACGGGCACTACTCCCAACCCAGACCCTTTCAGACACCCGCTCACGACGGGACATGCACTGTGCGGCAAACATTTGTGACCTGTCAATCTGTCTCTTTCTTCTCTCACACTAGCAACAACTCATTTCTGTTCCAGTATTTCCAGTGTTTACTTCTTGTCGGCGGGCTTCGTGTTGACCAGTCCAGACAAGAACCCGCTGAAACCTTCTGGCTTCTTCATGTCTTCCCAGCTCTGTCGTCGGTCGGCGTGAACGTCTCGGTTTGCCATGAGGCCGGAGAAGATACCACCCTGGTTGGAAGCAGAGGACTAGTAGCTTTCAGTCAGCGTGGTTTTACGCGAGTGATGAAGAGTGAGGTCCAACAGGTGCGTGTGAGAGCATGTTGCAGACTTGTGACAATACATACCCGTCTCCGTCCGGCAATGGCCGCTGCAATGCCTCCCCCAGAGCTCGTCGCAGGGGGCGAGCTGGCTTTGGGCAGAACGTCTGCCGGCTTGGCCGCACTCGACCCGCTCAACCTCCTCGAGGGTTCGTGCACCTCTTTCCCCGCCATACCCATGAATCGTCGGTCGCCGCCCCACGCGTCGGGGTTGGACAACACCTTCCTCTCTACGACCGGGTAGTCGGGAAGAGCTGGTGTGGCCCCGGCAGCGGCGGCTGCGGCGGCGGCGGCAGGGGTGGCATTGGTCAGGATGGGTGAGTCGGCGGTCTTGTCGCTGCCGGAGGAGCCCGACAGGCGACGGGCGGTGCTTTCGTGGACTTCACGGCCCGCAGGGAACATGAAGCGGCGGTCTTGCCAGGACGAGGACGAAGATGAGGACATGGTCGTCTGATGCCTAGATGAGCGTACGTGAGTGATGTAACAATATCCAAGGGAAAGAGCCTGGATACGTGAGGTAGTGTTTGGAGAAAAAGGTACTTGGAAAACAAAGATAAGTGATAGGTAGAGATATATCGAGAAGAGTTCAAGCAAGAGGCAGAGGCAGCAGCTGCTGGCCAGAGGTGATTGGGAGATTACAAAGAGCTGCCAGCTGGAAGTGGTACGAGGGGGAGGGCCATCCCCCTCCTCGCTGTCCACGAGCAGAGTAACTTCCTTCCCTGACGAGCATCCGTGACATGTGAGAGGTGGGCAAGGGCGGCATTGCTCGTACGAGTCTAGCCAGTAGTCCAATAGTTCAGGTCTTTTCCTTTGACCTGCTGTTCCTCCCCCGCCTTTGACTGGCTTCGTCTGGGGTAAAACATTCGCGGCGCCGGCAGCGACTGGAACCAAATGACGCCAAGAGATGCTTATCTGGGGAATGACGTAGTGAATGAGCCCTGGCAGCAGAGGCTAGTCGAGCCGATCACATGCTATCGGTTAAAGATGCCCTTGGGTGATCAACAAGTATCTCAGGTTGCGCAGCGCAGGTACTGTAGGGGTGTGTGAGAAAGTCATTCCTGGAGATATACAAGAGCAAGTACGGTATCGACGTCCATGTCTCAGAACCTTGGTTGGTCAAGCATTGACATGTCGTGTCTATCATTCTCGACACTCAGCCTGTTTGGTCATTCCGACTCTATCAACATGGGCTGATGTGAGAGAACCGAGCAAGAACTTCGCTTGGACTGTCTTAACTGCAGCATCGATATGTTATTTAGGGCTTAATGTCCTCCCTCATCACCATCACCCTTCCCATCACCGTTCACATTCTGTGCTGCAGTGGCAAAAGGAAGGAGGATGCGTTCCTCTTCGGCTTCGTAAATGCGCTGAAAACTCGGTCAGCCATATCCCCAAAACAATCACATATGAGACCCCCTGCCCCGAGGGACCCTGATTTGGTGGATGGATGTGGCGACCTCACCTCAATTGCGCCTGTTGCCGTCATCCAGCTAGCAACCAGCATGCTTTGCAACACCCAGCTTCCCCCAAAGACACGGCTCCGAAATCGCGAAGCGTCCCAAGTGTCAAAGCCACGGTGTGGGAAGTTGGAGTCCAGATGCAGCTGGAGCAATTGCGGAAATCGATCCAGTGCCCGCTGCGACTTCCGCACGGCATCGCGGTAGAAGCCCACGGCGCCGAGAATGAAGCCAGCACAGGCAGACACCACAAAAGGGATCGTGGCGGTATCAAAGATCATGGCGCCTATTGAGGCGCCGCTCATGCCCACGAAAATGGAGCCCAAGGTCCCAGAGACGATGACCCGTGCCATGCTGAAACACCACGCGGGTTAGATAGACATCCTACCGATCGAATTCGGAAAAGGGGTGTTATCCTCTTGGGGAAAAGACACCTACAATATGCCCGGACCGCTGCACCAACGGCAAGATGATTAGAACTAGGGAAATCTGCGCCAAACAGCGAATAACGGGTCGGCCGTGCCGTCCTCACCTTACATTCCCCCAACCTCCTCCTAGACGCAAAATGTGTCTATACGCGTCGGTGAAGCCAGTGCTTGTGAGCGCTTCATTTCCAGGGGCTGGATTGCGGAAAGACATGGTTCTCTGGCGGAAGCTCTCCAATTACTCGGGGGATCAATAAAAGGGACATTGTCGACATTAGAAAGCTTTTCGGCCAATCAGCCAGCTGTGCGTCAGAGTCTTGTGGACGAACGTACACTGTTGATGGCTTCGTCGGAGCATTCGAAAGGCAGAAGCAGTCACCCGGTCTGTCGGCGGTATAAGATCTGATCCAACCATTTAGCAACCCATTCACCAAACAAGCTTCCTGGATAACGTGAGCAACTTTTGGTTTCCCCCTTAAGCTGTGCAATATTGGGATATCTGCTCAACCGGGCCCTTGGTCCCTGGGTACCTTGGCAAGCACCGAATGGGTGTCGAGGTAGGACAATACATCGCAGCTGAGGCATAGCGCGCAATACAAAGCGGCACCAACACCCAAGGAGAGTGGCCGGAAGGACCTAAGCTTTGTCATTATCGGTGGGTTTGACGGATGTGAGCAAATTTCCATTTCGCAAGAGAGAGTGGCTGAGCACATTTCGTAGGCGCAAGTTCTTGGCTTCTCCCTTTTCCTAACAGTCAACAAACCAAAACATGCTTAACGGGACCCCTGTGCTGGGAGAATACCTGCTCAGAAAATGTCGGGTTCCTCGTTATGCAGAGACGTGCGATATTCAAAAACGAGATCCTCGCTCCATGTCTATCGTGAGATGGACCAGACAAGGACTATTTGCACTAGCCAGCACGGCGATTGAACGCGGAGAATATCCCATTTCCTAGAATCGCCAGAAAGATTAAGTGGTTGCGAGTGTTATGCGACCTGTTCCTTTTCAACCAACAATGGATTGTTGTGGTATGTGTCCACAAGGTAGGAATGGCCTGCACTCCATATCACCAAACTGCGACCTGCAGATCGGATCGAATTGGGGATCTCCGACAGTGATCCAAGGTGTCGACGATTCAAACCCTCCTCGATCCTCGAGTACCCGTCCTTCGAGATATCAGGGCGGCCTCGCGTTATGGGTCGGCAACATCCCCCAAAACACCACCATCATGAGTCTGCGCGACTACTTTTCCGAACCCGCCCCGTGCGACCTGCTCAGCGTCTCGTACAACCCGGACGCCAGATATGCGTTTGTAAATTTCAGCTCCGAGGCCGCGCGGCTCGCGGCCATCAGGCTCGCGGGCTCTCGACTTTTCGATGGCAGGCGTCTGGACTGCCGCATCCGCCACGAGTTTCGGGGGAGGTCGACCAAGGTCAACTACGGACTCAACACCAGCACAAACAAGGCGCTCCTCACCTCATCGAGTCCGGTCTGCTGTGACAGGGCGAAATCTCTGCGCAGCAAGGTCGAAGAATTTACGCATTTCCCCGAGGCGGACAGGTCGTCGTGGGGCAAGGAGAAGTACTTCATCCTCAAGAGCTTCTCGCTGGATGCCCTGTACCAGAGCCTCGAGACTGGCCGGTGGCATGTACCGAAGCGGCACGTTGAGCGACTGAACCATGCCTTTCAGGTACGTTGATGCATGCATTCCGTGGAACTTGGATCCCCTTTTTTCGGCTCTGTACTTGGGTTCTCACCAGCTGACGAAATCTCCTCGTCTCCTCCAGACAGCCAGCAAAGTCTACCTGATCTTCTCCGTCAACGGCTCGGGCTGTTTTTTCGGGTATGCGGTCATGCGCTCCGAGATTCGCGTCGAGGACGAAGACCTCATCCCATTCGGCGACGAAGTGCACGTAATATCGCCGCACGGCTTCGACGTCGAGGACGACTCCGGGGCGAGCCAGCCCGAATTCGAATGCGACGCACAGCCCGCGGCGAGGTCGAGGACGGAGTCACTAGCATCGTCTGACTCGACGATGACATGCTCCTCGACGGCTTCGTGGTCGTCGTTGTCGCCATCCTCCTCGATCTCGTCCGGCTCCATCATCTACCAACCCGAACGAAGGAGGATCATTTGGGAGGCGTCATGGCCGCCGAGAACTGCACCGAGGGAAGCCGTCTCGACGGAAGAAGATTTGCAGACAATTTCGTCAATACAGTCCCTATCCCTCTCGGAAATTCAGCCGCAGCCGCAGCCACAGCCGTGGGGAGGAGGTCGACACGATCAGCGCTCTCTATCGACCGCAACCGCACTCTCCAACCGGACAGAATCGCCAGACAATACGGCATCCCGATCCACCGCCACTGCCAACGGCGATCCCGACGCATCATCCTCATCGTCCTTCCTCGCCACGCTCGACCGCTTCAGCAGCCCCTGCCGCATCAAGTGGCTGTGCGCGCAGAGCCTTCCCTTCGCCGCGGTGCGCGGTCTGACCAACCCCTGGAACGCCGACAAGGAGGTCCACGTCGCGCGCAACGTCACGCCCGTCGAGCCGGCCGTCGCGGCGCGGCTGTTGGAGTGTTGGGGCACGGCCACGGCCACGACTGCGTCGAGGTCTGCGTTTGGATCCGGCCCTCGATTAGGATCGGGAGCGGGATCGGGATCGGGATCCACGAGCGAGGTGGGCGTGACGAGCAGAGGATAACACCCGGAATTTTCATGATGTCTCCTCCCAGTATCGAACATGTATGCATGCATGACCCCAAACAAACAAAATGAACCCCAGGAGAAAGGATCGGCGGATCATGACTGTCACCGACAACAAGACGAGACCCGATGAATTGAACAACGAAATACAGTGGTGATGATTTCAATGATGAGAATGTGCATTACGTATGCATATACATGAGCACAATGAACGATCAATGATCATATCCTCTAGACCCGTAGACCCGATATAAATTGCTAAAGAGACATTCGCGTGTCTCTGGTCTCTGAATATCGACAGTCCCATAAGGATAGTAGAGGTTATCAAGTACTTTGTCTGGTCACGATCCCTTGCACCATGAACCACTTACTAGCCGTACATGACACGCTGTGTACCGTATAGCGAGTACAAGACATGTAAATACCTATTAGTTATCATCATATATCAGTACTGCTCAGTCCTCTGCCGAGTAGTCCACGATCATTTACTGGCCCTCCCTGACCGAGACACATGTCCTTCCTGTAAAGAACTCATACTCTCCATCTGATTTGTTCCCACCACGGCTTCGTCCTGACGAGTCTCCCAGTCCAAGTCTGAGTCCTCGATGCATCGATCCCAGCTAGATGCTAGGTAGGCAAGACCTCGTGAGACACCTCTACCTACTTACCTCCCACCCTACCTCCCTACTCTCTCACCTCACTCTCTACTAGATGTCCATCGAATCTCATGGGTTCCGCGACTATACGCCTCTCCGCCGAGCCGGACCTCAAAGATGACGAGTTGGGGTTGGAAAATGACGGCGATCTTATAATGCACCTCCAAATACGTTGCGCTTTCTGGCTCTCGGAATACCTTGGCCGGCGCGTCGGTGAAGTTGCACGTCAGATTCGTCACGGTCGTCAACTCGGCTGGTCTCGCTGTCAGGTAACTTGTAGCTTTGTTGGACGTGGAGGCTTTTGTCAAGGGCAGGGTCAGATGGATCGGACATACAACGACGCAAATTCGACAGGACACGGTTCCCTCCCATTGGAGCCATGACGATTGCGTGCGACCATGTCTCCCTGGGCTTCATGATGCTGACCGCATGCACCATGGGGATCTCGATCAGGTTCTTGTCATCATCCAGCAATGTTCCCTATTCTCTCGCGATCAGTAAGAATTGGTTGTCGATGGACACGCGGCAAAGAGAACCGCAACGAACCGCAACGACAAGCCATTTGATTTGGTCCCGTGCGTACACCCGTCGGTCGGTTTTGTCTCTAAATATATCCTGATCCCGGTGCATGTGTGGATTGAACAGCTGGTTGCATACGACGCCATACGATATCCGGGCCACGCGGGCACGCAGCACCGGTCGGCTGGCCGCAGCAAGCCGGTCCGCAGCAAGCTGGTGGGCACGGGACATGAGCAGGCCCCTGACCACTGCGAGCTGTCTAGGAGATATCAGTTGCTGGCGCCAAGTAGCGTCGGCAACACCAGTAACTTACGGGTCTGGTATTTGGACGACTTTCGCTGCCGGCATGATGAATGGATGCTGCTTGAGATGCAGGTAAATGTTGTTGAACTGGTGAATGATATATGGAGACCTTCCAAGGCCCCCAGAGAGGACGATGTGACCCTCAACGATTGTGAGCTGCAGCTCAGCGAGATAGGGAGCCTATATCGGCGATCTTACAATGGGCGATCCAGGTAGCACCTTCAGTGTTCTGGCTATTTGATCGTCTATCAGCTGGAATATCCTGTTGAGTTGGTCATCGAACAGGTGTTGTAGCTCATTGCTAAGGGACAAATTCTGGTCAGCAGACTCGAAGAATATGAAAACCACTATCTACTATTGTGTGATGTGATGCCAAAGACATTCCTTTAGAGTTTCCCACTGACAAATATTGCGGCAAAAAGGGCAAGGCTTTTTAGCTTACCTGTCCAGTATAAGGCATCCCCTTTCCACTTTGGCTTCTTTCGAATTGAAACCTGCTGGTAGGCCTGGTACTGGCAGTCTGAGAAGGATGATTGTAGAAGTCTCAAACGTAGTTTTGTAGGTCTGGAACAGTCCGCTGGTCATCTTTCGCACGGCATCTTTGATAGAGGCGCGGGAAAGTCCTAGTTCTGCTTCAAGGTATCTCAACCGTTCAAATGCAAGCTGTTGAAACCCAACGTCGATCATTTCGCTACCAAGGCTGTAGTCTGCCAAAGGAAATCAGTCACACTTCCTACACCAGGAATGGGTGGAAGGAAAAGTTGCTCTCACCTTCAACTTGATGTAGGACCTGAAATCGTAGACCTTGGCCCGATCCGGCGGTCGATTGGAGAAAACTGATTTTCTACGGGTGAAAAGTCCATCAATATGTTGTCGATCAAGCTGAGAGCTTCAATTCACCTACCGTTGATATTCCGCCTAAATCAGCAACGAGAACGACACCTTTGGGCTAAATCATGGAGATGAGCTTTCGATAGTGACGAAGTAGAGCGATCTTACTGCAAAAGGCACTGTGGAGTGAGAAAGAGCAGAAATTGCTGTTGCTTCCGCCTCAGTTATGCCCAATTGGCAGCTGTGCCCTGGGCCAGCCCTGCCGAAACCAGCCTTGTCAACGAGAGCGTCGAACGTTTGCATCATGTTGACATCCCAGGCAGAAGGTATCGCGAAGATGAATTCAATCTCTTTATGATGCCATCCATGCACCATCCCTGCAAAGCCCTCTTCGATGTGGGCATAGAGCATTCGTAAGAAATCTAGACATAGCTTTCGGGCATGATCAGGGTCTTCTGGCACGCGCCGAGACCCTTTCCACAAGCTGCTGGCGGACCGCAGCACGCGCGGGTCAAGGAATTCTTTGAATGCGTCAAAAATTTGAGTATCATGGTCGTCCGTCTCGCGTATTGCCGGGAATCCCCAGGATAAGAGCTCGCCATTGCGGTAAGCGAGTGCAGTTGGCACCTTTCTGAAGTTAGCGATGGGATCTGCGCAAGAAGTATCTAAGCAGACACGGCTTTCTACCTTGTCCTCGGATGCAAACCCAGTTCCTGGCCATCTCCGAAGCATGTTAAGTGTCTCGCCAGGAGTGCCCTTGGTGTCCCACCATCCGACCCCTGGTCTCAATTAGCTCCGTACAGTCACGGGAATCAGTATGTCCGAGCAAGGACAAGGTGGCTTATACCTGTGCAGGTCGTGCCAAAATCAACCGCGATGACCAAGTCCGGCTGGCAGCTTCGCGAAAGCCTCATGGTCCGAAGGTCTGGAACCAAGGCAGCTTCAGGATATTCCAGAGCGTCAAAAAACTCGTCCGAAGCTCGGAATCTTTCCAGAGGGTCACGATCCACAAAGGCTGCAGTGTAGGTTGTAGTGCTGTCCACCATGTTTTGGAACATGTTGCCCTCTGCGGTATCTCCACGGCTTCTGAGATCCCGGATGAATAACTGCAGCGAACCCATCCACTGGTAAAGCGTGGTAATCTGCGCAGTCTCACGCCTCATGACTGTTGTGTCATTGAGGATTTTGTGGGTGTTGTCCTTGGTTTCCATGGACACGAATCTGGCAGGATCAGTTGCCAGCAATGAGCTTAGCAAGCATGAGAGGACCAAACACAAAGAACATTACAGCGAGCAAAGAACAGATGGGACGCTCTCCGAGCTACTCCAAATCCGACGGGCACGAAAATACCACAAGATCCCCAAAGTGAGAGGAGGTACTGACATGGAGGCAATGAGCAGGGCGATTGCAATGGCCGACTTGTGCCCCTCCAACTTGGCCTTGAGATTCATCAGCTTTTCCCGCTTCGAGAGCGACCACTTCAAGCGGCCAAACAGTCCGGTAGAAGACAGCTTTCGCAGGAGTTCGCTCATTTGGGTGGTCACGTCGTCGCAATTCCGGAGGGTGTCGAGGAGATTCTGGCGCAACGAGGCCGGGTATTGGGCCATGTTGCCATCGTCACGCATACTCTCGAGACTCGCTGAGAGACTGGCAAGCTCTTGAAGCAGCTCTTGCATGTCATTGCGGGCGTCTTTGAACCGGGAGGCAAAACCATGGGCTTGGGCTGAAAGCTGGGCGACCGCGGCGATCGTGCCTATACAGGCTGTAGTGATCGAGATTGGATCCATGTCTGCCGCCCATTGTGATCCTCTGGGTGGGAGGATGATCTAGGTCACCATTGCTAGAGCTAAGGTGAAGTAGTCAGCCCCAGCTTCTACTTGCAACAGACGCAGGGGGAGGGAGGTTGTCAGGCCATCCGAACGGATTCGAACCTCACGTGCCTCACTAATACCTTGGTAGCGGGGCATCAATCCAAACATGCCAAGATCGGTGCAAATTGACCAAACAAGATATATGAGGTACAACTTAGTAGCCAGATATTAAACGAGATTAATGTTCATCACTATGTCATATCACTACTGGGCGCATCTCCCCTAGGAAAATCATGCTGTGTACTGTGGTAACTCCTCCATCTGCTCAAACTCAGTCATGGAAATCTCATAGCCCAAATGCCTCTTGAGCAGCTCATGGGTCACAAATCGCTCTGGTGTATTGCCCTGTGCATCGACAAATGACACGTGGTGATTCACATCGCTGATACGTTGCAATTCATTGGCGTGGCGATGGTGATGCGGGCATCCGTCCACGCCGATGAGGAAGATGGTGACGTGGGCCCACGAAAGACCCAGCAGATCCAGCTCGAACTCGTCCATATCCGTGGCTTCACCGTCGAGCAGCAGAAGCAGGCGGAGCATGGGCGTCTCTGGTCCAGCCTGCCATCCATACACTGGGTGGTGCGTGGCAGACTCGGAGTGCTTCTGGAAGTGCAGCTCCTTGACCTTTTGCCAGCCTGTCATGACGCGCGTGCCGCCTCCGATTCTGACCTTGCGCCACATCCTATCGAGGTTCTGGTGGTTGATGGTGCCAATGTATTCGGCAGAGTCGGAGAAGGTGGTCAGATCGTAGCCACGGAACTGGTGATCGTGGTTCGCCATGGCGTCGGTGAAGCGTCGGATGATGGCTTTGGCAACATCTGGTATACACAGTCAGAATGGTTATCGAAATCTGAGGTCTCTCTCGGGAAAACTACCTTTGTTCTTTGGCTGGGTGGATTTGGTGTAGCCAGTGATAAGATACTGGTCGTATCTTGGTCGAACCGGATCGAAACCCATTGATCCTGAGACGTCCAAGAGGATCATTGTGTCATCTGTGGGCACTTCAGGTCGATCATAGGCGACAAAGGGTTTCGGCATGACTTGCTTGGAGTAGCCTGCAGAGGTATGTTGAACATGACAGGTGTCGGTGGCCGAGTAGTACTCGGGTGGAGGTTCGACGGCAGTGGCCATTCTGGCTCGTGCCATGTTCATTTCGGAGATGAAGTCTGGCTTCATTCTGGCTCCGACACTGCCTTCTCTGTGGTTCAAGACCCAGTAGAGTCGTTCCTCGGCCGTATCTTCGTATCCTCGCCATGAAGGGGTAAGTCCTCTCCATCCTGCCGCTGCCTCGATACTGAACTTGAGCGGATTGGAAGCTTGATTCGCCCAGGCCACCGGAATAGGCTCAAAGTACCCAGCCCTGAGCAGATGAAGATATTGAATGGGCTGGCGAGCTCGAAGATAAGCGATCTTTCCAGTCATGCCCACCTTTTCTTGGTATACGGCCACGATATGCCGCCACTGCTCATCAGGCCACCTACCTTCCTCCTCTGCCAGAATCGTGTCGCGCAGACTACGGCCTTGATCCACCATCTGCTCCACCTTTGCCGTGGCCCTCTCCTTCGAAGATTTGATGCCGATGGCTTGTCGGAAACTCGAGAGCCTCGAGGCCTTGGCTGGCCTTGCCGCGGCCCCATCTGTAGAGGAAGAGCCCTCTTTTTGTGGTAGTTCACCTGAATCTTTCTCGTCGTCCGCCTTGTTGGATCGTTTTTTGTCATTGGCAGCCATGACACTCAACTGAGACATTGCGGCTTCTAGGGCAGCATCGTTCCAGATGTCGACCGCTGGCTCCAGTGCATTAATCCTGGCTTGAGCTTCAGAATTCAGGCGATTGTTGAGGTCAATCGTCTGGTGGATGGACATGGCATGGTACTTTGGCCGAGGTCTCTGCATTCCCCAGGTAGAGTTGGCGTAGCCATATGGCGACACGACGCGGATTCGATAAGGGTTCCTGCTCAGTCCAGTCAGGCTCTGAGGGTTGTCGTTGTAAGCCTTCTCGCCTATCCGAGCAACAAAGCAACGAATCAGCCCACCTCACACAACGCGACTTTGAAACGTCAAGACCACATATACTGACCAGGATACATGACTGCCTTCGACCACATGTCCTGCACTCCGTAGCGACTCCATTTCATCCTCTGATATATGTGGATGGGACAGCCGCAATAGTAGTCTGCCTCATGCTCGGGTTCGATTTCGCTGTTGTATATTTGGTACTGGAACTGGAGCTTTTGTAGGGCATTCTGCATTTGTTGCTGTTGGAATAGTTAGCCTGTAATTACGCTATGGTAACGACAGACCAGAATGCGGAAGACTCACCTCATCTCTCGCACGAACTCTGCCAGCCTCAATGACCGGGTTGGTATGGGGACGCTTGGCCGTTATCCGGCTGGTGGCTCTTTGGGGCGGTGGATGTGACGGTGGCGCATAGGCTGGAGGATGAACGAGTTCCTCGTCAACCGCTTGCTTGATGTCGCGCGATGGGCTTTTCGCAGTGATCTGAGTCGTCCTTGATGCCGTTACTGTGCTCTTGTCTTCTTGCGCCTGAATTTTTCGCTCAGGATGCCACTCCTTGTGTTCATCTTTCAAGTCTGCGTCCATTGTTCCGCCGTAACGAGGGCCCGAGTACAGAACCGCAGTCTATTGAAAGGTGTCAAACGCCCGCTCAGATTCGTGTCGCACTTTCTTCTGCTCTCAAAACTGTTGCTCTTCTTCTTCGTCTTGAGACCAGGTCCGTGATAGCGAAGGAGGGTCGTGATACAGCCATCTCCGCATTTATGGGTGTAAGACCGCTGGAGGCTGTGCAGTGATGGGTACGTCAACGCCTTGCGACCTCTCCCAATGATATCGATCAGCCGACAAACTCGCATCGGCACATGCAACTGGTGGGTCCGGGGGAGGATTGGGCTCTCGGGCTCTCGTTGTCTACCCGTCGAATCGCAGGAAGAGATAAGCACTGTGGCACTGTGGCACTGTCCCCAATCGTAAGCGAGCGACTGTCAAGCTTTCTCCAAGCCTCACCAAGCTTGTCATTGATTATTCGCGCATCTCCCACCGTCTCGCGCATCCTCGTTGCCCCTTTGCCACGGCCTGGCGCTACGTTTGCGCAGCCGCACGGATGAAAGATGGGCTGCGGAGACTCGCTTTTCCGGGCGGGGGGAGGAATCATTATGCTGAATGAAGGAGTCCCATGCATGGAATACGACGGTGGCGATGGTTGCTCGTATTTTTTGGAGATCCGTTTCTCGACTCATCCCTCTCTCGCCAAGGGTTATTTGAAATATGCGGAGTGGCTTGAAGAAGGAGCATGCAGAGTGCGAATTTAATACCATAAGCGGACCTATTTTACGCCCTCCTTGTTGGACTCCGGAAGACCATCGTGCCTTGCAAACGCCCACACGAGCCAAATCTTTCCTTGCTCAAGACCTGGCCCCAGGACGACACAGGCTGGAAAATGACATTTCATATGTACACGTTCTCATATGATAATCCCAACAAAATCCATTCTGTATTTGTCTGTCTATCGGCGTGATGGATACCGTCAAGCCTGACGCTGGCTAGACAGGTTCAACAGACGAGCCTCACACCTTGACATATTCCTCGTGGACGCCTGCTGAGCTCTTTCTGCGGACCGCAGCCAGCTCAAGATCTGCCAATGTGCTCCGGCGGGCCTCTGTAGCTCCCATATCCTTAACCTCGGTGAAGCGGACGGTCGGAACAAATTCGGGCGACTTCCTAGCGGAGCTGACCTTTGCGTAGAGCTCGTCGACCTGCTCGAGGGTCAAGCCCTTCGTCTCGTAGATGAAGAAGTACACGAAAGCGCAGCAGATGCAGCAGAATCCGCCCCAGACGAAGAAGACCTTGGATCCCAAATTGCTGTACAAAAGTCAGACAAGTACGTTTAACATGCTCCCTTGAGAACACTCACGCATTTCCGGGCCCGGGATTCACCATGTATGGTGTAGCATAGGCGATAGCCCAATTGAGGAGCCAGTTCGAGGCCGTGGTCATGGATATGCCTTTCGCTCTGGCTTTCAATGGGAAAATTTCGCCTAAACGAGAGTCAGTAAGACCCCAATATTTCCGAAGGGAAGAACGTACCAGTAACAACCCAAGCGCAAGGACCCCACGAGCAGGCGAAGAAGAAGATGTAGATGCAGACGAAAGCAATCAAGGCATTGCTAGCTGCCGGTTCACCAGGTCTGGCGGTGCCCACGCTTGCAACAATGAGCTGACAGACAGACATGCCAATGGCACCGAAGAGAAGAAGCGGCCGTCTCCCCCAACGCTCGACCATCCACAGACCAGGAACAGTACTGCAGACGTTGACCACGTCGGTAATGACGGAGATGATGAACGGATTGTGTATCCCAGCGCTGGTAAAGTAAGTCGTGCCATAGTAAAAGATGAAGTTGACGCCAGTAAGCTGTTGAAGAGCCTGGAGAGCCATGCCGGTGAATAGTCGTTTCCTGATCGGGGCCTGGAAGCAGGCAAGGTAGGATGCTGTGCCAATGGCCATCTCATACTCATGGTTGGCGATGATTTCGGTCAGTTCCTCGACGACAGCAGGGTGATCCACGGGCAGTCTGCGGAGACGAGCCAGAGACTTAGCCGCCTTTTCAGCGTTTCCCTTCTTGATCAAGAACCGTGGCGTTTCTGGGAGGATCAGCATGCCAGCTACCAAGATGATGGCCCATGCAAATTGGACAGCTACGGGAATCCGGTAAGACCCAGTGTCATTGCGGTTTTTGGTAGCATTGAGGACAATCGCCGCGAGGAAGAGGCCAATCGTGACTGTGAGGCCTTGTCAGTATGTTGCAAGCAACCGGAATCAGGGTACAGGAACGTACTGGCCCACTGATAACAACCAACAATGGCCCCTCTGATCCATTTTGGCGCTGTCTCTGACTGATATAATGGAATTGTGGCACTCAAAAGGCCAACTCCGAGGCCAGCGAAGAAACGGCCTGCGACAAACATTGGGATGGCGGTAGCGGCAGTCTGGAGAATGACGCCAAACGTAAACACGCCAGTGTTGAAAATCACTTGAGAACATATTAGTGGAGAGTCCCTAAAGAATGGTGAAAGTGTATTAAGGCAGGGAAGCCCTTCGACAGTTTTCTCGGCGATGGTGTATCTCAGGGCAATCCATAAATCCTCGCACAACTGGTCTTGCTAACTTGTGAAACAGATAGAGACTTACTTGCGAGCCGACGGCCCAGGAAGTCTGCGATTGGGGCACTGAATAGAGCGCCGAAGAAGGTCCCCGCTGACAATATGGAGACAATTTCCGACGTCTGGCTGGCTGTCACGTCGGGGAAATTATCTTTTGGGTTGATATATCCGGTCGAAAAGAGGTTTCTCCAGTACTTCATTGCTAGAATGCCTCCTATTGTCCCAGTGTCATACCCGACTGTCCCATCCCAATGGTAAACGTCAGCAGCAGTCTGAGGAAGCAACGTCATAGTGAGGAGACTGTGGTCGGATGCCGGAAGATATGAGTGACTTACACAAGACACCACCAAACGCCACGAAACATCCTATGATGATTGCAGGGAGGGCTGACCCCGGGGTGTCTGTAGGCTTCGAGAAGAGAAAAGACATGATGCTGTAGCTTGAGAGCTGATCTGGACACAATGTGGGCGATTGTAGATCTGATAGCGAGACAGATGATTATGTGCAGCCTGCATCTCGAGAATGGCGATGAGGGAACCACCACTCAGGTATAAATACACGAGGTCCATGTTCTCATGGTACCTTGTCGGGCTCCCAGAGCATTGAAGTAACGGACAGCAACATTGGTCGAGTTGTATTACGCCGAGTGTCGGCGAAATATTCCCAATTCTGTTTCAAGGTGCATCCTTGGCCTTCCACAGATCACCCGCTGTTGGTCATCCATGTGCCAGCTTTGGAGTCGAGAAAGATCCAGGGTCAGGGTTCCAGGACACGGGTCACACCAACGCAGCCGATCTCGTGTTTCCACCAGTGAAAGTCATGATTGAAGTCGGGTAGGAGGTTGTACAATGAAGCCATCACTGCAAATGTCGAAGCGGGAAGCCCAGTCAGGAAAAGCTTGCTTATTTGGCGTAGAAGTGAGAAACACGGGGCTCCAGAGCTTTGGTGGAGAACGATGCAAAGCTGGAGCATTGTTTTTCCGTATTTCACCGAGGCGGCCATTGAGAGACTTTCACGTGACGGTAAATTACCCCGCACGTTCGGCCTTTGAGGGTCCCATAACCGATAAGCCAATCAGATCTATTCACTACTAGTGAGAGCCACATCTGGACAAAAGCCGACGATGACAGCCTCGCACAAACTTCTGCGTTCCCGCGCATTTGCCTCGACATGAGAACTTGGAACCAGTCCCTTTTGAGGCAGATTGACGCATCATCTCCTATCTACCCCAATGAATATCCTCGTTACTCATGCGAGTGCCCGGAGACAATGCCTACGCAGCAACAGTGTGCAAGGATCATGGAAGATCACGGTCAAACACCGTCCAGGGGCGCCAGTCTACCTTCTGCTAATCGGTCCGATTCTATTCGCAGAACGGGAGCCAATTGGTAAATAACATGGTTACTGTGCCTTAACAAGTTTGGTGGTGTGTCCTTGCCCATCTCCACTCTAATATGATTTGCGCAGGAATCTTCAAGGAAATGACGTCGATATCATGCTTCGCGACACTCCGCATGGACGTCAATATTGTTTGGGGAGTTCAACATACTTAAGCCCAAAAGAATAGGGACAGACCATTTCGCCATCGGGTACTCGAGACTCAGCTCGATCGTCGACCGTCATGATTTCGTTGATTTCTATAGCATGCCTTGCTCTGATTGCATCCGCGTACGCCCAGGTCTCCGAATATGTAGAGCCATCGGTGCCTACAGGAGTACCAATACCTGGAAACTACAGTGGTGCTCTTCGCCCACAGGTCCATTTCTCCCCTCCCAAGGACTTTATGAATGATCCCAATGGCATGTTTGTCGATGCGAATGGCACGTATCATTTGTACTACCAATGTAGGTAAACGCGGCTCGAGGCCAAACACCTCTTGGTGCTGATTGGAACGAAGACAATCCGACAGGCGTCGTGGCAGGTAATCAGCACTGGGGGCATGCCACGTCCCAGGATCTCTACCACTGGGCGAATCAGCCAATCGCCATATTCCCTCCCGACGCACAGTCCAACATCTTCTCAGGTTCCGCGGTCGTGGACGTGAACAACACGTCAGGGTTTTTCCCACGTCAAGACAATGGCATCGTGGCCGTGTACACCATCAACACGCCCACGTCGCAGACACAGGCACTTTCATACTCCATCGACGGCGGGTACACCTTTCACCCTTACTCCGGAAACCCGGTGTTGAGCGACAATTCTAGCCAGTTCCGCGACCCCAAAGTCATCTGGCACGCGGCCACGCAGAAATGGGTCATGGTGGTCGCCTACGCGCAGGATCTCGCCGTCGGCTTCTTCACGTCCGACAACCTGAGGGAATGGGACCACGTCTACAACTTCTCCCATCACGGCCTGTTGGGAGACCAGTACGAATGTCCCAATCTGGTGGAAATACGGATGGAGGGCCACGAAGAAGACAAGCCGCGGATGTACCTGCTCGTCGTGAGCATCAACCCCGGCGCTCCCCTCGGCGGCTCCATCACCCAGTACTTCCCAGGCACCTTCAACGGCACTGTCTTCACGCCCGTCGACGGCGCCGCGCGCATCGCCGATTTCGCCAAAGACAACTACGCGGGACAATTCTTCTACGGCGTCCCCGCGGGCCGCGATCAGTTATCCATCGGCTGGGCGAGCAACTGGCAATACTCGCAAGTCGTACCGACGGGCCCCTTGGAAGACTGGCGCTCATCCATGTCGCTCCCACGGATCAACTACCTGAAGAACATCAGCCGGGTGGGCTATGACCTCGTGTCAGCACCGTACGATTTGTCGCCTGTGATCAACACCACCGCGCTGGCTCGAAAGACTATAGGAAACGGCAGTGTAAGCGTCGACTACTCCTCCGTCGCCTCCGGGGCGCTGTACTTCCAGATCAACATCACCAACATCCCCACAACCAACATCACAGGCACCACGAACTTTACGTTCTCGTCGTCCCGCTCCGGCGAGTCGCTCAGGGGAGGCTACCTCCTCACTCCCGACAGCGCCTTCTTCCTCGACCGCGGTAACATCCAGGGCTTCGACAACCCTTTCTTCACCGACAAGTTCTCCACGAGCTGTCCGTACAACACTTCGTCATCGTCGCCACTGACCTGGCGCGTCGAGGGCGTGGTCGACCGGAGCATTCTCGAGGTCTTCATCAACGGCGGCGAATCCTCCGCCACGCTGACCTTCTTCCCCGAGCAGGCGCTCGATACCCTCAGGATCAGCTCGGGCGGCCTCAACCCCGGCGTCAGCGTGAGTGCGGCCGTGTATGATCTCGACAGCGCGTGGGCGAGGTTTGAGGATGTCCACGGCACGGTGGTGGGGAATGTGACCGCTGACCACTGATCACTGACTGAGCCAGTCGCCTGAAAAGAGATTTGAAAGATTAGATTACAGCTCCTTTGAGCTTGAAAATTCATCGTCTCGGGGAATGTGATCACTACCTCAGCGACCTCGAAACAGAATACAAAGCTTAGATTATGACTGCTGTCCCTTACTGATACTTCGAGTGTCGCCCAAGGAATAACATGGTGTGTGGTTGGGTGAGTATGCCTTCTTGATTCTTCCAGACTTAAGTCATACATAGCTTGCACATCTATCTCATCTCATAGAGCCACAGAAGAATTCACCTAGTTAGATGGACGGAGTTCTTCTTCTGGTATATAAGATTAAACAGACTCGATGAACACGCTTTCTAACGCATCAGGGACATGCAGCATGCCTAAGCAGATTGTGGTATAGGTCCAGCTAAAGGGGGGACTGTCTAATCTTTTACATCGCTCCAGTTCTCCAACACGCGATAGGGGAGTGGCATGGAAATGACATGTCTCCGTCACTCCCTCTCACGTACTATGGACGGGCTCCCCACCTAGAATCCAAGCCCAAGTGCCACGACGGCAGCGAGGCCAACATTCCAAGCAAGCCCGCCCATCTGCTGCACGCTCAGCCTGGCTCCCGCGTTGGTCGTAGCTTCAGCTGTAGCAGTCGCAGTCACTGTGACCGTGGCCGTCGCCTCTGACGCGCTGGACCCGTCGGCGAGTTGTTGGACGAGAGGGTAGATCTCGACGCCCGTTGAGTTCTGGCACTGGTCTTCGGGAAGGAGGGTGGCGTTGGCGCTGAAGCGGATGTCGGCGCACTAAGAAGACGGTCAATCAGTAACTCACTCACTCGGCCAGGACGGGAGGTCGGGGGAGGGGGCTGTGTCGACATCGACAACGTAGAACTAAAACAAACAACAAAATAACAAACTTGACGTAGACATAGACGTGGACATACATTGTACAAAGCACTCCCACTATCCCCAATGGTAATGACCTGCAGCGACGCGTCCATGCCATCAGTGATGCCCAGGTCCGCCGGCAGCGTCCACTTGGGGATGCAAATGGTGCCGTTGCCCGTCTCGTTGAGCAGCATCGGGTTCAGTGAGATGTTGAAGGTGGCAATGTCACTCCCAAAGCCCAGGTTGAAGGCGACATAGGTCCACGGGTGGTGGAAGTCGATGACCAGCGAGCCGCCATCGAGGGGCCACAGGGTGCGGTTGGCGTTGGATTCGGCAGATGTGTTGACGTTGGCGCCTGGGTACATACAGATATTCTGTGGTCAGTCTTTGATGTCTGCGGTGCGGTGGAAGGATTGAAGGGGAATAGACATGTGCATAACCACAGGGCTCGTCTGTTGATACAAGGATGAAGGAGAGGCCCAAGGAGGGATGAAGTGAATGGGGCATCGACTTACATGGGAAGATGTATTGAGACGCCGGCGGTAGGAAGGAGTCGCCTCGCCAGGTTGGATAATTCAGCTCAAAGTGGGCGGACACGACGTTGGCCGCGACCAGGAGGGCAGCAATGAAGAGCTTCATCCTTGATACTCGTAAGGGGACAGAAGCACGTGGGAGAGAGTCTGGGTGCCTGTGTAGGAATCGAGTAGCACGAGGGCAGCAGCAGGTATGTATTATATGTATGAAGCTGACGCTGAAGGATAAGACCGTCGACGACCCAGAGACTCGACTTGACTTGACGTGACTGGGGTATTCAAGACTCTCTCTCCCTCCCCCAGCGACCCTCTTGACCTTTTGTACTTTTTTCCTTTTCCCTTTAGCTTACCAGTACCGGGGGGTAACACAAACCATTGACCTAATCCTATCTGCCTCTCTAATGCGAATACACCACGGGCATTTTTTCTCTCTCGACCTCTTAGCTACTCAAGGCAAGGAGGAACCATCTGGACTCAAAAGAAAATGGGTAATGAAAAGCATCCACTCTCCCACGAGTGGCTGAAAGACGTAGCCTGTCATTGGGCAACGCGATAGAACAGACCTCATGATAAACTTGCTCATCTGGACGGTGTGTTCCTTTCGGTCCTTGGTATTGCTTGGCAATGCTCCGTGGAGTCAGTAGATTCAGGGACATGGTTGATGCTGGTGTCTGACCGTAAGTGGGACCCGTGTGCCCGTGGCATGCATGGACTGCATGGACTGAGGACACGAGCCGAAGAGGCACGCTTTGTCCCGAGCGGGTACAAGGCCGAGTAGGAACAGCGTGGGATATACAGTGACATGCTGTAGGATAGAGAAAAGGGGGGGATCTCATGGTGGGAAGAGAGGCTTCACGCCCACGATAGACGGTAAAGACCGTATAGGGTAATTGATCCAGCCATGGAATGCTGGGTGTAAATACCAAGTACACATTCAGTGCCAGGAGTCGTATCTCATATCTAAAAATGCCATCAACGTCTATAATAACAACGACCGTCGCTATGCTGTCACCAGCCGTAAGTCTCCGAAAACAGATATATTCCTTGAGCGCCCGTGCCTTTATGGACGGCCCTCTCATCAGACAGCTTGGCCACATAATTCCTCAACTGCCCAGAAAACTGAATGCCACCGCAAGCGAGGATTCCTGTCTCGCCCCAGGCCTCTTCCACGACTGGGTGAATGAGAAGATCGAAATCCGGGCGACCGTAGGCAACCTGTATCTTGGGCTGCTCATTTACTGAAGAGGACGAGGAGACAGAGTCCTCCCTCACGCTTCCCATTTCCTTTTGCATAGAAAGCTTGGCATTATCTGGTATGTCGGCCGTGTCGAGATTGTTGTCTGGTAGTTTCTCTGGGACTGAATGATTTGAATCTGATCTTGGCTCGAACAATGCGTTGCATTCCGACGGCGACACGCTTCGCAACTGTCCATGCCCGGTAATGAAAGCGTATATGTTTATTTTGATGTTGCGCCGTCGTGCCGCCACCCATGCGGAGAGTAACTCCTCCTTGAACCAGTCGAGTTGCTCCGCCTGTCGGAAGATCCAAATGAAGGAAATCTGTCGTACGTTGTTACTCGTCAGAACTGCTTGTCGGAAAATGGGAATTGTGAAAGAAACGCCATTCCCTGTAGCCGCAAAGACCATTGATTCGAATCGCTCAACAGAGGGAGGATTTCCCCACGGTCCGCTAATGAATGACAGAAAGGTGCGGGATGACAACTGATTTTGACACCGACGGTATAGCCTCTTGGTGAATCCATTGTGCACCCTCACGTATAGCTCAATAGTGTTGGGTCCGCTTTCTCCAGATACCGATTTCGGGATGCTGGCAATGGTAAATGGATGTGCTTCGAAGATTCCGGCACGAGGGATGGACAGGTACACATGCTGACCGGGCCGCCACGACATTGCGACGTTTCGCACTTTGACCTGCAGAAACTCGCCCGAAAGAGCCTTGACCTCAGCATCATATCCGATACGTCGGCCGGACGGAACACTGTCCCGCTTGTTGGGAAGGAGATGTAAATTGATGACCAAGGACATGACTGTCCTGACGAGCCGGTCAAAGGCAACGACTCCGACCGCAAACCACACATTGTACTGCGCATATGAAGGGACGTGAACGTGGACCAGCCACAGCAGCACCATGGCTGCCGCGAGATGCTGCACGAACCAAAGCTCGTACGAAAGATTCCGGAAAAAGCCAAATCCCGTGATGACCATCCAACCTAATGTCGCCCAAGCACCAAATCCATATTTGACCATAGGCATCCATTTCAGCTGCAAGGTCACAAAGTCGGCAATGGACCACTCGGTGAAAAAGTACGACCAGTGCACGATGACGGTCAAGAAAATAGTGCGGCTGACCCAGCGATGTAACCAGTTCAATCTCTCATACGAGATGCCAGTCAACATTGTGATGATGTTGGCCTTTCCAGATAAAATGTAAATCAGGGGTAGTTGGGTGACTGAAACCCAAGCAGCGCGAAAGCCCACAATCTCCCATCGGTAGGCGTAGTTGGGCGAGGAGGGGGTTAGGAGGACATTTGACCATAACATGGTCAGGATGACGGCCCAGTAGGTGAGGAGCAGGAGACATCTCCCCAAGGAAGGGGGAGTGAAATATCTGGTAAATCTGCCGGTGCACGTCCATAGTTGTGGGTATGCCAGCTCTCTGCAAATGGCTATGGTGGTGTCGTAGAGTTGCTCGAGGGCATTCTGTGGTCTCCCAGGTATTTGTCCTGGTTGCTGTTGTGATTTTCGCTTACTTGTTGACCACATGTCAGTGACTCCAATATCAACATCACAGGTCAACTCAAAACTTACTTTACAAGAATTCTGAGTCGATCTACCAGCCTTCGAAAAACGAGTACGCCCACAACCGCAGCGACCAAGTACCAGTACAGATGCGCCAGCTTTTTATTTGTCGGCGTAAACATGCTTGTCATGGCCATGTCCATGCCGCCCATTCCGGACATCCCAGACATGTCCATGGTTGCGGTTGAATTGGCGGCGGTGGCTGTTTGCAGGTCTTGTTATCGTTACAGGTCGTTATCGATGTGCTAGGAGGACGTCCTCTGCAAGTATACGTTGAAAGAATGATATTTGCCCTCGGTGCTGGACGGATGATGATTTGTACCAAGTACTGACAGTAGGTGTACACAGAAAAGACTACCAAGTTGTCTTTTAGCCCAACCGTGTCATGTCATCAAGGGTGCCACGCGCATGGGTAAGAATAGGCACGGTGACGGGCGAACGGTGGTATCCGAAACCATGGAAAACGTGCTCGTCTGGAGACGTAACAAGTACAAAGCGCCACCAGGAGCGGGCGGACGAGACGGGAGGGAAAGTGAGCAAGATTTCGATTTATTTTTTAACAAAAGGAACGGCGATCCTCCGACGCGAGCAAGCAGTTTGTAACTCGACTTGTCGTATCCGAGGCGGAGGAAGAAGAGCAAGGTGGTCGGCGGCGCGGCATGGTAGTGGGATGCACCGGGTGAGATGGAGCAGCAACTAATAAAGGGATGAAAGCTGGTGGTTGAGTTTGCCTGAGTCTGCGACTATGCGTGGATGATTGAGGCTGCTGGATTGTGCTCACCTGCGGACCGCGATCGCCCAGCCCAGACCGAGATCACCTGATTGGCCAGAAAATCTGCTCGTGCGGTGAGGGGTCCACCTGCGAAACTTGCTCACCACCACTAGTGCCATGCAATGGGGGAGAAAGAGACAAGCAACCGCTAAGGGTGAAAAAACAGCTGAGGGTGAAGCCGCGGGGCCAACCACATAGAATAATAAACCCTGGTAACTCCTGATCTTCGTAGAGAACGAGAGAGAGCAAGATGCGAGTAGACGTGCACGGGAAAAAAAGCACAAAAGGAGAGTAGTAGACGCAGTCGCATCGAGAGCCTCAAGTCTTGGCCATCATCAACTCGTACATTCAACTCACGCACTCTTCCATCAATCAACCCTCATCTCTCCATTCGACACTCAAGCATTCACACGATCGCCAAACATGCATTTCCTCCGCCACCTCTCCCTCGTGTCCGCCTGGGCCCTCTGCACCTCCGCCCACTTTATCCTCCAATACCCCTCCTCCCTCGGTTTCGACGATGACAATGAAGGGACTGCGCCATGTGGTGGCTTCGACGTCGTCTTCAACGGCACCGACGACTCCATCCCCGTGGGCGGCTTCCCGGTGTCGATGCTGAGCACCCATCCTGCCGCTGACTGGCTTTTCCGTGTCACCCTCGACCAACAAGCGCCCTTTAACTGGACCAACCTGCTCCCGGTCGTCTCAGAGACTGGCCTGGGTCAATTCTGTCTGCCGCAACTTGTCGCCCCGGCTGAGTTTGCTGGCCAGCAGGGCGTTGTGCAAGTGATCCAGAAGGGCCCTGATGGTGTCTTGTATCAAGTAAGCTGAAGATCCAAGAAGAGACGGCATCATGTCGTTCAATCAGGACAAGGTCAACTGACACATTCAACCTCATAGTGTGCGGCGGTCAACTTTGTCGACGGCATCAACTCAACAGTCAGCTCCAGCTGCACAAACGTCACCGGCTTGACGGCAACCCTCACGAACCAGAATGACTTCGACACCAGCTCATCGTCAACTGCAGGAACCATGTCAGCAACTGCATCTCCATCAGCCTCTGCCACCGCCTCAGGAGGTGCCGCCTCGTCCAGCTCAGCCGGTCTGGCTGCTCCGACCACCGGACCTCAATTGATGCAAGGTCTTATTGCTGCCGCTGGTCTCGCTGTTCCATTCTTCCTGTAGGCGGATCACGACTATCCCATTGGCTGGTTGGCAGAGGGAATAGGGACGTCCTGAGTTGGGAAAAGATGTATGAATACACCTAGACAAACAAAAAGTCCAGATGCATGTGAGATGGTTTGTTGCCCGTCATGTCCTTCAGCGTGTGAGGCGATAAAGCCCCCTTGTGGCCATCGATCTCAGGCTTGCTCGTTCATAGCGGTGTTTTTGGCTCAGCTTCTTGTCAATAAGAGATGCACAATGCAATGATCCTTGTCACTCCGTTGCTGGTCTACACCGTAGACTAGAACGAGGTCGTAAATCACTGTGAGATCCAGAACTTTCGCGAACCCCTCCCCCTTTCGATGGCCTGAGCCCTTTGTGCGTAGCTGCCGAGCCCACCCCTCTTGAGTCTCTTGTGCGTAAAACCTTACCCCCTCCCTCTGAAACCCCGATCTTCGGCCAATAGAGGGCGCAGCTGCGCTGATCCGGCAAACTCCACCATCAGACAAACAACCCACGGGCGGCGGCTGACAGGATGTAGAGTACGCAAAGATGCCTCACCACACCCAGGCCCCGATCGATACCAAACCCCACGCTTTGTGACACTCTCACCTCCGTCCCTTCTGGCCTACCCAAGGCCGAGAGCCGGTTTTGCCCAAAGGAGTTGATTCACATGTTGCTGGTTGGTTGCCCTCTCCTTTGCCCTCCACGGGTCGGGTCGATCTGGTTCGTCCAGGCCATGCAGAGAAGTACGCTTGATTGGGTTTGAAGAAAACGCACAAACCACGCAGGGCGCTGTGCTGGCCCGGCTTTGCTTCTGGCTCGTCGTGTATAAGTATTGGCAGGTTTCCCCCTCGGCTTGTCACCTGTGTTTTCTCGCTTCCTCCATCTCACAACTTCATCACACCAGATCAGATCAGATCACAAGAATCACCCACCAGAACCAAATCTTTTCAAACAACCACACCAACAACCACAAACACCATTCCAACGATGGGTCCCTGCACTTGTTCCGGCCCTGGCAGCTGCAACTGCGGCTCTGGCTGCAAATGCACCTCTTGCGGAGTAAGTTTATCCCTCGGATGAATGAGAATTTGTTTGGAAGACAGTGTCCTGACGGTCATCAACAGCATTAAACACCCAATTCGTGAAGCCTCAACATCATGCAAGAGGACTTTCAACCATCCAATCGTTTCGGGTGCGGTAGATGGAACGAAGATTGTCGATTTCAATGACCCCTTTTCGTCCACCTTACGGGTCAAGGATCTTTCTTGCTGTGGATGTTGCTTTGCGAGGGCCGAGATTAGGCTGGGTTGTCAACGATTCGTAGTCCTGTTGTCATGAAAGTCGCTGTGTCAAAAGGGGATTTTGCTGGATGCATGTCGAGACTCGAGAGATCCACATAGCTAATCGATGCTGTTATTCCCATGTGTTTTTGTCCTTGAACCATCGTAAGGAGATCTTGACCTTCGTCGCAAAGGATGTTACTCTGCCAATCCCGTCTTCGGATACTCAATCTCTCATGATGCCCAACACTGCAGCAGCTTCGCTCGGCAAGACATCGTGCATCCTCAAAGCAGCCAAAACAGAGTCTTGCACTTCGGGTCTGATCTGTATCCCTGATGTTCTATTATATTCAACCTCTGTGCCATCGATAACCTGACCGTACCCCAACGCACGTTGATGGACACAGGGGGGTCGTACAAGATGATCATGTCGGACCAGAAACTGTTGGATGCTCCGCCCAGGATTTGCAAAGTCCCGGTGGCCACATATTTACCAGAGCCACCCAACAGCAGGTACGTTTGGTGCTTGTCATCCTCCTTCACGGGAAGAGCTAACAACAGCAACTTTCTTCCCTGGTGCAAGTCAATTAGTTGCTGATGGTAGTTCACAAGCCACGCCTTGCATGAAGGACATTCACAAACGCGCGGAGTGTTCTTTTGCGCCTCGCCCCAGACACGCTCATCAAACCGCATCGATATTCTTGAAGAAAGCGAAAATGCGGTCCCCTCACCTATCAACTTGGCCTTCCAGACGGGGGATGTCTCTTCAACTGGTACTGGAAACTCCAACGGGGCATCTGTATCAAGTCGTAAACCTCGAGCGATAAAGGTCGAGGCTACTCCAAGAGTCGTGCGCAAGGTAGAGATATCGTGATCTGAAAGAGTTGCAGAGGTGGTTGCTAGGACAGCTACAAAGAGACCCTCCATCGGCCATTGGTAATTGATGGCAATTTTCTTCCCGTTCGACGCCAGTCCAAGGAATGCATAGACTTTGTCGTGTATATCCCAGCACTCGGATTCGGCAAAGGCCAGCACAAGCAAAGCGAGATCTTCCGTAGCGATGGTCCCAAGCCTGGCTATCCTCTGCTGACACAAGGTAAAAGCCATAGAATATCTGATGCCCAATATGAAACCTCTATGAGGCCAATATAACGGGTCCATTGTGTCTTCTGGTATGTTACCAACCAAGTTGATATATCGGGCCCATCTTGTCCAAGACACTCGCTTGTTACCACAGACAAGCTCAAGGCTACAGGCCAGGAGGGCTTCTTGCACGATCCACGCTCTTGACCAGTACGTTCTTTGGCACAACTGGTAAGCCGCCTGTGAACGTTTAGCTCCCGCGTCAAGAAACCATTGTCCTGTTTTTGATTCCCCTGACTCCTTGAGTAGTGGCGGTTGGCTGAGAGATGCACACTGCAGCTCTTGTTCAGGGACTCCATTCAGAAAGTCGAAGAGGCTATCGCTCTCAGGGTTCCCTGGCCCAAGCCAAATCGTCACCTCCGATGACTTGCCATAGATGTCTTTCATAAGCTGTACTTGGTGGTTCTTTTCCCGGACATCGTCCTGGTCGATACATATGGCGTCTACCCACAGATTCGGGATCCCGCCGTCTCCGTGAGATTCAAGAAAGTGGAACAGATTTTCCTGTATCTCGAATTTTGCGCCGTTGATTTTGATCAGACGCCGGGGTCCAGATCTGCTGCCCCATTCATAGGACAGAGCAACATAGTTGATATCACTACCGTTATCAGGAAGGCAAAGGTGACTCAGTTGGCCACAGATCGGACCTCCTGTTCGCCTTGGTAGAACTGTCAGAAGTCGTATACTCTTACGTGCGAGGTCCAGGGGCATATGCTGAAAAGCTGGTAGACATTCGAGTTCAATGTTTCCCTGTTCAGTCTCGAGGCTTGTGAGTTCTCGTACACCCTGATATGGCGACCATGGGAGATGTTCGTCCCGGTTTCGAGCCATTGTGCCCCTATGGACAGCATTTCATGTCAATAGCATGACATGGTGTTACTGGTGAGAACGACATGGTTGTCGTCTTAAATGTTGTCCCATATCAACCATTGAAGCTGATACTAGGCAGCAGCACTGGGCTATGCCGGGCAAAGGGCTCGAGTCAGTCGGCTGAGGCTGTGTAATGCGCAGGTTGGCTCGCCAAAGGTCGTCCATAGCGCGAAAGCTCGTCATTGGCATCTTGAAGTGACAAAGTTCCGTCCGACAACGACTAGATCGACGGCTGGTAGGTAGACAACTGTGTCTGTCTAAAATGCTTGGTTCTCGGTGTATCTGGAACAAATGACCTCTTTGGCAGTCTCGTCATCTGAACACCTTCTCGCACGATCTAATCACCCACAGCCAATACCCACACAAGCCACACTGGGCGTTCGCCAAAAGGTCAGTGGCCGCGGAATCTCTACATCCGAGTCGATCCAATGCCGGACTAACGCTAACACCTGGTGGAGATTGAGTTGGGGGACTTTGGTAAGTGCGTCTCTCCAAGAACGGCGCTTAAATTTGACGAAGAACTTCGAACAGTCGTTATAGCCTACGGAACGCATCTCTGTGTGAGAAAGAACACGCCTGTAGTAGTCAAGAAATGACAAGACCAGCATAAGAGAAGGATCACGGCTGAAACCGTCGGTTCGCCGATACTCGCGCCGGCCGCACTTCCCCTGGCGCTGAGGAAACGCCAGGGTTGCATGTGGCTGCAGATTTGGAGGCCGGCCAACAACGCTGCTTCTGCTAGCTGGGGTCATCTGTCCATCTGTCCAGCTCGAGGGGGGGTTGCTCGATTTCGTCTCAGATGGTGCATGCACTGCACGAGAAATCCTTGACTCTCACGCTCCTTGCACAGCAAAAAAGCCACGACGACAAGCCTTCACGCATCCATGAGACCAGGGTGTCCAATGCGGTCTACTACTGATAGCGTATAACGGCTTCCAGACAAGGGGTGGTAAAGAGATAGATAGAGCTAGCGTCAGCCAGTGTCTCAGAAAGAAGCGCCGTCGTCAAGGCACTGTCGTGGCTGGGGTCATCAACGCTTGAAGGTCGGCACCGCACGAAGTGTGGGTGTGAGTACCGAGTACCTCGTACATACTAATGATACCAGCCTTCGAATTTTATACAGCATGGTATCCTATGCACTGCAATACGGCCAAATCACCCGGTCCGGCCCCCATGGGAACTGGTTTGATGGGTGGTATATTAGACAAGCCAACTCCAAGCACGGACTGTCGCTCTCTACTTGCGCCATATCGACCTTTGCCTGATCATCTCTTCCGCTGATAATTATACGGACACTACTGCTCTCCTCCAAGCATTCTCGGTTTCGGGGTCATTCTTACATTTCTCTGTGGTTTTCGTCTCGGCTGGAAGAAGCCTGTCAGTATATCCCCCGTGGGTACCAAGTTCCAGCGTAAGAGATTGACTGCTCGTGGCGAGTGCATCAACCTTGGTCCAAAATGCTACCGGTACATTTTGGGCGGCCAGTCGTCAGTAACGACATATTGGATGCTGGCCTTCGAGAGGCGCAGCGCAGGTACAGCGAATTCGAGACGAGGATAGGCGAAAAGCAAAAGGAGAAGACAACAGCCATGATCTCTTGCATTAGGAAGTCCAAAAAAGATTATCAAACCGGCTATATCTATGCTGTACAGATCCAACAAAATGAACTGGTCAAAGTTGGACGCGCTAGAGCTGCCAGTACGGAGCGACCCATGGATGTGCAGAAGTGCAGCTTCAAAGCTGCCAGTACGGAGCAACCCATGGATGTGCAGAAGTGCAGCTTCAAAGCTGGAAGAATTTTCAGAACAGACAATTTCGACGCAGTCTGCAAGGCTGAAAAACTGGTCCACCATCTGCTCTCCCAGTGGCATAGTCCTTTCGAATGCACCAAATGTACGAACGATAGTGGGGCCCCAACGAAACACCGAGAATACTTCAGCTGTGGGCTTTGGTTCGCTATATCAGTGATCAATCTTGTCACGTCCTGGTTTCTCAAGAAGCCTTATGACATAGAGGGTCAAGAAGGCTCTCTAAAAAAGGCGTGGGAAGAGGCCTTAAAAGCGTTCGAACAGAGTCAAGAGTCCCAGCATCCCATGGAGTGGTTCGAATTTTTCCTCATCGATGTCGAATCTCAACTTTCCTGGAAGTCACATCTCCCAGCATCGGGCACTCCGTGGCATTTGCCTGCCACCCCAGTGCAACTTGTCCCCCACGGCACCTTGCACTTTGCAAGCCCAAAGCCGAAACCAGGCACACCCAAGATCAGTCCTGCTGTTCCCCAGGTATCATCTCTGGCTCGTCAAGGACACCAAAGGAGGCGATCAGAATATACGTTGCCGAGTCGTTCAGAGTCGGCTCCACCGAAGACATTGTCACACGGGGATCAAACTCCGTCACCCCCCGAGACGCCTTCAAAACCACCGAGATCCGTCCCGCGCCGTCCAGGCAAAGGTCCGAAGACGGGTTCTTCCTCCAATTCTAGAGGCGAGGAGGGGCAGAAAGGCCAGGGTCGGGAGGACGTGAGAGAGGTAGACCAAGAGGACGTGGTGGGCGAAGATATCAGACGAGATGCTGCCGCTACCTCTAAAGAAGATGGCGACGTCGAAGTGACTACCGCAGCTGCCAGGTTAACCCTCTCAGACGGCGGTCCAGAGACCGGTCTTCTGCTTATCGAGCGTTTCCGTGTCTTGGTGGGGTTTTGAACCACGCGGACAGAATGATGAGTGTCGAAGCGCGAACACGTCGTTGGACTTGAGGGGGATTTTCTTATCGGGAATGGAACTTTGTGATTGGTGTTGATATGACTACTCCGTTTAATTGAATAAGTAGGTATGCATGTATGTCTGTGTCAATGGTATGCACCAAGCTACGACATAGATTGTACATATGATAGCGCCACGGAGGGGGTGGGTGGTGTGGTGTGTGCCTCGCTGCAGGGGCTTTGGTGAAGATGCAGCCCTGTCCCCACAGGTTCCTGCCATCGAACATTATGCTGTGTACGGAGTACCTCGTACCTACCGAGTAGGTGCCTCGAGGATAGCTTGGCGCTTGAGGTGTACCTCGTACCTAGCTCGCCAAACTACTTGTACCTACCACTCTGGGTAGGCAGTTCCCCGCCCCACAAGCGCTACGGTTTAGTGCCGGGGGAGCCTAACCCTGTCATTTTCCGGGCGCTTCCCTTGTCGAAGTGAACGTGTGTCTGTTCTGACAACCCAAGACCCTGTCAGTACGTACCTCTGTCTGCTCTGTCCACGACTTTACTACGCGACGCCTTCTCCATCCTTCAAATTAATCTCTGGGATGCGCTTCATGAAGGTGTCTACCGAGTACAGTGAATACTCCGTCGACGATCCATTCGGCCGTGGATTCAGCCGTGAAACCTGCCTGCTTCCACATCCCCCCGGCCTCAACCCTGGCCCGATGACCCCTGGTGGCGCTCATACTAGTCTAGTCGTCTCAAGATATGCAGTCTCATCCTCCTGCGCCTGCCTCTCCTTCCTCGCTTCTTTTTGGGGCTAGAAGACCACCGCCCCGCGAGGCTTAGCTAGCATGCCAGAGGGACGAGTCTCGCAGGTAGCAACACTCTTATCTCCATCCGTGACTTAACTTGAAGCTTCACTGAGCAAACGAGTCTGCCGAAAGTTTTGGGTCTCCACTACAAAAAATGCACTATCTGAGATACCATGAGCTCGGGACTGGTCGGTTACTTCACCTTGCGGCTAGGTAGGTAAGTAGGAAGGAGACCAATAGGTTCATCCTACCGCGCCAGACATATCTTCCCTGTACGATTCTCTTTCTCATTCGTCTCGTCGTTTTAAGTGCAGGCCATGGATAAGGTCAACCAATGGTGAGCGTTGATTGAGGCTGCTCGCTCGCGCGCCCTCTCACTGACTGGAGTTTCTCCTGGCCTGAGTGGATACAAGTATGGAGTGTCTTCTGACCAGGTGACACAATGCCGTTGAGCGGCGTTATATAACGTGCTTTACAACATACTTCGCAAGCACGAGGGGCACATCATAGATGGATATAGGCCCCAGGGACTCACAACAAAATATGTGCGAGAATCGAGCACAGGTACAAGGGGCAAGTACAATCAAAATACAGAATATACATTGTAGGGTGGGCATGCACATGGAAGTGTTTCGGTGGAGACTGTGAAATAGGTTGGGGTTTGAATTGGGATTGGGATTGGGGTTGGAAGAACTGAGGAACTTGAGGACTACCGAGTACGGGGCAGCACTACTACTCACTACCTACTGAAGGGTCTTGAAGAAATAAAACATTCATTGAAATAGAAATAACTAACTTCCTAGCTAAGTGGCCATTGGCCATGGTCCACTATGCCTGCGCCCACGTCCTTGCAGTTCCCTCCTTTCGCTCCTTGGACCTCTGACTGTGATGATTGTTGGTTGGCCGCTTCGTCGGATATCCTCACTTCGTTGGGCCTACGTTTCAGACATAAAGCAATACCCCGAGCGTGCATGTTATCTCGCCCAGCAACGCAGTCGGCAAGATGACAATAATACTGCAATAAAGTCAGAGCGCGCGCGTCCTAGACAACATGACCCTCCACGCCAGCATATCTCTGATGGCCGTCCGGAGCGATGTATTCCTCGTGTGCGCGCGTCGTAGGCGATGGATGATGTGTTGGCAGCGCTCCAGCGTCGAGGTCCACGCCCGACGCGGCGAGCAAAGCGTGGCGCAGTGCCTCGTCCTGCTCGTCGATCTGCGGTGACCAGGGCGGCAGACCGGTGTGCGGAGGGAGATGGAAGGTATCGTGAATCGAGGGCTCGAGGTAGGAAAAGTCGTGGCTCGCACCGATGTCGAACGATGACGGCAAGTGGCTAAAGTTGTGGAGGGGGCCTTCTTGCTTCAACGTCATGAACCCGTCCTGGCACAGTTCCTCGTCCACGGTGTCGGGATACAGGTCGTACTCCATGCCGTGTTCCGGCTGGAACTGATGGGTGTCCTCGAACGAGTTGATGCCGGGCGAACAGTCGACGATCGAGTCCATCGAGAGCGGCGGCAGGCTCATCTCTACGCCGTGCGGGAATGGGCTGTTGGTCGCGAGACGATCTGGAGGGGGGATCAGAGTCTGCCATGTCGTCGATCCGACGCTGTCCGTGGGCGCTTGCGAAAACTGCCACAGCAGGATTGCCGTCCTCTTCCGTGTCTCCCGCTTCAAGCTGTCGTCAAGGTCGCTACGGTGGGGTGAACGCACCATGTATATTTCTTGCATGATCGACAGGCCGCGGAAGAAGTCGCGAGACTGGCTAGTGGCAAGGTCGACGGCTTCTGGGTCCTTGGAATCTTCGGCAACTTTTCTCGCCTCGGTGAGAGAGGTGAAGGTCGACGCCCACCATTTCGACTGGAAGAATGGCCGGATCCCGCAGTGGTCCTGAATCTGGCATTCCTCACGGGTAGGCTCCGTGATGAGCACACCTTCACGGTACATGTATGTGACGCAGCACCACTTGTTGAGTTTCGCGTCCTGCTGGGACTCTTTCCAAAAGAGATCTGGGTACTTGAGTTCGAAGCAGATGCCCAGCTTGGAGTGTCGGGGTGGGAAATCCTCCATCAGCTTGAAGCTTGCATTGAGGAGGATGAGATCGCAGTTATCCAGGCGCTTTCCATGATCAACCAGGGATTTGAGGTGTGGGAATGATGATCGCCACTCGGCCAGTTCTTCCAGGGGAAATGGCATCAATTTCGTGGGTTTCAGCCCGGTATAGTAGTGCAAGGCAGTCTCGTGGTTGACGGGCGAGCTCACCCACATTTCAAAGTTCAGTCGTTCGACGCGTGGTGCGATGGTCATGTCGCTTTGTACGGTCCCAGAGACAAATGAGTCGGCGTGGCCCTCGAGCTCATCCTCCCACAGAGCATCACCGGCCTTGCTTCTTGCCTTTTGCTCGTTGACCATGTGCTCAATAGAGTTGTGATAAAACTTGTGACCTTCTGCTGGGCTCGTGTCGTCGTCATCACCAGGCTTGATCAATCGATCCCCTGAAACCAGAATCAGCTTGAACACTTGTATACACTTAAAACGAGACACACATTCTGGAATGCCTTGAAGAAATCTGTCAAGGACCTGTATGTGGCTGGAGACTTGTTTACGCTCCCGTTTCTGGCCTGTCGCGCGGTATATCCACTCGGCAATGAGCATATTGCGCCCATAAGGCTTTCCTCGTTGTGAACATTTCTTTCTGCCCATGGGCTTGATGTGTACAAGGGCTGTCTCTTGTCAGTATTGGTCTAACCACCAACGATCTCGGTTTGGCCCACCGTCTTGAAACGCAGCTTCGATATTGTCCGGCCAGATTGGTTTGCCATCTTTCCCAATATCTTGCCTTGGTCGAGACCTATATTCGAGGTATTTTGGATGATGAAGATATGGGCGATCCGGATTGCCTAGCAGCTTGGACCGGTGTGCCTTGAGTGCATGTCGTCTTCTTTTTGGAGTAAATGCACCATTCGATCCATCGTTGGAGCCGAGCTTCAATGCCGGAATTGGAAAACGAGGTATCTGTCCCTCAACTGTGTCGATTCCAGGAAGGGGATACTGATTTTCAATCCCCTCCTTATGCGTGACCGGGAGCAGCTGAACATTTCCCGAGGAGACTGCGAGCCGCTCGGTCGCTGATCTTGCGTCCCCAAGGTAGACAGGCGAAGGCACACCGGAATGTACGCGTTCCATCAGAGCTTGAAGCGCCCAATGCTTACCCAAGTATGCTCGGGACCAAGAATGAAAAATGCGGTAGACAATGTTCGAGAGGGACAAAAGACTTTTGGAATGAGAAGAGGGAATGCTGCAAAGGAAATAGCAGGCTTAACATATAACAATCGCCATGTCACGAGAGGAGCTCGTGCAATCTAACCCATCTCCTCCCATGTCTTCAATCGGACCTGTCAGCCACAATCCTGCGATTCATCAGCCGGACAGACAGACGTGTAAACCCAAGGCCATTGGGTATCCCACTGGTTCAAAAGTCGAGACTAAGCAAGACAGGTAATTTCACGAATGTGAACGTCCCTTTGCAATCCTTGCTGCACAGGCTCAGGTGCCATGAGACCAACGCAAGGGATAGACAGCTTCCTAATCAGGGTAGGCCAGCAGGGCGGAAACAGCCTCGATCTCGACGTTTCGGTGGTCAAAGTCAATGGGCAGGAGGCGAAACCAGCGTGCTCTTGGGAAGGGAATACTGCGCACAGATGATGGCCAGACGAATCAGACGGCCGGTCGGCAAGGTGGCCAATCTGCCTTTGGAATGAGATTTTGCTGCACCGATCTGCAAAACAACCGGTGTCGGCACGAGCAGATTCAATTCCTGGTCACGATCATGGTGAACTCTGTCTGAGACTATTATTGAGAAAAACCAAAGGGTTTGGCATTCACATTAGATTTGACTGAAGCTGAATATATGGATGAGTTCCAAGGGCTGGAGGAGGCGAGGGAGAAGGCTCTGCAAGGGGCAGGCTCCCGATCCCTAGATTGCCGATCATTCAAAGAGGGTCGAAATCTTCTCTTGCGCCAACGTTGAACTTCTTCCGAGCCGAACCTGTCATCCTGTGATGAGTCAATGTATCTTGATGTCCCTGGGTCTTCTTCTCCATGGCTTTGATCTCGGCTTCTGGGTCGATTATTTCGCCTTCGGCAAAGTCCAGGACAAGCCTCCTGCCAAGCAAGTGGGTGCTGGACAGAGCCTCAATGGCGTTCTCAGCCTCTTTGGCCGTGAGAAATTCAGCAAAGGCAAAACCTCGGGCTGTATTGTCGAATTTCTTGGGCATTCGTACCGTGCGCAGCTGACCATATGCACCGAGCAGAGCGCGGATATCCTTCTTGGTAGCTTCGAAGGGGAGGTTTTTGATGACGATCTTTGTCCTTGCCGAGTCGAGCTTCCTCGATGTATCCTCCTTCCGTCGCTCTTCTCCCAGATCAGTTGACTTCTGTGACGTCTGCACCAGCAGCTCGTATCCGTCTAATCGCCTGCTATTCATGGTGGCGATTGCAGCATCTGCTTGGGCCTTGGTGCGGAACTCGACAAAGCCAAAGCCCATGCTGAGAACCTCTCCTGGCCGGTTGGGATCTGTCCTTGTTTTCACTCTTGCCGAGAGGAAGCCCGACAGTGGCTTGAATGCTTCGGCTAGTCGGACGCTCGATGTTGAGAAATTCAGATTGCGCACAAAGACTGTAAATGTAGTAGTACCGAGAGCGCCACCTTTCTCATCGTCCCCAGCAGCATTGGGCAAGTCAGTCTTCTTAATCGACTCGGAACCGTCCCAGAGACCCGCGGGTGCCTTCTCAAGGAACAATATAGAGCCCCTCAAATTTCGATACGCCAATTGCTTGAGAGCTAAAGCTGCTTGACTTCTTTCCTGATAGCGAGCGACAGCTATGGTGCCGGTTGGAGGAAAGAGGAGAGATTCTATCGTGCCGTATTGACCAAGCATCTGTGAGAGCTCTTCTGCAGTGGTTCCGAAAGCAAAATTCTTGAGCAGAATTGTTTTTTCATCACGAGTTTTGTTTTTGAAGGCATTGACATTTAGTCCATTGGACTTCAGGTATTCTTTGGTCTCGTTGATCACACTTGTCTCTGCATGGGCTTGCTTTACGGCTGCATCAGTTGAAGCAGGATCAAGCAGGTCGGCCTTGGAGACCTTCAGGCGGTCGGCCACTGATGCCAGTACAGCATCTGGATTCATATAGAGCGAATTCCAGCTGAAACTCGAACTCGAGGCCTCGTTCTTCCGCTTCAGCGCTCTTTGCTGTTTGAGAGGTAATTTTGAGATTTCGAATTCACTGAGTTTTTGTATTTTCTTGTCAGAAGATGGTAGAATGTGCATAAGTCTGCCCATAAAGTCCTTTGCGTCGAGTTCAAGCAGTGCCCGCTCAGCGTGTTCCGGCTCCACAAATTGAACATAACCAAGACCTTTTCCAGTGGATTTTCTGGTGTCGGTCACTAAATGAATCTGTCCAGGCGTTAGCGATAGCGATGATGGGTAAGGAAGAAATGTTGTAGAAGAAAACGGTGTCAGAAATGAGAGGCATCTACTAAAATACTCTTTCCCAGTTCAAATCATATGCAGAGCATAAGCTGTCCCTATCAGGAAATCATCACAAAGGCATGGTGGATGGAAGTAGGAAAAGGATATCCACTTACTTCTGAGATTCTGCCGTACGGTGCGAAGACTTTCCGAAGATCGTCTTCGTGGGTGTCAAACGGAAGATTCCTGATAAATAGTCGGGCATTCGGCACTGACACCCGTTGGCGATGTTCTGGCTCCCGATCATCTCCTCCATCTACTCGGTCTTCGTTGGCTTGGACATCATCCACTAATCCTCCAGCACTGGGTTCTCCACCACTATTGTCAGAAGGGTCTGGGTGGACATTCACATCTTCTGCGTCCTCGAGCAAACCCAGTGTCCTGCTTGTTTTCCCACGCAGCCAATCAGTGTCGGATGCGGGTGCATCTTTCGCAGGCCCTTCTTCCTGCTCCTTCTGTGAAGTAGCCTCATCTGAGGAACTTTCCATCTCTTTAGGGGCTGCCTGTACGGTTGTTGTCGTGTCTGATGCCACAATTGTAGCTTTTGGAGACTGTCTCATCGGAGTGCGTTGGACTTCTTGGCCATCATCTCGATTATCACGCTTTCTCTTTCTCGAAGAACGGTCGGGGACAGGAACGGCCTGGCCTTTTTCATTGCGCTTGACCTGGACGGGTTTTGCTAGGGCTACGGCGATCTTTGACATGCGAATGAAAGATTTGTCGAAGTACTGGACTGCGCTCTTAGCCTGTTCATGATTCGAAAACCCCACAAAACCTATGCGGCGGTCTGGGACGACATGAGCATCTGTCACGGTATACTTTCCAGCAAAATGCAACCGCAGTTGCTCCTTGGTCATGGACGGTGGCAGACCCGAGACATAGACTCTGGTAATCGAGGAGTCTTCAGGCTCTTCAGGCGCCGTGCTCGTCATCGTGGCAGTGACAGTCATCAGCAGCAACACAGAAATGCTTGAGACAGTAGAAGTATGCGAGAAAAGAAATATCTGGAGACGGAGAAGTCGGGGTCAAAAATTATTGCGAGTAGGCATGGCACGTGGACGGCGAGAGGGCTACTGTTGGAAAAGCGGCGAGGGTGGGCTAAGCCATTCAAAGGAAGATGATGACGCCGCCCTGTCCCACACTCTCTCTGACCTACAACCTCCTCAGGACATGCGCCTCGCACGCACTTTCGAAAGGGCAATTTGCGCAACATGGTGTTGATATCTTATGACTCCTTTTGGCTGGTTGGTTACACACTCCTGGAGTCGACTCTTGAGTACTCAGGCTAAATCGAGCCAGCGTATGCGTGGTCAAGTCAACTCCCAATCACCAGTTAACTGTGCTTCACAAGAAGCGCATTGCACTGGGGAAGACCTCGCAATCCCTTGCACGCCTCGACAACCTTTGCTGCATCCTTCGAAATGTCTCGTTCTTGCTCTGAAATGGAACGAGTTTCAACGTCGCTCTCGGTCAGCCATGGTACGTCCTCTACACTCTCTCGAAGTACTGTACCATCCACCAGCGTGACCTCCACCATTGCCGGCTGAAGACCTCGCTCATACGCCTTGTCAAACTCGGGGCTCGAGCTAAGCTCACATTTTGCTATGAGGTTGTTGACTCGCTTGTCGTCGGCCAGCTTGAAGATATCCTCGTCCAATTTCCCAAAAGTGAGCGCGGCGCATACTCCGAACTGGATGCTCATCTTGGTGTTTTGGATGGTGTTCAATGGTCCGGCGTTGTTACATCCTGGATACTTGACTGCTTGCGAGGTGGCGGTGATTTTGATGCGGTCAATCTCACCTAGCTTATGCTTTTGGAAAATCCGAACTGCCACGGCAGAAGTCGATTGGGCATAGTTGCATCCGGCCACTGGTTTGAAACGCACGTCCAGGATGCCTTGGCCGAGCGGGGATTTCTCTAGCCAATCTTTGAAATCCTTCCCTCCAGCAGCACCAGATCCGACTGCGTTGAAGAAGCCATCTTTGCCTTCAAGAGCGGTTTCGCTACTTTCGAAGCCAGCATTGGCCAGATCGAAGCTTGCAATGCCAGAGCGGCTAGCCACGCCCATTTCCACGAAGATCTCGGTACCTCCACTCCAGGCCCATTCGTTGGTACCAGCAGCCATACTGAGAGCAAAGCCGAGCGCATTTACGGCGATGGTTTCGTCCACGCCTTCCGCTGCGATTGCCGCTGCTGCGGCTCCAAAGGCGCCAATGAGGCCACTGGGACGAAGGTGCGCATTGAAAGTCCCTCCACGACGGATCGCTGTTCCAAGAAGTGCGGCCATCTCATAACCAGCAATGACGGCCCTCAGTAGCTGCTCTCCAGACCATTTATCACGCTGGGCTAGGGCTAGAGTTGCTGAAATTACCATCGAGCCGATATGTGAGCAGGCCTCAAGATGCATGTCATCTCGGATTGCACTTTAGTTTGTCAGTATTTATCCCGATCTAACAATCGTTCAAAGCAAGCAGAGCCTGGTCCAGGATCACGTTCGACAGACTCACCTATGGGCTAAAGTTGCATTAACAAAGGCCGCGGTCTCAGTCGAGACGTCTCCACCGATGCCCCATGCATATGCTTCTGCGCTCCCACGATTCAGTTTCGCATACTTTAGCAGCGCATCTTTCCATGGCAGCAACAAGCCAGTGTGTACGGCACCAAACCAATCGATGATGCAGAAAGTTGCCTTGTCATACAGCTCCTGCGACAGTTCTTCCGTGGCAATTCGGCGAATCCGTCTTACTGCGAGACGAGTAAGGCTTGCTGGATGTTTTGCTTCGCCGTTGGTGGCCATTTTCTGGTATTTGCAGCTTGATCAGACCTCTTGCTCGATACCAAAGTGAAGTGTCTCTCTCTTTTGGACGCATCTACCCGCGGTTCGAATCTTCCTGCTCATTAATTACTCCAAGATATGGGGATTGTGAGAGGACGTTACTCCAATATCTCCAATTGATCATGTGGGGTTCTGACTGAGAACGAAGAGAACAACCCACCACCACCACTGCTCATTCTCGTCCTGCCGGTGTTGGGTTACAAGAATAGCTAACTGCATCACTTTACTACAGATTGATGGGATTGAAGTCATTGGCCGAGGCAAACCCATGTTGATTGTGGACAATTGGCCATGTCTCTTGCGATCCCCGGGGCTTCAGGCATATTTGTCTGTTTTGCTTCCCCAACAAACAAACTCTATTAATTTCAAGACTCGGTATTTAGACTTGAAGTCCATGCGGCGGACGTCGCTAAGCGACCATTGTCATCCGAATCAATCCTCCCTCGACACCAAGCGTCCCTACTCGTCCACTTTGCCCTCTTGGAGTTATCCAGCAGAGCCAAACGCCACTGGTATAGTAGGTGCATTCTGTACTCAGATGGTTAATAGCAATAGGCGCCCATACCTTCCTTTGGTGCTGGAGATCTAGAACACGATGAAACCCTCTCAAATAGACACAAATATCCTTGAAAGAGGCAACAGGCAGAGTATCCGTGTCCTCCAATCAAACAGCCGAATAGAAATATCCGAGCAATTAGTCCGCCAGTAGGGCTATCTATGCGATCGTGGATGGCGTGCTTTACAATATCGTGTTTAGTATACCAGGCCTTCCTCATTGCAATGCCAGCCCCAGACTCTCAGCATTTTGTATCAACGTGCCCACGACCTCGGCGGCTTTGGCGACAGTTGCGCCATCAAGAACCCGGTGGTCAGCACTCCAACTCAGCACCACCTGTTCCTGCTTGATAATGTGTTCACCACCATGCTTGTCTGTTGTGAAGACTGGAACACCTTGAGCTCTGCCAACACCCAGAATTCCTACCATGGGTGCAACAATCACAGGTGCCACGGCGCTCCCACCGATACTCCCGATATTGCTGATGGTGAACGTGGCATCCTTGAAGTCTTCGGGTGCAAGACGTCCGGCTTGTGCGAGATCGCTCAATCGCTTGATTTCCGCAGCCAGTGAGATGATGGAGTGATTCTGGACATTTTTGACCACGGGAACTAGGAGGCCGTGCGGTGTATCCACGGCAATCCCGAAATTGTGAGAGGATCTGAGAATTAGTTGAGGATTCGATGGGTTGGTGGCTGTGTCAAGATGGGCGTTGAGCTTGGGGAACCGTGAAAAGGCCTGCGACAATGCCTTCAAGATGAATGGAAGGACTGTGAGCTTCGAAACAGGAACGTCTGGTGGTAAAAGTGTGGATGAGAGCGTCGAGGTCGTGTTGAATTTCCGGCGGAGAAGGTTGATTGATGTGACATCGACACTGTGGGTATAGAGGAAGTGAGGGATTGTGAGAGACTGCGTCATGACTTTGAACATGTGTTTCTCTGTCGGGGTGAACGGGACCACCTTGTCTTCTGCTGCCTTTTTCAACGGCGGAGCAACAACAGGAGGTGTGGGTTGAGATCGACCAGAGATCGACTGCGACTGAATGTAGCGTTGGACGTCGTCTTTTGTGATGCGTCCATCTCTACCAGTTCCTTCAACATCGTTCACGTCGATTCCTGCCTGTTTGAGCAGATGTCGCACAGCCGGAGTCAGAAGTGCGGGAGCTCTGGAGGGAGTGTTCTGTCCTGTGGCAGGTTCGAGCGAGATCCGCGATGGGGCCTGTGCGTCTGAGTGTGACTCAAGTGGCGATGGCGGCTGTTCAATTTGGCCTGTCATGATTCCCTTCCCTGGCTCCTGTTCAATGTCCGACGATTCTTGTTCGACAGGGACCTCAGCGAGGACCGAATCCCCAGCTACTTCGTCCGCAATATCCATATCCAAAAGCGGCTTTCACGTCAGGTTAGCATAACAAAGCCTCGGGTCTTCGCAAGCAGTCACAACACACCTTGCCGACGATGGCAACTTCATCCTGTTCATAATGGAGAGCCTTGACCACGCCATCAAACCGCGAGGTAATCTGTCCCTGTGAGTATTCTGGCTGACGCACCGAAGGACAAGATCGTCACAAGCACACACCTCTACAGTTGCCTTGTCCGACTGTACTTCACATATGGGATCGAACTGTGCAACATGGTCTCCTGGTTTGACCGACCAATTGATGATTTGACACTCCGTGATTCCTATCTTTGTTATCACACCGTTTGAGGAAATGTTCGTGTGGGTTCTTACCTTCGCCTATGTCTGCGAGGAGATATGGCCTGACGACACGCCATGACGGTGAAGAGTGGAAGGACTGTCGGTTTGGACAGTGCGCTGCTGCCCCAGCCAGCCGTTGACTTTGACGCACAAGTCCTCTAACCAGCACGCCGTTCATCCTATCTGGAATATCCTCGAGAAAGAAAAAAGCACCCAAGGTGAGTTGATGGTTTGGTGATCTGTATCGCAATCGTATTATCAGCTTTTTGGCTCCACCAATATCCATGCCATTACTGATTCCGCAGACAATGGACGATGGGCCTGGCGGTTCTCCGCGGTTGCTTGCGGCCCCATTGTTCCCTCTTGCATTTCGCTTGTGTCTGCTAAATCCAAGTCTAGCAGCTATCCACGATGACAAGCAAGTCCCTGAAAATGAGTTCGCTCGGTGTACGGGGAACTCATTCAGGGTGAGAAGGTCACCTTCGGCCCGAGATATGTAATACTCCCCAACGAGACTGTTACCGGCTTATCTAATTGTCCATGTCGATACTCGATAGCTGATTGGCTTGAGAGGTCGAGTGTGATCCGCTAATGGGGTTTTTCCTTTACATTTCCCCCGTGTCGGTACTTCATCACTCGTATCGTGGCATGTGTGGTGTGTCTTACTCCTCCGGATAATACGAGTTAAGGGGAACCCGGAGTCACTCGTTCCTCCGCACCAATAGGATCTCTCAGTGCTCCGAAAATCCCCACTTGCGTGAACCAATCATTCATTTCCCGACTCGGCAATTGTACGGCTCACTTCACCGATCCGATCGAAAAGGGTAATCATACTGCGGGCTTCCCCAGTATCTGACCTCCCTTCACAGGCACTCTCCGAACCTGACTGATTGATTACTCGTACTCGTGTATGCAAGTGACAAGGGTGTTTGTAGCTAATGCAGGTCCTCGTTGCCGTTGATAACCGCTCGCTCGCTCCAATTCATTTGGTCCCGCTTCGAGCTGGGTTCTGTGTTTACTTCGGCAGATCATCTTGTAAGAAGTAAGTAGATGAGGATGAGAAGTAGCCTTTCTGGTAGTGGCAGTAGCGTCACCTATTTGGATAGTTAGCAAAGGTGATACTTGACTTCGTCTCACTCCATTTCATCCCAGGCTGGGGATTTTGAGGGAAAGAATCCGTAGAACCTCCCCCGTCCCATACACTCGAACACAACGTAACCACAACAAAAATGTGGCTTCGAAGTACAGGGCGAAGGGCTATCGCGTCGCCGTCGACGACCACTCGACGCGTCATTGCGAGATGGAACTCAACAGTCACGCTGGGAGAGATTTCGACCTCGTCAGTATCCCCATTCCCATACCCATGTCCATCCGCGCACGCATTCGGGAAGAGACATTCTTTAGGAGAACACGTCCTCTCTGTGGTAGTCAAATACTGACGGCAGCTCGATCCCGTCGTCTACAGGCCCCGCTTCCCAGGCGCGACGGGCAGTCCGCTCAGCACCAAGATGGACTTTCTGGTGCCGCAGTCGTTGCCGCCCATCGCGACGTACCGCGTCATGAACGCCGAGGGGAAGGTGCAGGACGAGAATCGCGCGCCTCCCGACGTGGCGGACGAGCAGGTTCTGGAGTGGTATAAGAATATGTTGACTGGTGAGAATTCCTCCCCACCCCTGTGTTGGAGATCCAGATTCGAGCTGGCGCGACACTATGATGACGATGTGATGATGATGCTGATGATGGAGATACAGTCAACATCTTGGACACGATCATGTCCGAAGCGCAAAGACAGGGCCGTCTGAGTTTCTACATGGTACGAAAATTCCATCCAAACGACTTCTCCCAGCTAGCTACCCAGGTGGCGTCAGAGAAGAGATACATATATACTTACTTACCCTCTTGCTTGCACTCTACAGGTCTCAGCCGGCGAAGAAGGCATCATGGTCGGTTCCGCGGCGGCGCTCGGCCCCGACGACATTATCACCTGCCAGTATCGCGAGACGGGCGTGTTCAAACAGCGCGGGTACACGCTCAAGGACTTTATGAGCCAGTTGCTGCACAACAAGAACGACCCGGGAAAGGGGCGGAACATGCCCTGCCATTATAGCGGGAGGTTGAAGACTGGAGTGGTGAGTTTTACCCTGAGGGTTTTCCAGCGATGAACATGAAAGATAGTGGCGCTAGCAAGTTATGGGCACAAGGGCTGATTCGAGAGATACAATCCAGCATGCTGTCGCGTCGACGCTCGGGACTCAGATCCCCCACGCCATGGGCGCTGGGTACGCCTTGAAACTGGCGGATCGCGAGAGCGGCACCCAATCGCCCCGGGTGGCTGTGGCGTACTTTGGCGACGGTGCGGCCAGCGAGGGCGACTTCCACGGGGCGCTCAACATGGCGGCGGTGCGCGAGGCGCCCGTCATCTTCATCTGCCGGAACAACGGGTTCGCCATCTCGACGCCGACGACGGAGCAGTACCGCGGCGACGGGATCGCAAGCCGCGGGATCGGATACGGGATCGAGACTCTCCGCGTCGACGGCACGGACATCTTCGCCGTGTACGAAGCGACGAAGGAGGCGCGACGCCGCGCCCTGCGTGACGGCGGCCGCCCCGTCCTCCTCGAGATGATGAGCTACCGGATCTCGCACCACAGCACCAGCGACGACAGCTTCGCGTACCGCTCCCAGGCCGAGGTGGACCCGTGGAAGACGCGCGACAACCCGATCGCCCGCCTGAAGAAGTGGCTCGAGAACAAGGGCCTGTGGAGCGACGAGCTGGACAAGCAGACCCGGACGCAGATCCGCCGCGACATCCTGACTGAGCTCAAGGCCGCCGAGAGGGAGAAGAAGCCACCCTTAAGCTCCGTCTTTGACGACGTCTACGCAGAGTATTCCGAGGAGCAGGAGGCGCAGAGACGCGAGCTCAGGCGTCTGATGGAGAAATACCCCGAGGAGTATGACGCCGACGACTATGAAGGTGGTCTGAAAGGGCTGTAGTTAATGTCTTCAAGTTACAAGGTCGGTCACAAGGTCAAAAGGTTAAGGGCTGCATGTAGTGTAATAAAATAAATTAAAGGTTGCGAATGAATAGACATGACAAACGCCAGAAACCTGTACACAACCCGGTGCTGCTATGCCAGAGATCCATTGTGTCTTTTTGTTCAATCCTGATACTCTCTCAACCAATACAATACAATCTACTACACCCGCTCAATACTCCAAGACCTCCAGGATGCCATCATATATCCCTGTTGATGTCAGAAACCAAAATCACAGACAGACGTTGGAACAGCAAACTCACTCGTGATATCTGGGAAAATGAACTTCTCCCACGCCAATCCCGTATGTGTCGTAAAACCACCGAGTCGTTTCACCGGCGCCTCAAGAGATAAGAGTGCCTGCTCCTGAATCGTTGCAGCGATTTCCGAGCCAACGCCATAATTCACCATGCTCTCGTGGACGACAATGGCACGCCCCGTCTTTCGCACGCTGTTCAGGATAGTCTCTCGGTCCCAAGGATATATCGTCCGGAGATCAATCAGCTCAATACTCGTCCCCGGTGCAGTCTTCTCCGCCGCCTCAATGGCTGCTAGACAGTTGTACAGTGGACGCCCATAAGAGATGATTGTCAGGTCAGCACCGGGCTTCAGCACCTCAGCTTTACACAGAGGAAGTGTATAGAGTTCATCCGGAACTTCCTCGACTGCGGCGCGGTACAGAATCTTTGGTTCCATGAAAATCACCGGATCTTGAGACTCGAGGATAGCCGAGAGAAGAAGGCCTTTCGCTTGAGAGGGTGAACGCGGAACGACGACTTTGAAACCTGGTACGTGGCAAAAGAGTGACTCGGGGGATTGAGTGTGATATCTAATGGTGGAAAGAGTTAGCATGTTTTCGCACGAAAGGTCAAACCTCGACAGGCAAGACTCACAAAGCACCATGTCCCACACCACCACAGGGCATTCTGATCACCATGCCCGCCAAGTTGGCACCAGTCGAACCCTCCCGATATCGAAATTTTGAAGCCTCATTCACGATCTGGTCAAAGGCTGGAAAGACGTAATCCGCAAACTGAATCTCGACCACCGGTTTCGCACCCTCAGCAGCCATCCCAATCGCAGCGCCCACAATCCCCTGTTCGGTAATGGGTGTATTGAAGACTCTGTCCGGCCCAAACTCAGACTGCAGATTCACCGTGCACCGAAAGACACCACCGAACGCGACATCCTCGCCAAAACAGAGCACTTTGTTGTCTTCCCTCAAAGCAGTTCTGAGCCCCTCGTTGACCGCCTGACAGAGATTTAGACGTGTTGTAGAGCCGCCTTGTGGTAGCTCAGGCGTCTGTGGAATCGTCTTTGAGGAATGGTGCAGAAGAGGAGTCTTGCCAAAGTCGATGGGCACGTTCAACTTCCGCGTCGCAGGGGTCGCGAGGGAAGCATATGAACGGACAGCCGCGCGTGACCGCGAAGCTGCTATTCGCAACGATCTGCAACCCTGCGACATGGTTCTCCAGTGGTATAGCTAGTTCTGAGCAAAATGCTTCACGCAGTGCTGTGACATGGGGATTTGTACCGAGTATAAGCATGTCCTCCATTCCGCATGAGACAATCTACCCCAGCTTTCCAAAACGCCATGACACCGCGGATGAAAGCTTGCATCGAGGGGTCCTCTCGGTCTCTCACAAGTCTCCCCGAAAGACTGGGGGTACATGCGTCGTCTGCGGTTATCAACGGTGATGGTGTTTTGAGTGCGGATCCGGATGGGTTGCTAAGCACATGGATTCGGGGCCGGAGTTCGAGATCTCCGGCTCCCGGGACACAATCGCCGAGGACAAACTGCGTCTCTAGTCGAAGCCGCATGCTGACCGGAGACAACAATGACTGATGCCCTTCCTGATTTTTATCCCCACTATAAAACCCCACTGTGTTCCGAGAAGATTGATCTCTGTTCTGGAGATGTTGTTGCAGGGAAATGCTCCTTCAGGTATAGTCGCCGCCTGGGCATGCGCATTACTGGACGGGTTTATGCGAGGCCAGGTCAGACCATCTCGGGCCTGGCCCGTCTTTGCATCAGTTTGAGGATCAGGTTTTGCTCAGTCCGACACACCAGCCTCTCGCTTAAGGGCTTTAGAGGTCTGGGATATCGAGAGGAATGCTCCACGTAGTTTGCTATACCTATCATTTACAAGACTTTGTCTTCATGGCTGAGCCAACTCTGATGGGGCTCCGAGACAACGAGGTTCAGGCTTGGGCAGTAGACTCTCACACCAGAGTGATCGGGTCGCTTACGAACGGATCGAGTGGTGCACTAAAATAGTCAAGCTCGGCCTGCCAGTCCCTCTCTGCAATTGATGAGTCGAGTGTAAAGATATTGAAGTCCTCACCATCAGCCGTACACATGGAAGATGGATTCTGTATCGTCTCGCCGGTGTCTTCAGGGTTTGAATCAGAACTCTGCTGGTCAATCTCAGGAGGTACACTGTGCCCCCGAATGCTGCTTTCGGGTGGAGGTTCACAGCACGATAAAGAGCCCTCGAAGATCTTTGATGAGTCTGTACGTCCTCTTGGTGGTTTTGCGAGGGAAGACGGCTGCGAAACGGCGTGCAAGCTCAACTTCGTTTTCTGACAGCTTCTCCGGCCGTTGAAGCATGTCCCTCACGTTCTCAAGGACACTTCCAAGTTTCCATACTCGGCCATAGTGGGTCAGAACTAATCTAGAGAGGTCGTGGGGGAGAGAGGAAGGATTTGTTGCCTTCGTCGAATTCGATGGCGAATATACTGGCATCATCGTGCAAGCGATAAAGGGATGCGCCACAGCAATAAAGTCTGGAGGCCAATTGCTGACTATCAATGTAATGTCGTCAAGTCGCGCCTTGGATGCTGAAGCGCCGGATGAGGTTACCTCTTTGCTATTACCTGGGGATCCCTCTTCGATGATTGTCGACATCGTCAATTTCGTGCCGGCAAGGATGAGATGCAAGGCAATGATCCAATTCCCACGAGCAAAATTGGTGTTGTCGAATGAAAATGGTTTACTCCTCAAATGAAATATGGGAGGAAGGGCAAGTCGGAGGCAACAGAGAGACAGTCCCAATTCCTGTTTCTGTTCCAAGAGCACCCCTGCGGGCAGTTGGGCCAGGTCGTGTGCTATCGACGACAGGTACTTTACCACCAAGTACCATGCTCTTTCATCTTGGTTGGCGCAATTCTCAAGGCTCTTCCATGCGTCCTTTGCTTCGGGTATTAACTTGGCAGAAGGAATAGGTGTACCCGCGTACCAGGCTTCATCTGAACATGGCAGATGTACCGTTACACGTCTCTTGTTGATCATACATGGTCGCCGTGAGGTTGTTGAGTTGAAGGTATCAAGCTCCCAAACGAGCCACCAGACGCGCCGAAACCCCTCTTTGGTGACCCATTCTTCTGGGCTGGAGTCAGACGGATCGTCCGGGTCATCATCGATGGAGTTTAGATCCAACTCGTATGAGAGCTCCACACAACGAGACACAAGCCCCCAAGTCAATCCCATTGGACCGGAGGTAAAGCAATAAAATGCCAGGAGTATAGATCCTTGCAGGAGGATGATGCTAGGCGGAGCTCCAGATTGCCGCAGCTTTTCGTAAACCCGATGCGCGTCGACGAAAAAGCGGTCTCCACGCTGGGGCGGGGGAGTATGGACAAAGGGGGCCGTATCAACGTACCTTGCGGCGAGTGCAAAGATACCCATGAACAGCAATTGTTCCTCCAAGGGCAGTGTGTCAAGTTGAAGAGACTTTCCTTGAGCGAGGGACGGCGCAACGTACCGTGCATAGAACCGTGGACGGTGAAGGAGCGGTAGCCATGCTTGCACATGGGAGAAATATACATCCACTAACTTGACTTGGTCACCAGCAGATGGTAATTTCTCGACGTCTGGGAAACCGGCATTGGTGAAGTGTTGATCACTGGGTTTGGGCGTGGTAGACGTTTGCGCCAATGAGGACAAATCCATCTCGGGGAGATAGAGCTCTTGTGTACAGGTATCAAGATCCGCATTCGGTGTTTCTCGTGGCACGGAGTATGCCTGATATCCAGCTGCCTCCGGGTCAAGGTCTGGCGCAGGGGTCGCTGTGAGTCCTGATCTCGATGTGCATTCACGACGCGGCGCAGTGCTCGGTGAAACGGTTGCAGTTTGATCAATCCCATTCGACAGAGACAACACGTCTATTTCCAAAGTTGGCAGAAGCTTGTGGCGTAGCTCCGGGTCGAGGAGACTGAGCAGATCATGAACTGTTAAGCGTTTCGAGAGACTCGAAGGGAGTCGCTCAGTCTTTCGAACCCTCGGCGTTGGCTGTTTTCTTTTCAATGGATATACACAGAGGGCGCCAGTGCGCTGGCAAAGCCCACACATGGGCTTCCGGCGATCACACCGATTCTTTTTCCTGTTACATCCTTCACAAGCCCGGATCATTTTTCCTGCTTGTGCGGACGCAACATCTTGGGCTGGGACTGGTTGATCCATTTCGAACGGACAATGAGTCCTCGTTTGTAGTGTCCTCCTTCAAAATCCAGAGGACTGATCAAGTGTCTGGAAAGATGCGGGCGAGACGGAGAGATGAGTCTAATACCGAGTAGACTTTGGCTCCCCAGAGCTGGGGAACGGTCGACATGGTCTAGTCTGGGGTGCGGCAGGAGGCCGTGCTTGTCCACTAAGGGCAATCCGATTGGACATGACGAGAAACGTAGTCCTCGCTAAGGCAGGGGTGGCTGATGGTCAGAGGAGACCTCCAGGTATGACAGCGACTGATGCACCGAATACCCTGGGGCCGTGGACCGAGTAAGGGACATTCAAAACAGGTTCTTAGGACAGCGTAGCACCGTTTGACCAAAGAGATGAAGGCATTTGATTTGTGATCAGGTTTGAAGACGCGGACCTGCTTGGAGATCGAAGTTGGATTGGAAGTGAGACACGTGGCAGGCGAAGTTCAACGCCGCGCAGCCTCGACACGGCAAATCGCGGCCGCAGCCAAAATGCCGGCATGAGTTTGTTTCGTCCCTTGTAACCAACTCCAGTCGTGTCAACACATCGGATCCCTCACACTATGCAACTATTGGTCAATCATCATAGCATGTCTGCTATCATGGTGCTTGATCTATGCCACGCCTCTAAATGACGCCTTCTTTCTTGGTTCAAGAGCAAATTGTCGACGTTGAGATGATATCTATGTCTAACCTCCTCATACAGGTGAATTACACCGCCACATTCTATCGCACGAGAGTCCTGCAATACTGACAAAAAACTTAGGTTATGAACCGACGAATCTCGGCTAGAACGGTCGCCATCACCACGTCAGCCCTGGAAGACCTGAAACAACATAGCTCTCCCAATTACACTATGATTAGCAGGACTAAACAGCTACTTGCCACACGGACATCTTCTCAATCTTGTCCTGCTTGACATTTCCAATGGTCGCCGTAAACCCAGACTTGTTTACAAAGGCCGTCTGTTCCTTCTGGAATGCCTCGGCCGTCCCAAGCTCCAGCGATACCTCCCTGCCCGCCGAAATTCGGAGGATTGCAGCGACGTTCGTGGGTACAAGTCCATCGACATTGGCGCGCCAGGCGACCATGTCGTCGGGTCGAACAAGAACAGCATCCCGCTCCCATACATCGCGGGCATGCTTATCGTCGGGGAGATGGATCATACGCACGGGAATGTTCTGCGAGATTGCCTCCTTTTCGAACGCATCGATGAATTTCCTGTCGGGAGTAAAATCCACCAACGAGAACCCGGGTCCGAACAGGTCGAAGATGCTTGTCTCATTGTCAGCGAGGAAAACATGCGGAGGTCGTGCTCCTGGCCAAGTCGAAGGAATGTAATCTTCAGCCGTCCAGACCGGTTCATCCACTTCATTGTCGGGCACCACGACAGGTGAGTGATTATACCGGTAACCCATCTCAATCCCGAAGAACTTGTTCTCCCCATCATTCTGCTGTAAATGGTCGCGTATGCGTCGACGGAGCTCCTGCCCTTGATCTGTCTGTATGAACAACGTCTGTGGACCGGCCTGCCTCACCCACTCCACGTAGGTGGCGTGGGTTTGACGATGTAACCCCGAGCACTCGATATTGCGCACAGCGACAGGACGCCGCTCGATCTCATACGAGTCAAGAAGATACTTCCCTCCCCATCCAGACAACACAGCGGCAAGTTTCCATGCGAGATCGACGCTGTCTCCCACTGCAGTGTTGTACCCATAGCCACCAGTCGGGATATTCTGATGTGCCGAGTCACCGCTCAAGAATATTCTTCCACAAGCGGAGCGGTACCTGTCAGCGATGCAGATATTTGGACGCCAGGAGCTTGTGACCAGGATTTCATCCACCTTGATGGGATAAGGAGTGCCAGTCGAGCCACCCAGAACCTCGGCGATGGTCTCGTACGGATCCAACTTGGTGTGGTCAACGTCCAACCCAATGGGTTTGTGGACGGTCCAAGTGTCAACCTCGTTTTGGGCGATCACTGCCGCTCCACTGGTGAAAAAGATGTGCCAGTATTGCCCACATTTTCGAAGCCGTGCCAGGTCGGTGGATCTGAAGTGCACAAGGTAGAATGCCGCGGAGCTGGAGACTCCGTGTTAGTATTCGGTTGAAGCAAACGAGTTGAGATACTCACATTGGACCTCCAACAAGACTCCCGCCGATGCTTTGCCTTACGCGGCTGCCAGCACCATCGCAACCTATCACATACTTGCTCTTGACCACAACCTCGTCGGACAATCCAAGTACCGAGAACCGTGACAAGACATAGTCGTCTTTTTCTTGGAGAGATTCAAATTTGTGGCCGAAATACGAAGTTACCAACGACTGCTCCTGGATCAATGGCTTAAAGGCCTTCTCGAAAACGGCTTGCGAGCAGCGCTGATAGGGTTCTCGGGGTTGAGTGCCGTCGTTCTGTCGTTTGACGCTTTCACGCCACTGGTCAGGAGAGGGCATTGACTATCATTGATCAACTGGCGGTTCCCATTCGGTCAAGGATACGCACCCATTTCGTGATGACCTCGCCACCTTCCGAAAGACCAGAGCTGAAGAGTGAATCAAACGAGTACTCGGTTGCCACCCCTATCGAGATCAACAGCGTGTAAGAGCAGTCGGCTCCGGGCCCAAGGGCGCCTTACCTATCTCCCTGAGCTTTTCGTCAATTCCAAGTCGTTTGAACATTTCCATGGTTCTGCAATTTGTGATGTTCATTTTGGGGAATCGAGTTGTTTCCAAATTTCTCTCCATCAAAGTGCAGGCTATACCAAGTTTTGCGAGGCTGAGTGCGGCAATGAGGCCGGCAGGTCCTGCGCCCACAATCAGGACTGGGGTTTCGATTTGTTGAGCCTGAGAGACTTTGGTCAATACATTGTCTCCAACGAACAGGAGACTGCCTGAACGTACCATAGTAAGTGATGACTTTTGGCAGGATTAGAGGTGAGTAGGATGGATGCTGGCTTTCCGTTACAGGATTGTTTCCTGGCGTCTGCAAATGGAATCAGTGCTCACATTGAAACAACGACAGCAACCATAACAATTCAGGACATAATAAACCCTCGTGAGATGCGCTGGACGAGGCTCTAAAGGGTGCTGTGGGTGGACCCGGGCAATCTTCGAGTTTCCCGATCTCCCGTTCGCAACACCGAGACCATGGGATTCCAAAACAATACCTATATTCCACGAAAGCCGCGTTTCAATCAGGAAGTCGAAGCTTCCAACCTGTCATGTCACTCCCGGACAGCTTGAAACAGGTACTCTGGCAGCCAGGAAGCCGCAAACGCTCCACAACAAGTATTCGATAATATCAGACAAAACCCCTTCAATGACTTCTTGAGCCCTGAGTGACATTGTTTTTCTTCTCCTGTACACTGGCGAAGTAAGGAAATTTCTACCAGGCTGAAGAGCACTTGGAGACCAATCTGCTGATCAATCAATCATCCGAGAACATCACCAAACATGGGCAGTGCAGGCACACCTGATGATTTCACCCAGTTCAAAGCGGACCACTCGAGCGCCGTGCCTCTATGGCTTGACGGTCGCCAAGTTAGGACCTCGCGGACTTTTGAGGTCGTCTCTCCTGTCACCGGCAAAACACTTTGGCATTCGTCGACTGCCTCGATAACAGATGCAGAAGCTGCTGTGGAATCGAGCCAGAAGGCATTCACAACGTGGTCCAAGACGAAGCCCAACGAGCGAAGAGACATTATTCTCCGTGCAGTAGCTGTGCTGGAGCGCCGCAAGGACGAACTCTTCCACTATACCAGCAACGAGACTGGAGCTACCGCGAGAGCATTCGCCAAGGACCACGAACTGGCGATTCAATGTTGCAAAAGTGTGGCAGGGCTGATTCAAACCGTCAATGGCTTCGTTCCTACTCTTGAAGAAGAGGGATTGGAAGGACTGGTCTATCGAGTTCCGTATGGTGTGGTGCTGGGAATTGCGCCCTGGAATGCCCCCTGCATCCTAGGTGTCCGCGCGTTGGTCATGCCTCTGGCAGCAGGGAACACGGTGATCCTCAAAGGACCCGAGGCCGCCCCAGCTATCTTCTGGGCAATTGCCAGTGCGTTCCACGAAGCAGGACTCCCCGCTGGATGTCTCAATACCATCATCCATCAGCCTTCAGATGCCTCGGAGATCACAAGGACGTTAATTTCGCATCCACATGTAAAGAAGGTGAACTTCACTGGCTCGTCAGCAGTTGGTTCTATTGTGGCGACCCTGGCCGGCAAACATCTCAAACCGGTGCTCATGGAACTCGGAGGGAAGGCGCCAACTATTGTCTGCGAAGACGCGGATCTTCACAAAGCTGCACTTGGCTGCGCCCAAGGGGCTTTCATCCACGGCGGCCAGGCTTGTATGGCAACAGAACGGATTATTGTGCATGAGAAGGTGGTGGACGCGTTTAGAGACATCCTCAAGACGACTATCGAGCAACTGTACAACGGTGAGCCGCTGAACTTGGTCAGCAAACTCCCCGTGCAGAAGAACAAGAAAATGATCGCCGATGCGATATCCAAAGGCGCCCGAGTACTCCACGGCGATGAGCAATTCAGTGATGACGTCGCCAAAATGGCGCCCGTGGTGATCGACAACGTCAGGCCAGGCATGGACATATACTACACCGAGTCCTTCGGCCCATCCGTGAGTCTTTTCACCGTGAGCAGCGACGAGGAAGCGCTCCAGATCGCCAATGACACAATGTATGGCCTGTCCTCGGCGGTCTACACTGAAGACCTCAGGCGAGGGTTGAGGATCGCAAAGGCGATAGAGACCGGCGCAGTGCATATCAACAGCATGAGTGTTCACGACGAAGCCGCTTTGCCCCACGGAGGCGTCAAGCACAGTGGCTTTGGGAGGTTCAACGGCCGCGAAGGTCTGGAGGAATGGGTTTACACGAAAGTGGTGACTTGGAAGGAGTGAGTTGGAGGTTTACAACCGAATGTATCAAGTCTCTTCATCGCGAGGTATGAATACCACTTCATTTGAGTATGAACTGTCTTTTAAGCCGTCGCCTTGTAAGGGCTAGTATCAGTGAAAGATAGTTGAAAGCCAGGTCGGAAGGGATTTAGTCAAATTGTATCACAGTGGACATGTGTACCTACCTCATTTACTAGGCCTATAGACAATACATCAGTCTTCTATACTGGACAGGCGAGACCAAAGAAATTGTGTGCCTCTCCGGGATAACCACAGCGAGGTGATCAGACAGAGGACAGCGCTGTATAGTGCTTTTGAACGATAAGCAGGAGGGAGAACCCGTCCATGAGCTACACCAGCTAGCACCGGGATGATTTACCAAGCAGTGTAATCACGTGGCCGGGATTTTGTCCCGCATACTGGCAACTCCTCAGCTTTACGTATAACGGCATACCTGGCTAGACATCGGGATCTCTACACACAGCGGACTTGTACGATGACCGACGTCGCAATTACCAAGCAAGCACTTAATCGCGGTGGCCTTTTGGTGAGCTGTCCGGAAAACGCGTCTCTCGCCCATCGAGTCATGGCGGGAATCCGGGGTTTGTCTTCGAATCCCAGATCCCGCCCGGCGGGTCTTTTTGGAAATCCGGGGTTGATGGAGTCGCCCGCCCAGCAAGGTATACCCCGACCCAATCCAATGTATATCAACACGTCTTAAGCATCTTCCTACCGGTCTATGGGTATGGTGGCCTCGACTACAGCCTCTTCTACCATTCCAGACGTCAGGTTTTTTTTTTCCCCTGACGGCCACGGTAGCATTCTTTTGGGTAATCCTCAACCCAAGACGCAAGGACAGGAGTGGCTCTGACCAAAAAGATGTCCGAGGCGGCGATAATGGACGATGCAGCACCTTCCGAGAAGCACGACGGCTCCGTGACGCAGCGTCAGATCGAGCAGGTCGCGGCGTCGGAACGAAACCTGGCCTACGACTTGGACAATCTCAACCCCGAACTTCACTGGCGAACGTGGGTCGCGTTTGGATCCATCTGTCTGTTCCAGATGGTGTCGATCGTTGCATTCCAGGGCCCGCCTGCGGTGGTAAGTCAGAATAGTCAGTGAGAACCTCTACCGTCCAACGATGTTGCTGACTTCCACCCAAAAGCTTTCGTACCTAGGAGAAGCCCTCCATGACCCTGCCTCGCAGACTTGGATCCCCAACTCGCTGTCCTTGGTACAAGCCGTCCTAGGGCCCGTGTTCTCCTCTGCGTCGGATATCTTTCAAGCCCGCAAACTCTTGCTGTGCGTCGGATGTGTTGCTGCGGTGGTGGGCTCTGGAGTCTCGGCCAGATCCCACAGCATGGCCAGCCTCATTGCGGGGCAGACGGTGATAGGGATCGGATTCGCCACGCTCCCTCTGGCATACGTGGTTCCGAGCGAGATCCTGCCGCGCAAGTGGCGTCCCTTCGCCCAGGGCCTGCTCAACGTGTTCGCATACTCGGGCGCAGTCCTCGGCCAGTTGACCATGGGCGCTCTGATCAAGCGGGACACCCTGAATGGCTGGCGCAACTACTTCTGGTTCCAGATGGCCGTGTGGATCATGACACTGTTCGGGTTGATCGTCGGCTACCGCCCGCCAAAGCGGCACACAGCCGTGGAAAGCCTGTCGCTCGCAAAGAAAATGGCCAGCCTGGACTTGCCCGGATGCGCCTTGATAACAACTGGCTTGACTTTGCTGCTCACTGGATTGTCCCTCGGTGGAGGGCTATACAGCTGGTCGAATGTGCGGACGGTGGTGACACTAGTCCTCGGATGTGTCGGCATCGTGGCATTTGGTGTGTACGAGTGGAAAGGCACCACAACGGGGATTCTACACCACGACATGTTTCGGGGTGGGAAATCAAAAGGACGAACCTTCATCCTCTGCTGCGCCCTGGTCCTGATCGAAGGCATCCTAATCTTCGCCTACAGCATCTTCTATCCTCCTTTGTAAGCGATCCTACCTGGGAAAACATAGATTGACTTTCCAAACTAACAACGGCATCAAAAAAGGGTGACATCGCTTTTCGAGACGGATCCATTCTTGGCAGTCGCCTACATCCAGCCATTCTGGGTGGTGGGTATCTTCTCGTCTGCCGTTTACGGTTTCGTGAGCACGAGGTTCAAGGACATCCGACGGCCGATGTTCGTCGGGTTGACGATATATACCGGTGCCATGATTGGTCTGGCCACCGTCCAACCCGGGGATTCGCTGAATGCTCTGATGTTCGCAGGCATGGCTGGTCTAGGCTTTGGCGCTCCGTTGATCCTGATTGTTGCCGGTGTCCAACTTGCCGTTCCTCATCGTCTCATCGCAAGCGCTTCTGCCGTGATCGTGTCCGCCCGCGCCCTTTCTGGCACTGCGTTCACGGCAATCTTCTCAGCCGCCTTCAACGATAAACTGACGAGGAATCTGCCTCGCGATGTAGGCAGAGCGGCGGCTGCGGGTGGTCTCCCTTCTACATCAATCCCTCTCTTCGTGGAAGCCCTTGCTACCAACAACCAGACCGTTCTATTACAAGTCCCTGGGGTGACCCCGGAGATTGTGAGGCTAGGTGTCGCTGCCGTCAAGCAGGCCTTTGCAGATTCATTGAGGGTGGTTTTCATCATCGCCGCGCCTTTTGGCATCTTGGGCTTGGTTTGCACCCTGTTCCTCGGCGACTTGAGAGAGACAATGAATTATCATGTCGATGCGCCGGTGGAGATTCTGCATGCGAAGCACCCCGATCAGGAGGAAATTCCTCGTGCGGCGTAGCGATCCGTCGGTTGAGATGTAAGGAAGTACCCTGTATCTGGTCCATAGATGAGAGGCAATGACACACAAGCGACCCCTTCTGGGGGAAATGATCCTTACCAAGGTGTCCATAAAGGCCCCATAATGGACTGACCTCTTTCCTCGTTCCTGTACAATGGAGTCGGGTGTTGGTAGATGAGGTCCACGTTACCCAGAAATCTCCCCGGACGACGCCGACATGCGACTCGCGAGGAGTCGATGTATCTCTGTGCGCGGAGTCTCGCCTCCAGATGATACCCACACAAGTCATCTCATCAGCGATCTGTCCCACGGCCAGGGTTGACGGTTAGAAAGATGCCGAGCCATGTCACATGTGCAGCTCAAATAGGAACGTGCGCCGGCTTGGCATGGCAAAATGATATTTAGGCTTCCAATTCCCCCCACTCCGCCACTCTATCACCAGTACCGACCTCCTTGCCTCCCCCTTTCTACCTGTTCCGTATCTCGTACTCTACCAGACACAACGACAACACGTTTCTAGCGAAATGGCTGGTCCTAATGCCATTACCGCCGATCGCCTCCCATCATCGTGCATCCTTATCATTTGATAGTGGCCTTGGCCAGCGATCTACGCCAACCACCGCTATCAGGACTCTACATGTATACAGGATAACACCATTCCGAAGGGTGATTAGGCCCACTCACATGTTTCCGGCTCAAATCCGAGGGAGGGATATGTTACATCGATCATCCCAGTGTCTTACACGCCCCGTTCTCCTTAGACCGAAGCAAGGGTATGGATTCAGTGGTTCCCTATGCTGGGGCATCCACGTCTGCGCATGGGGGTGGAGAAGGTACGAGCAGGTCAATAATAGACGGATATCGCGTTATAGCTGGGCGCCCCCATTTTTTATTATTATCGAGTGCGACATTTCCAACAGGCGAGGTCTGATTTGCCATTGCCAAGATTCGCCAAGCATTTCATCGACGTTCGACGCCGAATCGAAGGAAGCTTGGCGTCTTGGAAAGCTTGTCACCTTCCAGCTGGGGAATGATTCGCCTTTAGTGCGTCCGGGGTCAATCCAGTCTATAACGCAGATCCTTTGCTATCTGTCGAATCATGAGCCGAGTACCGCTGGGTCAGTGACCTGCGATGGAACGCTGCGACCTTGACTCCCGGTTACCTGCCTTGTTTGTTCGCTCGAACTGGCAGTAACCGAGAGCCTCGACCGCCCGTCGTCAGGCCCCTCATTGGCCACCCTACCAATCGCTGCAGAGCTTGTTGTAGTGCTTGTACCACCCAAGGAATGCTTCATCTTATCAAGAGCAACACGAGATATCGCTAACACCGCGTGCGCAATTTCGAGCGGCTACCAATGGTTATCTCGCCACTACCCGGATGCTCGTGTGTTCAGTTCAGGTTACATCGGGAGGACCGAGGAGGGATACTCGTACTATCAGACAATGCTCACCGTGTGGCCATTTATTAGTTGCTCCTGTTCCTTCGATGGCCTTACTTTCTTACTCCACGACCTCGTCTTTGTGTTTCTCTCACTCACTCACTCCACCTGCCTGTCACAGCCATGGAGCACATTGCCCCAGTCACACATCCAGCCCCGGAGCTGGATGCTGTGACCGAGCAGCAGATGCGCAAGCCATCCGTCTCACTCAATGAGAAGCCGGCCGTCATGGAGCGCACGTGGGGTTTCGCTGCTCGTACTGACAGCACCGTGACGTACGAAGAATACGTCTACTGGGCCAAGATCGAGCGTGAGATGGAGGTTGAAGAGAACAAAGTGTTCCAGGCCGAGCACGGCTCTCCTCTGGCTGGCTCGATTAAGAACGCCTTTTCCAAATCCGGTCGAAAGAAGGCAAAGGCGGAAAAGGAGGCCAGGCTTCAGACGATAGCCCAGCTCCATGAGAAACAGCCCGCTGGTGTTGTCACCGATGTCGACAATCCCACGCGTAACGATTCGCTGAAAGTTACTGACGCGGAATGGCGTAACGCTGCTCGTGCGCTGCGAACGGCGAGCTGGGGCCAGATGTTCTTCCTCATCACCACTGATATTCTTGGTTGGTCGGGTGCTCCGTAAGTTCCCCTTGAGACTTGATTTGCTACAGATCGCGACTGACCAATTGTGTAGATTCGTCTTTGCTAGCGTGGGCTACGGCACTGGAGTCGCACTCTATCTCATCTTCGGTATTTTCGCTGCCTGGGGCGGCTGGGTTATTTGGAAGACTTTCCTCGATCTCGACTCGTCTCGGTATCCCATGCAGAGCTTTGGTGATCCGTTTTTGCGCCTCTTCGGCAAGCCCATGCGTCATTTCATCAACATCGCCCAGTCACTCCAACAATTTTGCACCGTGGCCATCTTGATCTTCAGCAAGGCTTTGAACATTGAGCAGATCGCTCACTCAAAGGTTTGCTTTGTGGCTATGATGGTTGTCATCATGGCGGTCGGCATGCTCGGAGGCTTTATCCGAAGCTTGCGGAAGATTGGATGGATTTCAAATGCCGCTGTGTGGATGAACATTGTGAACTTCATCATCTGGTTAGTCTTGCTTCTTCCGTCCGCTAACATCACTTACTGACCCGCATTACAATAGCATGGTCGCGGCTGCACACTTTGCGCCTTACTACCCTGCTATCACGAGATCCACGCTTATCCAGACCATCGAGCCCATCAAAGTATTTGCCGGCATTCCACCGAATCAGTACCAGCAGCAATCTCCAGGTTTTGCGGCTACATTCAACGCCGTCAACACAATGGTCTACGCATACGCCGGTGCTCTCCTCTTCGTCGCGTTCCTCTCCGAAATGAGACACCCGCTCGACTTCTGGAAAGGCATGCTGCTCGCCCAGGCCTTCATCTGCATCGTCTACATGTTCTTTGGTGTTTTCGTCTACTCCTTCTACGGCCAATACTCTGCCAACAACATCGTGAACGTCGTCAATCCGTACGGCCTGCAGACCGCCGGTAACGTCCTCCGGCTCCTCTCCGGCTGGATTGCCATCATCATGTACTTCAACATCGGCATGAAGACGGTGTACCTCGAGGTTTTCCAAGCCATCTTCAAGTTCCCCTCGATTGTGGAAAAGAAGGGCAAGATCCTGTGGTACCTCCTGGGACCCTGCTACTGGATTCTCGCCTTCATCGTCGCAGGCGCGGTGCCCAACCTCAACGGCATCACCAGCTTCGTCGGTGCCGTCTTCATGATGAACTTCACCTACACCTTCCCCGGCATGATGTACCTGAGCAGCATCATCCACAAGGCCGCCGAACTTCCCGGCGAGGGCTTCAACCCAGCCACCCGCGAGACGATCCGGCACGACGATGGCATCAAGCGCTGGATCAGGGGGTACAAGAAGACGTGGTTCCGCAGCACCATCGCTTTCATCTACGTTCTTCTCGGCCTCGCTTGCTGTGGAATGGGTACCTGGGCCGCCATTGAAGGGTTGATTGCCGTTTTTGGCCCCGGAGGAACCGTCGCCGTCAGCTTCGGATGTCCTGTGCCTGTGTAAGTACTATACATAGACGCGGCGATAGCGAATAATGAGGGGCCAAGAACAAGTAACATGCCACGGAGGGGTTATTAAGCCATAGCTAGCTAGCTCTTCGAATATAAAGGCCAGCCTGTTGGAATAATTCAAGCAAACAACGTATCGAGTACTCTTTTCTTCGTTTTGTGGGTATTGCTCCAAGGCTAGTTGGGCTAGGTGGCCAGCCACCTGTGCTCTTATACTATTTCATTTCCAAGTCTTTGAGCCTATTCAATTGTGAGAAATTGAAATAAAACGCGGCTTTTAACTAACTAACTACCTCTTGTCTGCGATTTCACATCTAGGACCGACGCCATCTACAACGCCACCCGCGATAAGAACTATATCATTTGGCCATCTTCGGTACTATGCCGGCTAGACAGACACTGTCGAGCAAGGGGCGACTCGACCACTTCTTAGATGACGACGGGGTTTATAAAGAGAGGTACGACGTACTTCTTATTAAGAGGAGTTTTGTGCAGCGATGAACCCTGTTCAACTCACCTATGACAGAATTCTTTCTCATTTCAAGTTCAGGGCCGCTCTCGCTCTATATATCTCTCTATTCTTACCCAGTCATGACGGTTACTTGGTTCAGATTGACGACAGTCTAAGCAGCTTCCTTGGTCACCTGGAGACCTTCCAGCTTATTGTCCTCTCTCCACTTCTTTGTGATGTCCAGGAACGCCACGGCCCCGTCTCCGTAGACCGAATTCCTCCTCAGTTTCATGGTAATGTCGCCTTCGTCGTTGTAGTACCCCGGAGTGCATTGCTTCAAGAACTCGTAGCGTCCTCTGCCCTTTTCGATGATGATGTCGACCCATTTCTCCTCGGCTTCGACCGACGCTTCGACGGTCCTCAGGCCTCGATCCTTGGCCTGTCGAATGACCCAGGCAATGTGTTTTGCCTGCTCGTTCGTGATGTGCATAAAGTTTGACGTCAACGCAGCTTGGATGCCGCTGACAAATTAGCAGTTGGGAAACCCATTCGTTGTCCAGCCATGAAGGGTTTTCGCACCATCACGCCACTTCTCCGTGATGGTGAGACCATTTCTCCCAGTGATCTCGAGCCCCGAACGGTGAGACCAGTCCGTAGCAAGCTCAAAGCCGGTGGCATAGATGATGCAGTCCAATTCGTATTCTTTTCCATTGGCGACTATACCCTTTGGAGTAATGCGGTCGACACCGCGGCCCTGGGAGTCAACTAGTGTGACATTTGGCTTGTTAAATGTCTGCAGATACCGGTCATGGAAGGTCGGCCGTTTGCAGAATTGATTGTACCATGGCTTGAGAGCTTCTGCGGTGGCTTTGTCTTTAACAATCGAATCGACTCTGGCACGAATTGAATTCATTTGCTCAAAGTCGGCCAGCTGGATGATTTCGGCAATTTCTGCAGGGTCGGCATTCTTGACCTGATTAGGACCAGGACGAAGTTTTGCCATGCTGCTCGTCCATCCATCCGAGACTAGGTCTTCGTTCACCTCGCCACCGCTCACAATTATGTTGTAGTTATCCATGCGCTCTTGCTGCCACCCCTTCTTGAGGGTTTTGGCCCATTCTGGGTCTGTAGGTCTGTTACCTCGAACCGCGACGGAGGATGGCGTTCGTTGGAATACATATAGCTCCTTGGCCCAGTCGCCAAGATGCGGAACGATGTGAATGGCGGTGGCACCAGTCCCAAGTATCCCAACACGTTTGTCTTTAAGCTTAGTTAACCCACCGTGGGTATTGCCACCAGTGTACTCGTAGTCCCAGCGACTTGAATGGAATGAGTGGCCGGTGTACTCTTCGATCCCTGGCAGACCTGGTAGTTTAGGCCTGTGAAGTGGGCCAGAGGCCGTGATCACAAAGCGCGCCTTTATCTTGTCTTGACGAGACGTCTCAATCTGCCATCGAGTAGTTGACTCATCCCACCGGAGATCGACAATCTCTGTCTGGAATAAGGTATCTTTATACAGGTCAAAGTGCTTTCCGATACGTTGAGAGTACTTCTCCACAGGAATATAGCCGGTTTCCTCCAGAAGTGGCAAATAAATATATGAGTCGATGTCGCACTGTGCTCCAGGATATCTGTTCCAGTACCTTCAATGCCTGAGCAATCAGTTCTCACATTGTCGTCGCAGCCTCCAAACTTACCATGTACCGCCATAGTCACCTGCCTTCTCGACGATGATATAGTCATGGAATCCCTGCTCTTGAAGGCGCACAGCGCAGAGCTCACCGCCATAGCCACTTCCGACAACGAGGACTTCTACTTCCTTCTCGATCGGGTCGCGTGGCGGGGCGGGTGGGACATATGGATCTTCGATCCAATGTTTGAGTGTTCCCTCGATCGGTCGATACTGGAAGACACCACCATTCTGAAGTCGTTTGTCTCTTTCTTGCAGGTATTTCTCTTTCAGAGCCTTCGGGTCAAAAGGAAGTTGGACCTTTTCATCTGTGGTTAAGGATGGGATTGGAGCATCCGCCGCGGTCGCGACGAGTACGTCGCCAGGAGGAGTGGCCATGTGTCGAGATTGATCAGCTTGCGGCTGTTAAACAACAGTGGCAGGTTCTTCTCAACATATATCCTGAGATTTACTCACTTTTGATATTTATAGACTTTGATGATACCAAGGCTATATCCGCGGACCTCGCTATCCCGGGTAACCGCCATGTCAAGCTAACCTCAGCCTCAGGGCTTCAGCCAACAGGAAACGCGACTCGTAACCTCGGAAAACCTTGAACGCTCTCAAGAAAACATATACGCCGTGTCACGCAACTTTTGGACTTGATCTTTTTTGTTGGCCCGGTCGAATTGAGCCCAATTAGAGGAAGGACGAGTGCTCAGCATCCAGAATGTTTGAGAGCAACTTCCCCATTCTATTTCGTCCGAAGTATGCCAGAAATGCTCGACGGAATCAGGATTTGGCAGCCCGCGAATCAGATTTTGGGTACTTGTTTGAAGGCCTGGTGATCTCACATGTCGCCGTAGACACTGGGAATTACTATCCCAGATCACTGGTAAGCCTTCTTCCTCATCCGGCCCCCCGTCGCACTTAGCTTTTGACCCATGCCGCACTTGTAGCAAGGGTGGTTGTCTGGAGCGTTCCTGATCTACTGCCGGGATGTGTCCAACCTTAAACGCCTGTGTACGGTGACCCATTTTGCTGTCCGGGTCAAATCCACTAGGTTCGTTACGATGGGTGCGGGGAGGGTGGTACGCAGCTTGATATGGAGATCTGGGGTAGGGTAAAGTGAGACAATCGCAGGACGAAATGATTTTGGCGAATTCGACGCCTGTCAGACCGTTAGCGCCTTGGCACTAGTCTGCCATTACATGTCTTTACGCAGACCTATACCTACCTGATGGTGTTGTAGAAGGTATTCCGAGTACTAGAGCCGCCCAGACAGGCTTCGGTTATACGCTTCCGAGGGCTACCCGTAACAATCATTACGGTCATTACATTACCTCGGTAACGCTGTCAGCAACACCAACACGCCGGAATTTCACAACAACATCAGATGCAGATCCTTTACACATCTCAAGACATCTATCACAATTTTACGTCGGATGCCTGTTCCGTCTCGTGTACATGGCTCCCTTTTATCGAGAATTTGACCGCTGTGAGAGATCAACCCTTGCTTTTCTCACAGGACCTGGTGGGCAACGTTGTTGGACAAGACGGAATCAGGAGGACCGCGTCGAATGGGTGACTCTTTAATCCTGAAGGTTGGGTGCAGGTTCCGATGATTCATTCCGTCTCATATATTGCTATTTCCTTGGAAGCGCAATGCAGGACAAAAGCCAGGCGGAGGATCCGTCCTCTCCGGGGTGGGAGACCGATGATGACTCCAGCACCACCGCAGAGTCAGAGTCACCACCCCGAATCTGGAAGAGGCTATGGCTAAAGCTAGAACTCGATTTGGAGACGGTGAAAATGATGGCAAAGCGAGCTTGTACCCGCATGTGGTTGCTGCTCAAAAACTAACAGGAAGACAGGGGTGCTCTACCACCAGCCATTGCCGCAGCAATGTGAGTATGGTCAACTCCCAAAGATTGCGATTCTGAACAAGCAATAGGATTCAGTCGGACTCAGTCGCACAGATCTATACGACCCTCGCATATCTGGTTTCCATCATGGCCTTCTTCTCGTTTGCGACCCAGCCTCGAGCACGATTCGTCCAGACTATGACCTTGAATATCATTGGGGTCTGTCTCGCTGCAGCTGTCATGCTATTGTCCATCTATTGTGCAGTCAAATCCCGGGAGCATTCAGGGGGTGGGGCACAACAGAATTCTTCCAACACCGACGCCAATGTCAGCTACAGCGCCTCAGCTAGCGCGATAATTGGGGTCTGGCTCTGTGTGTCCATCTACCTCATCAACGTGGGACGGGCGCTGCGTCCACAGTATTCGGTGACCGGTACTATCTTGAGCTTTTTTGTCATTGTAGCCTCGGTCAACGCTACGGTAATGACACCCCAGACTGTTAGAACTGTGAGCTGACATTACGTAGCGAATATCACAGATGTCGCAGGGCGAGATATTGATCAAACACCTGATTGGGGCATTTCTGATGGGATTCGCCATCGCAGTTGGCGTTTCGTTCTTCATTTTTCCCCGAAGCCACCGCAAGCTTTGCTTTAAACTGACAGATGATTTTGTCGGCAAGCTCAAGGAGTCTCTAAAGGCTCAGGGTGCTTACATGCGACGAATGCGGCGCAAAAATTTGGTCTTTACCTGTGTTCAAGAGACCAACGTTTCTACGGCGCGCATGAGTCCCGAAGAGATTAGGACCACGAATTCTCCGGAAGCGCAACGGCTGAAGCTCAGCACTGCAAGCCTCTCTGCAACTTTTGGTCGCATGCACACCGAACTACACTATGCCAAATCCGAATTCGCCGTTGGTCACCTCGACGTGTACGACCTCAAAAAGATTCGCGAGTTGCTCCAATCCATTCTATTACCCATGAACGGAATGTCGACCTTGGTTGACATATTGAAAGAAGTGGCCATCCGCGCAGTTGGTGCAGAAGACGACGATGGTGATCCAGATGGTCTAGCTTTCGACGATTTGCAGGCGGAGCGTATCGCGTGGGCCGAGGTGATGGACTCACTCGTGAGTTCCTTCGAGTCCTTGGCAGAGACTTTGGAGATTGCGCTGGATCATGTCTACATTCAATTGCGATTTGGACGAAGAAGGAAGCGGGCAGAAGATGCAGAAAAGGGAAGGTCACGGCCAGACGACGCAGATTTGGCAGCTCTCCTAAGCCGCAAACTCAAGGAGTTTGACTCGGCCCGTGCTGACACGTTACGAGGCTGGAGTCAAGCGGCCAATGTTGATCTACCCGTCGCATTCATGACAGACCCAGCAAGAGATCCTCAGCCAACACTCACCGGACATTTCGCAGGGCTTAGACACCACCGGAAGAATCAACAACGAATGTATCTTGTCTTGTACATCGAGTTCCTGACTTGGTCCACTGCGAAAGGTGTTCTTGACTTGGTGGTCTTTGCGGATACGAAATCCCAGGAAGCCACAAAAAGGGGGTCCAGGTTGATTCTTCCGGGAAAGAGGCGAATGAAAAAATGGATTCGGAATATGTGGATTTCGGAGGACTCCATCGCAGATCCCACCATCACAGGTCGTGAAGGGACTCGAACCATTGTTCACCTGGGAGAAGCCTACAGAAAGCGAAAAGACCCCGAGCATTTGCCAGCTGCCAGCTACCTAGAAGTCATTGGCGACCACATCCGCAGCACTTCGCACTTCTTCGCCTCTGAAGAATCCGCTTTTGGATTCCGGGCCGTCTGCGCGGTCATGACTGTGGCAATCATTGCCTTCCTCCGCGACACCCAGACCTGGTTTCTCCAGCAGCGTGGACTATGGGCTCTCATCCTGGTTGCTATTTCGCTGGCTCCGACAACAGGTGCTTCGGTGATTGGGTTCCTAGGTCGGGTCGTCGGAACAATAGCGGCCTGTTGCACCTCGATTGCTCTGTGGTACATCGCGGACGGAAAAGCCGGAGGGGTCATCCCCGTTCTCTTCATCGTCGAATTCCTCGGATTCTACACCATCTTCAAGTATCCACAGTTCTCGGTCGGCGCCATTCTCTTCAACGTGACTAATCTGCTGATCGTGGGATACGAACTCGAAGTTACGAAGCTGGGGAAAGCGACAGTGGCCTCGAACGGGCAACCATATTATCCGATCTATCTTCTGGCACCCTACAGACTTGCAACTGTCCTGACTGGAACGTTCGTCGCGTTTATCTGGTCATATTTTCCCTTTCCAGTGACCACCCACGGCAAACTACGGCGAGATCTTGGGGCGGGGCTCTACCTCCTGGCGACTTACTACGCGACAGTTCACAGCACGGTCGAGATGCGCCTCCGGGACGATATCTTGGATCCCCGGATCAAGAAGAGCCCGGCCTACCGAGTCGAAAAGGCACGGAACAAGGCATTTGCAAAGACGGGCATCCAGATTTCAAAGCTCCAAGTCCTGGCCCGTGAATGGGAGCCCACGATCGGCGGCCGCTTCCCGAAGGAGACATATCACGACATTATCGCATCGATGCAAATAATCTTCAACTACATCACGCTGATCTCTTATTCCACGCGCACCTTCTCTCCATCGTCACCTCTATTCTCGGCGTCCGCGCTCCCGTCGACCGACCGTCTATCTCCCACCCTCTCTAACGAGTCTCAAACACTCCCAGGCACTGAGCAACCGTGGATCCACAACTTCCGCCTCTTCATGCGCGGCCTCCACATAACGACGTACGACATCACATCGGTGCTCAGTCTCCTTTCCGCGAGCGTCACCAACGCACAGCCTCTCCCACCCCTCCTCAGAGTGCCGCATCCGTACACCCTCGGACCGGACCTGCACATTATCGACCCCGACGTGCTGCGCATCGAGCACGTCGCCGAGCCGTGCTACGCGGCCTTCGCCGTCTGCCAGGTCGCCAGCAGCCTGATCAGCGAGGAACTGGAGCGCATGATTGGACTGGTCAAGACCCTCGTGGGCGAAGTCGACTTTAGCTTCCACATTGAACAGAAGCCCGAGAGGGTGACGACGTGGCGTAGCAGGACTAATACGTTTGGCACCAAGAATGCAAAGGAGGGTGCGAGGGAGAAGAAGAGACATGGCGTGTTAGGTTCACACGGCAAGGGTAAAGCAGAGTGATCAGATCATCTGAGATGTCTCGTCCCAGTCTGCATTTTCCAGCGTCGGACACCTCAGCCGGAAGAATTTATCGAGTCGACCATATCAAGCGCCTGGGACGCAGAGATTCGATCCGACGGTCCGAATCTCATCAGACCCTAACCCTTCCAAAAACATGGTCCAAGAACGGGGCGGAGACAATGCCCTCGAAATGTCAAACTTACGTAGCGAGTAAGCGCGTCCGGACTTCAGTCGCATGTCGTCCCATTGTTGCTGCCATTCCGCTGGCAACTCCTCGACAAAATAAATCATTGGGGCAACCAGGAAGTCGTCGTATCAACATTGAAAGCTAAGCTTTGCTTCAGGAGCACCTGCACCTAGTGAAGCATGACGTGGCTAGCCTCACTAGCCAAGGGCTTTCGATGGTTGAAGCTCCAGTTGAGTAAAGCGTGGTCAGGTGGTCAGGCTACAGCAGTAACCGCCCAAGTTGCCAACGCACACAGCTTCCTCTGCATCCTTTAGCAGTGGGAATCCTTGTCTCTCATCTCAGACTGGACGCCTCTTAAAACGCCCCCCACGTGCCGTGTCTGCGGTCGAAACAATCGTCTACAGGCCTGCTTGGTCTTTTCCCCCTCCTTCTTTATAAGGCTGGGGAATCCCGCCTCAACTCGCTACACAACCTCTGAGTTCAATGCATACGGCCATCATGGCTCTTGAGCGCCTAAGGCGCGAGGCTAATCCAGACTTTGCAAGATTTAACGCGGACTTTGGACATCAAGACGAATTTTACGACAAATTCGGCTATGCATCAATCCCCACATTCAGTTTCGAAGATGTCCACGAAACGAGCAGCTTCCTACTGAGCATCGATCCTGGGCAGGAAACGCCAGAAGCGTCGGATTTGAGCCATGAATCAGCAGACCCAGAACCAGCAGAAGCAGACGGAGCTGCGGTATCCCCTCCAGGTTCGTTTTCGAAGCTGAGAATCACAACACCCCAACCTCATGATACTCTGACCGCTAGGCACACTCGAAGCGCTCGATGGCATTATGCGGGGCGGCACCCTCGAAGAACTACGAAGCTGGCTGCGTGCCGTTGAGAGAGAAGGCTATGTGGTCGATATTCCTCGTCTTCTGCGCTACGCAGTGGCTAAGGAGAGGCTGTCGATGGTGAAGTATCTCGTTGAGCATGAAAAGGCAGATTTGAGGGCGACTGATACCCTAGAGAGGTCTGTCATCTTCTTTGCCGCCGCTTGCAATGATCTCCAGGTGCTGGAATACATTGCCGGAAAATTGAAGCGGATTGTTTCGATATCCAAAGAGCTGGCCCGAACGGACATTACTGGTGCGACACCACTCTACTATGCCCGCAATTTCTGGCACGCCGCCGCCAACGCCAAATATCTCCTCCAGACTTGTGCTGCCTCAGATGATAGAGCATGGCTGGCCCGTGCAGCTCTAGAACTCGAAGTGCAAAGGGGAAAGGCCAACGACGTCCGTTACACTGATTGGTACAACGTCCTTTTCCTTTACAGATGGCTCGAGCTCTACCTGCATTTCCCCGTCCTTTCTGAAAGCTGGTCTAGGCTAAGAAACGCCGAGAGCTTTTGCACCAATAAAAGACTTTTCACGCTGCGGAACCTGGTGTCCCAAAACCACTGGCTTCTTGAACAGCTTGATGACATTTTACCAGACCAGTACAGCCCCGAATTAGTCTGGATCCACGTCCCGTGGACTAATGTGAGTTGAGGTGATGCCGATATCACTGTTGGACCACTAACCTGTTCCAACTCTTAGGGCATCCTAGTATCTGTAAATCATCCACAATTGCTCCCAGACACTTTCACTCTTCTAACAGATCTACAGGCAGTGCTAGACTCTGTGGTAGATAATCTCAAAGACCGCACCTGGAGAACTCTGGACTTTGCGAAGGTAGCCCTTGTGAGCGAGAACTTCAAGGACACTTTTAGGCGACGATCGTCACCGCCTGGTAACCCATATCTCGACCACTTGACACCCGTGTTCCGACAAATTTCTGGTTATAGATCTGCGGTTGTTATTGTATGTTTCAAGTTATTGAGAGCAACGCTGTTGTCTGCTAATAAGATGGCCAGTTCCCATGCATCGAAATCGTCAGCTTTGAAGACTTTACGAGATCAAGGAAGCACCATATGGATCTACGCGCAACGTTGAAGACTGAATTCCCGGCCATCACCAGTCGTGTCCAGACAACCCGCACTCTTGACGAAACACATTTTCCGTCTCTCAGCGCAAAAGCACTCGAGGAATTGAACAACGACCAAGTGGTGAGTCGGGAATGTCAGGAGTTTCTCAGTGGGGAGCCCACGACAGAGGCGACCAAACCGATCCTGGTGGTGTCGCAACTCTGGGTCTGGAACATTGAAGCAGTTGTGCTTTCAGCGTACTCTAACCCAGGAAAGACTCCTGACGACTCGCTGCTCAGGGATTACGACATCATCGAGTCTGAATTCCCCGTTGTTGATGCATGGAGGGGAAAACAGTTTGGTGCAAAGACTTTGGAAGGTGGGCGTAACCCTGAGGTGAAGGTCGCATGTCTCTTGCATGACCAAATTGACTATTTCGACAAGACGCAAGCAGACGGAATGTACCAGGTGCCCCTCGACTACTTTGAAATGGGTGTGTTACGGATCATAGCCAGTGTGACCGAGTACACGAAGAATATGGAACCCCAGTCACTGGATGTGGAAAAGGAGAGGACCTTTATGCACGATTTGTCTGATATCAGAGTCGAGTTGGATGCGATCGACCAAGTTCTCACCCAGCAAAAGAACATCATCAGCGACTTTCGTGGTTCTCTCGTTGTAGAGAAAGAAGACGTGATATTGCATCCTGAAAATGCCAACCCCAAGCTGATTGCGAAGAGGAGTCTTGAAGATGACGAAAAGCGGATTGACACATATCGCGCAAGGATTGCCAAAATCCAAAAAGACGCCGACCGCATCGACCAGGCCATCAACAATGCTCTGAATCTCAAACGTACCGCAGCAAGTATTCAAGACGCTCGCAACAGCGCCAAAGATGCTCGAACAAGCCTCCTCCTGGGTTGGGCCGTTCTGGGATTCACCATCATCACGATTATGTTCGCTCCCTTGTCTTTCATGACCAGTCTCCTGGCCTTACCGGTGGACAGCCTGCGCCAATTTAACGGGACGGACGCGACGGGGGCACCGACTGCTATCTATCGATCCGGTTTCATCGCGTGGACTTTTAGTACGTGTCCAGAGACCATGAAGTCCGACGGACATGTACACTTTGCTGACGAGTTGACAGTTGTGGCCGAGGTCATTTCCATCGCCGTCACCGCCTTGGCCGTATATGCCGCCGTAAGATATCGGCATGTTCTGAGTGGATTTCTGGTGCCAAATGACATTGGTGAGCAGGGGCAGCACGGAGGGCGTATTCAGAGCGAGGTTGCTGGCGGCGACGGAGCCTGGGTCGATGCGAAGCGACCAGATGCTGTTCTGAGAGAGCACGCCGACAACAGGGGAGAAGCTTCAGGTGCCAATGTGCCAGCGGAGTCAGCCAGACCTCGCGGTCTCCGCAAGCTACTAGGGACGACCAAGCCCAAGTCAAGAGACCCGGAGAAGTGATGTACGTTGCTATGTTGCGCGTTCAAAGCTGTCCTCTCATCCATACGAGCTTCTCAATCCCAGGCGTTGTTGAACAGATGGATGACATCTGTGGTGGTAGTAGAAAGGGCGTCGCATTTTGGAGAGAAGCTCACAGCCCAAGAGGCCTTATACCCCATTCGGGTGGTAGACAGACGTCGAGGATATTCAGATCCAAATGGAAAGAGTCGAACGGCTACTCCGTAGCTAAGTTTAGATCATCTGCTGGCCGCTGTCCACGCGCCCGGGGATACATATGCTTATCTAGACCGCTTCGCGGAATACGGTGGCATTGAGATATCTTCCACCGTGGATGCTGTCGACAATGCCCTGGATTCCGAGCTCAACGCATTTCTGAGCGCCTTCCGGCTGTCTGGATGCTTTTGGTAACGATAGTCCCGTCCTCTTGGATCATCACGCCTCGGTAGATTATTGAGGAGTTGGACTTGGCTCCGTCTCTCCTATCATTTAGTACTCGAGCACGGGTACCTTTCTTTACTATAATAACGGAAAGCATTAAATTCTAGGCAGCTCACGTTCTCTCCAAAATGTACACTATCTCAAGTTTCCTGATCATGGATCATTCACCAACCACTAAGTATAAAGCTTCTCCCTAACGAAAAGGGAGCAACGGTCGTGGGACTCGTACCTGTCCCCCAAAATCCCATCTCACCGTGATTTCGGGGACGGATTACGGGTTGTAAGTCCCCTTGACCAGATAATTCCCGTCATGTTGCGCGACTCCACGGGCAGGCTCCAGCCACTCGACGCGCTCGCGCGTGAACTGCTCGAACGTGGGCTTCAGCTTGGTGGCGTGCAGGTGGAAGTCGTCCACGGTGCCGATGCGCAGAATGCTGTTCCCCGGCCAGCCGGAACTGACGCGGTACATGAGAGTGCCGCACACGGAGCAGAAATAGTTGGTCATGTCGTTTCCGGTGGCGATCGTCTTGGACTGGCTGTACGCCGTGAGTTTCTCGCGGCCGCGTGCGTGCTTCAGGTGGGTGTCGGCGATGATGAAGTTGGAGGCGAACATGGACGAATGGATCTTGTGGTCGTCGCTACAGTGACACAAGAAACTGTCAACGAGCCCTGGGGCTTTGGTGGCCTTGGTCACAATTTCTTGGTCAGTCAAAGCGCGTCGGGCAGTACCACCCCCCAAAAGAAGAGAAAGTCGTTCTTCCTCACAAAAAGTAGCGCGTGCAACTTGAGCATGCTCGGTGATGGGGAGATTGAAACTTACAAAGACCAGCTGGACGGCACCACAGAAACACGTCGCGGTAGCTTCATCACCCTTGGTCCAGCCATCGTCGGCACCGCCAGCCAGAGGGAAGTAGGATTTGGAGTCATCAGAAGAGGCAGCCATGATGCGGGTTGTTTTTCGTTTTTTTTTTCTTTGCAACAATACAAGATTCTGCAACTCTCTCGCGCAAGTGATTAAGGCCCCCCCTTTGAACCGTAGCTCTATATATACGTCTAAACACCAGAACGGGACTACCCCAAGTCGGTGACATCATCAGTAGTAGTACCGAAGACGGGACACGAGAGAAGCAGACACGGGCAGGGGTAGCTGATTAGCTCCCAGCTGATGAATGGACGAACCCGCCAACGGTGGCCGCCAGTCCTCCCATGGGTTTAGCGATTTAGGAGAGTTTCATCCTGGGGCTGGCTGGCGATGCCGCTTGACGGATGCAGGGCTTTGTCTAGGCAAACCTCGAAATCCATCTGCTACGCCATAGAAGGCATGACGTTGACGACCAGCGTAATAACGGCTGGTTGAATCCGAATCATGATGCTGTTACCCTGTCATGTTGAAGTCAAGTGAGTCTGACGAGAACATGCTACCCTAATACTTGCTCTGACCTTGGATGGTCCAGAGGCAATAGTCATCTCTGAGGGTAGATAGACATAGAGGGTCCCCCTATCCCTTTAGACAAGATTCACCATATCTGAGCCGGTGGCCAGCTCATCGCTTATTCAGTGAATGTATCTAGTCTATGTCAGACTATGCTAACTTTTCTCTTCCGTAGCCCTGCTGTATTATGTACCCAGGATCCTGAAGGGAGCCTCCGAGTCTATCGTGAATGGCAAGGAGTAAGCAGAAGTCCACACCTCCATGCTGACATGGGTAATTAGGAAGCTACTCGATCCTTCAAACTTGCCCTAACGCCCTGGTCTCATCGTGAAGACGCAGGATGCGGAGCCCCGCGAGCCCTGGTGTGCGCCCACCGGCAACATTATCTAGCTCAAACGAGAGGAAGGCCTCAGGCTTCTTAGAAGGATCCCTTCCTGCTCACGTCAATGCTGGCGACCTGGTGGTCAAGAGGGTTTTATGGCAGTGTCCATTGCAATGCTCCCTGTTCAATACCTCCCTCAATGCGTGGTATCCTCCCAGCCTTGCCACCCTCTTCCTTTGATCTCCTTCAACTCCTCCTCACTATAAGACTTGCCCGTCGTGAAGTAGCCGGCGTTGATTTTGGCGTCGATTTCGACTCTGGAATCCGCGGGGATAAGGTCTGGTAAAAAAAGAAAAATAACAATGTTAGTTTAGATGGAAGACTAATTGGCGAGAAATTGATTGGGGCGCTGTGGAAGTTGAGGGGAAAAAGGAAACTCACGGTCAGGAATGGGAACTCGCTCGTAGATGGGGATGCCTTGTCCTACTATCGCGTCGTGCTTCATGTTAGACATGGATAGCATACGGTCGATCTTTTTGATGCCCAGCCAGTGCAGTATGTCGGGCATGAGAGCTTGGAAGCGCATCTGTGAGATTTTGTTAGTACATGACGGTAAAGATTAAGTGTCTCTGAGCAAATGACAACATAGGACATACTAGGGAGGGAGAGAAAAATGAAAAGGCTTACATCTCTGACACCAGCAATGGCTTCAGTTCGCTGAAAATACTTATCGGCAGTGTCCCCTCCGCGTTTCCTCGAATTGTACACCAAATACTTGACCACTTCGCCCAAGGCACGGCCTTCCTTTCGGAAATAGATGACCACACCAGAGCCTCCGGCTTGTGCCTCCTTCAAGGCCTCTTCGATCCCAAAGGCAAGATATGGGCGACATGTGCAAATGTCTGATTGGAACACGTCGGAACCATTGCACTCGTCGTGGATGCGAAGGGCCAATTTGACGCTCGGGTCCGACACTCGCTCGGGCGGGCCAAAGATGTAGACCGTCAGCCCACCGATCGGTGGCAGAAACACGCTCAGATCAGTTCTCGTGATGAATTCCGGGTAGCTCCCTCCCGTGTGCTCGAACAGGGCTCGCCGCAACGTCGTCTCATCCACTCCAAAGCGCTCGGCCACCCCGGGGAGATGCCACACGGGTTCGACTGCGACTTTGGTTACGCGGACATCGCCCGCGTCGTTGAGGACGATTTTGCCGTCCACCTGCAGTCTGTTTTGTCGTAGGGCGTCGGTAATCTCGGCCACGCGCATCGTGGCCCGCGTGATGGCGATGGTGGGGCGCACGTCCAATCCGGCGGCGAGGTGGTTGCCAAAGTACTTGACAATGTCGTGTCCGTAAGGGTCCATGGAGACGATCTTGGTCGGATCGGACCAGGCAGGTTGCGGGGCGAAGTCGAAGGTCGGTTGTGTGTTTGTGAGGTCGGGGCGGAAATCGCGCGGCAAGTCGCCAGCAGCCACGGCCAGGGCGTTGTAGAAGCTGTAACTCCCGCCATGGGCGCCGATCGCGTTGCGTCTCTTAAAGCTGTCAAAGCTCCGGGACACGATAATCGGCCCTCTTGTCTGGGGGTCTGCGGCGCCCCATTGTAGAGGAATTGGGTCGGCGACGCTCTGTCCCGGGTAGGTGGTCAGCACGACGCGATTACTGTATTTCTGGGTCAGCGACAGCACACTCGACGAGCTGGAGCTGCTGGGTGTGCTTGGTCGAGAATAAGAATGCTCTTTCTCATCGATCGCCGTCACTGTGGCCGTCACGCCGACCGCCATCTTGAGCCGTGCACTTGGTGTAGTCGTCGACAAGAGTGTCTTCGGTCTCTTGACGCTTCGCTCCTCGGAAGATGGGTCGGGCTGGTCGAAGTCGAGGGAGTACGCCGTGTTCAGCATTTGAGACAGATCTAGCGTTGCGAATCATAAAGTATAAGAGGGCGATGGATTGTTAGTCACACTTGAATGGTATGGACGATAACTGCTCTTGCCGTCAGATGGGTCACAGAGAAAAGAGGGTGGATAGGTCATCTGGTGCCTGAAGCAAGACAAATTTGGTGAAGCCGTCGCCGCCATCTCTGATACCCCGATACTGCAGAACCATCTTTTTTGTTTTTCTGGTGTTTGATCCCCATCTTGGGATGTAGTGGGCACTTTGCCGAGGGGGGATCCTGCTGGGGATCTGTGGAGATGGCCGAAGACTGAAGCGATAAGTCAACTATCTTTTAGTCTCGTCAAAGAACGTGGGTCCAGATAATAATACAATTCGGCTGAAGATAGGCAAATAGGGTGGCCCATTGCTCTGATAAGGTGCGGAGGAGCGACCCTTGTAGTAGCGCTAGCTGACACGTGACCCCACGTGATCTGTACGCTTAGTTAGCTCCTGGTTGACCCCTGCCAACTGCTACAGTCAGGAATCCCTTGGTCCTCGTTCGGCCCTACACCCTCACTCCGAGCACCTAGGTAGTAAGTACTTTGCCAGCACTTGGACTCTCTTTAGGTCCCTCGGGAGCGAAGGACTGCGTGTGGTGGAAGTCCCTCCACGGTTGGGGCAGAAGTCAGCGCTAGATTCTGCCAAATGGTGCAATAACTGTGTATTCTATATTTATTTTTTTCATTCCTGGGCACACTCGTTGAACCGAGGCCTTGCCCAAATTCTCTTCTCCGTCAGAAGAGTGTCCCATCACCAGCGATCAATATAGGGCTTGATCTGCTCTTTGGTCGCTTTGTGGCAGCCAGCTCGCGACCGGTTTTCCACGAACCAGCCTCCAGCATTTGGGCCATACTGATAGCAATTCCTTGAGCTGCAAACTCCTTGGAAATGATCTCATGCAGTCGATCAAGGAGGGCAACTGTCATCGCACGCCACTCGACAATCACATCGCTAGTGGCGTCGTAGATGGGCAACATCTGTCCAGATGCCCTCTGGCCTACACTCAGAGTGTCTTCTTTCAGAGATAGAACACCCATGTCCACAAACAGACCTCCATTCCGATATTCAGGCAGCCCAGTGCCCAGCTCCATGTTCTCCCACCTGGCGTGCAGAATCTTCACAAACGGGGTCATTAACGAATATGCCAGCCACTGAGTCAGCTTGTGAAACGGCTGAATAGCTTTAGCCGGACTATCGTTGGCATCGGACTGAGACTGTCGCGCGAGAACCTGAAGAGGCCAGGCGTCTCCAAGAGGTTGACTTCCCAGGTGTGTTCTGTTTTTGGGCCATGCGGGAAGCAGTAGACGTTGCAGGGCTGACCACAGGACAGTGTAGTCAAGCGCATCGGTTCCAGTGACCGAAGCGGTCATGTAGTCTAAAAAAAACCACATTGACTTCAATCAGGATCCCAGGTTGAACTGACTTTTGAAAGCAAGGGTCTGCACCGCATACATACCCACAAGATTGCCTGGTCGCCCCTGAGAGCCGAAGATGTCAGGCAAAGAGAGTAGAGATTTGCCCACGTCCCTCAAAAGCTGAATCCGAGCATGCACACCGACCATAGGGTTGCTATTCGAGATCTGAAACCAAGACAGAAACCTTTCCTCGTCGAGGTCAAGCAATGCCCTTCCTAAGTAGAGCGTTAGCATTACAACAACACAATGCAAAAACTACTTCCCACAACAATTCAAAAGTACCCACCATCCACCGTGCAAGGACATGCCGGGCTTGACGAAAACGCTCCCGACTCAAACATGTACAGCGAAGCCACCGCAATGCCTTCGGATCGGTTGTACACATTCTGGTTCCCCGTATTGGGCTCCTGGAAGCTCCAACTGTCTCCAGCCCCTGCGTCCAGAAGGACCGACACCATGAACAGGTCAATCAAGACCCTTGTCTGTTCCTTGGGGTCTGCCGTTTCTTGCGTCCGAAGCAGCATCCGGGAAATGCGATCGACATTACCGACATTGAAGTGTTGCCAACGCCCATGCGGAGGGATTTCATGATATCTATCGGGTCCAAAGTCGCGCTGCATATTCATATTGCTTAGTTCCAGTTGCGAGAGGGCTGTTGGCGGTGTGAAACTTGAAAACTCACTGAAATTGTCTGAGCCACCAAATGAGCGGCCACTGGGAGTTGGTCGGCATTGTAATGGAAATGGTTGAGTGTCCCCCTCTGGGCACAATCGAAAACACCATTGGCACGATCCCTGACTGCTTGTAGTGATAACAAGTATTCGACTTCGGACACCATGTTTATGGAAGCTGAGAATCTGTATGCCAAAATCTTGAGGAAATTGGTAAAAGAATAAAGACTTCTGTCTGTGTACGCCTTCGACTTCTTCCACCTCTTCCTCCCGCTCTTCTCCTCCACACAACGTCCACACTTTTAAAATAGCTTACATACGGAGTCATCTTAGCGGATTCAAAATGTCAACTTTGTCAGATGAAAATTGCAAACAGTACCCGATTGTTGCGCTCCTCAACGACTTGCGAACACCACCCAGAGCTCTCTCTTTTTTTGGTTAGTCGCAGCGAACCATAGTCGATACGGAACCACAGGATAAGGAATGAGTCAGTCAAATCAATCGTCCATGGGACTGTGGACGGTGGACCCCTTCCAAAGGTCTTCTACCCCACACTCCATCTGATTTAAACCGATCGGCCTGGTTCGGATTGTGGGACCTCTTGAACTGGAGAGGCAACATGATCATGGTGATTGCTTATCGCGTATCTAGTATCGCACTGATATAAAAGAATGTGGGTCTAGAGGATGGATGGGTCTGCCGCGCCACTGCTATCCTTGGTCACTAGAAGCCTTCCAAACGGAACAATTGAATCCAGAACACATGATTGGGGTGCCAATGGGTGGGTACAGTTAGTTAGGTGCATTTCCAACGAAATAGAGAAGGAGAAGGTGGTCTCCATTTTGCCCAAGAAATCGAAGGCTACTGCTACCATCTTTGACCGGACGTGGATTGCTCATGATTATCTTCTGATTCAGAATTCTGGATCTTAGTTTGACGAAACCCCCATCGTTTGAATCTTGATTCCACAAATCCAAAGTTATCTGGTTTCCCTTCGCCGGCGGGCATGTAGGGGCAGAGAAAAAAAAAGACAACTCACAACACAAACAATATTCCCCTTTCTCAGAGAGCAGGAGTGTATACAGACAGGGCAGCATTAGCATAACCGCCAAATTTCAATTTTACTTTTCAAATCCCAAGATGACAATCGACCTATCCAAGTCCCAGTCCAAGATGTCCTACGCCACAAAGCTGTCCCAACTCCGCGATCTCACGCTTCCACCCCGCGAAGTCCGCCAGCTCACATCCGAATTAACCACCATGCTCGCCGAGACGGCCATCGAGCCCCCTTCGGTTGACGAGACGGTGGTGGTGGTGGTCATTCTGCGATCGGGAATGGCCATGATGGACGCCTTTCTCGCCGCACTCCCTCCCAAGGCAAACGCAATCGTCCACCATCTGGGCATTTTCAGAGACAAGAAAACACTCCAGCCCGTCGAGTACTACAACAAATTGCCGCCCCGGTCCGGCAGGATCAGACATGCTTATATCCTCGACCCGGTCATTGCCACGGGTGGTACGGCCGAGGCGGCTATTCAAATCCTCAAGTAAGTGACGAGTCCTTTCGACAGACTCGCCGAGTTGCCACACGAAGTAACAGAGTCTTTGCTAAAATGCCGTGTCTTTCCCTCTTCTAGAGAATGGGGAGTCGAAAAAATTACCTTTGTATCCATTTTGGCCAGTAACCCCGGGCTGGACAAAGTCGCCTCAAGCTGGCCTGAAGGTACAAACTTGGTGGTAGGCGCCGTCGACTCGGATCTGGACAGTGCAGGATACGTTCAACCTGGCATCGGAGACATAGGAGACCGATTGTTTGGAACAAATTTGGATTGAAAGTACTCAAAGACGGATCATGGAAACAGAACAAAGCTACAGCAGCAGTACGGGGAGCAAGGGGACCGAGCCGATGGAATATAAAGTTTTCTACGTACGATTGTCCCTTTGAATTTGATGAGGATTTCTGTTGTCCTACTATTGAAAAAAAAAAATTGACTTGTGTGCATTGCTGCTCCTTGCGTGTCGGCGTTTCCTGTCTGTAATTTTTTCCTTTTGAATAGACCAGATACACCTTCCACTACGAAAAATAGTTCGTGTTTCAAGTAACAAGAACACCAATTCTTGAGATTCATATTCGAGAAGCTCTCTCTCTCTCTCTATTGGCGAAAATGAATCCAATTGAGTGGGTTCAGTAATAATCACTGTTGGTGCCTTTTTCGGCATTCGATTTCTCAACCGAGGCGTGGTAAATCAAGAAAAAGATACCACTCCCTAAACCGTGCCCCTCCCAAAGAATAGTTTCGATGCATCATGCTCGCCGCCCTTTGTGGCTCTTTGCTTTCAGATGGGGGGGAGATATGGCGTACACCTCAAGTGCTCACTTGACAACTGCGCAATCTTTTCCGCAATCACCGCCACAGCGCTGTGACAGTTTTGGGCATTGTGAAGAACTGCCAGGGGCTCCGTCCACATTCATTGTCTCCGAGGAATGAGTCTTTGTTTGCCGTTCTTGCAACAGGACCCGAAGCCGCCAGAACCGGAACATTAATTCCAATCTGGCCTATGTTGATTTTGCGCTGGAAGGTCTGAGCATGGACCGGATCGGTCGTGAACAGCGAGCATCCGTTGCCGTACCTGTTCTCGTTTGCTATCTCGATGGCCTCGTCCAGGGTGTCGACCTCGATGCACACGAGGACAGGCCCAAAGATCTCGTCCTGGTAGCACTGCATAGACGTCTGCACTTTGGTGATGATGGTGGGCCCGACAAAGTTCCCCTCGGGGTATTCGGGCACGCAATATTTTCGTCCGTCCAGCACGACATGGGCGCCTTCGGCTTCGGCCAGGTCGATCATATCTTCCACTCTCTCTTTTGCCGCGGCCGTGATCAAGGGGCCGACTTCGGTGCCAGGATCAGAACCGCAGCCGACTTTGAGCGACCCGGCCAGCTGGACGAGATCGTCGATCCATTCCTTGGTCGACCCGACGCAGAGCATGACACTCAGCGCCATACACCTCTGACCCGCGGCCCCAAATGCGCTCCCGGCAATGGCATAGAGAGTCTTGGTCTTGGACGCATCCTCCAGCACAATCCCGTGGTTTTTCCCACTGACTTCGACTTGGATTCTCTTTCTGGTGGCTTTGGCATGCTCGTAGACGCGTTCTCCCGCCAGTTCGGAGCCCACAAAGGATACCGCGCTGACGACAGGCTGCGAGAGCAATTTGTCGACGGTCACCGATGATCCATGAATGATATTGATCACTCCAGGCGGAAACCCCGCCTGTACGAAACATCTCCCTAGAAGGTTAGCAGTCGAAGGGGCCTTTTCGGAAGGTTTCAAGACCACTGTGTTGCCGGTGATGACAGCGTAGGGGATCGACCACAGAGGGATCATGAAAGGGAAATTAAAGGGAGTGATGATTACGCAGACCCCGACGGGCTGGTGGATCGTGTAGGTCTCTGTCGAATTGGTGGTCCAGTGTTTGCCATTCATCTCGGCCGTGGCTGAGCACGCCGTGTGGATAGCATCAATTCCTCTCTCGAATTCCGACTCGGCGTCCTGCAGTGTCTTCCCCACTTCGAGCTGCAGCGACTGTTGAAAGTCAACGGTGTGCTGCTGCAAAACACCCAGCAGGGAGAAAAGCAGGGCTTTCCGTTTCGATATGGGCAACGACGCCCACGCTGTCTGCGCCGCTTCCGCCACGGTCACGGCTTTTTGGATCTCTGCTGGAGTGGAATCCGGCACCCGGGCGAGCAGCTTCTGTGACGCAGGATCCAGTACCTTCATCCAGACTCTCGTCTTCGACACGCTGAATTCATTGTTGATCAGATTTTGAGTGGTGGTCGGCGGCGTGGGCAGAGCCATGGTGCTCGTGCTAGCTCCGGTGCTGGCGCTTTGATTCAGAGGCACCGTCACCCTACTGGGGTCGCTGGTGCCTAACCGGGTGCCTGTTTCATCTCTGCGAAGTCTCTTATTCCGACGGTGATGGTTGGGAGAGTAGTCACCAGCTGTGTCATCGTTGCTGTCGACTACGAGAGACAAAGGCTGCTCTAACACCGTCGCCACCGTTGTTGCAGAGCGTTGGACGACCATCGTGTTCCCATTAGTATCAAGCCTGAACACAAAGCCTGCCAAACCTACTTTCAAGCCTTCGATCTCTTGATAGCAGATATCACTATCAAAAAGATTGAAGTGAGCGACCGACCACAGATTGTACAGTTGGAGTGTGAAGATAAGACAAGATGGGGAGCACAACGTGGGAAGGATAATGATATTGTGGGGGTCGTCGAATTGGGATCATGGCCAGACCTTTGGCATGTTCTCCACCTCCTTTCCTTCCTAAAATATTGACAAGAGCTTTCATACATTCATCCAGGATTCCGGGATCCACCTGACGCTGGCGCTAGTGACTCAGCGCTGTCCACGATATGAACCCGGGGATGATTGCAAAGCTCCGACAACGGTTGCCAAAGCAGGTCCTTTCCGGGATTATTCACCAATTAGAAGTGAGAATAAATGCCCAATGCGATCAGGAAATGGATCGAGTGTACACGAAAGGTTCCTGGAGATGTCCTACTGTAAACAAGGTGCACTGAGAGTGTGAATTGCATACTGTATGCTGTATACTGGAGAATTTTAATCGCGAGTGCCAAGACATCCTCTCACCAATTTCGGTTTGCACAACGCGTCAATCATAATCATTCTTCCAGTCTTGAGCATTGTCTCTGTACCGGCGATCTACCAGGCATCTGCTATCTGCTTGTCTAATTAAACAAAAAGGAGATACTGCATTGATTTCACTTAGCCTGGAGAGTACTGTTGCCTCGTAAAAGGGTATGTTACTTACGATTCACCATGGTGTGTCCGTCGAATTGCTTCTGCAATGATGCCACTGACGTCGATGGACTCGATTTTGGGACATTTTTGAGCGGTCGGTGATAGGGGAAGGGTGTTTGTGACCACGAGTCTCTCCAAAGAGCTCTCCTCGATCTTCTGGATGGCAGGACCTGAGAGAAATCCATGGACAACGACGGCGCGGCAACTGATGGCACCGTGGTTCTTCAATACGTCCGATGCCATGATCAGGGTGCCACTGAGTGCGCAGTTAGTAGAGGTTCACTGAAATGAAAAGGATGAGTTGCATAGATATCACAAAAGACTTACCATGTGTCCGCGATGTCGTCAACAATAACGGCAGTCTTATTGACAACCGATCCAACTAGAATCATACGACTGATTTTACTGGCGACTTTACGCTCCTTGTGGATGAGGGCTAGATCAAGACGCAGCTTGTCCGCAATGATAGCAGCTCAGTGACAACGTCAGCCTTTTTTTTGTTTTCATATTTTCTCCCATTAACCCCTAGTTGGACACTCACCTCTTCGCACCACCTGCGTCAGGAGACACAATGACGACGTTGTCCAGGGGCATATTACTTCGAATGTACTCGACCATTGCACTCTCGGCATAGAGATTGTCCACGGGAATATTGAAGAAGCCCTGGATTTGTGAGGCATGCAAGTCCATAGTGATGATATGATTGCAGCCGGCTGTCTCAAGCATGTTGGCCACCAGTTTAGCGGTGATGGGAGCTCGACTGCGGTCTTTCTTGTCTTGCCTCGAATAAGGGAAACAGGGGAGCACGGCGGTGATCTTCCTGGCCGAGGCAGTCTTGCAGGCGCTGATCGTGATTAAGAGTTCCATGAGCATGTCGTTGACCGGTTCTGCTGCTGTCTGGATGATAAACAGATCGGCGCCGCGGACCGAGTTTCCAATGACAATACTGGTCTCGCCATTCGAAAACCGCGATGATGTAAGTTTTGTGGACGGTGAATCCTCCCCCAGCCTCTGGCATACACGGTCGGCGAAGTCTGAATGACTCCCTCCTATATTCGTCCATTCAATCTCGGTTAGGGATATCTTTTAACAACGTATGGTGCGGAGGACCGGTATCAGAGTAATAATACTGACCACTAAGTACCTGCATGGACATTTTTGGGATAAAGAATTCGATCGCCCAACACTTTTTACCGAGAAACAAGACTGGTGTCTGCAAGAGGAACAGTGAGCAGGTCGGATACCCAGGGAGAATGCGTGCTCCCAGATCTACCACGCAGGCTCTTCAATGTATCAGTGCTGGATTTATCATTCCCCTGACGATTAAGTTACAACTACCAAGCGGTTGAGAAGTTTTGCTTCTATTTCCATGTCCTATGCACACAGGGCGCACAGCGTCAGCCTAGAAACACACAGTCTGACCCGCTCAAGCAGGTGCCAGGTACAAACTAACCGAACTACAAACACTGTACTTGGAAGATAGATGAATTCCTCAATAATGACCAGGTTCCCAATCTCTTCCATACTGCAGCGGAAATCCTGTGCTTTCGAAGGTAATCTGGGCGGGGCCCGTTATAGATAGGTACTCGGTAGATTAAAGATACTTTAGATAATCGAATACGTGGGGAATTTCAGAAGTTTCACCGAGCCTCGCATTGTTTATCTGAGATCTCTCTTCGTATCGGAGGCTGGAACCTCCCGATATGTAAGTTACAGGCGTCGATAAGAATTGTATGCCTCTTCCCAAAGACTGGATCTACTGGTACGATAATGTAGGTCTGTTTGTCAAATCGGCCACTGGGCGTCCCGATGCTCACATGCTAAATCCTGGAGCCCCAGGACCTAGACTCCAGTCTCCCTCCCATAGGGCTTTCAAGAATAACACCTGTGTGCGTTCCAAGTTTGGATGCTCTCGCTTCAAGGATGCGCAACACCATGGAGAATTGCGTAGTCCTGCCACAGAACCATCAACTCCTAAGTTCCATGACCATTCTGCGCAGTCAAAACACAAAAGGCAAAGACTTTATCGATGCATTTGCAAAGGTGGCTGCACAGCTCATGGCCCGAGGTAAGACCAGAGACCGCTTGATGAAATTTTGCTCTGGCTGTGTTCCAAGTTCGTGCTCAACCCATCTAACGAGTTCGTGTTCCTCCTACAGCGCTGGATTTCATCCCGGTCGAATGTCAACAAGTGACGACCCCGACGGGAGGCATGTACCAGGGCGTGCGACAAGCAAAGAAAGTCTGTGGCATCAGCATCCTAAGGGCAGGGGCCAGCCTGGAAGATGCGCTGAGAACGGCTTACAAGTATGTCAGGCTCGGCTAGCAAACATCCTCCCTTTTCCTCTTCTCCTCCTTCCCACCAAAGGGGGAGGCGAAGGCGAAAGTGTATGTCCATGCTGACCCTGTCTTTGCGAATTAAAAAGTGGTCCTTTGAGCTTCGGAAAGCTCTTAATCCAACGAGACGAGAAAACGAGCCTCCCAGTGCATCTGTACACCAAATTTCCTCCGTCGATTTCGAACGCTTGTAGGGCTTCAGCCACGTCCGAAAACGGGTGTGCGATCACGTTGCTGACTTTAAGCAGATGTCCTGATTCTTGAGCCAATGCTTGCGACCGGAGGCTCAGTGAGTAAAGCAATCGAGCTGGTCCTTGAACAGCGTGTGCCGGAGGAACAGATCATTGTCATCAATCTAATAGCCTCGGCGAGCGCAGTCAGCCTGGTCTCTGAACGATTTCCGAAGTTGACGTTAGTGACAGCGGCGGTTGACAAGGATTTGAATTCAAAAAGGTTGGTCGATAACCATATATGCGATTCTACCAACTTGTCGAGTCCGATCATTGACAAATTACCGACTCCTACAGGTACATCGATCCAGGACTGGGTGATTTCGGGGATCGATTTTATGGTACATGAAAGGATCGTCCAGAAGGGCATGGAAATGCTGGAAGTTCGATACAGCTGAGACGAACTCCATTTTGCGAGGATGGTGGAATCGGAAAGCGGACTGTTCGACGCAACCAACTGTACTTTTTTACTTTTAGAAGAATGAGACTACCGATCCTCGATACAAATAAAAACCGTCGCCTCAACCAATGTCTCAATGTTGTCAATGTATAGGCTCGATATAGGCAGGGTATTCGCAGCTATCTCCTCTGCCATGAATAGGCACTTGTTCGCCGATATGGTTCTGACCTTGTTTACCTTCTTCATTTGCAGGCATCCATGGGCCATTCAGTTCAGCCATCAGATCAGTGGACTCTGGTAGGACTCTCGAGAATTAGGCATTGTGACTGATGTTGCAAGAAGACCCAGTTCTTGTTGCAAAATGTCATTCACGGGCAGGAAAAATATCAAAATCTATCTACTTACTCTAGCATTCCTTCCGCTTCTAATAGGTGTCACCATGATATTGGCACCGAGTCACAAATAGCACATTCTTCATCGAAGGACTCAATATCCGCATGTAGATCACACGAGGCCTTTTAATGCTTGAACGTCTCCACAACAGACTGCACCTCGCTGTCCTTTGTTCCAACAACGACGCTGGCTTCTGAATCTCCCCTGGCCTGTGCATATGGATCAACACCATTAATCATGATCGATGGAATGAGGGCTGCATCTCCCGTTTCATTCCAGCTCTTGTTACATTCGACCTTGAAAGGTCCGAATCTGCACATCAGGTAGTATACCCCTCCACTTACGAGGACGCCCATAAGGAAGTTGAACTGATCTGAACGTTGAGAGAGAATCGATCAGTATTCACAGTTCCTTCAGAAAGGAAGCAGACCTTGCAAACAGGCGTAAACTTACACAAGTACCAGGCACCAATCGGTATAGATGCACCCATCGCTCCGGCAACACCAACGATATTAAATATCAATCCGCATCTGTGAAAAATCGTTAAAATTTCTGCGGCTGAAGAGGCAGGAGATGAAAGAAACCCACAGGTATCCCACGTAAGCGTTGATGCCAAACCCGCCCAAGCCCCAGTAGAGATCGGACGACTTGTTGGAGTACAACTGATCAACGACAAGATGGCCTCGGCGGACGATGAAGTAATCACAGAAATACGGTCCGACGAAAGCAGAAAGGAAGACACTGTAGGCACCGACGTATGCTAAGAAGTTGTTGCTGCTGGATAAGAGTTTCCACGGCACGCAGGCAAAAGACAACACTGCGGCAACATACCCACCACGTCCTGCGTTATGTTAGTCTTGTCTGTTCCAGATCCGGAATAAAGGGGACAAAAGGATGAACTTACGAATATTGAGGTATCGAGGAAACAGAGCGGTAAAGTCACTTCCCGCAGAGTTTGCACCTGTCAGGTTTGTCATGGCCTGAGCATAGACAAAGATTAGAGCGAGGAAGAAAACCCCGGCCCTGTCGCTGCTGGATGGACTGTCGGTAACAAACTAGGGAGTTGCAGAGGTTAGATGACAGATCTTCTGGCCCAGAATTTGAAATTCTCGTGCTACAACTTGGGTACTTACTCGCTCCAAGACGTCCAAAGGATTCCAAAGCGGGGAACCGTATAATGTAGCGCTGCAGCTGGAGACGATCAAACCAACCAGGGAAGTGACTGAGAATGAGACTGGAACTGTAATGAGTTGAGACCAGAGGGCACTGGAAGGTTTCTTTGAAAACCGCGCAAAATCCGAGTCTGCGTATTTGTTGATTCAGTAAATAAGCCAGAAGAGAGGGAGACCTTGTTGGGTTTTCATCCCACACTCACCATTCAGAATGAATGTGCTGAAATTATCCAAGGAGGAGATGATGGCTTGGATCACGGTCCATGTCAAGGCACTCCCTTTGAGGGCTGCGTAGTCGTCATATCAATGATGGGCTAGGCAAAACATCGAACTTTCATGAAAACTTACAGCTGCTTTGAGACATGACGGGACCGGCACCATGGCCTGCTCTCACAGCCACCCATGCAGCGAATGCGATGCCTCCAATGGGAGCTGTCACCGCCTTGATAGTGTATAGATGTCGGACTTTGTGCAAAGGGAAGTATATGCCTTTTTTTTTGGCCGTCTTAGCAGGGTATTCTCAACCGCAAAGCGAGGCATGCAGAGTTTTCTTACCGATCAATTGACAGAGCCAGAACAGGAAAAAGCACATCATATGCTTTGTATCTGTCTGAGCCGACGCTGGGAGATTATTTGGGATTCGAGCGGTCCCTGGCCAGACCGCACACAGCATGAGATAAAGACATCTGTTTGGTCGAGGGCACTGTTGTTAGCCTTTTTTTTTTCTATATCCAAGGACCAAGGGTTGTTTTGACAGTTAGCTCAGGGACAAACTCACTGTCCTCCAATCCAGCCCTGGACCGAGTACCAGATAATGGCCAAGACAATACGATTGAGCACTGGCCAAATCGACCCATAGATGCCGAAAGAAGAGCGAATCGCCACGGGAAACGAAATGTGGTACATGGCCCCCATTCGGCCTCCGAGTGAGACGAAAATACCCGTCAGGATATACCCTGCCCAGATACAAAGCCAGCCTTGCCACCAGGCGAGACCGGCGGCGACGTAGCTCCCGGCAAGCTGCCACGTATTGACATTGAACGAGGCTGTGAGAAATTCCAGTCAGCAAAAACCAACACAAAATCGCGCCCCATGGAATCGACGTTGTAGAACACGGCTCGATATATACCTACCCGAGATCCAGAGATTCATGAAGTTGTACCAACCCCATGTCCGTCGTGCCGGCTCAACTGGAGCTAGGTCAGGACTCCAAAGATATTTACTCCGTTGCGCGCCCTCAGCGTTGTTGTCATAGTACTCGTGCTTGATCTGGCACTTCTCTGCCAACTGGGCTGTGCGCTCTCTGAGAGTCATGGTCGTGGATCTTGTTTGGCCTTGTCGATCAAAAAATTCCAACGCCAGAAAAAGTTCGCAATTCTTTTGCAATTTCGATGTGTAAAAAGAATTGACGAATTTGAACTTGTTTTCTAGTACGCACACCTGCCGATGCTCGTCACGGCGATGAGAATGCCCTCTTATCCAATACTACCGGGACCGGCATCAAAGATATACAGGTCCGTTAATGCAACAGCGCCCCGTTCCAGATCAGAACATTCATACATGGTATCTATGATAAGAGATGTTTTTGATAGGATAGTGGGGATTAAGATCTAGAGCGTACGTCCCTTATCAAACTTCGACTTTATCGTATTATCATGCTTTAGGTATACTCTTCGTGTCTTGGTACTTTATCCCGCTTTTTGCGTTCCTCTCCGGAACTCAATTGAAATCTCTCTCTTTCTCCAAGAATCACTTCTCGCCCAACTAAACCCAGTTCCGGAGTTTTGCCTCGATCCCCGCCAGCAGCTACAGTACTGGTGCTTGCCGAAACTCAGTGCAGGGAGGCTTTGTATGGGAGATTTTTGTATACCACGTAGTTCTGATGACCTAAAGATCGACCATGGTAGGCTGTTTTAGACCTTGTGATGTTTAGAACACTTAGTATCTGAATTGACTCAATTTAACCCATATTCCATCGTTGCAATACAACCACAAGCTAGTTGGCGGCTCCAGGTGGCCTTTGCGTCTCTCATAACAGCGCGAGACCAAGGTCAGCTATATATTCATAATTCCATCTTCAAAGCAGATTGCCCAATATGGTTTCAGACGAACAAAAAGAAGACCTTGTGGGCCTAAAGTTGCCGTTTGAGACTGAAAGATTGCTTCAAGTACGGACGGGAAAGATCAAACCACTTTACCACCTCCCAGTACAGTCGGCAATCTACAAGAATCCTCATACTCAGCCTGTCAAAGTCACAAAACTTGGTTGCGAGGGAGATGAGCACGCATACGAGTTCCACGGAGGGCCGGACAAGGCGCTGCTTCACTATTGCGCAAGACACTATGAGACGTGGAAAGCAGAGTGTCCAGGGAGTGAGAAGCATTTCACGGTCGGCGGATTCGGGGAGAACCTGGTCAGTACCTCAGCTAATGAACAGAATATCTGCATTGGAGACATCCTCACGATTGGTCCAGAAGTCACGGTGCAGGTCAGTCTTCCACGACAACCCTGTTTCAAACTCAACCACCGCTTCCAAGTCAAGGATATGGCGTGGCAGTCTCAGATGAAGAGCCGGACAGGCTGGTACTATCGGGTCTTGAAGGAGGGCTACATTTCCCCTGGCGACGAAATCAAACTTGTCGAGAGACTGAACCCGAAGTGGACGGTGGCCGCCGTTCAACACTACTTGTACCGGGAAATGAAAAACTTTGAGGTCATGGCCGAATTGGTGAATCTTCCAGGCCTCGGTTCAGAATCCCTCACAATCTTCGAGAACAGGCTGAAAAAGAATTTTGAGAATCAGGACGAACGAATGTTCGGTGACGACTCGGTCGCTCTGGAGACCTGGTCGGACTACAAGCTTGTGCAGAAGCTTCGACAGACCCCTCGAATCTGTTCGTTCGTTTTCGAGGTAGTCGGAGAGCAGTCTCAAACGACGAGTCCCAAAGTTGAACCGGGATCTCATGTGCGCTTGAAGTTGGGAGACAAGGGTGACCTGATCCGAGCATACTCCGTTGTTGGTGGCACCAAGGACCGCTTCGAGCTGGGCGTGGCTCTTGCAGACGAGTCCCATGGAGGATCTCTATATCTGCATAAAAATGCCAAAGTGGGAGAGGTATTCTCAGTCGGGAAAATTACCACCAGCTTTCCCCTTGCGCCAGAGGCGGACGAACATATTTTGATCGCTGGTGGAATCGGAATCACAGCCTTCCTTCCCACGGCGGAAAAATTGAAGGAATCGGGGGAGAATTTCACGTTGCATCTGGCCGTCCACTCTACCTATGAGGTACCCTTCAGGGAGAGACTATCGAAGCTAGGCAAGAGCCTCGTAATCTATGACAAAGAAAGGGGACGGCGGCTGGACCTCGCCCGTATCATGTCCAAAGTGACCACCAACACACACGTGTATTGCTGCGGGTCTCCCAGATTGATGGACGACGTTGCCGCAACGGCGAAGCGATATGGGCTGGCAGAAGAACAGATCCACTTTGAGGCTTTCGCAATCACGACCTCAGGCGATCCTTTCACCGCGGCGCTCCTGACGAGCCAAAAGACAATCCAAGTGCCGGCAACACGGAGCCTTCTGGAAGCATTGAGGGAGGCGGGCATCGATGTACCGTCGTCGTGTGAAGCTGGAAGCTGTGGCACTTGTCGTGTCCAAGTTGCAAAGGGACGCATTGACCACCGTGGAACCGGTTTGTTGGAATCGGATAAGGCCTCAGCAATGCTAGCCTGCTCTTCTAGAGGCATTGGACATATAGAACTAGAGCTTTAACAGTGGGTAGGCAACTGACGGACTACTACTGACTACCAACACCCGACGGATTTCTCCCCAATACACCACTGGTTCTAGGGAGATACCGCTTGCAATACACTATGGTCTTTCGGGAGGGACAATTGTGGAGACGAGATATCGAGGAAGTGGGGCGATAAAGGGGGTACAGATAGCGGGCCCTGCCAGGTCAGTTACACAACAATATCTCCAAAGCGGCAAGCACTTATCCGGTCACGCGACTGAAAGCTGGCCATGCGTGCCATGCCATTGATCTCTGTGTTGCTCTGTGTGATACAAATAGTTGTGTTACGACCTAGTGAGGGTCTAGAAAATCGCAATTCGTTTTCGAGTGATTGTTGGTATATCTCTATCGTGGAACAAAGCTCGCCGTCAATTCCCCCACCAGTACGTTCCCTCCACGCTCAGGGAGTCTTGAATCGACCCAAACTTGAACTCACCTTGGGTCCTTTCCTCATCACCAACGTTCAGTTGAAGAAAGAGGAAAAAACAAGAAATGGGCAGCCTCCAGGAGCCGCTCCTCGGCGAAACCCTTCTCCAGACAGCGAAGAGGCTTGAGGCAGCAGATTTCAAAGAAGTCCCCGTCGTTGACCTGGCCGGTCTGTCCAGCGGGGAAATCACCGACCGGATCGCTGTGGCGCGAGAGGTCCGTGATGCTTGTATTCGCGTCGGCTTTTTCTACGTCAAGAATCATGGTGTGCCTCAGGAAGTGATTGATCGCGTGTTTGAGGTGTCGAAGAAATTTTTCTCCCTGCCGGCCGAGGATAAGATGGAGGTGTATGTGACCAAGAACGAGAGCTTCAAGGGGTATGAAGACATTCATTATGGAGCGGTGGATCCGCAGACAAAAGGAGGTGAGGTTTTTTCTCCTTCTCTCCTTCGATTTTTCTTTCCAAACACTTTGTTTTTTCACTTGATATCATGCAATCATTGGACTAAAATTCATGCGTGCAGATATGAAGGAAGCCTTCAACTTCGGCTACGAGCCCGCAGCCGACCCCAAGACTCCCCTCTCCGAGCCATGGCCATTGTATGAGGGTCTCAAGGGTCCCAATGTCTGGCCTCGAAACTTCCCTGAGCAATGGAAACAAGACTTGTTCGCCTACTACGGCGAGGTGTTGAATCTGGGTCGACGGATGATCCGAGCCTTTGCCCTTGTGCTCGACCTCCCCGAAGATTATTTTGATGATCTCCTGGTTCGACCGGGTGCGATCATGCGGCTACTCAGATATCCGGCGTCAATACTCGACCCTGACCATCCCGGGATCGGGGCACACAGGGATTATGAATGTAGGTAATACATTTGCTACCTGCTACCTGCTATTTGCTACCGAACCAACACTAACTCTTGTTTCCGGCCGCAGGCTTTACGATTCTCTGTCAAGACGAGACCAATGGTTTACAGGTGCAGACTAAAAAGGGTGAATGGATCGAAGTGACTCCGATCCCTGGTACCTTTGTGGTAAACATTGGCGATTTTCTCTCTCGCTGGACCAACGATGTCTTTCGCTCAACCTTGCACCGAGTCTACAACGTCTCCGGCCGCGAGCGTTACTCCTTTCCGCTGTTCATTGGGCCAAACTACACCACCAAAATCCAGGCCATTCATACTTGTGTCAATGAAGACCGGCCTGCGAAGCATGAGCCTTTTGTCGCTGGCGAGGTAAGCTATATATCTCTTACTCAACCATACTGCCCCCCCAGACGTGCGCGCGAACAGAAGCTCTCTGCATGCACAAAACTCAGAGTTACTGACATGTTCTGTTTTGAAATCTCTTCTAGTACATTTCCAACAGGCTCTACGGTGCGAAACGAAAGCCTCTTCCCACTCCCCTCGAGAGTTCCGCGTGAGGGACCATTTACTGGGTGACACCTTTAGGGAGGAAAGGGGGGGCCCCAGTATAGGTTGACAAACCGATTGAGCCCTTGACACCTTGGCTGGGGGTCATTTCTGAAGTGTAGTTCCGTTGAAGGATCAATAAACTCACCAGTATCTTCTAGGATAGATTCTATCAATAAATAGCCCACAGCGTAAGCCCCCAATTGAGGGGAGATTCTTGATCCTCAAAATCGTGGTACACCATGGGGTACCCACAATGGACGCTTCTTGAGTGTTTTCCCATACAATCCTTTTCCGCTAGAGCCTCGTCAACGTTCACGGTGGCTCCCTCCTTAAAGTATTACTAATCTAGCGGCCTCCAAAACGCCAACCCCAAACTGGTGCTGGGCTGGTAGTGTCGCATGGGAGTGGTGGAATAGGAACGTATGTACCCTCGACAAGTGCCGATATATGCCCAGCTATAAAGCACCTTGATGAGTTCACAGCATTGGAAGACAGTACCAATTCCACTATTTAAAGCCCATTCTGTTCATCTAACAACACATCCTGATGTGTCTCTTTCCGCGGAGTGATACGGGTCTGAACGAAGTGGCGATTCCTGTGAAAGTTTGGCAAGAGTTTCTGCAACTAGATAGCCAACCTAGTAACAAGGAGGTACATACAGACCTGAAGAGAGAAAAGAAGAAGAAAAGAAAGAACCACCCATTCTCCTCATGTCGTACGCTTTGCCGCTGTGGCGGTTGTCGCGTCGCAATAGTAAGCCTTCCGAAAGGGGGTTTCCCGCGTGCCCCACAAATGGACATTGCTTGTAAACTATGGAGACCTGCTCCTGCAATGTAGTCGGAAGACTGTTAGTGGGCGGAGCGAATCCGCAAGTCGTGAAATCTCAAGTGTTGGACGTCGTGGATTCAGCCGCCGCCTCCTGTGGCTCGCCTTTCTGCGAATCCTGCACCGTCGTGTCGGGGTCGCGGGATTGCCGCTGGTATTGCATGGTTGCTCGTTTGGGGTATGTTTGAAGCCCAGCAGGGCGACCGACGATCTTGCCAGCCTGAGTTCTGCTGCGCAAGTAATGCTCTTCGATTTCGGCCTCTCTGTCGTTGGCGACACCGCTGGTGATACAGCAACGGCACATCCAGCTTAAGGGAAAGCCGTTGTCGCTCACGTAATGGGAGGCTGTGTAACTGTGTGTCTGCTTCATGGTGAGAGCAAGTTTTGAGGAATTGGAAATGCTGCCCGGTGGAGGAGGATTGCGGGTGAGTTGAGAAGGACTGTCCGCGAGTCAGTCATTTCAACAACACGAGATGTTGAGGCTGAAACGTGATTAGTGGGATTTACCGGTATAATGTGTGTACAGGATGACACTCCTGGCCACTGATTGGCTGCATCTCTGACACTAGGTCTGAGATTCCTTTTTCTTTGATCCTTCAACAGGACAAGAGACACAAGGATACAGGAGACAGTGATCGGTCAAGTTAGGAATCTATCTTATCAAGACTCTCTACGCTGTTTCGTCATTGTTGTGTGGTAGCCTTTACCCTAACACTATGCCCACCGCCGTACGAGTGGATGTCTCGGGCTAAGAGCCTCGCCCCAGTCCAATAGACAAAGCACTTGACGGCATTGCGGTAATAGCGAAACATCGAGTTGATGGACTTCCAAGTATTGCGTATTGTTCGCTTTATTTATGCAGCATATATCCACCCAGAAGTAATTGACATTGTCCTTCTTCGCATAGCCAGCCTTACTCGTGAACGATTTGTGTTCAAGGTTGTCGAAATCGACCTCGTGCTTATCGTCCCCCTTATATATGCGAGAGGATCGCGTAGGCGGGAATGCCTTCGTGAAGATCCTCAGTCAGGCTGAGTTCGCCCTGATCGTCGAATTTCGCAAGGTGCATCGTGTTGGGTGGATACGGGCGCCACGTGGTGAGCATATGTGCGATCTGGTAGGCAGACCCTACTTCTCATGGCCCAATAAAGCTTGAGTGCCCGGTGTGACCCGCCAGGGGATACTACTCTAGTAAACTGAGCGGGTGAAGAGAGGCAGTCGTGGTGGTTGCAATGAAGGCGAGGTGAGTCGTGTGTGACGGGGTTTTAAAAGCGGCACGGTCGGGGTGAGCTGCATGCGAGTAGCCCGCAGTTTTCCGTCCTTTATTCCCGCCAAGATGTGCCGCTTCATGATTCGTTCAACCCGCAATTGACGATCCCCCCGGTTTGTGATGATTTGCTCCCTTTTGCGACTTGCATCCTGCGACCTGCGCCCTGCACATGCGTGGCTTCAATTGTTCATTCATATCAATCACCACAAGTTCGCCCGTGCCTACAGGTTTTATTCCGCTGCAGACTTTTTTCTTGTCCGGCTTGTACAGTCTTTTCTCTTTGCGACTCATTCTCTTTTCCCCCTGTGATATTGCTTAGTCCGCCGACATCATGGCCGCCGCCGAGGGAATCCCCGAGAAGAAGGTCAAGTTGGAGCGTAAGTCACTCTCTGTCTCTCCTGCGCTGAAATGCCCCTGACCTGCGTCTTCCCCGACCACGATCACACGCTAACATGTATATGTGACCTGCCGGACGCAGCCCAGATCAAATCTGTCGATATGGTAAGAACGGCGCCCCTCGTCACCGCCGGCCAAACAAAACATGGACGTGGACTGGACAAGTGTCATTGACGGATCATCTCAAGAGCGAGGACATGCAACAAGAAGCAATTGAAGTTGGTATGGAAACTGCGCCCCCTGGTGAACATCAAGAGAGCGAGAGCGACAAAAAGAGAGAGAGAGACACGGAATTGTTGACTGTCGTGTACAGCCCAGGAGGCAATGGAGAAATTCAGCGTCGAAAAGGTAATAAATACTCGCGAACCTGCCATTGAACATGAGGGGTGCCAATGCTCACAAAAGGCGATAGGACATTGCTCAACACATTAAACGAGAGGTACGCGCACAGCCCAGCCTGATGACTTGGACATCCCATCGACACGATTTCTGAAACCCCTTCCTCGCGCAGTTCGACTCGAAAAAGGGCGCCACATGGCATTGCATAGTCGGTCGCAACTTTGGGAGTTTTGTCACACACGGTATGTCCTTCACCACTCAGGACCCGTGACTGTGACCGTGACTGATTGAGGATTGACAGAGACCAAACACTTCATCTACTTCTACCTGGGCCACGTCGCCATACTGCTGTTCAAGACGCAATAGATTGCAAGAAATCGCATCTTTCTGCACATGAATGCAATGGGGCGTTACAGGAGGGGAGACAAAAGTCCTCAATGGCATTCCACCGAAAAGAAGAGGCTTCGCTTGTGCTTCGCTTGCTTGCTTGCTTGAAGCGTCAGCTTCTACAAAAGATTGATGAAGGGTGAGATGGGTGATGGGGGTGTAGATATGGGTTCTGGGAAAGAGCGTGGGAGCTAGAGCCGGAGTGATGGTTCGACATGCTTGTACTCGGTAGAGCCAGAGCAGAGCGGAGCAGAGAAGAGCATGTTGTATATAACACTGGGAAGAAGAACCGGGCAGCCAGCTGCCAGCAGATTCGGGACGTTCCTTTCCTCATGCTCATGTCGATGCCGATGCGGACGCGGACAAGTGCACAACAGTACCTCGTAAATAAGTGGCAATCCGAGACTTGGATCCCCTTTGACAGGTACAGGTACAGGTACTGGTACACTCTTGAGTTTGCGACGTTCAACAGCCAGATGATGGGTTTCTTGTCCATTTTCCCGATGGCCTTTTGCTCTTGCTCTACCTCATACTCTTACTTTTGCTCCTACTTTTGCTCCTCCTTAGGATGAGGGAGGTCAATGCACGTGTGGACAGACACGACCACGACGTAATTAATTACCAGCTTGAAGTTGAGGGTCAACATATTAGCCCTTTCGACGCCGCAAGTGTCTCTGTGATCTTGATGTCAATCCCTACCAACTCGATCATCTTGTATTGTCTACTCGGTATCTAGCATTCGACCGGGAAACTATCGCTATCGATATCGCTATCGCTCGAGGTGGTCTTCCTTTCTCGTCGACGGTGTTCACAAACACAAGTACAAAGACACGTACTGTAGACTGGGCTAGGCGTGCCATGCTGTGCTTTGCTTCGCCCTGGATCTAAACCTCGGGTTCATATCAATACTCAAACCCTCTTGATAAACAAGTCCTTCTCGACGCGTTGATTAGGTACATAGGTAGGCAAGTAGGCCAGCAGGTTGGACGGAGAGTGTGACAATTACATAAGAAGAGCGAAGCTGCCGATCAGGAAGGAGGTTATTGGATCTTCTTTGGGCTTGGGGCTGATCTGCTTACATTATTCGTACAATACGAGAACGAGGCAGAATCCCCTCTCCCCTGTTTGCTTACTTTCGCTTAACATTTTCTTCTGCTCACAATTAATACCTCGTAATTCTAAAGGAGAAAAGGGCGGCAGGCACCTGAGCTCATGCAACCGGGTCTTTGATGATATGATATGTATGTATTTGCTGATATCAGGTACAAGTGTTGAAATCTCCCTCCCATATGTGTATTTAGGAGCTTGGGGACCTCTTCTATGCGCTTTTCCACTTTTTCCACCTTTCCTCTATGGGATGGGCCATGACGCCTGCTGGCCGGCTGACCGACCGACCGGCCGAACAATTTACAAAAGACAAGAAAAAGAAACGAAACGAAATGAAATTATTGACTCTCGAAGAGACTTGACCGGGTAGACAAGACAAGACAAGACAAGACAAGACAGGACAAGACAGGACAGAGAGGGGCTCAATCATAGCACCAGCTTGTCCCGGCTCCTTATCTGCTTGCCGTACCGCTCCAGGACCAGTGGAATGGGGATACAAGCCAGTGCGACGAAGCCCAGCAGAGAATTGCCCCAGCCCAGCCCGAGGGCGTCGTACATGGGCGGTCCGGCGAGAGGTAGCAAGGCCCCGACGAGGGACCGCGTCGCCGTCAGAATGGCAATCGCCGACGCGGCGTACGTGGGGTAGCAGTCGATCAGGTACGTCTGGATGGGGAGGAAGACGCCCATCATGCCGAAGCTGAAGGGGATCATGCCGATGATGGGGACGATCCAGTGGACCTTCTTGTCGGCCGCCCAGCCGTACCAGAAGAAGCTGACGGGGATGAAGCAGGCGAAGATGATCATGAGCGGCATCCTCATCTCGGGCTCGAACTGGCCGTTGTTGCGCTTCGTCAGCTTGATCACCATGCGGTCCGACGTGGCGGCGATGACTCCGGCGCCGAGGAAAAACCCGATCCCGATGCCCAGGTAGGCGAGGCCGGTGATCTGGGGCGAGAAGCCGTACTGTTGCTCGAAGACAAACGTGATGGTGGTGAAGAGGAGGTAGAGCAGGCCGTACACCAACGACATGTACCCCGACAGGACCATGACGATGGGGTACTTGATCAGCATCTGCAGGGGCCGGCGCATCCCGTCCATCAGAGTTCGTTTGGCACCGACGGGGCCTTTCTCCCGGTCGAACCAGCTGATCAGGTCGCTGCGGCCGAGCGTTTTGGCGAGCCGTTGCGTCTTCCATCGGATGAGGACGCGCGCGTAGGTTTCCTTGTTGAGCAGCTCGATGCCGATGGTGGTCGAGGCGCTGGCGATGAGAAGGATCCAAAACACCCACCTCCATCCGATCTGTTGGGCCACGAAGCCTCCACAGATCGGTCCGAGCACGGGGCCGAACAGAGGGCCCAGACTCCAGATGGACGTGGCGAGGCCGCGCTCCTCGACGACAAAGAGATCGGCGATGACGCCGGCGCCCAGCGTGAGGCATCCCGAACCGCCGATCCCCGCGAGGAAGCGGAAGGCGATCAACCCGCCCACGTTGGGCGCCAGAGCACACCCGATCTGCCAGACGACGAAGAAGATATTGGCGCCGCAGAGGACGATGCGACGGCCGTAGATCTCGCTCAACGGGGCCAAGACCAACGGACCAAACTGTTTGTGGTGTGTCAGTGTCAGTGTGCCAGTGCCAGATCATGCTTTCTCGGGGACGAAAGGAGGAAGAAAACTTACCACATACCCCAAGAGATAGACGCTCACGGTAAAAGAGAGCACCAGCTCCTGGTGGACACCAAAATCCTGACCCAAAAATCCGACGGCGGGGGCGAACATGCTCGAGGCCAGGGGTGAGACGAACGTGATGGCCGACACCAGACCCAACAGAGCCCATTTCCGGGGACGGGGGAAATTCAGAGGGTTCTCCGGGTCGTCGGGCCCGTCCCAGCCCACGATGCCGTGAGCCAGATCCGTCAGTGGTTGATGGTGGTGTTGGTGTTGGTGAGGATGGTCGCTGGCCATGCTTCGTCTGCTAAAGACCCGTTCTATGACGACGGGTGGTTCTTCTTCATCCCCGGAATCGTCGTCGTTTTCTGCATCACCCCCTAAGCGTTCGACCTTGACGCTGTCCTGGCTGTGTTTCTCTTTGAGGTGGCCGTTCCCCTGTGGAATAATGTCCTGGCCATCCTTCTCTTCGGCAATCGAGTCGTCCCTGTCCATCTTCTTTTCGTCCAACGGCGTGGCAACCATGTCGAATTGATTTTTCTTGACTGATGATCGATCAAGACGCGAGAAACAACAAAAACAACGAGAAAGAAGAGTACGAGGTAGAAGTGCGGCATTCAAACGCGGTTACTTTTGGGATGGTGGACAGTAGGGGGGACATGTGGGCCAGTCGGATCACAAAGGCCGAGCCACAGCAGTTGAGGTCGTGCACTAAGAGATATGCTTCCAGATATGCTTGAACATAATAAAGATCATAATTACCCGTCGACGCCATGTGGCAATTTCACTTTTCCACCGGAACGAATCTGTTGGGGTCACAAAAGCTATAAAGCTGATATAAATCAAACTTACATTTCATTTTCCTGGGTCATTTGGGTCATTAATTCGTCATGAACATCAATGCGCTCGTCAACACCAAGAACGCTGTTTCGCAACACATTTCCCTCAGATCCTTCCATCCAAGTTATATTCATGAACCCTTCCATTCGTTATTCGTAATGAGGCCCGTTGTTGGAATGTGATGACATAGAACGCGGTTGTTGTCGCCAGAACATTCCTAATCGACCTGCATAACTGAGATCCATCAGCTGCCCGTGAGGACAAAGACTTCCTCGGTGTGGAAGTTGACATCAGGCTTCTCTCTCAACACCTGGTTCCGAAACAGGTAGAAAGGAAAGTTGCGAAACCTGCGCATGAGTTGCAGTTCCGTGGCACGGTTTGGCTCCTTGCGAACACGCACCCACACCTCACCTCCGCATCTTCCAATCCAATATTGCTCCTTGTGCTCCAACTGCCACCCGGATAGATTGGCCGGAGTCTGAATGGCTGGCAAGAGGCTTGGAAGCGCTGGACATACTGACGTCGACAGGACCGTCCCTCCCTGATGCCAGAGCAGCTCCCGCTTCTTCTGACATTTGTGTTCCGAAGTCTCCAGACACAGAGAAGTTACAATTGCAAAAGTCGCGCAGCATTCCGAATCCTTCAACATACGGTACCACAGCTGCGAGTTGACAGGAGAGATTTTGATCCCTAGATATGGGTTTGACTCTTCGGGCCATAGGACTCCAAAGTTGTTGCCACTCGTGTCGAACCCGGTATGCTCGAATAGCTTGAGCAACTTGCTAAACACTGACCTCAGGCAAACCCTCTCATCGTCCTTGAGTCCGTCGCACCACTGAAGAAAATCGTTGGATCTTAGACCTGTTAATGCCGTGGGCTTCAATGCTGTCCACCCATCCACATGGAGACTGTCGATGAATCGGATGACCGGTTCCTCGATCAAGTCTCGTAGGCGCACCCTGCGAGCGACTCCTGTACAGAGGCTGAGCTGGAGGCCCCATGGCAAGTCGAAAAGCCGAATGTCCTCGAAAGCGTTCCAGCGATCGAGGAGCTCCTTTTTCAGAGTTCTTCCGGCAAGTTTCTGGTACGTAAGACCCACCTGAGCGACCGCAAAGTTCCCTCCTTGCAAGATCAGAGGAATCTCATGCGGAATCCAAGTGTCTCGAGCCGTTCCTAGATCTTGCAGGAATTTTTCAGAGCGCCTGCGGCTCCTTTGCGCATCAAGAGGACAAGCTGGGTTGACAGTGACGGCCCCAACAAGGATAGTCTCCTGGTAACTAAATGGTTCAGGCTCTGCTCCTAGACCTTCGTCATCATGATACCAGTGAAAGAGGTCAAGTCCTGTGGGTAGAGAATGGCTGGATTTGATGAGACCTCCTCCGATCATGAGGCCATAGATTTCCATCGAGTCTGACGACTCAGGGGATCTGATGACATGAGCTGGCCCCCAAGTATCCACGATCTCGGCACATGTTGCGTATAAATATGCCGGCGATGTCGAGGCCGACGGAGTGGCCTGCAACCTTGACGCAATCTTAAAGACAAGAACATCTCCGCCTATCATCGGACGCATGCAAGCCAAGGGCCGCAGCTCGGCAAAAATGGATATACCACCCACCAAGCTTCCTTGGAGCCTGATCTTCGTCAATGGCTGCTTGAGGAACATCGGGTGGAGCTCTCCGGTATGACCTTGAGCGTAGGACAGAAGCGCCAAACTGAGCATCTGCACGACCAGGGAGCAAGTGTGGAGTTTCTGACCGGCTGTTCTGATGTTGGGATATTGTCCACCTAGACAGCCTCTCAACACATCGACACATGTGGAAGTAGCATTGCCTAGGCCAATACTAGCCTTCTCAAGCTCCGAATCATTCATGTCTGCCATAGAGGTCATCAGGCTTTTCAAGGTCTCAAATGAGACTGTGGCCATTCTAATCACAGAGTTCCCAAGCGTATCTTCGACAGAGAAGTCGCTCTCGCAAAGGATTGTGAATGAATTGCAGCAGAACCCAGCACTTTGCAGGAGGTTTGCCGCTGTGCGCAATCTTTCGACAGCCCTGGATAGGTGGGCTGTGAGTTGTGGATACGACCACGGATGATCTGTTTGCCCTTTTAGACGTATGATGTTACGTCTTAAACGATAATCCAGAAGCCCTACTTGTTTCCTGAACCAGTGGGTGTAATCCATCGAGTCTGCGTTCGAATGCTTGCGACTCGTCTCAGCCCATTCGTAGCTGCGGGCGTAGACAATCGTGGCCTCGTTTCCCTCGAACTCGACTTGGCCAAAAGCCTCATTGGCGTCCTCGAGTGGGCGACCCGGGTGCTTTGGCGGCGCCTGCAAATTGCGGACGATGTGGTTGGGCGGACAATCCAAATACCTCGAGGGAGGCAGCACTCCTGCAAGCCCACAACACGCGGCAATGACCCTTTGCACCAGTTCCCGTCTCATGTGGAAAGTAGCCGGATTAGCCAATTGGTCATAGGCAAATCCACCACCGGAACTCTCCTTGTGAGCGCAAGACACATGGTGGAAGTCGACCCTTTCCTTCGCATCAATGGAAACGAGTTCCATCGTCTCGGTGTCGGGCAACCCATATTTGATCCACGGCTCGGGTGATTCAGTTTCAAGAAGCAGCGCCAGGCTATCGTCGGGCTCAAATCTGGCGTCTATAAGTGCTCCGATCCATTCAAACTTCTCTTCCGCGACCCAATCCGAGTACTGAGCTAGCAGGAATTTAGAAATGTCAGTATGTCCATAAGATAATGCTGTCTGCAGAGCAGTCGCCCCAGAGGAATCGGGAGTTCCCCATTCATGCAGCAGTAATTGGATAATCGCCTGATGTCCAGCTCGGATCGCGGTCAGCATGAGTAGCTCTTTGTCGTGATCGCTGAGGGATGTCGTGTTAGCTTTGTGGGCTTCAAGGAAAACCTCGACAATCTCTGCGTGTCCGTTCTCAACAGCCAGCAATAGCGGTGTGCGACCACGATAGTCTTCAAGGTGCGGGTTGGCCTTCCCTTCCAACACAAGAAGTTTCGCTATGTTGTAGTGGCCATATTCCACTGCCCACGAGAGCGGTGACTGTCCCAGTCTGTCAACCGAGTCCACTTTGGCTCCATTAAAGATGAGCAATCGAGCTGTTGCTTCGTGTCCCTTACTGGCTGCCCACGACAAAGGTGTTCTCCCGTCCAGATCCCGAGACTCGGCAACAGTACTGTCGTGGTCGAGAAGTAACTTGACCACATTCTGATTGCCACAGTCGGCAGCCCTCGACAGTGCAGTCCGCCCATAGCGATCTTGTGCATTGAAATCAATATCAGGTCGCATTAGCAGGAGCGTGGCTACCTGAGAATCGAAGTTCTCAACCGCAAACGACAGGGGAGTGCGGCCGTTTTCATCACTCAAATTTGCATTGATATCGTCCTGTTCCAGTAACTGCACCACAATATCACGCCGTCCCGTCTGAGCCGCCCATGATAGAGCCGACCGCCCTCCTGGGTCCGTAGAGTTGACTCGGCGGTTTTCCTGACGGAGCACCACTCTGAAAAGCTCGTCACTCTGCTGAGCTGCCCACCACAAGGGAGCACTTCGAGGGTCCAGGTTCGTGCTACGTTCGAGCAATTCTGGTACCATTTCGGCAGTGATAGAACTTACAGCTCGCTGCAACGTGGCGCTACCATGTAGGCCGTCTAATGCGAGGTACACCCCTTTCGCAAGTAGCACCTGCCACACACGCTCAACCTCTGAATATTTTTTGAGTCTTTCGATGATGAGATAGAGGAGGGCGCCGTGTCCGTTTTCGACCGTCCATTCAAGAAGGCTTTCGTCTAGACCTAGACGAGACCACACTTCTGGTGCGAAAGGTAGTGTGACTCCCTGGGTGTGGTCATATATTAGTTGTAACCACAAGGGGTACGAGACTTGCTTTTCTTCGAAGCTTTTTGTGTGAAACAACCAGAATTCCCTTGCATAAGGAAAAAACGCATGCGTCCACAGTTCTCGCTCAGGAATTGCATACCCATATGCTCTTTCAAGGTAAGGCTCCGCATCGAAGTCTGGCTTCCTGTTAGGTTTCAAAAGTGTCTGCGAATGTTTGGCGGCTGTTGTAGAGGGTAGGGCACGGTGGACAATAGTAGAAGCCGTTGCAGATGGCTTTATCCACCCACGACTATCGCTCGTGGCTTCCCCAGTCTGAAAGAAAGATGAGTTGAGATAGGTGACGCAGATCTCACCCATGGTGACATCCGCTTCATGCAAATCTACATGGAAATAGTTCGTCATTGCGTCTTCGGAAGTGGAGGTAAGATACTGTCGAACACTAGGATGAGCAAATCGAACAGTGTCATCTTCCTCGTCAACAACGAGCAGTCCTCCGCATTTATCCAAGACACTTCTCATGTCGCTCGGCAATCCCGGACCCCGCGTGTCTCCCGGCAAGATGCTCACAGCCTCGCGGAGTTCCTGGACTGTCAGAGGCCGCTGAGCTGCTGCAACAAGGGTGAAGGTTTTCCGTGCAATCTGGACGAATTCGCTACCCTTTTCAGATAGCTTTTGCAAAATGCGTTCAAAGGTACATGGTAAATCTTTCGGTAGCGACTGAAGAGCAGTCAGAATTCCCTGATCCGACGCCTCGGCGCATATAGAGTCGAGCTGTAGGGCAGTCCAAAGAAACCTGTTATGATCAGCACAATCTTATATGTATGGAACTAGACACCCACATTCCCTTGCTTCCTTCGAGTAGAGCCTTCCTAATCTTTAGGATAATGCTCGGGTCATCCAAAGCGAGGTTACCTAATTCAAGACGTTCTTCCAACGCGTTGTCAATATAGCTGTCGATTTCGTGCTTTGGATAAAATAGCGAAAGCTCGTGTTGCGGTTGAAGTATAGCCCGATATCTGCATTTCGTATCGGGCCGACTTGAGCAGAATATGCGGAAGGGATGTATTGAGTGGAGCAATGTGTGGAGGCTTCGTAAAAGCCTACATAATTCCCTTTCGGCACAGTCGTCTATTCCATCGACGACAGCAAAATATGTGCAACTCGTGGATGCGAGCAGGAGGACCAGGTTCGAAATAATCTCGTCCTCATCCAATGTCTTCGAACCATCAATCTCAATCGAATCAAAGGCCTTTAGGCGTGTCTCTCTCAGAAGCTGCCTTGCGAGGCTACCAAGTATGGTCCTAGCCTTCAGCGAATTTGCGTCGTCGTAGCTGCAGAAGAAGAAGCCAATAATAATAGCTTCAGGATTGTCGATATGCAATTGTCGCACTATATTTGCAGTGGATACCGTTTTGCCTGATCCGAGCCCGCCAGTGCACCACAGCACGGTCGACGACGATTCTTGAGTCCACTGCTCATAAGCAGGTTCGTCGAAGATCCAAGAGCATTTCCCCAATTTTTGTGCTCGCTTCCATGACTTATATTGGTCGAAGGTTGAACAAGCATCAAGAAATCGCAGCTTTTTCTGGCGCAAAACCTGCAGGTCTGAAAAAGGATTTCGAAAACCCCAGGCCGTCTTGCTTTCATCCCGTAGCTCTTTCTGAGTTTCCAGGGAGGCTGCCTCCCCATACGAACCCGCCAAATTTGCGATTTGGGCTTCCAGAGGGCCAAACTGGGCTTGAAAACTGTTGAGAATGGTTGATGTCAATTGAGCAATGGGAGGTTTTCGGAGGAAGAGAACGGCCTTTGTGCACAAATTAACGATTGCGCAGAAGTACTCAGAAAGTGCATCTTGTATTGGGGGGGACCTTGAATCTAGCAGACCGTATTCCTGGTATCGGGGGCAGTGTATTCCAATCCTCATGAACAGGGCAGATAATCTATCGAAATACGCTCCAAATGTTGACGTGATTAGCAAAGTCGTCCTTAAGACGCTCCAGACAGCGCTTGCAAGTGTATACCGGGAGCTGCGAACAACAGCGTCGTCTATCGTCGAGACCTGTTGGACCGACTCTAGAATGCTAATGAGGCGGGGACCGAAGCAACGGCGACTTTGTATATTGCGGTCAACAGCAGCAGTGGTTTCCATCACATCAGATAGACCGGGCGGCCTGTCTGAACGCAGTGAGTAGAAGACTGCCTTTTCGCTGGCCTGCAGAATAGCTTCATACTCGCAGACCGCTTGAGCCAGTCTGGTCTCTGGCTTGAGGGGACGAAAGAAGCGGCTGGTCAACGACATGTTGTCAAAACTTTGCTGCTGGCGTCAAGGAGTTGAGGGAATATAGCATCAGAATCTCGAGTATCGTGGAATAGTCTAGAGAAGATTGCAATTATCTGGCCAGGGGAGAGTTGTGAAGATGAGGCTGCTGGGCAGGCAGGCGGCAGGGCTGCGACCCCAGCGGCGTTCGGGGTGCTCACAGGATTGATGAAGGGGGATGTACAGCTTTTGTTGCAATCAAACTTTGCTGAAGAGGCAGAACAAAAACAAGCATAGCGTGCATGGTTGATGATTAGGAAGGAAGAGGTGTTGGTTCGAAATCCAGCCTGATGCCAGCTGGATCTTCTGTAACCAGCCAGCCAGGCTTCATTTCGAGCGGCAAGGGTCTATTGCTATTTTAGGACTAGCCCACAAGCTGCTTTGCTCTACTTACCCTCCACGTGACTAATGATACTGGATAAAGTCTTGGCAACGGTTCTCACCCGCCATCAAGCCTATGAATCGTCAGGACCTTAGCTACACTATACTAGACTTAGAAACTATAGGATTAAGAGACTGTCCTGAAAGATAGAGATAAAGAGGTTGTAGAAGGTCTCTTCGAGGGCCCTAGTTAGAAGGTCGTAGGTAGTTCTCCCGCTGATTGGTCAAGGGTTCAATGCCAAGAATTTACTCGGCATTGTTGGCCCGACAGAGTAAATGCTTTCTCGACTTCATGGAATAAGGGAACGCGGACACTTCAGTTCTCTCAACGCCTCACCTCGCCTCGCCTCCAAAATGACAGACTTAAACCCTCTCGTTCTCTACGATATCTCTTCAACCCGCCAACCGCGCTCCTACGCACCCAATCCCTCCAAGTCCCGACTCGCGCTCAGCTTCAAGGGCGTCCCCTTCACGACGACGTGGGTCGACATCCTCGACATCGCCGACGTGCGGAAGGGGCTCGGCTGCGCGGCGGTCCGGCAGTTCGACGACGGCACCGACTTCTACACGCTGCCCATGCTGCGGGAGCCGGTTTCGGGCAAGGTGGTGGGAGACTCGTTCGACATCGCCAACTACCTCGAAGACACGTTCCCAGAGTCCGGCGCCGGCAGCCTATTCCCCGCGGACACGACGGGCACGGGGCTCGACTACGAGAGCCCGTTCAAGGACACGGCGTTCTACGCGCCGCTGACCACGCGCAAGGGGGCCAAGAACGAGGCGTACGCCACCTTCAACGTGCACGTCGACGCGACCTTTTCGGCCCACGTCGTGCTGGTCGCCCACCAGCTCCCCTTCAACCCGGACACGGCCGAGGCCACCAAGGCCCTCTTCGCCAAGCGCGCCCACCTCAGCTCGTGGGACGACATCCGCATCGAGGGCGAGGCGCGCGCGCAATTCCTGGCCGGGTTCAATGTCGCCCTGACCTCGCTGGCCCAGCGGTTCGCGGTCCACGACGCCGGGCCCTACCTCGAGGGCGAAAAGGCAAACTACGCCGACCTGATCGTGGGTGGCTGGCTGAATATGCTCTCAGCTACCATGCCGCGCGAGGAGTTTGACGATTTCAAGACCTGGCACGGCGGCGTGTTTGGTCGCCTGCACGACGCTCTGCAGGAGAATTATTTTGTGTGCAACTAGAGACACTTCTCAGGATATCCCAGGATGGAGGGTATCTACCTCCTTAAAGCAACGCTCAACGCTGGTCCCAGGATTCACTGCCCAGCCTAGCCGTTTTGAGAGAAGGTGTTGCTGGCCAGCGGCCACACCGTGCTAAGTAACATGTGAAAGTGACAGAGTCGGCGGCAATGAGGCTTTGGGGGCCAGAGATCAAGCTAGGAAAGCAAAGCACAGCATATCACAGCACAGTGCCATGATGAGAGGCCAGGCACAAAAGGTCAGGCTAGGCAGGTCAAGCAGGCCCTCCTTGTAGGGAATAAGAGGCAGCGAAAGAAGAAGAGCCAAAGACAAAAGGCGACAGACATCTGATATGCACGCAGAAAGCAGAATATCTCTGAAGCTGTTCATCTGCAAAGAGTTCATCATTCATGATCCACTACACCTCTTACCCTCTATATCTGTAAATCTGCCATGCCGTGTTCTAGACGAAAGGAAAGGGACTTGTTCGTTCGTCCATCCGTCCGTCGACCCATCTCAAATCTGCATCATCGAAAGTCGTGAGAGGACAGGGTCCATATACCAAGGACGCCGACCGTCCTCATCAGGTTGAACATCAATACGTTCGCCAACTCCTGATCGACCTTGAAGCATTTCCAATCTTCCTTGCTGCTCCATATAGGGGATTCGGCGGCTCGTTCAGACAATGACATGCCCCTCCACCGCCTCTTCCTGGCGTTGCCCGTGATCTTTCGAAGCTCTTCGTAACAAACGTCAAGTTGTCTAGACGATGGACTGGCGAATCACACACCCTCGTTTTGCTGCCCATCAAACTTTTCGATTATGCTGAACCAGATGTCGTAATCTTCGAGGCCGTTTTCTCGAGCAGCTCCTTTGAGGATTTCGGCGACCTCGGCGTTAGTGAAGAAGGCTCTGATCTCTCGAAGGTCGTTTTTGGACTTTGTTTTTCGGGCTGCATTGGTAAATGCCGCGTCTGGCGGAGGCTGTCCATCCCAGTAATACTCCACATTTGTGTTAGGGTCACGTGTAGCGTAACGATCGCCTTCATCTCCATCCTCAGTCAAAGAGTCCTCGTCGTCGGAATGCAGCTCGACGCCCATGCACCGCATTTGTTCCTGGTCCCCCACGAACATTTGTGCTCTTTCTTGTCGAATCTGTCTCAATCTAGGCCGCCAAATCTTGGACATGAACTCGTCCACCTTCCAGTCTGACGTCGGCCATAGCCACTGTTCCGTGAACTCCGCCATAAGTGAATCAAGAAGAGCAATAAGGTGCGTTTCTTCATTCTGAATCTCTTGAATCTCGTCATCAATGGGGATTGAAAATGGGCATACTTTCTCCCTAGGGTCATAAACGTCGAAACAATCTCGGCGACAGCCATGCCGGCAACATGTGTGCGTCAGGCCGAGACCCTCAAAAGTGTACAGTCTTAGGACTTTCAGAAACAATTGAGGAAAATCATATGGGAAATATAAGTCCAGCCACCGCAAGAACCAATAGCTTCGAGGCCCACCAACTGGACTGGGATTGCTCAAGAAATTCAGGATCGGAATACATCCTTGGCTAGAACAAGCACAGGAACAGCCGTCGGACAAGTTGGAGGATACAATAGTCGAAAGAAGCTCAAAACAGTCCGTCGGAAAGGTGGAGTTTAGGAAGTCCAGCACATTCCACTGGAATTCGAAGAGTCTCAGCCCGAGCTGGAATGCAACAATATGTGTCGCTCTGAGCGCAGGTGGCCTCTGATGCTCATCTGTATTCCAGCAGTTGTTGTTCGTGCATGTAGGAAATTGGCAAAGCAGACTGGCGCCGCGATCACAAAGCCATTGAGCATATTGGAGGTCCGGAGGTCCGCCGTCCCACCAATCTCCCACCATAAGAGGCGTATAGCCTTGGTGATTACGCCCATCAATATCCTGGAAGCCATTGTTGAAGAATTTCTGTGCAGTTCCAGCACGGACGCGACGGCTGTGATATATGGTTGTCTGATGCCTGGAAGTGGACAGAGCTCCTGGAATCCTGATACCCGACTCGTCAAGTGCAGTGGATACCCCAGCGGCTTGCTCATCCAAAACTTTGAGTGTCTCGGCGCTGAATGAGAGCCTGTGTTGGGGCAAATGCGACGCTGCAAGTCGCTGAAGCTGCTTTCTTCTGCAACCAAGGCCCTCGGCGGCAACGTCAGAAAGTTCTTGAGAAATCTCCCTGTTAACCTTCCACATGACTATGTCGAGAGCATTGTTGTCAAGCCCAGATCCTGCCGCTATCAATATCATGGTTGCAATATTTGAAGTCGACAACGTCCATTCCATCGGTTTAGCTCCAGATTTGTCATTCACATTGATCAATGAAGAAGCTCCATGTTTGAGAAGGATAACCAGACCCAGGGGCCAATCGCTACTGAGGTGCACAAGGGAGTGACCCCAATCATTCAACTCACTTATAAGAGAGGGTTTGTGCTGGAGCAGGCGAATGGCCTCTTTTGGGGTTCGTCGCAGAATTGCCTTGCTCAGTGGTCCGGTTTGCAGCACTGAAAAGTTAGCAATTTATCATTCTCTCAATAACCATGTCTTGAGCAGCATACCATGGTACCACTGTGGCCAGTAAACCAGACTGTAGACCCACGCTAATTTGCTTTTGTCTGATAGAACTTCAAGAGCTCCCCTCTGGCTCAAATCTTCCGTGAGCAAACCAAGCTCTGGGCGCCCACCCATAACCAGCGTGAATCTACTGCATACATTCTCAGACAAGACTTGTAGGACACGGGGGAGAAATCCGCTGGCTTACTCAATAATGTCTGCAAGGTTTTCTTTGGCACCCCAGGAGGCAAGCGAGTATAAGAGGCGGCAAAAAGATTGAAAGGCCGCGTCTATTTCGAAGGCGCAAAAATGATCAGTACAGATGCGAATATTTCCAACTCGAATCTAAATGCGAAATCTCTCGAAACAAGTGGTCTCGTTGCTCCCATGCAGGCTTCTTGGTGAATAAACTTGCTCTCAGGCGACAAAGATTTATGGAAAATGCCAAAAAAGAAGTCGTCGTACCTTTTCCATAAAATACAAAATAACTGGTAAGGGCTAGCTTGCTTGCGTACTGCGCTAGCATTTAGCAAGGGGTTGATCGCATTGGCCACGAATACACTCACCCACAGGAGACTACGTCCATCTTCATTGACCTCTCTCGGATGTGCTTTTCTTTGTGTGAAGAGGCCCATCAGTTCAACACGGGCATTATCCAGAAGAGCATTCGGCTCTGCACTAACATCGAGTGTTAGACGCAAGTCTACTAGTAGTTGAATAGCAGGAGAAGTCTTGGAGGAAACAACTGGAATCCAGTCAATGTTTGCACTGATAGATCTTCCAGCCGAGCCAGTGGCCAAGGACACCATGCATCGAACACCACGAGAGATCAGCACTGAGCGATAGGATATCCAGATGTCCAACGCTCTCCTCTTGGCACCTGGAAGGTAGTAGGGGCAGTCCTCTTCATGCTCCTGGGTTTGGAGATAGCCGATGAACAATAGCTTGGCCCTAGCGGGTCGACGAGTTTTGGTTCTGGGGCATAAGCAGACGTAGGAATTGGACCATTTCAACGTGTTGGGGGTTGAACAACTCGGACGTCCAGGCGAGGCATGAAGAGAAGTTCCGGTGGGAGAGACTGGTGTTGGGAGGTGCTGGGCTTCAACCTGCCGTATTTCCAACCCCCGTTGCTGCCAGTTCTGGGGTCTTGCATTCAGACTCGGGCCATCAGTCCGCCGGATAAGTGCAGGCACGCCTGTTCCGAGAATTGATTTCACTGCTTGAAGGTCGTTTTGGATCGTCGACATTTCAGCCCGCAGAGACGAGAGGCCATCGCTAGCGCTCTGGATGCGAGCAGTCATGACGCCCGAAGCTGATAAAACCGCATCAATCTTTGTGTTTGTCACATCCTGGGTCTTGACTAGGATAGAGGATGCTTCCCTTTGTGGTCATCAGTTCCGGGAGTGAATAGGGTGTTTATTTTGGACTTACAGCCCGACAATGCAGAGGATCGTGTTCAAGTTTTCCTGTAAACCATCAAGTATGCCCGATAGCTCTGTGATGGTGGCCTTTGTGAATGGAAAGGCTGCCTTGTGTGCGACATAGCGCAGTTTGTCTCTGTGCAACGAAGGTCCTTGCGTCCTTTTGAATCCAGAAAGCTTACTGCTCAAAACCACGATGCTGGCCTGGCACGCGGTGATATGCTGTTCGATGTGGGAGGCTGTGTCGGAAAACCGCACCATCCATAGTGGAAGAGCATGTTGTAACAAGGTGAGACATCCTTGGAGGTTTTCGGTTCTTTGGGTGAGACTGTCGAGATATTGGTTCTGACCTTTGTAGGTCGAAAAGTAGGTAACCAAGCCCTGGCAGACGACCAGGCCTAATGAGACGACGCCTATCACACTACTTGTTGCTGAGAGAGGGTCAGACATTCTGTTTCGGTTTTGACAATCGGCAGAGGGATACGATTCCGACAGAGGCCGAGCCTCGTCTACCAGAGGGGAAATTACCTGGATAATATTAATGGGACTCTGAGGTGAAGTACGGCGAGATATCTGTCGAAAGTCTGCCTGGTGAGGCTGAATATCGCGTGTTGGGCGCTGTCCTTCTGGTGCAAGGCGACTTCGGAAGGTGGAGGCGACACATGGCGATCCTCTAGTGGCCAGACGCGGGGGATTCTGCACGAGGTAGATGGGGGCTAAATCCGACGATTCTTAGAGGTTGTGAGACAAGGGGAATGAAATCCGGGGGTGGATTGGGCAACTTTGGCCACCCACGTCAGGATGATATCAGAAAAATACTCAACAGGTTGACGGGGGCCCAATCACCAATGCCGATCCTATACCTTCCTCCGCTAGACATATATACAAGTACATGCCCTGCCCTTTATACCCTGGGTGAGTCTTATGATCAATTCTATGTGCACACTTTGACTGTGATTTGGGACCAAAAATCATTCACGACCCAAACCAAACCAAACCGAATACATTGGATACCACACCACTCCATCCCATCAGTCGCCAGTATTTGACTACTACACAATACCAACGAGACGCCCAAGAACCATGAACGCTCTCCGCCTCTCCGCCTCGAGTCTAACGAGGAGGAGTACCACCATACATACTAGACCTAACCCTAGAGGTACACCTCGTGCACAAACCATCCCATATTCTCGGACTTGGCCTTGTGCCAGCATCCGCTATCAATCCTCGTCCTCTTCTACCACCTCCCCTTCCTCTACGCCCGCTGCTACCTCCGCCTCTACAACGCAATGCCAGCAAGACATCCAATCGCAGCGCTCCGCGCAACAGGACCGGACCCGCATCGACCGCCAACCGAGCGAGTACAGTAAATCCGGGACGGACGACGCCGTGGCGTCGCAGCCCGTGTCCTTTTCGCCCGACAGCACCGCAACCGCGGACCCAGCGCGGTCCATCGCACAGGCAGCGGCGGGGCAGCAGATCCAGACCCAGAACTCGACCACCGCCGCCACAACAACAACCACAACCACAGGGACGTCGAACGAGGCGCCGACACCGCCGTCAAACGCACCGTTCAACCCCCTCGAAGTCAGCCCGGCAAACGTAGAAATCAGCTCGACGACGTCCGAGACCGAAGGCGCCACCGCCGTGGTGCGCGACGCCCAGAAGAGCAGGACGTACGTGGGCACCACGACGCAAAAGTCAAAGTCAAAGTCGACCACCGCCACGACGGCGGCCAAGAGGGTCTTTGCCGGCACGGATACCAGGAAGGACGCCATGCCTGGCGGGGCGGCGCAGGAGGGAGTCGACAGTACCGCCACCGGCGCTGGCACCAGCCCCGCTAGACCTGGCGGGAAAGGACCCATCATCAGGCCTGGGTCGAGGTAGTTTCTCCCCCCCAGACACAGGAATGGTCTTGGTTGATACGGAGGACAAACAAAAGGTGATGATTGACCCAGTCATTCCGATCGGAATGGATCAGATTGGGCGTCACGGAAATCGTGGGCGGAAACATTGTATATTTTTGTGGAAAAAAAAGAGGAAAGGGTTTCTACTACTCTTCTTCTGGTAGGGGGAGGGACAAAAGGTAAAATTGCCCTGCATAACCGCTCGTAGCCTCTCAGACAAGGCTCAAGGGCGGGACGGATATGTATCCATGTCCCTAGATTCATACAGCTCCCCACTGCGGTTGAGCACTGAAAATATTCTAGTCTCAGATGTGTTTTTCAAAAAGTACATCGAATACTTGGTCGCTACACTCATTTCAATCCTCCACTCAACAAGATACTCTGCCCAGTCAAATACCCCGTCCTGCACAGCATGGTTACCACATTCGCACACTCCTGCGGCGTGCCCAGCCTGCCCACCGGAATGTTCCTCACATCTCCAGGTGTGCCCTCGAGGAACTTCGCGTTAGGAATCATTCCTGTCTCGCCTATCATGGCTGGGGCGACATCGTTCACCGTGATCCCGTCCTTGGCGAGCTTGATGGCTAGATTCTTCATCATCCCTGTCAGGCCGGCTTTTGAGGCGGCATAGTGGCAGCCGTTGATGCCACCCCCGTAGCCAGCTATGCTCGACATCATGATGATGCGTCCCCATTTCTGCTGTGCCATGTGTGGGACGGCTAATTTGGCAAGAACAAAAGGTGCGCGGAGGTTTATTTGGATCGTATAGTCGAACTCTTCATATGTGATGTCCACTATTTGAGGCACTCGCTTCCCGTATCCTGCATTGGCGACCAGAATGTCAGGACCATGGCCATGTTGTGATTCAATCTCTTTATACAGTCTTTCCATGTCTTCTGTCGATGCCATATCCACTTGGTGTGAGGAGATCTTCAGTTCGGAGGAGGCCGAGTCGCCCTGGAGCTCGGTGATCAGCTTGTCGACATTGGCCTTGTTTTTCGAATATGTGAGAGCGAGGTGGCAGCCGTTCCGGTAAAGGTCTCGTGCGCAGCCAGCACCGATTCTGTTCTTGTCAGTCAAGGTGGACGCAAAGCCTCGAAAAATGTAAGCTGCGACATACCCTCCTGATGCACCCGTAATCAGAGCGAGCCTGCCTTTGATTTCGTTGTCGACGGACATGCTGGGTGAAGCTCGACTTGGTCCTGATGTCTGCGAATTGTTGGTGTGAGAGGTCAATTGAGACAGTCGCTGTCTTGTACTCATCCCTGGATACGAAGCTGGGCTCGTGAGCGTTCCATGGTCCTCCACAAAAGGACGAAATGTTGCAGCCGCGGTGACTGCGCCGAATCAGTCGGGCAGATCGTGGTGGATGGTGCGGGGAAGTCCAAGTGCCACCCACGCGTCGGCGTCTGCCCCCAAACGCCGACATTAGCCTGAAGCGGATAGAACAGCGCAGCTGTGCATGGGGGCCAACTCCACGCAGGTGGGAGAAGAACTCAGAAGAACAAGTTGCCATTCCAGTCCACTGGCCAATTCATCGAGTTGTTGGTCTGCTGCCACTGCATCCCTTGAGCCTGCGACTGAGGCATGAAAGTCGACGTTGACTCGAACCCCATCATCGGAGCAAGCATGTTCATCCCATTGCCTGTCATCGGGTCGCCAGAGACGTAATCGCCGACTGCCTCGAGGTCCAGCCACGAGAAGTCATTGGCCGGACTGAATTGCATGTACCCTTGAGCGTCGACATGAACACTGCCACTCGACGACAATGGACCCTCGGATGCTGCGGGAGATTGCATTGGAGGAGGCAATTGCGAGGGTGCCTTCTGCGGTTTGATCCAGAGCAGTTCCAATAACCTTGCGTAGCGGGATCCCGGATCCTGAGCAGATACAGATGCTCGCTTGAGGACTTCCATAGTCTGAAACACCAGTTGTCGAACTTGCCGTTCTTCCATGTCCGTCATCACCCCAAACGAGCGAGCCTTGTACAAGAAGACGGCGGAATAAATGCAGTACAGGTAATACCTCAGCGGCATGTATCGCAGGTACTTGCTCGGGTCCACTTGTGTGCTGAGCAGCGTCAGGTAGGCTTTCGCTGCTGCCACACTGGCCCAGATGAAACGTGCGTCGGGCATCGCACCAACATTACAGAACACACTTCGGAGATGGTCCCTCAGTGAATGGGCGTCACTCTTGGGTTTGCTGGCAATTGCTTGAGCAATTGCCGCTTGGAAGGCAAACGCGTTGGTGTACAAACACAGATATTCGTACGCCATCTGCAGCGTGACCTTGATATATGGGGAGCACTCCAGTTTACCCCATGTCGTGTTCCAGCGCGCAATAGCCGCCCGGAAATCGTCGACATACTTGACATAGTCTCCCATGAGCATCATCTGTCCGCTGGTGCGCATGCCCGAGTAGAGCACGTCGTGTACATTGGAGTAGAGCTGAGTGAGATCCAGGGTTGCTTGCATTATTTTGGCATAATCTTCGTCCCCGGGGTTCAATGGTTGTAACGAGGGAAAGTCTTGGGAGGAAAGGCCAGTCATGGGCCCAGGTCCTCTGGACCAGAATGCCTTTCCAATCCTCACCGATATCAATCGGTCTGAGACATAGCAATTGGCCCAAGCTAGACGTTTGCGACCGTCGATCCTCGCTTCCTCGGCGGTTTCTTGTCGAAATGAGGTTCGGTCGAGGCCGAGGAAATAGCCTGTTCGAAGAGCCATACCAACATGCATCCAGGCTGACCGATCCTCCTCACCTCTGCCCACGGCCTCGATCCGATTTCGCAGGCCTTGCGGCTCCCACTCGGCGAGCAATAGCAGTGCCTCGACTGCCTCGACATCGCAATCATGGCCAGCCGCGATTCCCGATATCAGGTCATGCATGTAACGAGAGCAGCAGGTATGAATCGTCGGCTGTTCGATAAGATCCTTGGACGAGATGGTGATAACGGCCGTCAACAGGTGTTTGTCGTTGACCGCGAAGACATCCAGTTGAGCAGGATCAAAGTATTTGCGCGGGACCAAGGGAAGGTACGGGTGATAGTGCTCGGCAAATCGTCTAACTAGCATTTGTATTATCTCGGGCGTAAGGTAGCCTTCACGGACCAGTCGATACGTCGAGATTCCAGCGTGGATGCCATTGATGGACCCTCTGGGCTCTGGTCTCGCTCCATTCTGCATATCTTGATTCGATAGATCATCCTGATGGCTTATTCCTCCTTTCGCGTGTAACTGATCTGCCTCCCGGTTTGCCACATCTTTCAATAATTGCCATGCATCTGATGGATTTCTAGGTATAGTGTCTCCGATTGTGCTGTCTGTCGTCGATACCGAGTCGTCATCGTCGGCCGCGTTGGTACTAGTGGTTGTTCCTCCCACACCACTTCCCGAGCCTGCAGTCGCGGATCGATCTTGGAGAGGGGAGGGTCGCAGAAATGGAGGAGGTCGCAAATGGGATCTAGAGCTGGTGTCGGCATGGGGATCTGTCTCGAGAAGGGGCGTCAAGGTCGGAGGGTGGGACAGGCCAGAGAGACTGGTGGTGGAAAGTAACTTCTTCCTCACTCGGCTTCCGCCACGGTTTGAGGTCCCCAGGATGCACTCGCGATTTTCTTTCTTGCATCTTGCGCATGGGGGTTGGCCGCCTGAAGCTTCCCTGCACGATCAATCAGGGTCAATGAATGGCGCGGACAGAAGTCGATACGAGTTTTGATGCTCTATTTGGGAGGTTGCCGACAGGCGGCTATTGCAGCTTGTGAGAGGTTTCCAGATAGCCGGGGCCAAACGAACCGATGGAACACAGGCCGACCGCAAAGACGCAGACAGAGGTCCCACCTGTCCTTTTCTTATTGTTGGACCATACAAACCGATGCGCAGACAACGTCGAAGCAGAAAAATAAACGGATCGCTTACAGTTCACATCTCGATTTGCGGGCGCGACAGAAGGTGCATGCTCTCGACACCCGCTTCATGGTCGCCGAAGGGCTTTGGTGGTCATCGGCCATCGCGGGTCAACGTGGAGTCAAAAGGGTTTCGCGGACCGGCAGTTCAAATGCTCTCAGCCTCGGCGAACCAGGCGAGCAGTTCCTGGGGAACTATAGACCAGCAGCATCATTCTAGAAGAGTTGCTCGTCTCACTCGATGCGAGGTCAAGAAGAGAAGAAGGCCGCGTACGCGCACAGCTTTGGGGTGAGGAGATCTGGATGGAATTCAAGTCGCCAGTTTGTGTTGAGTGTGGGAAGTTTCAAGCTCTGTGTGGGTTTGTGCCTGGCGAAGATCCGCCGAGTTCCCGCATGTGCTGGAGGGGGAGCGGTGCATCAGCCATGGAAGCCATGGTAGTGGCAGAGGGTTACTACTCGTAAAGGCGGGTTTGGGGGGCCAGACAGGCGGCATGGCAGGGAGCGAGGTTGACGGAGAGCCCGTGCCAGTAATTGGGCCGAACTTAACTAAACCGCTACCCCGTAGAGGCAAGTGCCTAGGCACTGGGGACGCCTAGCAGTGGCTAGCGGGGCTGGGGTGCCTAATGACGTACTTGTACAAGTACCTGTGTAGTACTTTAGGTGTTGCCTAGAGATACTTGGTACTTGAGTGCCTAGCCCCGGATTCGGCACGGCTATTAGGTACTTACTGTATCTTGCTGCACAACACAGGCCCTTGTGTACCTTGTACCTCAACTCACCAAAGTCAGGTACAAGCACAACCCGTGCTTCTATTTAAAGTCACTACATAAAACCCCCCCAATCGACATACACCGCATATCCGACAGACAGACACACCCTCCCAACACAATCCATGTAATTTTCTACCACGTTCCCCTCATCCGTCAGGCGGTTCCGGTGCCGTTGCTACCGGTCGGCGCAGGCGATTCAATCGTATGCGTCGTGTTTGGTACCAGTTCGAGGGTACTCGTGCTGCTGCTGGATGAGCTGGAGCTCGACGAAGTACTCGTTGTCGGACACACTCCTCCCGGTTCACCCCCCGTTGCTGTCGCAGATACCGATATCGATACCGATACATTAGTCAAGGGAGCGGCAGGAACATCAGGGGCAGGAGGCTCAGCGCCGACATCTTGGGCCGGCAGCAACCACGTCACGACCGTCGCATTGGGCACTGTCCCCTGCCACACGTCCGTCTCTCCATTATTGAACCCGAGCACCACGTCCTGGTCACTGCCGATGTTGTTCATCATGACCACCGCCCAGCTCGAGTCGGGGTTGCGCACCGCCATGGTGTAGAACTGGTTGTCCTGTCTGGCGTCGCCTTCGTTCCCGTCACCCAGGATGCGATAGTTGACGCTGCCCCGACGGACGAAGCGCGAAAACTGGCCCACCATGTAGTAATCGTTTGTGAGGGTGTATTGCGTCGAGGAATTCACAATCACGCTCCCCTGGCAACCGGCACATCCGCCATACGGGGAATGCGGACCGTAGTCCTGGTCTGTCGCCATAACCCACATCGCCGCGGCCGAGGCGCCGTGCGTCACCGGCGGAATGAAATTCGCGGCCACTTCAAAGTTCCAGCTACCACTTTGTGGCAGATAGTTGGAACACTCTGTCATGAATTGCAGGGTGTTGGGGAAGGCATAGTGGAAATCCGACATCACGCTGTAGTTTGCAACAGGGCCCGCATAGCAATGCCAGGCTGCGGCATCGGTAAGAGAGCCCTCGCCGCCTGTACCTTGGATGACGCGTGCAGGATAGACGGGCTGATCGGTATTGTGGTCCTGATACCAAGCAACGTGAGACTAGAGTCCGCTCGGGGATCGAAGCTAAAAACTGAATCTGTGCAAGGACAAAGAAATAAGAAGAGAAACTTACATATGCCATGATGATAACACCTCGATCATGCATCGCCTGACCAAGACCCTGGGCAATCAAGCTTGCTGCATCGACCGGGTCGAGAAGCATGCAAGGATACCCGCCTTGATAGTTGAGCGGTTCGTTCATCGGCGTGATGCCATTGACTTGAACACCCATGTCGTGAAACGCATCGACGTACTTTGAGAAATATCCCACCATTTGCGGGATGTACGCGGGATTGAAGCTGTTGTTGAGGATGTTGTAGCTTCCGCCGCCGTCCACGTTGAGATTTGGCGCAATGAACAGATCATTGTATTTTGTCCATCCGGGATATGACCACGGCGACCCAAAGAGGAAGACATCGCCCTTGACAGTGCCCATTTGCGCGATCATCTTGGCCTGTCCGGTGCCGTGCGGTCCAAGACTGAAATTCGACAGGTCGAGGTCAGGTTCTCCTTCGTTGAAGCTGGGCCCGTTGTCGTCGTAGGTATATTGCTCTCCTGACAGGTCTGAGGAGCCAATGGTATGCCGCATAAAGCCCATGTTGTTGCCACTTTGCCCGAAAAGATCCTCCAGGACACGAGACAGGGTGGCGTTGTCCAGGGTATTGAACACACTGATGGCGCTGTCAGTCCAGGCGTGTCCGAATCCGACCATTTCCTGTTGTGCGCCGTTGGCCGAGTCAATGATGATGTTCCGCCTTGGACGACATGATGACGAGCTGCTCGGCGATGCCGACAAGCGAACCGGTGCTGGACCACTTGACAATTGACGTGTCGTATTTGCAACTATAGAAATGAGAGCGTCGGTGATGAACGATTGAGGACTCAATACAGGATGAGCCCCGTCGCCGATACCTCCCCGTGGCCCGCATTCTTGAGAGCTCGCAATGCACGAAACACCGAGGTTTTGGACAGATTGGGCAGCAAGAAGGGTGCAACGAAGCAATATCAGAGCACAAGCACAGAACCGACCCATTTTGAGGTCTTCTGCACCTCCTGGTACAATGTGGCCAAGGGTCAAAAGCCTGGGGTACTCCGCCTTTTGAGTCCGCACGGTCATCAGCACCGCGATGCAGGTTGATGCCGATCTTCTCCAGCTTCATGACGTTGCAATGTACCTGGAGGCTACAGTTCCATTTGAATCGCACGGCTAAAAGGCCACTTCCCGGAGCGGATCCAGACATTCAATGGCCGTCTATGGAGACCAGATCCAGGACTGGACATTAGCAAGTTCAATAGTCAGAGGAAATGGAAACGGATGCGAGGCTTCCATCCGGACCCTCTTGAGGGGCTATGTTTTCACCACAATATTTGCCTCGATGAGTGTGTTATCATCGTCACCAAAAAGAAAGGGTGGCACGGCAGCTTAGCTGTCTAGTTGAAACAAGAACAGCATGATACCACGCGTCTAAATACATCGTGCGTGCTCATGGAAAGGGTTGATAGATGTACCAAATGCCACCTTGCCTCGAGAAGTTGAGAATTGGAGATTCAATGCTCAAAGGTGGATTCAAGCTGCATATTCTCCAGACTCCGTATAACCCGTGTCCCGAGACTCCGCGGACTCCTCCAGGTTGAGAGTGTGTTGTAACCCCGCAATTGCTTCTTTGTAACCGATCCAGAAGCCGAAGAAGGTGACTATAGAATATGGATGATGTTGAGCGGGTGCGGCTATGTTCAGGGAACCCTGGTAATCGAAGCTGGCAAAAACACCTGACATTAGTTGTGAAGACCTGGTTTGGTACAATTAGAGTCTTGATTCCATTTTCTTGGGCCTTGTGGCCGACGTCGATTCCTACAGGACCTATCATGTTGTCAATGAGAAGGGCGCAAATTGCTAGGCAGGGAGGCTGACCTGCCAATAGACTTAGTCATCGACGAGGCTACGTGGTCAGGGGCTGCCTCCTTGCTTGACGGCCGCCACTCACAGAGATGTCACCGTCCACAACGACTTTGCTGATACCAAGATTTAAAGTGTTTTTAGTCACGTCTTGTAACGGAAATATTGTCAACTTACCTTGTTTCCTGTTGCTATCCCCAGTCGCTGATCTACAACTGAACTGTCAAGGTACTCCCACACTACCTAGCACCCCAACTAACTATTGCCGCCTTGTTCAGCCTTATCCAGAGGTCTTCAAGCCGAATCACTGAGTGTTATTCTCGCCAAACACCTTCTGATCCACCTTTTCCATCACTCAGAGTACTTTGTCCTCGCTCTTGCGGAGAGTTTGGCGATTTGGAGCCTTCGCATTGACGTGCCGACGGGACGATGCTCGGTTCAGATTCAACGCACTCGCCTTTTGCGGCGCCTGATCCTTACCCGCCGCAGAGTTGTGTGATCGTCTACGCTTGTGTAAGGTGTTTCTGTTCCTCGCCTTGACTGAGACCATGCGTGGTGGGAGAACTGGACGGTGCAACCGGGCAGTGGTCGCTTGAGCTTCGTTGTTGCCAGTGATTCCCGTAGATGAATGTTTCGTAGAAGATCTTTGAGCGGACGGTGTTCCGCGCAAGGTTGATACATTCGGATGCCCCGATCTTCTGGAGACACGCTTTTCTCTTTTGCGTACTACTCCTGCTTCATTGACGACCTGCTTAGTTTGGGGTTTTCTGCCTTCTGTGGACGAATCAGCTTCCGCAGGGATGGGTTCAGACGAATTGCTCGATGCTGCAACAGTGTCATTTATCTTTAGAGCAACTGGGAAACTGTCGAGCTCAGCCACGTAACCGATGACTGTGTCCAGATTGGCGGTGTGTGCATGCGGCGGCGAAGAACCCGATGCCTTGCCTTTCTTATTCGAGAAACGTCCTCGGTTGACTTTGCTCACTAGGCCTCGGAAGACGGAGGAAGCTTTCTTCTTGACGGATTCAAACGAATCTGTAGGCTTCCCACGTCCTGAGTGCCCTTCAGCGTTATTGGCATCGGAAACGGCTCTCTCAACTGGAAAAAGCTCCTGTTGACCTACCTTTTCCACGTTGAGCTTGCCACTCGACTTCTGGTCCTCTGAGATCACACTGGTCTTGGGTTGCTCAAGAGGAATGGCCTCGTAACGGGTCGGGAAAGTCTGGCGGAGCATTACCAGTGCAGTGGTCACCTTAGCTCGATCAAATGCGCCAGGATGGGTGCGTTTGATCGATCGGCCTCGCTCGTGCACGCCTTCATTGGTCCGCTGGTCGAGGAATCCCATGCAAAATTCCTTTTCATAGATCAAGGCCTGTCGTATCCCTTTGCGGCTTCGCTCTTTCATCTTCTCCTTCAAGATATCTTTCGGCTGTAATTCTCTGCTACTCGAGTGAAGGTTAGTCTTGAATCCTCTGCTCGCGGATAACTTGCCTTTGTTGCCAAGTCTTCTTTGAGCGCGGAAGCTCTCACCCAAGGCGAGGATTCCTGGAATAGATGCTCTGATATACGATAAATCTTGATCATGTTTGATATGACCAGACGGGGCGACACGGGACAAGAGAGCTTCGAACTTCAACCGCTCATGGTCTCTTGCATGATGTAACACAAATGTTGCGCGAGAGCAAAGGGTGTCCAGAAGCAGATTTCGTTCGATTATCAGAGATTTGGTTGGGTCTTGGAATTTTGGGAATGGCTCCTCGTCCTCGTGCAAAGAAGCTCGGGCAGGAGTGTACCACCCATCGGGGGCTGGCCACATGACAAAGTCGGTGTTGATGGATTGTGAAGGATATTGTGTAGAGCCATTAGAAAGCGAGGATATCCGAAGCGGAATCGCAGCACCTGGCTGTGTGCCCGAGTTTCGCACCAACATCTTGATGAAGAGGGTAGCCTTGCCAGATATATGACAGACTCCTGTGTCGCACAAACTGGATCCTATGTTCGGACGCTGTTACGTAGTACTGCAATGACGGGAAACCACAATAGATACAAGGCGGTCAAGACTGGAAAAAGGAAAGTGACATTTAGAGATAGTTCTGCATAAGGATGTTAGTTGAATTGTATCAAAATCAACTATGATGTGGATCTGACACAAAAGGACAATGCGACAGGTAAATGGGAACAATAGTGAATAAAGGGACAATGACTTGGGAAAAAGAAGTTGGCGAACTGTCAGTAGACAAGAAGCCACTGCCTTTGTCCGTCTGTTGCGATACAAGGCCGCAGACGCATTGTCCAAACAAAGGACACAAGGAATCGGATCATAGCACGTTCTTTTCGGCCTTGTATTGCTCTAACCAATCACCTTTCTTCCCAATCAGGATCTACTTCTCGTTGTCGGGCGTAAGATCTGCGTACGTGTTCTCTTTGAATGTCTAATTCCGCCTCTTGGCCTTCCTTCTCCTTTCTGACTTTGAGTCTGATCCGTGCTTGCGAACCACGGCCATTGAAGTCCAATGTCCATTCTAGCGGTAATTTGCCCTTTGGCGCGCCGTCTCGGGTGCCTTCCGCCTCAGGGCTCACCCAGCTGTAACCAGGCTTTAAGATGATATTGGCGTAAATTGTAAAATAGCCCCATCCAAGACGTCTGATCTCGTATGGAGGCCATTCAAGAACGACAATTGGATTTCTGAAAGTAGGATGCTGATGTCACATGTTGGTGAATCCCGGTTGCAAGACAGAATGGTACTTACTAGAAACACTTGGACCTCTTCAATCAAGTCAGTTCTCGAGGGTCGAATAAAGAACTTCCAATGGTGCTTGTTATTCGACCCCTGCTCGGCCCTGATTTCTGTATGTTCGTTTCCGATATGAACGGTTAGCGTCTCAATGGTTGAGGCAGAACCATCTTCCTCGGCTGTTTGGGACTCGGCCTCACGTGCCTGGTAGGAGACGGGATATAATCGCTGGAGGGCTCTTTCTCTGGTCGGGTCTAGGGTTGAAATGGTAAATGTCCGACACATGGGGCAACGGGTTTCGATCTCGTGAGGCAACATGATTGCCACCTCATCGTCGAGTCCAACCGCGGTTAACTGAGACGTGACTGACACATCCGCCCACAAGGCCATACACGACTGGCAAAGTGTATGGTTGCATCTGGTTCGGATTGGTTTGTAAATGAGACAATGGCAGATGGGACAGAGATCATCGGGGTCGACTGTCTCCTCCTTTGCTGAAGAGGTGTTATCGGGTTCTGGATCAATGGGAGCCTGGGAGGAAGAGGGCTCTTCGGCAGAAAACTTCCGTTTCATTATGTGTACCGTACCACAGATTGCGGGAAGACAAGTCAGATAGTTAGACGAGCGAGGCCTCTTCTGAAGAATTTATGGTTGTCGAGATTAGGCAGACATGGATGTTGCCTCCTCCTCTTGGTGTCAAGGGTGTATCATCTGCGAAAATCCAACTGCACTTCGTCCTCAGAGAATCCGCCGTAGTTGGACGCGCAGACGCGTTAAGTGAATAGCACGTGGATCATCATCACGTGGTTATGTAATCTAGCTGGCGTCATGTCGGCCTCAACGGGTGATGGTGGTGGAGTGACAACGAGTGCCAATCCGCCATCTTGGCTCCGGCAGCGGAAGGCGGCGGGATTCTGTCATTGGGCGCTGGAGACACGAACGAAGCCCCCTGGATCCCGCCAACCCAGAGATTGACAGGAGGCAAAAAGCCGCAAACTGCAAACATTGATAAATTTCCCTACAAAGTACTGGTAATTCCAAGGAGTCCGCTTCATGTCAGCATCTCTCCCTTGGTGCCTGTGACTCCCAGGTCTCTCTTCTAATTCTGCGTGCACTCCACGCATTCGTCGTCCCTCGTTCCTAGCCAGCAATCTCTCCTCAATACTCTCTCTCCATCCTTCGACATGCCGGGCAAGACGCTCCCTACCATTACCCGCGCCGAGGTGGAACAGCATAATAATCGGAAGTCGTGCTATGTGACGATCGGCGAACGTGTTTTTGATGTGACGGATTTTATCGACGATCATCCTGGTGGCGGCGAGTTGATACTTGAATTTGGGGGGAAGGATGTCAAGAAGATTTTGGAAGATGAAGATTCACATTTCCACACTGAGACCGCTTATGAGATCCTGGAGGAGAGCTTGATTGGCTTCGTACCCACCGATGCCGTTCTTAAGACCGCAGTAGACTCCTCACGTCCAGACCAAGTTGTCCCGCTGCCTGCGACATTGGAAGGGAACGAACAACTGAAAGCAAATGGTGTGCAAGCCGAGAACCTCCCCTCCCGACCGCTCTACGCGTCAACCGGCATGTCGTCTGAAGACGATCTCTCTAAAGAGACGGATCTGGACCAAGATTGGAAGACACACAAGTTCCTGGATTTGAATCGGCCACTTTTCCCGCAGATGATCTTTGGCAAGTTCTCAAAGGAATTCTACCTCGAACAAGTTCATCGACCGCGACACTACCGGGGTGGTGACTCTGCGCCATTGTTTGGGAACTTCCTTGAACCGCTCAGCAAGACGGCGTGGTACGTGGTGCCGATTCTATGGCTGCCTCCCGTCATCTACGGGTCTGTCCTCGGAATCAGCAACCTTGAAAGTCCGGCCGTGGGTGTTGCATATTGGTGCCTGGGTCTCTTTTTGTGGACCCTGGTGGAATACCTCCTGCACCGCTTTCTGTTCCATGTTGACGACTATCTACCTGACCACTCCGTCTTCCTCACCCTACATTTCCTCCTGCACGGGATCCATCATTACCTACCCATGGACAAATATCGGCTTGTCATGCCGCCGACACTGTTCCTCATTCTAGCAACACCCTTCTACAAACTCGCTCATTTTGTCTTTTGGTACAATTGGTACGTCGCCATCACGGTCTTCAGCGGTGGCATCTTCGGCTACGTCTGCTACGACTGCACCCATTACTGGCTGCATCACCATCAACTACCCGCCTACGTGAGGGATTTGAAGAAGTATCACCTGGCACATCACTACCAGAACTTCGAGCTTGGGTAAGTTTGCGCAACAGCGACCAACTCTTGTTGTCCATCTGTATGAAAGGGACATATGGGCTAACATGGTTCTCAGGTTCGGTGTGACATCCAAATTCTGGGACTACGTCTGGGGCACGGAGCTCAAATACACGAAACCGATCAAGTCATCCTAGGCTTTTGCCAGACACCACCCTTATGGAAGGAAGCCACTGGCATCCTTAATTTGTATAACAACATCTTCGGCACGATAGAATGTCAACAATATCCACGATTATCACATGGTGGCGTCTACAAGTACTTGGTACTCGGTGCGGGCGAGTGGCGTGTTCCTTGCTCTCCTGATCGCATTGTCATTAGACCTACCGAGTACTCGGTTACCTCCTCCTCGGCGTTTCAGGTCGGATCAGGGCAGGTCAGGCCAGGCCAGGCACAAGGGACAGGGAGCTGGGGTAATGGGGCTGGGAAGAACAGGCAGACCTCTCACATCTCCATTCAATCACTACATTCTCGTACCTGGAACACCAGTATCATCTGGAGCTTGGTTGGTTACTTAAGAAATGTACAGCACCATTACCTAATTAATATTAATGAATACACGTACACTAACACGAACGACTATTCTTCTTTCCCTTCCTTAGACATTCCTTTCTCCCTTTCCCTCTGATCGTCTATGCTCAATGCAGATCCCTCTTGGATAATGGTTGCGGGCGTTGAGACTCTCCACCAACACAATAGACACGATAAGGCTTCCCTATCCAATACTATTCCATAATGGGCAATGTGCTCCTTTCCATTTCTCGGGCCTACATCGCAGAAAACACTTTGAAAAGACGCAGAAACTTGTCAATCTAGATGAATGGTGAAAGTGGCATGTGAATTGTGTGTGATATGTCTCATATGTACGGACATGACATGCATGAATCGAAAAAATATGGCCTCCAACCTGTTCCGGGTTCCTGCGTCCAACCATACAACGGCAGGTCTACGCGTCCATTCCCAACTAGTTCAGCCGTGTGGAAGCCATGCAAAATGCAGCAGATCATGAAGAATGTGGCTGAGATCACCATAACCCTCATTTCCAAGCTCCACGCCTGGTCGATTTCGACCTTCTCCTCTAAGTAGCAGGAGATGTCAAGCGTTTGTCTGGACTGGGTACCGTAGATAACCCTTTTCCCCCTTTGCGCTGATTCGTTACAAAGCCAAGCAAGAGAAGCCCGGCTCTTCCTTTGCTGTCCATAATGACGCGATCCCGCTATGTACAGTAAATGGTTTCATATCGAGGTCCAGCTTCCCAATGGTCATCGCTCAGGTCATGAGGAAGAAACACCCTGGGTTGCTTCTGCCTGCTGCGTGGTCCAGCCTAGCCAAATAAAGGGGTTCCGTGCCCTGAGCCGGAACACGGAGTGATCTGTTGAAACTGTTGGTGCTGGTGTAGGCGTCGGTGAAGAATCTGGAATTGGCAGAACAGCAAACGTTAGTGCCGAGTCTCCTGGAGCATTCGCTGGTGGCAGTGATGTAGGTGAAGAAGCAAAGGGAGAGATCGTGACTGTGACTGTAGCTGTGGACGTTGAAGAGAACGGGATGGATGGTGAAGGGGATTGGGCAGAATAGTTGTCTGTGTCTGTAGGGCTTGAGGAGGGAAGAGGAGGGAAGGGCTGGGAACTGTAGCTCGACAGCGGCACGGCAACAGTGGAGGAATCAGCACCAGCATCAGCGTTGACAGCACCAGAGGCAGAGGCAGATGGTAAGCATGTCGTCAAGGTCGATGTACCGTCAAGGGTAACTGCCCTTTGAGTGGTTGCGGCCCCTGTCAATACTGGTGACGGAGCCAAAGACACAGGAACCACTGCAGCGGCAGCCGAAGTCGAAGGCACATATGTTGTCACACTCAGGGTGCTTGAAATTGTGATTGTGCTTTCCGCCGTCGAGCCATGTCTGCCACCAAATCTGGTGCCGCTGTTGTTGTATGCCTCCAAGTCTGTCGGATGCGGACGAGGCCACCGAGTTCTCGTCGCCCAAGCGCCGCCGAGCCAAGGTGGTGGGCCACTCAGTTGCGTGAATCTCGGATTTGCCGAGCCAGTTGGGCACCAGAAGCAGTCGGACGGGGACGAATGAGTGTGGATGGGAAGGGAGTCAGAGGTCGTCACAGAGGCAAGATCGCCGTCCATGAGCCCCGGGGCAGTTGGGTAGTGAGACTCACCTGCATCTCGCTTGGTGTACTGCGTCAGATATACGGTCTCGTAAACGGTCTCGTATACAGATTCATACTCGGTGAAAGTCGCCACGACGACGTTGCCCGCAGCATTTGGAGCGGCTGTCACTTGAGGTTCTGGGGAGGCAGTAGAGTCAGCGGCCAGGCCGTTCAGCCATTTGGAAAGTACCGAGAAGATCCATGGGGATGGTAACGTACCATCGTTGTTGCCGCCACGTCCACCACGACCACTTCCATCTCCACTATCTGAACCGCCAGTTTGTTGCGCCAGGGCGTTATCAGTAGTGGTAGTGAATACACCGATCGGAATGACACTAAAGGTTTGGGTCTCGACGCCTGGTCCAGCTGTTGAACCCACATGGACGCTCAGGAAAGCAGGAACTCCAGTCTCGGACGCTGTGGCAGCGAAGACACTAGCTTCGCTTGCACCACCAGAGACAGGCCCTGTAGCTGAGGCGGAGAAGGCAATAGTAGAACCTGTATAAGAAGTGGACGTTAGCATGCGGGTGGTAGTTGTCGGCAATACATGTGACAGAAAGGTGGTGGCAAGGTCGGTGAAAGGGATGGTCTGACCTGTGACGGCAGTAGGATTGGCAAGGTCGGTCATCTGAGCAGACACGGCAGCGTTGTCAAGAGGTTGACCAGGCGCATAGTTAACCTGTGCCCTGGAGACCGCGTTGATGTCGGTATTGTCAACGATATCAATGTCCATGCAGGTAGTGTAGATTTCTTGCTTGCCGTTGGGATAGCCTGGAGCGCCTGGCAACGTCGGCCAGTCCCAGACCCAATATAGGGTAAAGGGTTGACCCGTGGGTGCATCATCTGGGATCTGGATGTCTTGTTGGCACCAGAGATCCTGGCCCATCAGATCATCGAAAGGATGCCCGTACTGCTGTTGACGTTGTTGGGAGATCTGACCGCCGTTTACTTGATAGCATTGCCCATCGTCGAAGTTGCGAGTGGACAGAAGACGGCCGCGACCATCACCACCGGAGCCGTCAGGCGTCCATACACGGTGGATCGCAAGGAAAGAGTCGTCGGGGTTGGGTTGAGAGGTTCCGTAGACATAAACTGTGCCTCGATTCGGTGGCTTGCCGGGTTGGTTGTCTGGCAAAGTGACATGGCCGTTTTCTTGGAAGCGCAGTGCAACACCTGCCCCAGCAGGAGCCTGCAGTCTCGGAGAACCATCGGTTTGGGTTTGGGATGTTTGGGTGGATTTGCACATAAGGTCAGAAGACTGGATCTGGTTGATAGGACGTCCATCGGGTGGAATGAGGTTGACCATCGCTGGATCATTGAACTGGGGAGTCCCACGCAAGACGTTTCCGCGCGGAAACCCTGGCTGCCCGACCAAAGTACCATTTGGAGCAATGACCATCAACTGTTCGATCCATGTATGCGCTGAGATGAGAGGTAGTGTAGCAAGCAACCCGATGAGAGCGCTGCTGAAGGTTGACTTGATGGGCATGATGAAGTTCGCAGTAGCGCTAAAGGTAAAGGGTGAATACTTCTGGTGACCAGCAAGCAGAGTCGTGGAAGATATGGGAGTTATCCGCAAAGAGGTTGATTCGCGAAAAAGATCTGAGTTCTTTGAAGAGGCCGTGTAGTACTCGCAGAGTATCTTTTGTCTGAAAGGATTGGTGGCTCGAACTGTCGAAGCTCAAAAGAACGGTAGAAAAGCAAATGGACCGGCACGGCCGTGACAAAGGAGCGACAAGAACAAACAACAAAGGGAGTGAGGATGAAAGGAGTGACAATGGATCACATTGATCTCTGGAACAAAGCGAAACTACAATGCCTGCGCAAGCATTGTTTGTGTTTGTTGAGAGAACAATGGTAAAGAACGGTAGGTCGATAAGCGAACGACTTCACTTGGGGTCAACGGCTGACCAGCAGGTTGGGTAGAAGGCAGGCGACCATAGACAAGAAACGAGAGCTTGCGAACCAGCAGATGAGCGAGTGGAGCATGGATATGGGAATATTTCGATCGGCATCTAAGCGCAAGGGGTCGGATGGAACCATCTTTGACCCATGATGCCCATGCACTCGTAGATGGTGTCCCCTTTCTGGGGTCAAGGCTGCGGGATAGACATCACGGCCTGCTATCGATAGGCCAACCCAGCACAGTGGGATAAGGGTCTGGATTCTGAAGGACGCTGCGTTTCAGGTGCTAGAGTTTAGCCTTAGTCTTATGCTATCCGCGTGGCATAGCAGGGAACGGGCGTGGTTGGTGCGGGATATTTTTTCTTTGGGTTGATCTTGCAGATAGCCTTAAGGTCGAAGCTTTGTGGAGGCGTTGGAGGGTGCGCACAGTCTATCAGGTCCGGCACAAGAGGATTGCGACTCATCTTGACAAACGACATTCGAGATCATCAGGACTCGTAGTGATGTTGTTCTGGTGAGGCAGTGGTACAACACACTGAAAGTGAAGTGAGTGAAACAATCAACCTCTCAAACGCAAGGACCGCACCCAAACCGACCTGGACAACTCACTGATGGCACACAACCAAGAAAAGTAAGGTCCTTTGTGACCCCTTTCATTTCAGACGGGTGGTTATGATGGATGACAAAGAGGCAAATGATAGGCACAGGGTAGGGATTTCGGAAAAGTATGGGGGAGAATGATAAGGACAGAAGGTGTGGCAGGGAACAAAGTCGTTCGCATTCCAAACATTAGCCTGCGTTTCAAGTGCCACTCTAGCCACTCGTCAAATTGCGCCACCAGCCAATCAACCACTGCAAGGCTCCCAGTGGCTCCTTGTTCCTGCGTCTCGGCCTTGGAGGCTGCATGAACAAGTTGAAGCTTGATCCCTTTATTCTCGGCCAGTCTGTCCACATGGAAACATAACCTTCTCTGCAGTGAACAGCCACAACAGCCCATGGGCGACCGCATAGATCACAAAGGGCAAATTTAGTAGCTAAACTGCCATGCTTCCAGAAATACTACAGATCCTTCCGCTCAGAGATTAGTTTGGCCATCAGGTTGGTGCGACACTTGTATATTCAAAGGACAAAAGCTTAACCTGCCAGCACTCGTATTATGGTCACAGATGGTCCTCCACATATTACCCAAATAGCTCGCGCCGTCCCGGTTATATCGGCAGCCCTGGGGCAATGACGTAGATATGCAGCACCGGCAGCTGGTGATACGGAAACAGATTGAAGGAAGATAGCCAAGGCTCCCTCAATCGTCACTCGGAGGAAAGTGAATGGAGGATCTGGCCCCCACACAACCAACGCCAGACTCCATGCTGACGCTGGTGACACTGAGATGAGATGAGAGGTTTCCTCTACCCACCAACGATGTCGACGATCACTGCAATGCGGTTTGATTGTGCCAGGCCTTAGCGCTTGAAGCCGCTCTCCTCTCGGAGGTATGCCTCAAAGTCGAGCATGTTTTCGTTGAGTCGTCGACATTGTGCCAAATCTGCTCCATACCCTTGCTCTTTGAACCATCGAATCATGGTGCCTGCTTCGGGCACCATGTACATGAGAAAATGGCTCACAAAATCGTATGATCGAGGCATTGGTCGTCCCAGCACCTTCCAAAAGATCTCGTCAGCCTCGGCTTGGGTCAGATCGCAGCCGGCGAGACTGATTGCAGTGTTCTTATATTCGTCTGTCTCGGCGGCGCCAAAGGCCTTGGCTGCAAAGACACCAATATCTCTTACTGCGATCAATTGGAGCCGTTTGTCGCCCATTGTATGCCAAGTCGCAGCGAAGATGCGACCTGGGAGATTCGGTGTGAGATTGTCCATGAATGCTGTCGGTCGCAAGATGGTATAGGTCATATCTGTTCCTCGAACCTTCTCTTTCAGGTGTTTCTCCACCTTGTACTGGAGTGAGGGTTAGTATTTGTTGTATGCACTCGCAGCTTGAACAGCCGGACAAACCTTGGAAACGAAGTGAGGAACATAAGTGGCATCTACTTCAGATTTGTCTGGGCCACCACGATCAACAGAGGTATAGACGAAATGTTTGACACTGTGAGCAATGGCCGCATCTACCATATCATTTCCCTGTTGTGTCTCCTTGCCCTCTACCTTGCTCTTGAAGTTGGGCAACGTCACGCAGAAGACGCCCCATACCGCCCCAACACCTCCGGCTTTTGCGAAGATGCTTGTACAATCGTCGAGATCCCCTTCGATGAGGGTGACTTTAGGCTTGGATGCCAGTGCTTTGGCCGCATTGGAGGTGGTCTTGCGGGTAATTGCGAGGATTTCGTAGTCGAAGGGAGGTGGGTTTGCAAGCAGTGCTTTGACGACGGCGCCGCCCTGCTTGCCCGTAGCACCTGTTACGAGGATCTTTCGTGGTGTCATGTCTGCCGTAAGAATTTGCGTGACTATGATAATGGTCAATTAGCTGCGACTGATGGAAAGGAATGAAGATAATTTTAGACACCCGGTTGAAACGTTCTTTGCTCACTTAGTCTGAGCACATGCGAGCCGGAGAATTGACGTCAGCCCCAAAACAATCTACTTACTAGCTTGTGCTAGGTAGTAGTGAATCCATGAGGACAAGGCAACATCATGCGCCGGATATCTTTAGTCTCTCCTCCATATTGCCATGATGAAGTCGGCTAATCCACCTCATGGAGAACCATGATCGTCCAGTGGCATCCCGAATTGCGGACAATTGTTTGCGTAGCTTGTGATTCAAGTTGTTCCGCACATCGGGACGCGACGCGCCGCGAGTGGAATGCCTAAAGCGCAGTTCAACATTGCTAGGCGAATTTCCTGACCCAATGCTCTAGGTATACTATCTTCACACCTTTTCGCATGTCTGCAAACAAGAGCCTGGTGTATCATGATGTGATCACCACTTTGACAGGTACTCTCCCTTCGTCCTCTCCCTCCAATCCGGTATTAGACGCTACTCTGAATGCCTTCTCTCCATCTGCAAGTGCCACCCGATGCGTGATCAGATCCTCTGCAACACCGTCTAATTGACCACTGGCGAAAAGCGCAATGGCAGCAGGATAGCAATTGGCGTATCTGAAGACGCCGATGATGTCCACCTCTCGCAAAGCAGCTGCACCTAAAGGCAAGGTCTGAACTGGTGTGCCCATTCCAACCAAGACCAGCTTCCCGCCTGCTGCCGTTGCATACACGCCCATCTGCACACACGGTGGAGCACCAGAGCACTCAAATACTCGATCAAATCCCGTTTCTAATCCCTCTGACTTGCAGATCTCTGCTGCCTGTTCCTGTGCTTCCGACAGGATCTCCGAGATGGCCTGCGCAGGTGGCTTTCGAGGAATGAGGAATGTCTTCAACTTAAACTTGCCACCACCCAGTGTTGCGGCGATCTTTAATCTGGGGCCGTCGATGTCTGCGATGACAATCTTGGATACTCCAGCAACTGACAGGGCAGCAGCAGTCAACATTCCCACGGCACCCGCTCCCAAGACCAAGGCACTGGACCCGACCAGAGGTAATCCCACTCCAGATCCCCCAGATTGACTGCGGTTCAATGCATGTAGCGAGACGGCCAGGGGCTCTACCAGGGCACCTTGTTCGAAGGTGACATTTTCTGGTAGCTTGTGGCACATAGCGGCTGGCTGTGAGATCACCGTTTGCAGGGTGCCATCAATGTGTGGGAATGTCTTTGCGGAAGATCTGAATGACAGCTTGGAACATAGATTGTACCGACCTATGGTGCAGAGACCGCACGAGCGACAAGGGAATCCGACTTCCAGGGCAACTCTGTCGCCGACTCTGAGATTCGAGGGTTGGACGTCCCCATTTGCGCCCTCAGCAACAGCAGTAACAACGCCTGATGCTTCATGACCCAGGACGAGTGGCGCTTGAACAACAAAATTTCCGTTCTGTCCGAGACGGTAGTAATGCAAATCCGAGCCGCAAATACCTGTTGCCTTGACTGCTATTTGGACGTCGCCAGTTTGCAGAACAGGTGGTGGTCTCGTCTCCTGATCAACCATACTTCGGTCAGTGTTATGTTGGTCTAGCAGAAGCCCAGTTTCTTACCAGTCTCAAGTCATTCTTGCCATGTAGTACCAAGGCGTGAACTGATTCTGAAGAATTCATGTTTCCTATTGTGATAGTCATGTCTGGCCAGTCGGCGTTCGTCCGTTACTGTCCCTTCGGAGGATGGTTTGCTGGATAGAACACACAATTATCAACCTTGTTCTGTGAAAACATTCGCGGAATGCACCCCGATTGAAGAGCCTAATAATGGCACCAGATTGTCTGGAAGCTGACTCCAACGCCTTAACATTAACACCACACAGGTATGACAGGTAATATGGCACCCGCCAAACGGCACCGCGCCTGTACTCCCCTCGGTCGGGCAGCGGGATTTTCTCCGATGCCTGGACCTAGTCTATACGACGAGGGCGAGGGAGACTCCGACCCTGAGGGCGACTGTCCAGCAAGCATCCAGCCAGTCATGGAGAGAAAGTCGGATGGTGTGGGGGTCAAGAAATGAAGCGGCTATTGACAGTGCGGGGTGACACTGCGACTGCATTGCGATATTCGCAATTTCAAATGCCGACGGAATGCCCACCTCCGTCCATCACTGTTGCACCCAAAGGCGACGCTGGGAGACTGTATCCCGTAAAGTGGCACCCAGCGGCCGACGATTTTTCATGGCTGGCAAGTTATGGCAATGTTGGCCTTGTCCTCTTGCTTTAAACAAAAGGTGTTGCCAGCCAGTGTCTCCCTAATTCGTGCATTTTCTCTCAAACGATCCCTCACTACCGTCTCTACAACCGCTACCATGTCGAAACCTACCGTTCTCCTTATCGGTGGATTGGCACATGTAAATAAAGAGTGGGAAGGCTTGGGTTCCAAATACAATCTGAAGGAATTCAGAAAGGGTACACGCGAGCAGTTCCTCTCAAACTGCAAGACCGGCCAATACGACGACGTAGTGGCTCTCTATCGCTCCAACCTATCCACGTCAGAAACAGGCCTCTTCGATCAAGAGCTGGTCTCAGTCCTACCTCAGTCTCTGCGGTACATCTGCCACAACGGTGCGGGATACGACAATATAGATGTGGACGCTTGCACCCGAAGGGGAATCAAGATCTCCAGTACCCCGATAGCGGTGGACGACGCCACTGCTGATGTCGGCATCTTTCTCATGCTGGGCGCTCTGCGGCTAGCATGGGTACCTTTAGTGGCGATCCGAGAAGGCAGATGGCGCGGGAAGAGCCAACTCGGACACGACCCAAAGGGCAAAGTGCTGGGTATCTTGGGAATGGGTGGGATTGGCAGAGTAAGCGCCATGTCATTCATTACCTGTAGTGATCAGACACTGACTGCGACCAGGCAATGGCTCACCGAGCGCGAGCATTTGGGATGAAGATCGCTTATCACAACCGAACGCGGCTACCGACAGAGCTCGAGGACGATGCGACGTACCTCAGTTTCGACGAGTTACTCGCCCAGTCCGACGTGCTCAGCTTGAACCTGTCCCTAAATGCCAAAACACGACACATAATATCCGCACCCGAATTCGCCAAAATGAAGGACGGCGTGGTGATTGTCAACACGGCGCGAGGCGCACTTATAAACGAAAAGGACCTGGTGGCCGCGCTGGAAAGCGGCAAAGTGTCCTCGGCCGGACTGGACGTGTTTGAAGAAGAGCCCAAAGTGGAAGAAGGCCTGTTGAAGAACCAGAACGTCTTTATCGTACCGCATATCGGCACGAGTACCTACGAGACACAGCGCGAGATGGAATTGTTGGTGTTGGAGAACCTCCAGAACGCGGTGGACAAGGGCTCTCTGTTGACGCCGATTGCAGAGCAAAAGGGACAATTGAACGGGCATTTATAGTTCGTGTTATTGGCAGAGCTAGCCTTGTGGCGAGGATAGATATAGATGATAAACGGTGCTGCTCGGGTAGTAGTCCTAGTGGAGAGGAACTTGGATATATGATAATACTATAACAACTGAGGCGTGCTAGATGTCTACTGTCACAGGGGCCATGATTTTCTGGGGGGTTCAACTAAATTGCACTGGAAATCATCAACACGATTTATGCAAGGACATACACCTGATTTTCAGCCCGCCGTAGGGGATGCGCGGGGGCAAGAATAGTTCAGCACTGCCATTCAATTGAAGTAATAGCCTACCTCTTTGACGATAAACTGGAGCTACAGACACAATAAACAGCGAGGGTAAAAAAGCCGTGACGAGGCCGAGCGTTTGAAGGGAAATAGAGGACCACGGCCAAACCTACCGATAACACTTTGTAAAGGGGGGCAGCGAGGATTGAAAATCATGGTAAGAGAGCTGTTGGCAATGTCTCCCAACACCTCCTTGGGTGTTTGTTCTGTCTTGCAGTTTTGGAACCATTCAATCATCATCCTTAAGGGGAGGGAGGTTCGAGGTTTGCGAGGAAAGTCGCAGCATTGCTGACACAGCAATAGTCATGATGCTGGTAGAGGGAGACAACACAGTCTGATCCCTCTGTCCCAGAAAGCGCATCACCAGCTGCGTAAGACCGTCTGTCACGCTGCGTATTCAATTTCACGCATTCGTCTCTTCTCGGAGTGCTTCCAGTGCTGTGACAATCTCCGTAGCTGAATGATAGTTGCCCTGCCAGCACTTCGTAATAATAGCAGAAGGAAGAACACCAACGAAATCTGGAAATCGTCGTTGGCGGTCCATAGGGGGTTCGCTCCAGGAAGGAGGGCTCCCTGTCCAGATCTCAAAGATGATGCTGCCGAGATGACACAGGTCGTCTTGTATATCTGGCGTATCGTCGTCTCTTCCAGGCCGTTGAAAATCGGTATCGGGCTCTGCTCGAGGGATGGAGCCGTCGATTGATGATCCGCCGAAATCGCAGAATTTTATACAATCATTCTTGCCCAGAAGGATGTTGAGACAGCCCATATCACATTGCACAACGCCTTTCTCGTGCATTATGCAGATCCCTCTGCCGTCTGGATTGACCATCTGAATGCCTCGTCGGTAGAATGCAACTTATTGTGTTTTCGAAGATCGCTCAGTCGGTCCCTTGGGTTCTTTCGAGTACTAGTCCGCGGTTGATTGCGTACTTCAGCTCACATATTCGACTATGTTTTCCAAGTCGCTCGAGGATTTTCCGTTCAATCAACTGACTTTCGAGGAATTGGTTGTCCATATATTCATTGTCTGTTCTAATGGCACCCTTCACCACAGTATGGTCATCAACCGCAAGAACATGCTCAGACGACCCAACATCAAGGCACACTAACTCTCACGAATAATGTCGCGGTATTCCATATCTTTCGACTCCATGGTGATCTGGACTGGTCCACCCCCAGCCATGCTAAGTTCATATGCGCGGTTTGGCGATATACCCCATGCAAAGTAATAGTCTCTAGCGAAGTATCTCCTTATAAAGGACTTAATGGTGAGGGTCAATGGCAGCATGGCATCACAGGTATGTGGGTGGAGAACATACAGCACGAGCGAAGGAGAGTTAGTAAAGAGAGGTACGGATGTGACTGAAAGAATACGTGTCACTGGAGGAGAGAAGATCTTAAAAAAAGAAGGGACTTTGAGCTCTGAAACCTGAACGAACGGCAGAACACAGGATGCTGGAATGTGGTAGGGGTTTTCAGAACTTAAAAGCGGCACGAATGGATCGAGGGGAGAATTGTGATGATGTTCTGTTGGTGTAAAAGCGGCAATCTATCGATCCTCCACGTGAACAGCCAGCCGTGACCAGCCCCTCTCGGCGATCCGCCTTGCGTCAGTTACGAGCACATGTCTCGGTCCCTTCAAGACATGGACCTCGATTGTTCGCCGTACGCCGAAGCATGATCAAAATAGACGATGCTACACATCAAAACACCTCCTCGCTCGACATGATGTGGTAGCAGACCATGACGATTTGTCCTCCTCCTAGGTGAACACTTCACCTTCTGCCATCCTCTCTAACGAAGTCAAAATGCCGGTGCCGTCGAAGGAGGATCCGTTGATGGTCCTGTACAACCATTACCTTGGCCTCTTGCGTTCCCGTATACGCCGCACCCCGAAATCTGTCAAAATTGCTGCTACCGCTGCCCTCGTCCTGTCCATCCTCTTCTCTAGCTATGGCGGTTTCAAGTGGTGGCAGGCTCGTTCAAAGGAGAAGGCGCAGGGACGGGCTTTGGTCCGCAAGAATAGTGGTTTAAGAGGGAAGGGAGGAGAACGCATCATATATGTGCCCAAAGGCGACACCACTTCCAAAGTTATCATCCATCCCACACGCTCGACCACGTTCGATGCCCATCGCAGACTGTTTCTCATGCCTCCACGGGTCACTCGGTTGGCTAGTGGTACTTCAACTCCGGCGTATGGCCATCCCCCCGCGCAGACAAAGCCTGGCCTCAACCTGGCTTTCCTCCACCAATTCCTCAGTCTAGCGAACATCATGATACCGAGATTCCGGAGCAAGGAGACTGCGTTACTGCTGAGCCATGCCGTCTTCCTAATCTTGAGGACATACTTGTCTCTACTGGTCGCGAGGCTGGACGGCGCAATCGTCCGAGACCTGGTCGGAGGGCATGGAAAGCAGTTCCTGCTCGGGCTTCTAAGATGGCTTTCCATCGGCACGTTGGCCTCGTACACAAACTCGATGATCAAATTCCTCCAATCTAAAATATCGATTGCCTTCCGCACGCGGCTAACGAGATATATCCACGATCTCTACCTGAACTCAAACCTGACCTATTACAAACTCACGAATCTAGACGGTGGAGTCGAAGGCGCAGACCAGTTCATCACACAAGATCTGACACTATTTTGTACAGCAGCAGCATCATTGTATTCTTCTCTTGGAAAACCCCTGGTGGACATTTTTGTCTTTAACTACCAACTCTACCGATCACTCGGTCCTTTGGCTCTTACCGGCCTTTTGGTTAATTACTTTGGCACAGCTACCATGCTTCGGAGGCTCTCCCCGCCCTTTGGGAAACTGAAGGCGGTGGAGGGCAAGAAAGAAGGAGACTTCCGGGGTCTCCATGCCAGATTAATCGCCAACGCAGAGGAGGTCGCCTTTTACGGTGGTGCTGACGTCGAAAAGGTCTACCTCGATAAATCATTCAAAGAACTCCGAAGCTGGATGGAGGGAATTTACAACGTCAAAGTCCGGTATAATATGCTTGAAGACTTTATTCTGAAGTACTCATGGTCCGCTTTTGGTTATATCATTACCTCCATTCCCGTTTACCTGCCTGCCTGGGCCGGGCTGAATGCTATTCTCGAAGCTACTTCAAGCTCGGGTAAAGAGGCAGCGGAATCTTCTCGGTCTGGGACTTACATGAAAGAATTCACTACCAACAAGAGACTCATGCTCTCACTTGCTGATGCGGGTGGTCGGATGATGTACAGCATCAAAGACCTCTCTGAACTGGCTGGCTACACCTCACGAGTGTACCAACTCATCTCAACACTTCATCGCGTACACGCCAACGCCTATGCGCCCGTCAGCCGCCGAGCCTCTCAAATAATAGAGCTCTTCTCGCTTGCGGACGTACAAGGCACGATCCAATACGGCTTCGACGGCGTCCGCTTTGAGGATGTCCCTGTCGTGGCACCGGGCTTGTGGCCCTATGGTGGTGACGAGCTGATTGAATCTCTCTCTTTTGTTGTCCACAGTGGCGAACATCTCCTGATATCAGGATCCAACGGTGTTGGTAAATCCGCCATTTCCCGCATTGTTGGGGGGCTTTGGCCTGTCTACCGCGGATTGGTCTCACGACCTCGAAACAACGGCATGGATGGAATCATGGTTCTCCCTCAACGACCGTACCTCAGCATTGGGACTCTAAGAGACCAAGTCATCTATCCGCATACGGAGATGGATATGCGGGAGAACGATCGACGGGATAGTGAGCTCGAGCGGATTTTAGAGGAAGCCAAGCTCGGCCACTTGCTCTCGAGAGAAGGCGGTTGGGATACGCGCAAGGAGTGGAAGGATGTGCTCTCTGGAGGCGAGAAACAGCGCATGGCCATTGCTCGGCTGTTCTACCATGAGCCCAAATACGCGTTCCTCGATGAGGGAACTTCTGCCGTATCCTCAGATGTTGAAGGCTTGCTTTATGAGCGGTGTAAGGAGAAGGGTATCACAGTCATAACTCTATCCACACGTGCAAGTCTTCGCAAGTACCACACATTCAACCTAGTCCTGGGCCTTGGTGAGGAAGGATTTGATTGGGAGCTGGTCCGAATCGGCACCGAGGAGGAGAAGTTGGGTGTGGAAAAGGAGATTGCTGAGTTGAAGGAGAAGCTGGCTATGGTGAAAACCTGGGAGAAGAGGAGAAACGAGATTCAGGATGAGCTGAATCACGTCTTTGTTGTTGGGGATGGGCAAGGCATGCAACAAAAGGGGCCCTTGGAACGACCAGACTATATTGGAGAGGATGCTGAGTCGCAACAGGAGACTCAGTGACCCATGACAGCTGTACGTTTTCTCTGTATGAATTACACATTCTGACCTGGCTAGGGTGTGGGAAGATATACATTCGGCCCATCACCACTCCAGGCATTCAGTTCCCTTATCACCAGCCAGTTGAGGTTGCGCATGTTCTTCTCTTCCTTGTCGTCCTTCATCCTGTCCTTTTCGACCTCTTTCATGTCTTTATGGAAGTCCTTTTCCTCTTTGCTTTTTTCTCTGTGATACCTGTCCAACGCCCTCTGCCTGTCCCTTTCCAACTTGGCGACGTCTCTGGACTTGTTCTTCCGCGTGGCTTCGGCCAATTTGTCGTCGATTTCTCGGAGGTGCTTGTCCAGGTCCTTGTTGATCTTTGCCATCTCCTTGTCAAAGTCTCTTTGGGCCTTGCCTGCTTCCTTCTCGTACTGGCCTTGGACCTTGTTCCGCTTCTCGATCAGCTTCTTCTCCCCGTTCCGCCTGTCCCTCTCGTTGATCTTGACATTCAGCCGACTCATCGCGTTGGCGGGGACGTCGATCTCGGGCAGCGGTGTGATGTCCAACTCGGCGATCCAGGGCTTCATGGCGTCCAGCCTCCGCTGCTGCCCGCTGACATCGCCGCCGCCACCATCCGCCTCGATGCCGTCCAGAGGCAGCAACAGCCTCGCCTTCTTGTTGAGCTTGCCGTCGGCATCGAAGACACCTTCCATGCCGACCAACTTGGCGAGAGCCTCGGTCTTTGCGATCTCCACTTTCAAACCTCTCGGACGAAAGATGTCGGTGTTGGCGCGTCGCAATTCTATCTCGGTGCGCCCGTGCTGGATCACGCCCGCGGACACTTCGGCGGCGAGATTGACAGCGCCCCCGACAATCTGAGCCGTCCCCAGGGGTACCATGCCGACGAGGTTCCCGGCGAGGCTGAGCGCCGTCAAGGGCGGTGACTTGACGGCCACTCGGTTCAGGTTGTCCAGAAAGGAGAGAAACAACGTCGGGGAGATGTGGAATTGCGCGAGACATGGCGGGTAGGCGCGCAGAAAGGGCGAGCCGTACTGGCCGAGCGTTGCGGGGATGGCGATGGGTTTGGGGAGGCGTGACGGGGACCGAGAGAGCGATGAGCCCGGCGAGGTCGGTGATGGGAGACGTGATCGGGAGGGGGAAATGGAGAGACGTGGTGAGATTGGTGACGAAAGTGATTGGGAGTAGGGATAGCCTGCTTCTACGGCCTTTCCGCTTGACTGGGCCGATGCTTCTTCAATGGCTTGAGTATATGTCGGCGGTGGAGGCGGCGGTAAGGACTGATTCGGGTTCGGGTACGGGTTCAGTCGTGCAGACTCGTGGTCGCTGGGCGTGTATGCTCTGTATGGTTGTTGACTTGACGTGGCAAAGCCATTGTAGCGGTCGTCGTAGTCGTAGTCGCGGTAGTCGTTGTATTGTGATTTGGAGCCACCCATGGTCAGCGGCTGAGGTATGTATTACTGTAGTCGATTTCTGCTGTGGTAAATATGTAGATGGATGGATAGGTTTTGGATCTTTAGGTAGACTCTGTAGCGGCCCCAACACTCTCTCTATATATGTAAAAGACAGCCCGCCTGTGCTTTTTACATCTCTTTTCCATCAATCCTTACCCTCTCCATCTATCATCCTTCTTGAGTGAGGCTGCGCCGTATTGCACGATTTCCCAATTCGGCCCTATCCGCGATTGGCTGCAGGCGGGGGACTCGGTATCTAGCTCGCTGGGAACCAGGCACTGCCAGGGAGGGGACCTTCGGAGTAGCCAGCCAGTTGCGGGAAACATCGTACTTGTAGTAACCAGTTAGTAGTACGAGGTAGTGTGCCTGATTCAGCCTCCATCATTTTCACCAGTCGATTTTTCTGCTCCCCACTCGCTCCATTTGTCGGACGGGAGTGATCGACCGTGCCACAGTACGAGGTACTCGGGTACTGGACGAAATAGCCACTAGTCTAGCGATGATTGGCAACTCGTACAATATGCCGCATGTGGAATGGTGTGCCTGTCGCGGGCCTGGCTGGCTCTGGCGGTGATTGGTGGCATGCGCCGCGATCCGGGTGGTGGGTTGATCTTCCTCTTTTTTCGTTTGGTCGTTGGACGTCATTGTGCGTTCGAGGACCTAGGGCTGAGCTACTCGTGCTCGGGGGCAGAGGTCAGTCATTGCGCTCTCTACTTGTTGTACAAAGAGTGAGGCGCATGGACTCTGCAGCCTCTTACTGCCACACCACACCACACCACACCATACTGAGCCCTCTATCCATGTCCCTTTTGCGGCCTATTAGCATCATCCTACTCTAGGAGCAGTTTTGTCATGGAGTGTCCTTTTTCCTCTCTGCGCTGGTCTGTGATCTTACCTGTGTCACTATGCCGGCTTCTGGAGCGAAAGTGGGCTCGGTAGTTGCGCACATCGCACGCAGATGGACTTGATTGACGATACGATGCGTGGGATTCATGCCCAGAAGGCCTATAGTCACTAATTACCCAGCATCCACCGATCCGATAACAAAGTCTACGTCTGAACAGACTTCAAACAGCCGCCTTTCCTGCTCGTCACTCGCCAGAGTCTTCACCGTCCACGACCACAACTCCTCCTGCTTCGCCTCATCATAGCTGTCCACGCTCGACTTGATCTGCCTCCTCCCCTCGAAATATACCCCACTCGCCTCGTCGTCCAGAGCCAGCCATGCCAGCGCCGCACCGGACTCTGCCGGCCTGTGAATGTTGGGCGACAGCACGAGTCGCAGCAGCGGAATCAAGCTGGGGAGGACGCGCTTCCACATGAACTGCAGCAAGGCCGGATACTGTCTGGCGAGGCCTGTTCCAGGCATGAGGCCCGGGTCGAATGCGACGACGGTCCATTTCTTGTCGTCTGGCAGGCGTCGCAAGCGCCGGTCGAGCGCGTACGTCCAGAGCACGTTGCACAGCTTGCTGGTCGTGTACCTTTGGCGGCCGGGTATTTTGAGCGCCGGCCCAGCCGGGTGTGCCAGCTCTTCGGCCGTCGTGTAGTTTGCGTTGGGCATGCCCGTCTTTTGCACAGGGTCGTGCGTGCCGCTGGCGGTGACGACGATGCGCGCCTCGTCTGCCAGGTATGGCCGGAGGAGGGAGAACAACAGGGCGTGTCCGACGTGGTTGATGCCAAAGGTCGCCTCGAACCCGTCCGCGGTGTATTTAATGCCGCCAGTGGGGAATTGGCTTCCCGCGTTCAGCAACAGGACCGAGATGGGTGGCAGGTTCTTCTGCGCCCATATCTCGACAAAGGCCCTGACGTTCTTCAAGTCGCCCAGGTCCAGGGCCATGAACTGTACTCTATCCCCACTCTTGAGGCGACGGTTGATCGATTCTGCACTTCCCTCCGCGTCCCTGCGCGACGCGATGACGACGCACCAGTCAGGCCGCTGCCGTGCGATCTCCGCTGCGGCGTGGAATCCCAGACCCGTCGTGCCGCCAGTGACGAGGACCGAGCGGGTGAAGTTGGACATTGCGCCTGGTTTCTGATAGGTGTGACTCGACAAATTGCGCGATTGCTAGCGATGCTTGATATATCGCGAACTTGTAGAACCTCCTGGACGCCGAGGAGCGTGACCTTGGCCTTGACCTTGACCTCTAAATCTCTCTTGTCTTGTTCCTCGGCACCTTAAGGGGTGCGATCTATGACTATGGCTATGAGTCCGAGCATGAATATGTAAGTTGTTAAGAGGTGAGCCGGTGGGATATATCTCATACCGTACTCGTACTCGCATACTGCAGTACATGTATTCTTTCACCCACCTTGGAAATAATCCGATCCCATGGAACTACGGGCCTGTCCATGCGCGAGGAAAACTCATCCATGCATAAGGTATGCATGACCCATGGCCAGTCCCAACACACCCTTTTTTTCCCTTGCCCGAAACTTGTGAGCTTCTCCCTCTTTGGGACTCGGTGCCAGTACTGGTTCCGGAACCACGCGGCGGTGTCAGAGACTGGCATACATACATACGAGGTACATAAACGTGTAGCTCCCTCGTATTGCCCGCACGATGACCGGGTAGATAGATATGAGGAGCCACGTCTGTCGTATTGTTTGTCTAGTGTATAATCTAGTGCAGTGGTGTACAGAGTACTCCGTATACTCACAGAACCACTACTAGGTAGGTAGGGAGGCTGGAAGGTTGAGTATTCATTCTCATTGGTGGAGAGCGATACTTCTGTATGCAGGGAGGGAGGCAATTCAATTCAGCCCACAAGCGGGGGCTGGTCCGCCTCGTCGTCTGCCTTGGCTCAGCCTCGCTTCACCTCGCGCCATTGCCAAAATACGCACTCGGTTTTTGGCGGTGAGGTGTTTACTAGGTGCAAGTAGTACGAATAGCGAGGTTGCGAGGGACGCGTACTCGGTCTACTATCTATCAACGAGTATGCGTGATCGGTGCCTGAGGAACCAACCCTCCACCCTCGGGCGCCCACATCAACATGGGCCACGGAGCACGCCCAAGACCGGACGCCCCCGGGACCCCCCACGCACCAACACGCGGACGCCCCCCCAACA